AATATAGCTTAGGTATATAATATAGTAAACTTATAGAAAAGGATTAACTCTATATATCTATAATAAGTTAAGTAATAAGTAATAACTATAGGGGAAAAGTTAGACTAGTAGGTAGTATTAGGCGGAAAAGCTTATTAGAGATTTAGTTATATTTAGGGCTAGGTTTTTATTAAATAAAGCTTTATTAAGCTATAAAGGTTTTAAATACAAAGTTATTAAAATGGAAGCAATAACTCTCAGCCATTTGCACTCCATGGTTAATGCCATGAATGGGAGCTGCGATCACATTGTTTTCGTGCTAAGAAATATCCAAGAACAATAGCACGATGCACCATACTTTCTAATGTCGATTATGGAGAGTTGTCAAAGATTTAATCAGACGATATGTCAGTTTCGCGATCAACTGCATGGTGAACTGGGTGTTCGCCTAGACGCGCTTCATTCTATCCTTAGTTCATTTCACAAGGTTATCAACTTGGTTGAGAAGAGCGCTCGAGAGATACAACCAAGATGCAACCACGCAGAGAATCGAAATCTATGGAAACGATTCAGAGTTGAAGTTTCCGACTCCGCGCTGCAGAACTGCAGCAATGAACTCGATAAGCAAAATAGCTTCATCGCAAGCCTCTTCGGTATTTTTAAGCTGTAAGTTTCGAACCCAAATCACCTTGAAATCTTCAAGTAGCTGTTTCACTGATGCCGAATGAGTCAAGACAACTAAGCGAGAGGCAATGTTCCTTCGACCAGCTTTATGCTAGGAAAAAAGGACATGGCGTTAACCCAGCAATGGAAACATCGTCTTATGGTTCGAGATTCTCATTCAGTGTTTTCGAAGTTGCTTCTCGAAAGCCCTCTTATCGGTTTCAGCGACAGGCAATCGAGGCCATCACAGGTTCGTCACTCGGATGGCTGTTTCTCGTAAGCTTAGTGTGCGGAGTCACATGCGCACTACTTACTCCAGATGTTAAGGTGAAGGATAAATTTCAGGCCAGTATTACCGGTCTGAGATTATCTGGCGCTTGGGTCATATGGTTGATTGAAGAACTGGGAAGAGCGTGCGTAGCGTTTGTATGGGCATTGGCAAACCTAGTACTCGACTTGTCATCGAAAGTTTCGGGGCCTCTGACAACTTCACTGAGCCAGTGCGGACTCGGGGTTTCGCGGGTTACGCACCAGGCATTCAGCTTCAGACTTCCCGGCGCGTCACATGTAAGGCTACAAGATACCTCATATCTACGTTCACCGCTGACACATAATAGATCCCCAAGACTGCCACCCGGGAAGAGCTGAGTGTGGCCCTTATAGAAGCCGCCGCGACTGGCTCGTTACGAAACGCGAAAGCCCTCCTTAAGCGGGGAGCACGGTGCACCGTACGCGACGAGGACCTCATGACGCCCCTACATTTAGCTGCAAGCTGGGGACACTACGCGCTCGTGAAACTCCTACTAAGCTACAAAAATAAGGATTGGTTTGCTCAGGGAGGTATTACGCCAATCCATCTTGCGGCGAGATATGGACACAGCAAGGTGGTGAAGCTACTGATATCGAATGGTGGGCATGATTGGATAAACGATAGGGCTGATAGTCAAGGGACCTTGGAAAAGTTCAGGTATCCCCGAGTTATCTCGTACGCAAAGACCTTTTCGGCACGAGAACTGGCTGCTATATATGGCCATGAAAACGCAGTACTTGCCTTCCCATCAACCAAGAAAGATGACATTCTTCAGGCCATGTCGTCTGCGTGTGCGTTAGGAAACCAGAGCATGGTAGAAACGATATGGCGCCATCACGAGCAGAGATCATACTTCAAAAGAAACTCAAACCCGACAAAGCTGGCCAGCACGTTCAAAGCACCGCCGCTTCACCTAGCAGTCACTTCGGGAAACCCTGCACTTGTCGCGTATCTCCTTGAGCGTGGGTTTCCCGTCAATGACCAAGGCACCGTCGAGGGTTCGCAGTATAGCTCTCCAGCGCACTATGCCGCTATGATTGGCTCCGTAGAGATTCTTCATCTTCTAAAGAGTAGCGGAAGCGCTGTGACAAGCCTGGACTTCTGGAACCGGACACCTCTATCGTATGCCATTCAGCATGAGCATGTACAGGCTGTTTCTTTTTTGGTGAGGCAGGCGTCTTTATCTCGAAGCACGTCTAGTAAAGATGCAGTAACCTTTTATCTCGGTTCGGGTCATAAAGATCATTTGAAAGATTGGTATGTTATGAATGGCGAAATAAGGAAAATTGTTAAACAGATAGGGATTTAGTGTCATGCTTGTAAGGAGTCAGTGACAAACAGCCGCTGGCTCAAAACGTCCGCATATCCATGTTACATACACTTCACTACCGAGTCTTCCTCCGATCCAACGTCCAGAGAACCAGGTGACTGAAAGTGGTGATCCTTCAGGTGTCAATCGTTATCTGCACGAGAAATCGTATGATGCAATTTGTGCTCCTTGATGAAGCTTGCTGCGATCAGCCCCAAGACGGCTACACCAAGACCAGTCAAAAAGACTCCTCGTAATGAAATCTCGTACGCCTTGTAAACGCCGTCACTCCATCCATCAGGGAGTCGCTTCAACTCATCTAAAGAGTCAAGAAGGCGTTTTATTAACTCAGTAGATCCTTCCTTGCTGTCGAAGCGTTGATGTAAACCGCGTTGTAGCAAATTCTGATACACTACCGAAGCGATCGTGACACCAATCGTGGAACCCATCGACCGGAATGCGTAGTTGGCAGAGGTTGCAACAGCCTGATCATCATGTGACACAGCCGCGACTGTTGCGAGTAGTGACACCGATAACATGCCACCATAGCCCGCTCCAACCAGGAAGACATAAGTCAAGACGAGGGGAGTCGGTGTTTGGATTGTCATAGTGCTCAGGCCAACAAAACCTAAAGCAGAACAAGCTATAACGGCCATGCCCAGAGTTCTGTATCTCCCTGTCCGTTTCATGATGAAGCCACAGGTGAGAGAACTCAGGGCAGTGCCTACACTCTGAGGTAAGAGACGGAGGCCGGCCACTGTTGCGGAGTAGCCATTGACCTGAAAGTAGATTGGGACGTAATATGTAGCCATGAATAGGATCATAGTCACAAGGCAATTCATCAGACATGCCGCAAGTACTGTCTGATCAAGCAATAAGTGCATGGGAATGATAGGCTCCGTGGCCCATCTCGATTCCACAAGAACGAAAACCCCAGCAGCTACCACGGTGAGCGACAGGGAGACTATGACAAGTGGATGAGTCCATGAAACGAGATTTCCACCAGAGTTGAGGCCCAGCAGTAACAGAATAAGAGTCAAGGATAGTGTGAGAGCACCCGAGAAGTCCACCCGCGACAATCTCGACTTATCACTCTCTTTGGTGGGGGCATTGCGTAGGGTAATGGAGACGAGAATGGTGGAGATGGCAATCAATGGCACGCGACTCAGGAAGGCAGCCCTCCAGCCCCAGAGGTCATTAATGCAGCCTCCAAACAAACCACCAAGACCAGCGCCAACACCATAACAAATATGGACGAAGCCTTGGATAACGCCACGTCTTCTCAATGGAACGAGATCACTGGCCACGAACGCCGTTATGGCATTGAGACCCCCGCCACCCATGCCCGCCACAACCCGTCCCGTGAGAAGCATCCATTTGGAGTTCGCAACTCCGCAAACTAACGTTCCAAGCCCGAAGAGTATGTTGCAGACCACGAGGCCAGAGCGACGGGAGAAAATATCGGTTAGTCGACCGGACAGAGGCTGGCAGGCTGCGTTTGCGATAAGGTAGGATGATCCAAGCCAGGAGACGAGGGTCAGCGATCCGAAAGTGCTGGAGATGGGGACGGAGAGGGTTGCGACGATGGTAGTGTCGAGGGCAGCGAGGAAAACACCGGTGAAGACACTGCCGAAAACAGCGACAAGATACCTAGTTGAGGGCTCATCTTTCAACGACGAACTCTCTGGATTGTTAGTCTGTTGAGGAGGATGAGGCTTTGCAGGGCCGTGGGAGAGAAGAGGCGATTGTTCATTGATGAGCCCATTAGAAGCATTGGCTCTATCACTCGACTGTGGCTGTTTTCCGTTCATGATACAATAATCTAGAGATGTCGAGGGGAACTTGGAATGTGTGATAAGCATATTGTTCACAGTCAAAATCTCCTGAAGAGGAGAAAAGGGAGAAAGGCAAGCTTTGTGAGGGAACGGGATTGTAGTCGAGGAATGATGGAGCAGGTCAGCGATCGAACACGTCTTACTCGGAAGACTTTGCAACCGAGACAGGGGAGCTGGATCATGAGGCTGTGTTACCACAATATGACGTTGGCTGAGTAGTCTTCGGGTATGTCGGTGAGCAGGCAGAGCAACGCCGTCTTCGGAGGGAGTAGCTCTATGGGGTGAGCCGGCAAGCCGTCGCCTGATTTGAGGTCACTGATGACAGTGGTAGGATGGGAACACAAAGGGTAGTGACAGCTCTGAAGAAAGGTGGCGAAGACCACGTCTGCCAAATGTGCCAGCCTTCGGGTCTTTGACATTACATACTATGAAACCAGAAATCACCTCGGACCAAGGTGGACTTGAAATATGCAAGAAAATCATGATTAAAAGATAATTGAGTGAGTTACTGCTCATAGCTAGGACGAAAGCTCCTTCGATCGAGTACGCATTCAAGGACCAATAATGGCCCAGAAGTCTCAACTTGCAGCCTCAGACCTCCAACCCAAGATCCTTATCCATACCACCCGTAGCAACAGAGTCAACTTTCTGCTCCTCCATAGTCTTATTAAAACTACTATACTTGCTAAGAAACCACTGCTCCGCCGTAACCTCCTCCCCATCCATACCCTTGAAAACAGCACTATCACTAGCCCGCAGGAAATAAGCAGCCGAGTATCTGTCCTCCATCATCTTACCCCCAGGAGGCAGCACCCTATGCATAGCAGATCTAAAGCGTCGCTTAGAAATAAAACGAAGTGTATCAGCGACGTTTATAATCGCATGGCCTGGTTTCGCAGCGACATATTCCCATTTATTGGTAGTAGGCGACATTACTTGTAAGCCAGGCTGTTCTGTAAAGAGAAGGGTGAATGATCCAACATCTGTGTGGGCGTTGTGGCCGCGGGCTGTTTTGTCATCTAGGACGTCGCTGAGGGGATGGTGGATGAAGAACATTGTGCTCTTGGAGGGGAGATGGTCGGGGTGGCAATCCTCAAAGCGGTCATCGCTCTGGAGGCCTGCGGCGTCAGAAAGACGGGATAGAAGGGTTTTGAGGAGGAAGTGGGCGGAGAGCTGGAGAGTCTCAAACAATTGGAGGTTTTCGTGGACTACGTCTGGAAGATGGGAGCGGTTGAGAAGACCAACGCGGCTGATCTGGAGGGTGTCAATTGAGCGCTGATGTTGGTGGGAGATGTCGTAACTTACTCGCAGTGCTTCAAATCCATCTCTGGTGTTTTCGTTGACTCCCGACTGTACACCAGGCGGTTTGAACCTTTGAAACGATAAATAATGCTGGTATCTCTCACCAGCTTCCAGGAACTTACCCGTGAGCGTCAGAAATGGTCTCAGTCTTCATCTTCTCTTCCAGCGGCTGATCAAACCACTGCTTCATCACTACCCAAGCATCCTCCAGCGTTTTCAGAATCTTGCCAGATTTCCAATCGCGAAGGTCTAGGTAAAAGAAGCCATGGTCTTCACAAGCAGAGAGCAAGTTGGCCTGCTCAGTGACGTCTCCGTTGAGTAGCGAACAGAAGTTCAGGGTATGGAGATTAGCTTGCTCGGGGGTAGTGGTCGTAGACATTGTCAATGATGATATGTTGGACTCGATTGAACGGGTCTTGTGGATGCGAAATGATTGAGAGTAGTAGGCTATCAGCCGTATATGGTTGACTGGACCTGGCGGTAATCAAGCCGGGGAAAGAAACAGTGCTGAAAATGACACCACAGCAACAAGTTGGCTGGAATCGATAAAGCTACGAAAATCAATGTACGAGAAACAATGACTTGTTGACCTTCCCGAAAATGCACGGCTGCCGATACGGTATATTGGCATGCCGGAAGACTCTCGGTCTCCGGGCGCCGGCTCATGAGAAATCATGTGGGCCTCGTGTGTTTCTCCCCGAGCCTCAAGTAACCGAGACATGCCTATGCATTATCGTGTATCGTCTGCAATAAAAAGCCATTTTTCCCTCTATATTATCGTATCTGGTATTCCACAGTAACGTTTCGTTGAGTCTGACGAAGTGGTTAGAGCATTCCGACAAGACCAGCATCCGGATCGCGATCTAGCAGCTTGCGGTGAGCTTGTCGTTGATGTCATATATGAGTACTATTTATCCGGCATAAAATATGGAAAAGATAAATAGTAGGTAAAGAGAATAGAGAGCGGTGCAATAAAAGTAAAAGTCTGTGACCCGCCGCGATCTCTGCCATTTATTGTTTCGAATCAAGGCCATTCTAATCTTGGAAACATTGATAACTATTCGGCTGTCAGCATGGTCGTCCTCCCAGAACCCTTTGCCTCTTTCGAGCGCATTACTCTCCTCTTCCCCCATCCATCCCCTCTCCACCCTCTTCCCAACCTAACACGTCACATCAACTCAACCACTTCCACCAAAGCCCAGATCTGGGCCAAGCGCGAGGACTGTTCTTCAGGTCTCGGTCTCGGCGGTAACAAGATCCGCAAACTGGAGTATGTCATCCCATCGGCCCTAGCTCAAGGCTGCGATACTCTCATCTCGACGGGCGGTACGCAGAGCAACCACATGCGTCAAGTCGCGGCTGTGGGGAGCCATCTTGGCCTCAAGACTATTCTCGTACCGCAGGTGCATGCAAATACGGGATCTGAGGCTTTTGGTCAGGCAGGGAATGTGCAGGTCAATGGCATTCTCGGCGCTGAGTTGGCTGCGACGAATACTGCGCTTGAGGATGTCGCTGCGGATGTGGAGAAGCAAGGTGGACGTCCGTATGTCATTGCTGCGGGTGCTTCAGTCCATGTACACGGCGGACTCGGCTTTGCTCGCTGGGCATCCGAGGTTGTGGAGCAAGAGACGGCTCATGGCATATTCTTTGACACGATCGTTGTCCCAGTGGCTTCGGGTGGTACCATCGCCGGCATGATCGCCGGCTTCAAGCTAGCCAACCAGTCTGGAGGTCAGTCCCGGTCCATAATCGGCATCGACACGTACAACAAGCCACCGGGCGTTCTTGAAGCCACGATTCTCGAAATAGCAAGACGAACGGCGGATCTCATCGGATTAGGCGCAGATGCAGTCCAGCCCAACGATGTGATCCTCGATACGAGGTTCAATACCGGTACGCACACGGCTTGGGACGATAATACAGCGCGAGGCGTCAAGCTGATCGGCGAGCTCGAAGGAATTGTGACGGATCCGATTTACTCGGGGAGGAGTGTGGGTGCTATTCTGCACAAAGCCGAGAGTGGGGAGTTGGAAGGGAGTCGTTACGTGTTGTTTGTGCACACGGGGGGACAGGCAGCGCTGAGTGCGTTTAGAATCCCAACATGAGGTGAGCTGGATCGAGATGCGGGGGACTCGAGTTACACTGACAGATTCCGTGGTACATTCACTGTCAGTTCGGCGAATTAGGACCGCTCCTGTTCCGCGGACCCCGAGATTTGCATCGTAGGTTGTTGTACCAGAAATCTATCGACATGTCCCGACGAAAAGTCGCAACGCCATTCTGGGCGATGTGCATAGCTGCTGTGATCATTACGTACTTATATTGACGTGCACAGATCACTCTGCGCAATTGTATGTATGGCCTTTGTGCGTTTGTGGAGGTCTCCAAGATCGATAATGAAGGTGGCTTATGCAGTGACTTCGGAGAATTGAACATGCCGTTTTAGAGTGGATGTCCTACATTGTACCAAGTTCGTGTTCCTCTGAACAGCTGAACAATTGTCTTAGCTTTGAGAACTGTGAACTACGCTGGTACCATGTCAAACTGTCGTTGCGGCACCCGAGATCTCTGGACCCCATTCAAGTCTACACGCAGCTGAATTGGCTCCGACCACAGCGTCAACATACGCCATCAACAGTCCCCTCATACTTAAAAAGCAAATCAGTCATCTCACCACTCCAGCTGCATCACCCAATCCCAACAGTGTCATCTGATCCATTACCAATCACTTACCCCATCATGCTGTCCCAGCCTAACCCCTACGACAAGGTCGATACCGCCAATCTCTTTACGGTAAAATTCAGCAACCTCTTCGACAGAGACTCAAAAGAAGTTGACACGCTTTTGCAAGCATGTGAAAGAGATGGTTTCTTCTATCTCGATCTGCAGGACTCGTGCTCCGCCAAGCTGTGGAGAGACTTGGAGAGGGTGAGCGAGATAGCTAAGCGCTGGTTCTCGCAACCTGTTGAGGACAAGCTGAAAACCCCAACGGTATCGTTGGCGCATGGGTTTGCTGATCCCATTGGATACTGCATTACGTCAACTGATCCGGTTGCTCAATTAGATTCAAAGCTACGGGTAATCAGTCCGGGGCTATCAAGTCACTCAAAGATGGGTTTGAAGCGTTAAAGGTACTGTGAACAACATCCCTTGTTGAGTCTTTCTCACCATAGCAGATTGGAAGAAATGAACTCCTCGGCCGCTGGGCTCTTGCATCAGTTGTCGAAGAAAACCTCGAGCTATTCGACCAGTTCAACGCATCATGCCACTTTATTCTAAAACTACTTCTGGACTGTCTATCAGACGGGCTAAACCTCCGAGGACCAGCCCGTCTCGACACCCATCACCGCGACGACGCACGCTCCAAAAGCACGCTCTACTTCCTGCACTACCCGCCAGGAACTCAGAATCTAGACGAAGTAGGTCAGAACATGCACACGGACATCGGCACACTGACCCTCCTCTTCGCGCCGCAATGGGGTCTCCAGGTCGTGTCCCCCGTGACGGGAGCGTGGGAGTACGTGCAGCCGCGCGAAGGCCACGCCATCATCAATGTTGCGGATACGTTGAGGTTCCTATCTAAGAAGCGATTTCGCTCTGCTCTGCATCGTGTTCTTCCGATTGGGAGCGTGCAGAAGGAAGATCGGTATGCGGTGTCGTACTTTTTGAGAGCGGCGGATGATACCGAGTTTAATGACCGTAATGATGAGGCGTCGAATGCTAAGAGTTGGTACTTGACAAAGTATCATACCTACGAGCTGCCACATGATGTCCAGGGAGAACAGACGGTGCTGTCTGGTGGTATGGCGCAGGAGTTGCAGGCTACGTTCTGATGCATCTCGCAGATAGATTTTCCCAACGGTTTCAAGTCTGAGTCATTAGCCTTCTAGAAATACATCAACGTCAACATTATTCGATAGGACTGCAGTGATTTAAATGGCATTATGCAGGGTAGTTCGCTAGCGTGATCGATCCCCTCAAGCCGAGGCTGGAGGCGGTAGCAGTTTTCTCGGACCCTCGCTCGCAAACTAGTCCCAACAAGGAATCGTGAAAAGACCCTTATTCCTCTAGCGGCATCGTCACGATCCAAATGTAGCTTCGCGTGGAGCCTTGGAACAAGTTGGAGGCGCCTAAAATGTTGGGGATGATCGACAGATCTAGAATTACGTCACATTCTTTCGTCATGCACTTCCATTCAAGACAAGTTTGCGACAAAGGGAATGGCTTGGCTGAAGGAACATGTGAACATGATCTGATACCAAACAGCACAGAACTCTGAACTCTGCAGTTCAGAAGCTTTATTCGGTAGTGGTGTCCAGGTACCCCAGAGTATGCATCTCAGCCCCAGTAGGCGTCGAATAACCCATACCAATCCAGGTCGTTACCCTTGCTGAGAGTGGGTAAGTGCACAAAAGGGCTAAGTTTGCGAATTGCGGGATGATGCTATAGCGCACATGACGATGAAACTTTATCGCGTTCCCCTTTTTCCATGTGTGTCCCTGCTCAAAACTTGCCTCGGCATTTGATCTACGATCGATAAGTATTAAAGGCTCAGATCTCCAGAGATTGATCATATCTGATAACAAGCATTGACCACAGACACATAACCAAAAAGCAACTTCTTATCTGATTCTGACTACGATATACGACCTTAACAATGACGACAACGACCCAGTCGATGAAGTCGACCTGGCCACTCGCCGACAAGTCAGAGTGGAATGTCCATCAACAAATCATCCACGTCTTGGGCACCTATCCTATCATTCCGGGCAAAGAAGTCCCCGTGCACCCCAAATCCGAGCGCATTCCTCATTTCTCTCAATGGCAAGGCCACGTCTGGATCCTTTTACATGCCTTTGTGCCGATAATCATACACCAATCGTGGCTCTCATACACAGGCCAAGCACTCCATCCATTCATCGTCTTCATGCTCTACTTTGCATCGTTTAGTTGGTCCGTTGTACGATCTGTCAAAGCTACGGCAAAGCTTGGCCATGAATATGGATTCTTAGACGGAGATACTCATCAGCGAGATGGAATTCCCGACATTGGTGTTGATAAAGTCGTTTCGTCGCTTTGGAAGACTACAGGCTCGAGGATCTTTATGGCGACGCATCTCACCTACAGAGCGACACAAGCGCCTGCTGCTGTGATGAGCGACCCCAAATGGTGGGCTTGGCTGTGGCTTCAGATCGGTCTTTACGGCATCGTCCTCGATTTCTGGTTCTACGTATATCACCGCGCCATGCACGACATCGACTGGCTATGGAAGTATCACCGCACCCACCATCTGACCAAGCATCCCAACTCTCTGCTCGCCGCCTTCGCCGACCACGAGCAGGAATTCTTCGACATGGTTGGCATTCCCTTCCTGACCTGGGCAACCTTCCAAGTCCTCGGCCTTCCCCTGGGATATTATGAGTGGTGGATCTGCCATCAGTACATTGCCTTTACTGAGGTCCTGGGTCACAGTGGTCTCCGCATTTATGGCATGCCCCCATCGACCTTGGCTTGGCTCCTGAAGGGTGTTGGTATGGAGTTGGTTATTGAAGATCATGACCTTCATCACCGCAAGGGGTATAGAAAGAGTCATAACTACGGAAAGCAAACGCGTGTTTGGGATACACTCTTTGGAACCTGTCACGAACGGATTGAGGCTAAGAATCAGAACGTTGATTGGGATAGGGCGGTTTGGTTTCCAATCTTGTAAACAGAGCAGTCGAAGTGCAAGGACATTCATTATAGTTATCAGACTGGTTTCCTACAAATAAACAAATAACGGTTTAAAAACATCATGTCTTTTCGTCGCCGTAGATCATTGTCCGTGAGCCCTGCCACATTGCTATGAGATCCATCATGATCTCGTCGTAGAGCAAAGTGCAAGAATCGACATCAACAACCAAGACTCCTAAAAAGGCTTTTAGAATCACTCAAAATCACAACCACAAGTAATGGTAGTTACCAATGACAACTTGACATCAATGTGGGTATCTAAATAAACCGCCAACAATCTCTAAAGCGACCTTCCTAGACAGTATCATACTGTCGTACTGCGCTAACACAAATCGATCAAGACAATAATACCTCCAGATGGTGACTTATCCTCCAAAGAACCTTCTCACATGACGAAATACTCTGTATTGCATGGAAAAAGAACTCAGTTTCTGCCAGCATTACCGCCAGCATCGGCACCAGCATTGGCACGAGGATCGGGGCCCATGACAACCTCATTATTGACAATATGCCAGTGTCCTTCTCGGATCTCACGACGGAAGTGTTCGGGGTCGAGAAACCAGATCGTTCGCTGGATACGGGTGGTCTCATCTCGCTCAGCTCTGACGAGCCAATGGATGACTCGGAGCACCAGCATATCTTCTGCACTAATCGCGTTATCGCGGAGGAACAAAAGGCTTTGTTGGCAGGCCGACTGAAGTCGGTAGACGTCGTCCATTGTCTCCCGGACGGGCAGGAGCGGAGGGAGATAGGTGGGTGGGCGGCGAGGCGCGTTGAGGCGGAGAGGCGGGTACATGTCCTTGATTTCCTCAAGGGCCACCTTCCAGTAGCCGAGTCGGGTGACGACGGAGAAGGCAATTTCTGCGGGGGTAAAGGTAGGCATGGTCTTCTAGTAAGTCACCTTGTGTGAGAAGGGTTGGGATTGTGCGATGGTGATGATGGGCGAACTTACTTGATAGTTGATGGTGAGTGCGGTTATTGTTGAAGAGTTTGTTGCTGTGATGGATGATCGTGGTGATGTTGAGTTGGGCTGACTAGTTGATGCAAAGTGTGATGGAGCAAAGGAGGAGAGCGATCTGATCGGGAAGTTATTCGTCGTTGTCCAAGGAGTCCAAGGAATATTGTTCCACTGTCACTACCTAACGCTGTGCTAGTGCCAGACGAGAGAGGTTCTGGCTATATGACAGTGCCAGCAAGTGAACAGTTTGCTGACCGCGTTAGAACTCCCAGAAAGACCAGTGGGACAGCGAAACACACGAAATGTTCCTTGAGGTGCGATATTCGTAAAAGAGCAGACTTGCTCAAGGGCCACTCACGATTATTCTCCTTGCCAAGTCCTCCTGAACACAGCCATCCGTTGGTTGTATCTATTGTCTGTTCGCATGGTACCAGCATGGAATACTTAAACGATTAAAAATAGAGATTTATGAGAATTACTGTACCTTCTTATTACTTATCCATGGTCTTATCAGTGTTGAGTTCAGAGGCTGTCACTTAAATGGTATAAGTTGCCTACATCGTCGTAGTGTTCCAATGACGGAATGAAGAACTCCTCAACCGTCTCAGCTCAGTCTCACAAGCTCGTGACTCAGACAAATAGACAGATAACACAGCGCTTCGGGGAATTGAACTTGATTTAAAAAACACTCTGGTCCTTTATTGAACGAAGCTGAACAGTATACGTACATTGAAAGAATTGGAACATGTTTAGCCTTTTAGCTCCAAGTGCCTTGTGTATTCATGGAGACTTACGACTCCCAAACTTAGGCAAGATGTTTACTGTCCTCATATGTATCAGGCTAGACTGCCAGCTGAAAGGATTGGCTCGGGCAATGGTAACTAGTTGGCACTATGCTAGCTGAAGCGTGTTTTCGAGTGTGTTATCATGATTTGACAGAGCTGACAACAGGCTTGCTTCAGTTGCCTTTCCCCAAACATTTGACCACAAAATGGGATCCATCGATATTGATAAATTTGCCAAGGCACTGAAAGCCGATTTAGCAAATGCTACTCGTCTGAAGTAGAGTGATCAACCTACGTGCTAGATTGGTTCGCAATCAATATGAATGCAACAAAATATGCGGTTTGCGCCACGCCTCCAAACTAGAAGCTCAATTTGTTCAGACCGGAGAAATTTATGGTGTTTTCCATTTATTTGTATTTGCTACAAAGCGGACTACGTGATGTCGTATTATTTACTTAGCCAGTTTGCACCAGCATTGCAACAGAGCAAATCTAACGAAGAATGCAAGCAGAAGTTGTGATTAGAAATCAGTGTGAATGGAGTCTTATTGAAATCGTATGAATAGGTAGAATACAAACTAGGTCAACCAAGCGGCTTACTTTGAACATAAATACCACTGCGATGCGCCTTGTAGTCCATTTGACCGTTGTACTTTCAGGATTCCCATCCCCTCACTGTATACATCTTGTCGACAAGCATATGTTGACCTAGACATGTCGTCTTGGTACCTTGATACAGTGACAAGTGAGGAGAAGTACACGAAGTATGTGAAAGACGCACAGTCGCTATGGGAGCTACCAATAGCATCTGGAAGTAAATGGGGCGTCGAGCAATTGAAGGCGTGCCACGTTATAGTGAACCCCTATGCCGACGTTTGTTTGCCGCTATCGGACAATTACGATCAGACTGTACGAGAGAAATTCAAACGTGTCAAAGAGACTGCACACATAGCAGCATTCATCGAAGACATGGCCCCAAGTTATCAAACTATGCGGCAGCATGCCCTTGTACAACAGCCAGGAGTGGGTGCAACTTTGGCTAGATACTGGGTAGCGCTGATGGACGTTAAAAAACTCGAGAGCGACATGAAAGAACCACCTACCAACCAGCGGACCTCTGGGCGGGTGAGATCACAGACAGCCCATCCAGGGTACATAGATTCCGGAGGTATCGACTTTCAAATCCTTCCACAGCCTGAGTGTTGAGCATCCCGGCTTTGTTAAAAACCCAAGGTTCTGGACTGCGCATCATCTTGCCGTCGTTAACTGCAACTTCCGGCAGGTCGAAAGTGACGATGCACCCGAATCTGTGGTCGTTGACACCGCACAAGCCGAACAGATGACCAAGTCGGCTTTGAAACTCGCTCGTGAAAAGCTCGCGGATATGAAGCGCTTCTGGGTCGCGGAGCTTCTCCTTGGTAACAAGCCAACCCCCATCACCTTTATCCAGTATGTCAAGCCCTGTTTGAACATAACTGTACAAGCCTCATTAATCTGTGTAGCGAATCGGACTACCGCATCAACTTCGACTATGGCCACTACCGAGTTCCTCTGTGGAATTCCAAGATCCAAATCTACTGCGTCAAAGAGGAGTTACGCATCCCGGACGCCAATCCCATTATCGGGTACTATAGGTACAACGCAGACAAGGAGCGCCAGCAGAAGCTTGAAGTTCCACCTGGCCCAAAAGGCATCACGAATGACCCTTTTCAACGCATCTGCGACATTAGATATCGCCAAGCAACCCCCGCAGATTGGCGACACGACCCATACCTTGTTGGCCTCCTGCTGAGTTTAGCACAACTCCAGGATCGCATGGCCCTCGCCCCTCCCGAGGGAACGTTCCTGGTAACTATCTTTCCGTTCCCATGATACGTAAAAGATTCACTAACCTTTCATTCTCCAGGCACGCCTCCTCGTTACGAATATGACCGATCTGACCAATGCATACGTCTACAAGGCGGATATCCCACACCAGCTTCTCGATAGTCTGGATGTCCCTACCCGCACCATCGAGGACTTTGTCTTTCCGTCGATCGATTACGTGGTGGTGCCATTCGAACCCTACTCGACCTTTGCGGATCGCGTTCGGGTCCAGCTGGCTGGCGCGGAGTACTTTTCACCTCCTGGCCCAGGTCCATCTGATCAGGTGTCGCCTTCGGAACCGCATGGCGAGAAGCGAAAGCGCGACCAGGAGTGAAAGCCCGCAAGGCAACGGCCACAGGTTTCTTGACTGTGGCATACCGATGGTGCAATTGGTCGCAGACAATGAGAAGCACAGTGCAAGACACCGGCTTCTCAAGACTTGGAGTCAGCAGTCCCCAACAATATATTTAGCTTATGTTGATCAAGTTGTGGAGGGGATGATCATCTCAGCAAGTCCAATCACACCTACTCTCGAAGCATATGTAGCTAAATCTTAAGAGTGCGACTGGTATTACGCTTACAATTTGGTAGCTGGACCGGCGTAGGAGAAAAACATCGGTTCAGTATGTGGACAGCCTTACATTTGCGTCTTCAGGGTGAGGGAATCATGGCCGAGCATGATCAGGAATGATTGGTCAGATCTCGAAGCTGTCGTACTACCTCTACTTTGTACCTGATGTTAGTAACAATTGACCTCCGTTTACGATCTGTGCCTGGGAGAGCCTGTCCCTATCGGCAAAGTGACTCCTTTCCAACTCGCTATTCCTCATTTCGAAAGATGCTGCTCCAGCAATCGTAACCTCTGCCATTAGCCGCCCAGGTCATCGTTGATCGTTGCGCGGACCCAGAGTACCAGACTCCGCGTGAAGGTGGTCGAGATGACTGCGAGGCCTTGGAGGCATTGCGGACAAGCAAGGGTACGTAAAGATAAGGCTGATCTTCTTGTATGGGCAGAGCCATTTCAGTTTATGTGTGACAAAGTAACAAACTTTCTCTGCTCCTGCAATCTAGACCTGGATCAGTAACCGGTCGTGGCTCACTTGGAGTTGCCCCGCAACACTGCGTCAAAAGGAATAAGTCATGAACTTGCCGGAGAGCACTTCCCGATGGTCCCGGCAACCACTAAACTATAAATCACAGCCAAAATTGGACTTATTACAGAGTCGAGTAAACGAAAAGAAGCTACAGTGAATAGTGCCAACGACAATGGATAACGTGCTCGCCAAACCTGCAGACCTCTGCTGCCTCAAGGGATCGTTTCATTCCGGGGAGGCTACTGGCTCTACAATCCAGATTGACGGTATCGACACTTACGTGGCCAAGCCTCATCCCAACAGGTCTAATGGAAATGTCCTTCTTTTCTTCCCTGATGCATTCGGTCTGCATATCAATAGCTTCCTCATGATGGATGCTTTCGCCGAGTGCGGTTACCTTACTCTTGGTGTCGATTACTTCCTCGGTGTAAGAGTTGAATTTTAGTTGGCAAGGTGCATTAATTAGACTGACTGTTTTAGGATCCCGTAACAAAGCACTCGCTGACGCCGTTGAGTGATCCAAATTTTGACTTTGAGTCATGGAAGAACAAGCATCTCAAGGCGTCTGAGGAGGCTGCTGCTAGATGGGTCAAGGCCGTGAAAATACAGTACGGCACAGGCAAGGAGGTCAAATTTGCTTGCGTTGGCTACTGGTATGAGTTCATCATCATCTGAGCCTCCATTTGACTGACTCAACATGTACCAGTTGGGGTGCTCGCTTCGTTTGCCAACAGCTGTCTGCAGACGGTATATGCAAAGCCGGCGCCATCGCCCATCCTTCGTTTCTGAAAGAAAGCGATGTCTTTTACGCCCAAGGCGAGTAGATACTCTTTTCCACCGAACACCCGCTAACCGGCATCAGAGCCCATCTTCTTCTCCGTGCCCAGTACAGATAAGCTGTTCGAACCTGAGCAGAGAAGCAGGACTATCGAGATCCTGACAGAGAACAACAAGCAGTTCAACATGCAAGTCTTTGCCAATGTTGGACATGGCTTTGCGGTAAGCCTTTCTAATGCTTCAAAAATCGCCCATACGCTGACATGCTGGCCCAGTCGCGAGCTCGTTTGACTGACCCTTATGAAAAGTGGGCTAAAGAGGCGAGCTTCAAGAGTTTTGTTGACTGGTTCGACTTTTGGATGGAGAATAAGTAATTAGATTACAAGAAGATGATAAAATGAGATTATTGAAGGCGTTTATTAGAGCCAGACACAAGGTAAAGATATCATTTACATCACTGTCATGAGCTTCAACCTTTCTTGCAAGGCATGGGGTTTTCTTGCTTCCCCCATTTTGTGAAACCTCTCCAATCGCAATGTTTTATGACTCCTCTAGTCTTTGCACATATGTTTATAATATGGAACATAAAAATCAAACTCTGATGTGCTTGTGTGCAGTTGAATTAACCACCTGATTGTGACACTGGACGGCGCCGATAATTTTCTAATCTCTGTCCCAATGTCTCATCTTTGAACACCGTACTCTCGCAGAATAAGTATCATACTTTTTCCCACAGCCTACCCTTAGTAAGGTACAGCCTCGCAGTGATGTAGAAGGCCGTTCCAGAAGCAATCATGCAGCCAGCAAAAACTTGTAGCTTCCAATAGCTCCCATCAGCGCTAGAGATCAAAGCCCCCCCAATCGGGCTGCCAGTGAGGGCAGCCACAGACATAAACGCGTACATGGTCCCAGAACGGGTCCCAATCTCTTCGAGGTCCGAAATGTGTGCTATCAAGGCAGGGCTGATGGCGGTGTATGTGCCTGAGCTAAATCCAAAAAGGGCGGCAAAAGCGATAGCTGACTCATGGCTACGCCCTGGTAGCCACAATGCCAGCATAAATATTGTCGAAAGAGTCGCGGCTGCTATTGAGACATTGAAGTTGCCAATCTTATCTGCTATATATCCCGGCAGAATGCGCCCGATTCCACTGTTGCTGTCAGTATCATATCGCTAGATATTTGAAGCCGTTTCCGGATAAGGCTTACCTGGATGCATTGAAGATTGACACAAGGTACCCAGCCATATTATTTGACAGGCCGACATGCTCGCCATAGGTTACCATGAAAGTAATGGGTATAAACATTCCCATAGAGTAGAAGAATCCCGCCAACGAGGTAAGTACAAACGAGAGCGATGTGAACGGCCGGAGATAGGCGATGATGCCCTTCTCCTTTGGCTGAGGCGCAATTCGTGATCGGACGGTTAAATTCGTCACGACAAGGAGAGCAAACAAGAGGAAAGAGCACACTCTCATAGTCCAACCAAAGCCAATACGCGGTATCAAACGATTCACCACGATCGGAAGAATCGTACCGCCGAGGCTTGAGCCGCTGGCAGTGATCCCAAGGGCCAGAGCACGCTTTTGTCGAAACCAGGTTGTGACACAGCTGAATGACGGATACAGAATCATGGCTGCGCCCAGAGGACTACAGATCGCCTGGGATAAGATGAACTGGTAGTACTGGGACGATATGGATGCCATCATCAACCCAAAAACATGGAGCAGTGTCCCAGTGAGGAGAAGGTAGCGCGGACCAAAGATGTCAAAACCTCGACCTATGAAAGGTGCAGTAATAAACATCATAAACATTGACAAGGCCGGTATCCATGAGACTGTGCTGGGTGACAAGTCTTGTAACTGGTTCGCTTCATAGTAGGCCTGGAAGACGCCGACACCTAACCTGGGTGTCAGTGATTTAGAGGCACAGCAAGATAAGGGGGGAATATGCACGTACAATTAGTCCAGCCAAAACTGACAAATAACCCGCAGAAAGCACCGATAACCACGGTCCAGGCTTTCAACCCTCCATCTGGGAAGCCGTTATCAGGCTTGGGTTGCTCGGGGTTCGTGTCTTCAATCTTCGCTTGTTCCGTGTCTGCGTCCATTGCGGGTCTGCCAGTTGTCATATTCGAAAGTCAATTGAAGATATCTTGTTTGGTAAAGATGTAGGTGCAATTTATAGTAGGAGATGAAGATCAAGACGAGTCGCATGAGTCACTGCAAGGTCTGCATAGAGAATATGCCGATATCACCGATACGTGTTAACACCGACCCCGAGGAAAATATTTTATGTCTTGTTTCTAGGGCCTCGGGGCGCAAAAAAACCGTCAGACCTAGGGTATTAAGATAAATTTAATAAAGGGTCCTCTGAGTTTAGGCTAGAATTACCCCGATATTTTTGTCGCTTAGGGTCAAGGTCCGGCTCATGCGAATATCTCCGCTCTATCTTAGCGCCGACCCCGTGATGGCCTCGGTCTCACTCCCAATAGATCTAACTTGTTGACCAGAGAGATTGGAGTGAAAACTCCGCGATCAGATTAATAATTACTTGCTGCACCTTGTCTGGCATATCTAATCTGTGCTTCAACACCACATTTCCCGGTGTACAGTTGCATGGTTATTCTTTGTAGTGGCGTAGGTTAGGCGATGGTGTTTACCGATTGGCGCTCCAGGAGGTTAACTTTATTATTTATTAACTGGCGCTTTTATAGATTCCTAGCTGCAATGTTTCTGCGTGTAGCCTGGCTGAATCATGATACTTTTACGGACAATCTAACCCATATACAGACTGATAGAGAGTTATAGCGCAGAACGGAGGGATTCAACGATCTATTGGTGAATTCTTTACGGACTGGTGTCATCAGCGATCTTCCGGTGTTGACATAGACCCCATCTTCTCCTTTGCGGCCAAGAGTTGAAGTAGTACCAAGTCTCGTTCTTCCACCATCTTATCCCAATTAACATCCCCCAAACTCTTATCCACACTCTCTTGGAGAGCCAACATCCTCTGCTCACTCCAGTCAAATCTATGTTTCAGAATATCATCCTCCCAACTACGAATCGCCGGTCCAAGTCTCTCCATCCGCTGCGAAAACCCTTCCGGTCCGCCTCCGCCGCCAAGAGCGTTCGTAGCGATCGGACCCGTCAGAGCCCAGCGAAGTCCAGGCCCAGATGTGACAGCTGCATCCAGATCTTCCGCAGACACAATGCCCCTGCTGATGAGACTATAAGCTTCATTATTGATTGCGGCTTGAAGGCGGTTTGATACAAAACCAGGGACTTCGTGATGAAGAAGGATCGGCCTCTTCCCAACAGATTTGTAGAACTTCAGTGTGGTACTGACAGACTCGCTGCTTGTGCCGGGATGAGGTACTACTTCAACTAGGGGAATCAGGTGAGGTGGGTTGAAAGGATGTCCTATGAGTACACGGGTGGAATCATGCGTGCACTGCTGTATAAACTCCGACGACGGCAGACCTGATGAGGACGATGCTATTACAACACCCGGCCGAGCATGCTTGTCTAATGTTGCAATAAGGCCCCTTTTGAACTCCAGCCTCTCAGGCCCATTCTGTAAGAGGACAGTTAGCTTCATGGTCAGAGGTATATTGGAAAGGATATTTTTACCTCCTGAATGAAATCGGCCTCAGGTAACCGTGGTACAATGTCGCTAACAAACTCATAGTTGGAGACAAGCTTATCATAATCCCCAAACCCTTCCAGATATGTCCGGGACTGCTCGAAATATGCCTTGAGGGCATTTTCAGCCCCTTCAACTGGATCAGAAATGATAACCTTCAAGCCTCTTGACAGGAACAGAACTGCCCATCCCATGCCAATCACTCCACAGCCAATAATCGCTACGGTACGTATCTCTTGTGCCATTTCGAGTACCCAAGAATTGATAAGGTATTGGGTGATTTCTCACAAAGGGAACAAGATCATTAGAGTTAGGTCGATAACTGATGTGAATAGAATACCTATCAGTTACTTTTCCTCTTTACTCGCCACTTGAAATCGCTTTCCACAATATCCTTAACTCCAATTCGTGTCGGTATCTAGGCCGGGGGAAATCCGCGGAGGCCATGCCGGAATCCAAATTTACGGACCGACCACGGCCGACAAAGGCGATAAACAGCATTTTGGAGCTTGAGTACCCGTGTATACCGGAATTCACCGTCGTGTTATCGATTACTTGAAGTGCAGCTAGTCTGTTGACAATAAGCCGCAGCGATAAACGTGACTGGCCGCCGTACTACTTCGAAGCATAAGCTGAGCCTGACTCATGATCCGCTAGAGATTCACTACCCTAGACTATCCACTTCAATTCACCACAATGACTACCAAGACTTCTAACGAGACCTACGGTGCAGGAACCACTGTCGACGCCGAATTCAGTCCGCTCCCAGCAGAATGCGAGCGGATACTACGCATCTTTGCTGCAAGAACACCCGGTTTCACCAAAGATGAGGCTCTCCTCAGCGGGGTCAACTTCCATGGCGATGATCTGCCCTGTATCCCAGGACCAATCAAGTCTCAAGCCGTCACAGCAGTCCTGCATGCAATGGTCGGTATAGTCGGTCTCGAGATCCTTCACCTTCGCGGGATCACCACCAGCAACCAAATAGACATCGACGTCAACCATGCAGGTCTCTACCCCGCCACCGCAGCACTTGTCAGTATCGATGGCGTCACAGGCCCAGAGGTGATCAAATTGCCGACTGTGCCGCAGTGGGACAAGGACCGTGCTTCCAACTCGCCTCTTGTGTACCGTGCGACAGCTATCTATGAGACTGCTGATAGCGGCGTGTGGTTCCAGCTTCATGGTTCGCTTGATTCGTGGAAGATGCTGGCCCTTCTTGGTATCAGCAAAGATCTCGACAGCGAGATTCGTAGCAACGATGCTGCGTATGAGCTGATTCAGGAGCGAGTTCGTACGTACCGCGCCCGGGAAATCGAGCAGCTCGTGGTGGAGAAGGGTCTCTCGGGGTCAATTGTCTACTCCCCTGAAGAATGGCGTCGAACGGAGATGGGCAGGTCTCTCTCGCGACATCCTCTGGTCAATTACAAACAACAAGTTCATTGTATCCCCCTCCCGCCTGTTTCGTTTCCAGTCCTCGACGACAAAAGACCACTTGCTGGTATTAAAGTCGTCGAGTTGACTCGTATCATAGCTGGTGCAGCTGCTGGTGCCGCCCTCGCATCTCTGGGCGCCGAGGTCATACGTGTCAACTCGTCCAAGCTCAAGGATTACACGCCAGCTCAACCCTCTGCCCTTATGGCTGGCAAGATAACCATCGACCTAGATCTCGAAGACCCAGCCGACCACAAGAGGTTGATGCAACTCTTTGAGCAAGCCGATGTCATCTTGCAGGGCTACCGCCTGGGATCACTAGCCCGAAGAGGTTTCGGTCTGGAGGCTGCCCTTGAACTGGCAAACAAGCGAGGCAAGGGAGTCATCTATGTAGATGAGAACTGTTATGGACCTGATGGTTACTATGCTGAGCGACCCGGGTGGCAGCAGGTCGCAGATGCCGCGGCGGGGAGCTCGTATGTCATGGGCCAATCGTTCGGCTGTCCAAAAGGCCAAGGTGTCCTACCCAGTCTGCCCATCTCAGACATGTCTACAGGTATCCTAACTGCCCTGACCATCATGTGTGGCATCCGAGATCGAGCCAAGTTTGGTGGATCATACCATGGCCATGCCTCGCTTACAGCTTATAATATGGCGACTCTCGATCCCGAGGTTCGCCTGTATCGAAGGGAGGTGGTCCAGAAGATCAGTGACAGGTACCAGTTCCCAACTTGGTCGAGTGATGTTCACGTGGCACCCCTTTACTATTCCATCTTGGATGCTTGGGGGACGAACAGCGAGCTCATCAAGGATGAAAAGTACTATATTCACTTCCCAGACTCCGTCTTTGGGTCTGACCTACGCGTTCTTGGGCCGGTCGTACAGTACGATAAGGAGGAGTACTCGCCGAAGTGGAACAGTCCGCCAGTGCCGTTCTGCCATCATGAATTCAGACTGTTTTCAGATGAATGAGAGGAGCCTCTAGCATAGCAAGATGAAATAAAAAGTCTATTCTTACTCTATTACCCGTCAAGACTTTGGTGATATGTATCCTGTCCATGACATAAACTGTCAGAGCTGCTTGCTGAGACTGTCAATAGAAGTACACTGACCAAGTCGCTTTGACGTACACGTATACAAGACATAACTATCCGTACAGCTGCTCACTTTGGAGCAGGCATCTCCCTTGGCAGTACACCAGAATAGTCTTAGGTCTCCCAAGGTGTTGAAACTTTTATGTTAGGCCAGTTTATGTTTTATATTTGCATCTGAAGAGAATTGCGATTGAACGGCATGTTTTATTGATTGATCTAAAGCATAAAAGGCTCAATTGTCTGGTTCCAGCAAGTATTATTCCTCACTAAAACTTCAGACATCATATCCTAGCAACAGAAGGTCCGCCTACACTAATTTGCTTCTGCATCCTCTTTACAGCCTCCTGTGCATCATCATTCATGTCATGGAACCACAACTAGTTGAACCTTCCCTGCTGAAGCTTGGGTAGAATCTTATCCATATCATCACCAGCCTCTTGATGTTGAAAGAAGATCATACGGCCAACCTCGGCGGCTTGTTCTAGCCGCTTCTGCGCACAAGGACGCCTGACGGAGTCGTAAGCAGAAAGTCCTGCTTGGATAAAGGGCGCGAGCTCTCCACCACGCTGAGGAAACTTAGCAGTCTCGGCGAGAACGTTCGATAGGACTAGGGCATCTTCTAGGCCTTGGGCTGCTCCCGCGGCTTGGAAAGGTAGCGAGGCGTGGGCACTGTCACCGACTAGAGTTACCCGACCACGGTAGTATGATGCTGTGCGGAAATGATGGAAGAAACCCTATTTGATGGGCTTGGCTTTGGCGAGGGGTTGTCGGAAGCGATCATCAACGCCTGGGCCCTTAAAGTCGGCCATCATGGCTTCGTGAGAGATGGTCTCCGTAACAGCGCCCTTGACCTTCCAGCCGTCCAGGGAATCGGCTACGCAAAGGAGATAGTTGAACTCCTGGAGCAAGCAATGATTAGCGATGTCACACCAAGTCAAGGGATAATAAGCTCACTTCACCACCTGTAATGCGATAGGTAATAGCGCTGCGCTTGGATCCGAAGTAGAAGTTGGCAACGTCGGTAAGATCACCAAGAATCTCATACGCTTCTGATATTGGAATGACAGCGCGATAGCAGTAAGCACCCGCATACACGGACGTGATCTGGCTGGGGTATTTCTCAAGGACATGCGCCCTCACCGCACTCTTGATGCCATCTGCACCAGCAAGCACCGAGCACTCAGCTGTTGTCCCATTTTAGAACGATAGCGTGACACCGTTGGGCCGGTCTTCGATCTTGGTGAGACGCTTATTCAACTTGACGTTCTCGATGGGAATGAAGCTGGTCATGATGTCGAGGAGGGTCTTGCGATGCGCCTGAGATATGTTGTTAGAACCAAGTTGCTTGTCGTCCCTCCAGATGTACTCACAGACTTGCGGATGTAATTCGGGTGGCCCCATCCGGAATGACCATACCATGGTTTATCGCGACCTGATTCAGTCAGCGCAAAAGGTTCAGCTTCACAAGAGATTCTATGACTTACCAAGACCCTCTTCAAGCGGCATACCCTCAAAGAAGATATCTTGTGCGTCCTCACCCTTGTTTCCTACGCAAATAGCTTCGTAGAGAGGTCAGAAACCAGGTTCAATAAGATCCATCGTGCGCATGCCATTCGGGGCGAATCCAATACCGGCGTCGGCGTATTGTTAGCGATAATACAATGAAACGTGCTGCTGATAACTTACCCTACTGCCGGATATTCCTTTGCATCTTCATATAACGTGAAGGAGATGCCCTTCTTGTGCAGGGCCATGGCCAAAGCGAGGCCACCGATGCCGGCACCTGTCGAGTTAGCCTATCTAACAGGTGGTATGGGATATTCTCTGGAGACTTACCAACGATGGCGACATGTAGTTCATTGCGAGAAGGCTTTGCCATTGTATTTTAACTTTGATCGAATCGTGAGTTAAACGACTGTATTTGTGTGGCGTTGTGATGTCTTCTTGTCTTGAACAACAACAACTTTCCAGTGGTTCAGCGAACTAGTATATGAGTATCGTCATCTGCGTCCTGAGTCCCTAACCAAGCAAGAGAGAGGTCTCGTAGGGCAATTGAGCGCGGGGTAAGATCGGCATCGGCTCTCGGTGCTTTTGTATAGAATCAGCTGTTAAAGATAGAGACGTGGCCAGAGTTGGGGTGAGGAGTGTGAACAAAGGCATCTTCGTGTCTCTCCCCGGACGTCGCGTCCTATCTATGCGTGACTTGGTTCTGTGAGACAGTGCAAATAAGCATATCGTGCACTGCCAAGGTCTAGACAAGGCATATTGGTACGTTTCGGCCGAGCTGGTCCTATTCCGCTATCTCCGCGGGTCACACCAAGACCTTCGCCTGCATCTACAGACTGGGCCACCGAGACGTGGTAAGTAAAAGGGCCGACATGTAAACACATTGGCATTTCCAGAACTAAGAGGAACAATTGCGATCGCTTCAGGATGGCTACAAGCAAGTATACAATCAAGGTGCACAAACCCTGGACAGAAATCGTTACAAAGAAACGGGCGATTCGAGACGCGCAAATTGACAAACACTTGAAAGTAGACATAAACTTTCAATTTGATAGCATCTCCCTCGAAACAGTTGATGTTGAGGGTTTGACAGGCCTCCTCAGAGAGGGAAAAGTCTCCGCTGTTCAAGTCATCTATGCTTTCATCAGAAGGGAAGTCGACATCACTGTTCCAAACTTGTCAATGCTAACTGTTATTTTAGAGCCTGCGAAGCGCAAAAACAGGTAACCCGATTGCAAGGACTCTGCCAAGACTCTGTCTAACATCTACAGACCAATTGCCTGACGGAAATATGCTTTGATGATGCTCTTCAGCAAGCCAGAAAGCTTGACGGGTTTCGACAAGAGCACGGTCAACTTATAGGCCCACTCCACGGCGTGCCAGTCACAGTAAAGGATCAGTTTAATATCAGGGGTTTGGACTCGACGTTGGGCTACGTTGCAAAGGCATTTGCACCAGCCGAGAACGATGCACCACTTATAGAAACGTTAAAGAAACTTGGGGCTGTCATAATTGCGAAAACTAATCTTCCCCAGAGCATTATGGTACGTGATGTGCGACTGTATAGAACCTCCCTTCTGACGTGGCTGCTAGTGGTGTGAGACTGACAACCCTCTCTGGGGGCTGACGACTCATCCAGATGATCCAAAGCTCACTCCTGGAGGCTCCTCCGGTGGAGAGGCGGCTATGTTATCAATGGGTGCTTCCATTATTGGTTGGGGCAAAGACATTGGTGGCTCTATACGAATTCCGTGCCACATGAATGGTCTTTGGGGTCTGAAGCCGAGTGTAAGTAGGCTTGAATCATCTCACCCCCAACACACATTCTGACAAACCTCAGAGTGGCCGGATGTCCTATCGTGGCGTTGAAGTGACACTTGACGGGTAACAGCACATCCCATCAGCTGTAGGGCCCATGGCGAGATCTCTGAGTTGTCTCAAACTCGTAACTAAGCTAGCTATTGAGGCTGAGCCTTGAGCGATAGACCCCCAGCTACCGCCGGTCCCATGGAGAGACAGTATCTTCCAGACCATGGCCACGAGACCGCTTGTCATTGGGGCCATGCTAGATGACGGCATTGTCAAGGTTCACCCACCTATCGAGCGGGTATTCAGAGACCTGATCACAAAGTTGGAAGCTGCTGGTCACGATGTTGTACAATGGGATTCGAGCTTGAATTCCAGCATTATAGATATCATGGTAAGTCAAGTTATTCTGCACCGAGCAACTGTGACTGACTCCGGACAGGATGGTTACTATTCCGCCGACGGAGGTGAAGATGTCAGAAGAGCTGTCTCAGCAGGCGGTGAGCCATTCATTCCACAGATCGAAGCCTTCGTCAACCGTGGCACACCAATCTCCGTCTTTGAGTATTGGCAACTCAACAAGCGTAAGATTGCTATCCAAGAGGCCTACCACGATATGTGGGAAGCTAAGAAGTCACCTTCTGGCCGCTCTGTCGATATATTGCTGGTTCCCACCATGCCTCATACAGCAGTACCTCACGGGTCTTGTCGCTGGACAGGCTATACCAAGATTTTCAACTTGCTCGACTACACGGCCTTGACGTTCCCAGCGGGAAAGGCGTCCAGGAACGAAAATGATGGGGGCTTCTGGGAGCATGTTCCGCGGAATAAGATCGATGCTTGGAACCAGCAATTATATGATCCTGTGGCGATGGAGGGGCGTCATGTAGGCTTGCAGATTGTTGGGCGGAGGTTCGAAGAAGAGAAGGTGCTCGGGGCGGCTCAGCAGATTTACAGGTTACTATAGAGAATAGGATATCTGCTATTTAAATTACATATCATATGCATCTGCTATCTTGGAGTGAGCTCTTCTACGAGCTTCTATCATGAGAACATGTAGCCGTTCATCTGTTTTCTAAGCCGATGGGCTCTACATAGTCTGCCATAGAACGTCCCCATACCCTCCATGGCTTGCCTACACTCAGGTCAACTCAGGTAATGGCCCTTGACATGGCTGAACATGCATGTTAAAAAAAAGGCTGAATATTACTAATTTGATTCAAACATGTTCCCCTTCAGTACAACTCAACCACGTTTCCCATTTAGAACAGGCCGCTTTGTTTGAAGATCAATACTTCTTCTCCTGATCTTCTCAGCATCTCCAAAAACACTCTTAACTAATTCCTTCTTGTTAATCTTCCCCATAGCATTCCGTGGCAAGACCTCAACAATCACCATGTCTTGCGGGATCTTATACGCTGTGATCCTTGCCTTCAACGCACTCCTCAAACTCTGCAGGGTGATCGATCCACCATCCTTGCTGCTGAGGACAATCACAGCTGCGACTTTCTGTCCCCATGCCTCGGAGGGTAGACCAACGACGGCGCACTCGTCAACTTCAGGAAGGGCGAGGATCTCGCGCTCGACCTCGAGGGCTGAAACCTTCTCGCCGCCCGTCTTGATAATATCTGCACTGCGGCGGCCTTGGATGAAGTATGCTGGTCCTTTTGCCCAGGAACCTGATTTTCCAAGACCAGATTCTGGAACCTTTCGTCGAATGGCAATATCGCCAGTTTTGAACCATCCATCGGTAGTAAACTCCTTGGCAGTGGCCTCGGGGTTGCGCCAATATCCAGTGAACACAGTGGGCCCACGAAGCTGAATCTCTCCGATGCGCTCCTTTCCAGAGTGAGCGTCGATCTCAGCGCCGTGCTCAATGATTCTTTGAACTCCGGTCTCGTCGTCAGTTTCCATGAGGCGCGCCTCAACGGATGGCAGTGGCCAGCCCACAGAACCATCAACGCGATCGGCATTCTCAAGACCACAAGAAAGCGCCATCCCGACTTCGGTCATTCCATAGCGCTCGAGAAGTACGTTTCCGCCCGTGAGCTGCATCCAACCATCGCGGATTGGCTTCGGGAGAGCTGCTGAGCCGGAGATGTTGAGCCGGAGGTTCTTTGGTGACACAGCTGTTTTACCGGCCTCTTGCATGTCGTGTGATAGAGATTCGTGGGCTTTCAGCATTCGCGACCAGATCGTGGGGACAGCGGTGAAGAAAGTGATGGGCACTTTTGTCTCATCTTTCTGAGCACCAGTGGTCTCTCCAGCGTGGCCGTTGACTTTTTCAGCTGCTAGAAATGGTGCAGCAAGCCTCGTCCAGACAAAGTTCACGTTGAACGGATACATGAACTCAATGCTACTACCTGCCAGCAGCGGTGTGAGAAGAGCGTTGACGGTGCCATGAATGTGATGAAGTGGCAAGACATGTAAGAGTCTATCGCTGGGCGCATACTTCCATGCTTCCAGAAGACACTTTGCTTGAGCTGTGAGGTTTGTCTGAGACAGAACGACACCTTTGGGTCGTGCAGTAGTTCCCGAGGTGAAGAGCATCATGCCACCGCGAGGCTCATCCGAGAAGTCAAGCAACTTGACTTCTTCCTCAACCGTCGAGATGTTTCGCGTTCCATCGCGTTGGTAGAATAAGGGGGTGCTGTCCAAGCCTTCCGCCAGTACCTCCTCGGCCTTGGAAACATACTTGGCAGAAGAGATGAGAGCAAGGGCCTCGCTGTTGTTGATGATGTATCTTAGTTCAGGCGCAGGGAAAGAGGGGGCCAATGGCACAGCAATGGCGTTGCAGGCGAGGATGGCCAACAATGTGACTATAGTAATATTAGTGCTTGATATATGATACGTGGTGGCGTGGTCAAGAGTATAGAACATACCAACATATTCATAGCCACTTTCCACCAAAAAAGCAATTCTCTCGCCAGAAATACTAGTGTCGCATTTCCCCGTCTCAGTGAGCAACTGCTCTTTGGCACGCGCAACGCTGTTAAGCAATGAACTGTAGGAGAAGCTTGCACCAGATTCGTTCTCCACTACCGCGACCGAGGATCTTTCATGCTTGAGGATAGCCTCGAAGAAGGCCGAACGATGGAGACTGATGGTCATTTTGGACAGATTAGATAAGATGAGGATATCTTGTTGACATGCTGCGGGAGAGACTCTGCGAAGTCTTTTGAATTCTGTCAACTCGAGGCTAAGAGGCTCTGCCCAAATGTTGAGGAGCTCTATCGGGGAATCGGCGGGGACCGAGCGGGTCGCTTCGTAAAATGCCAGCTTGTGATTCCTCCGACGTGGAATTAGCTAACGCGGGAGATCGGAAATGCAAGATCGGCCTCCAAAAGTAGTTCCGAGAGACCCGGCATCTGATCCGGTTACGAACAAAGCGAGGGTATTAACTGGTCAATTTGTTGTTCAAAGGAAAAGTGAAGCCCCAACAATAATTAGATAGCTGAAGTTACAGTCCGTAATCGTGCTTGCAATTTTATCCTTGTGCCATTGCCTTGCATTTTGATCACCATGGTTGGCAACTACATCCGAGAGAGCTACATCTTGGATGCAGGGTCGTTGGGACATATCCAAGGCCTAACCATCACATCCCATGGCTCTCCAGCCGTGCACTACTTTGGCGGTCTCCCATATGCTTTGCCCCCGACTGGGCAGTGGCGCTTCCGTGTCCCCCGGCGGCTCCCCAAGGGTTACCGATACGGCACAGCAACAGAGCCAGGCAGGTTCGCAGATGGCACCAAGGTTTGCCCCCAACCTCCCAGCAGCAACACGCCCGACCCGTCAGTCACCAGCGAAGATTGCCTCCAACTAAACATCTGGGTACCTGCTGGTCCTCCTCCCAAACATGGATGGCCCGTATGTTTCTATATCCATGGGGGTTTTCTTCAGGTCGGTACGAGCAACACAAAGCCAGAAGACTTGGTGTCGCTTCTGAGCGAATCTGCATTCCGGGCAATCATGGTCCTGCCATCGTATAGGCTCAATGTGTTTGGATTCCTTGCGAGCAGGGAATTGGCCGCCGAAGCGAGCTCTAATGGAGAGGCTACCGGAAACTACGGTCTATGGGATCAGAGATTGGCATTAGAATGGACGCACGAGAACATATCCATATTTGGCGGTGATCCAGAAAATATCACAGTTGCAGGTTACTCCGCTGGCGCATACTCGACTTTTCAGCAACTGGCTCATGAGCTATTCCGCGTTCCTGAGGAAGAGGGAATCATAAGAAGAGTGGCAATGTTCTCCAACAGCACAGGCGTTGGGCCCAAAAGTTTGCAGGATCAACAACTGCAATATGACGAGCTACTTACGAGGCTTGGCATCAATCTGGCTCTTTCAGATGAGGAGAAATTGACCAGTCTCCGAGCCGTTCCCCATCATAGACTCGTCCAAGCCCAAATAGGAATGAGAATATCAGAATTTCGCGTCTTAGCAGATGATACTTTCTATCCTGTTGACCTGATGGATAAGATCAACGATGGGGAATTCGCCAAAAGAATGAAGAACCGCGGAATAAGACTGATCAACGGTGAGTGCGAGAGTGAGCACATCATGTATCGTCGCTGGCGCACTCCTCAAGAGTCTTATTCCGCCGTGTATGAAAGACTCTTAGCAGATTTCTCCCCAGAAGTAACCCAAAAGATCATGGACCATTACTGTGGCTCCTCGAAGAACTTGCCAGCTGGGTACAACAATTGGGAGGACTTCTTCGGGCGCACCTACGCCAATATCCAAGTCCACCATCTCCAGCGCGGCTTCCATAACGCCTTGTTCGCAGGTGGTCTTGAAGCCGGCAGAGATGTTTTCCGCTATCGATTTGAGAGAAGACTTGACTGCGTAGCAGAGAAGATTCCAGCTGAGTGGGGAGTTACACATCTCACTGACATCCCTGTCTGGTTATGGGGGTGCGGGTACACAAATGGCCTGAGCATCAGAGAGAAAGAGTGGTTGAAGGATTGGAATGAAGGTTTTGCTGCTTTCGTTAGGGGCGATGAAGTCAGTTGGGGAACTGCTAGATCCCAAGATATGAGGAGATGGAGAAGTGATGGTGAAACAGATGTTTGGGAAGACAGTTTATGGGAACAAGGTGTTGAATTTTGGAAGCTTGTTAATTCGGACCCCCAGAGTAGCGAAGGGTGAGTCATTAAAAACACGGTAGTATCTCTGAGAACTTCCCGGGACTATCACACATAGAAGAGGCTCCTAGTATATTTAGATCCATCTTTTTAATGAACTCCGGTGATTGTTGTTTCTCAATAGGCCATAGGTGCGATGCTCGATCTAGAGATAAGCCCACTACCCTACATACCTGGATTTGAATCCTTGATATAGTGATTGGTCACGAACCAAAGTTTGAATCCTAAATATGGACCCGCACTCATATCCAGATCTTATACTTGATAAAGAAGGTTTGATTTAATGCAAATGTATCGCTGCCTCCCTATCGCACAGAGGAGTCATATTCCTTTTGATGTTATCTACTTAAAAGTGACCCTGGCTACCCTAGCAAGGGGAAAAAGAAAACTTAGAGCCTCAATCCTAATAAATATAAAGACTTAGGTAACTTAGTATAAGTTAGGATACCTTTACTTAGTTTGTTCTAATATCAAGGCCTGATATTCTCTTGCTTCTCAAGGTCCGGTCGTGGGTCTAGTACACATACCTTACCCTAGATCAACCATCTTACCGCGGGGTCTTGGGCCCAAACTCCCCTAGACGCGATAACGTATCACTGATAACGTTGGGTCATGGGCCGAGATACCCCGCTAGTTCCCCCCCGACCTTTCTATAACACTGTTCAAGTTCGCTCGCTTCCCCGACGAACCCGGCATCGCCGGCATCTCTTCCCTTTCCCATCTCCCAACCCCACATTTTTGTAATTCTCGTGTTAGCTCGTGATGCCAGAACCGTCCAGGAAACCGTCAGACCAGGAGCAGGATCAATCAGAGACGGGTCCACCAACAAGCAAGAGAAGACGTATTGGTTTGGCATGCAATGCCTGTCGGTCACGCAAGTCGAGGTACATCATCCAGAGTGTTCTACTTTCCGGAAAAATAACTGACATTATTGTAGATGCGATGGACAGCGCCCGTCGTGTTCCTCGTGCCTGACCCTTGGCTTTGACTGCTTGTACGAGCCTGGTGACTCTGCCACGAATGTCATTGTTCGCAAAGATTATGTATCCGACCTCGAACAGCGCGTCAGCTCTGTCGAGCATAACCTCCAGCGGTTGAACGATGTCCTCAAGGGTCATCTCTCGCCCTGCATCAACACGAATACCTCACCATGCCGCCATGGAAGCATCAACGCTGGCCACTCTATGCCTTCACCTGCGCCCACTGCGCCGACGAAAGCGTCTGCCCCTTCTGGAGCAGGTACGGGGACGTGTGCTACGAGCCTGGAAGAGCCTCAGGACGAGGAAGGCATCCCCAATGGAATGGCCATGACGTTTGTCGAGGAAAAGACATCGGCGTTTTATGGCGAAGCCTCCAACATTAACTTTACGCAACTGCTTCTTCGCGCCATCGCGGTTGCGCATCACTCACCGGGCGCGCCGTCCGGGCTCGACAGAGCTTCTGTATTAGGAGAGAGTGTTGTTGCCAGTGTCTCCCAAACCAAAGGCTCTCTGGGAGGCTCAGCGACACCGCTAGACTCATTACCCACCGCCCTGCCATCTGTCGAGGAGATGGACACTCTGCTTGATCTATACTTCGATACAGCTGGTGTTGTTTTCCCGTTCATCCACGAGGAAACAATGCGGAAGACATACAATGAATGCAGGCTCAACGGCTTCACCCGAGCGCGCAGAACGTGGCTTGGAACTCTGAACATGGTATTCGCTATGGCGAGTAATTTTGACAGGGACTACACCACATCATCCAAGAAGCGCTTCGAAAGGTCCAACGTTTTCTATAAAAGAGCCCTGGGCCTCTGCAATGAGCTATCGAAGCGTGTCATAAGTTTGGAGATCGTTCATTACCTGATCTTGGTCGTTCTTCACTGCCAGGGAACTTCGCGCTCCGTGCAGGCCTGGAACAACTACGGCCTTGTCATTCGATCGGCTATGGCGCTAGGACTTCACAGCGAGTCGACTAAGAGGTCACTTGATCCTGTACAGAAAGAGTATCGTCGTCGGACTTGGGTGGTCATATACTGCCTTGACAAAGTACTAAGCACGGCTGTGGGTAGACCCGCGAGCATACCAGATGAGCAGATGACGAGGCGGGAGCTAGCATCTGGATGGTCACCGGCGAATTCTGGCGATGTCTCCGACCTACCTGGCGATTTCTTGGCCGTGTCGTTCAAGATGTATCAGGTGACGAGCAAGTCTCTCGCCATCCAATACGGCGCAAATCTCGATCATGACTCGGACCCTGATGATGAGATGGCCCATCTTAAAGCCTCAGGCGAGCTCCGCAAGCAACTCCGGCTCTGGGCGGCGAATCTTCCTCCCCATCTTCAACTTTGCGATATCGAGTCGGATGCTCTTTTGCAAAACACAAAAGCGAATAGACTTCGTGTTATTCTCACGATGAGATATCATAATCTGAGTATCCTCATTCATAAACCGCTGCTCAGTGCTACTATTCGACACCTCTTCCGGCATGATGATACATCGGATTCGAGTTCATCGTACTTGATACAGCTTGCCATGGCCGAAGCTCATGAATGTGTTCGGTCGGCACAACTTACAATCGATATTGTTCACTCCGTCATCAGTGTAGATTCCACGAGTAAGAATAATCTTGGCGTATGGTACTTTACTCTGTACTATGGTAAGTTCACCTTCGAGTGAGTACTCAGATGGCATGCTGATTACTTCGTCTAGTCTTCACTGCCTCACTGGTCATCTGTGGGCGATTACTTTGGGCACAGCATGGAGACGCTGTAGTAGACGAAGCATCCGTCAGTCACATGAAGTTCCTCCTCAGCAAAGCAGAAACCATATTTCTCAACTTGGATCACGAGAATAGTCTTGTGCTGAGCTGTTTTGAGTATATCCGAAGACTCTCGCGAATGTGCGGTGTCAAAGGTTTGTCATCGACACTCTTCCTTTCTGATCGTTTTACTGACGAGTCTTAAGAAACTGGCCCGGATGCTGCATCAGCTTCAGTTCATGACAATGGGTCGAGCTCTACTGGCTCTGCGGACGCTATGTCTTTCAATCTCGATAACATGGATCCTTTTCAGCTTTTTGCGTCGGAAATGTTTGACCCGGCTATTTTTGACCATTTTCATCAGTCGCCTGTTGATGGTATGAGTTTTGTAAATGGGTTGTGGGAGGGGTTTCCTTGTGGAGGATAGGGGGGTTGGCTAGTGTAAGGATGTAGCAGGTTTACACAGCTTATTATGATATATTGAATTAAGTTGATGATAGCATGGTAGTGCTGGGGCGACTTGACTTGAATGACGGCGAAGTCACCTCGAAAACTCCGTTGAGCCTTTCCCGCTAGCACTGCCTGTAAAATATTAATTAGCGAAGACCCTGATTGTTTAAACTCAGATTCCGTTAGAAAAATCCCAAGATCTATCTGCTACTGATGAGCAAAAGCTTGGCGTGTTGCCTTCGCCGACAGTCCGACACTGCGTCAGTTCGGTGTAGTTCGGTGTAACATCGTCTCTGCCGGAATGGGCCGTGGGCCGGTCTAACTCCCCGACGTACCCCGCTTTACCACGAATCGTGCAGTCATTGCGGACTTGACTAGTCTTAGCTGATGATAACTAATTGCTATCTACCGGGTCGTAAGTGCGGAGCTTCGGTCCGATTATCAGATAGCATCTTGTATAATAATTCAATGTTGTTATACAAGAGTTGGACACATTGGATTATTTCAACTAACCAACTGTTATCTCGTCATTTAACATAACGCGTCAAGTCAGGATAATCCCCGCTTATTCCCCCATCCCCAATACCATGGCGCGCCTCGAGGATCCAACTGCCCTCACTCAGCTCCCTGAGGAGTCTGCCCGAGTGCGATATACTCCTTCGGAGCTGCAAGATTACTTCAAAACCCTCAAATTTCCTCAAAGGTTTCTAGACCTTGGCAACAGCGTGTTGAAAGACCCCTCGCTTGCCCGCACAAAAGAGCATGGCCTCCCTCTATTGCAGGCCATAACACGCTATCACACATGCAACGTCCCTTTTGAGAATCTCGTCCTTCACTATGATCCCCACAAGATCGTCACTCTGGACCCTGCAGAGCTATATACCAAGATCGTGACACGACGTCGAGGAGGGCGATGTATGGAGAATAACATCTTTCTCGGCACTGCTCTTCGCTCCCTTGGCTACGAAGTGCGTAACTGCGGTGGTCGTGTATCACGCGCCATGAGCCCCTACCCCGAGGTTCGCAAGAACCAAAGCGCAACTTACGATGGATGGAATCATATGCTTCTTCTCGTGTTCCTGGGTGACGAATGGTACGGCGTCGATGTAGGAATGGGGTCCATGGGACCTAATCTCCCTGTCCCGCTACGAGACGGCTTCGAGAGTCTTAGCATTGCACCGCGCGAGATCCGCATTCAGAAACGCTCCATCTCAGAGACATATGCTACGGATCCTTCTCATGGCACACAAATGTGGTGCTACGACGTCTGCTATAACCCAGCAGAGAGTGAAAAAACATGGACGCCTGTGTATTGCTTCACTGAGACAGAATTCCTCCCCCAGGACTATGAGGTCATGTCTTGGTTCACATCGACGAACCCGAGATCCTTCTTCACCAGGTACATCACTTGCACCAAGATGATTATGGATGAGGACAAGGAGGTGATTATTGGAAATCTCACCCTGTTCAAAGACACTGTTAGAGAGACCATTGGTAGTGACCGTAAGGTTGTCAAGAAATTTGAGACGGAAGAAGAGCGTATCCAGGGTTTGGTGGAGATTTTTGATGTCAACTTGACGGAGGAGGAGAAGAACAGTCTTCCTGAAGAGAAGAGACTTCGGTAGGGTACGGGATAAGATGGGTATGCTTATTTGGATCCTGGTACCATTTAGGGTTGGGTCTCATGACTATTCCAGAGTTTATGTGCACGTTTTACACCTCTCAAGTAATTGACATTCTTCGTGAGTTTATTCAAATAAGAATCGTGCTGTGAACAAGATGCTTATGACTTCCTGCCACCCCGTCGGCATGAAGATATTCGATAGTAATTATACACTTGCTTTACATTTTTGGAATCTCCAACTTCTGTTTCACTCATCTCAGATTATTCAGACGTTAGAGAGTAACTCCATATCTGATACCTGAATAACTCCAGCATCGTTGCTATCGCCAGCAGATGAGACGACGTGTAGTCAGATGCCATTATCCGACGTGTCCGTTACTTCCCGGTATCTAACCAAGAGATACCGGAGGTTTGACATCGGGCCCGTGAACCCGATACAGACCCTCTGAACTGCCGATTGAGATGTACAAGGGCATACCTAAGTAGCTTACTTACCCCGCACTAGATAAACCAACGCTAGCAAGACCCTGGCATGGTAAAGATGAATGTATGGCGATTTCGGGTTCTTACCCGGATAATAAGCCATCGACTTGACCACTGGAATAAGTAAAGAGAACAATGCTTGATGAAAGTTGAGATCATTCAGGCTCGGAAACACACTGCCACCTTGTACAAGCACCCTTTCAAATATACCGAAATTTTATTGCTGTTGAAAAGCAAACATGACTCCCTGCCCATTACCCCCACCAGTTGATATACCCAACTCCCCAAACACCGTTGAAGTCTACATCATCGACACAACGAGCTTCATGAGCGGGTTCCCCGCCTCAACCTTTGTTGAACCCCTCGTACCGGGTTTTGACACTATCAACGTTGGATCATACTCCTTCCTGATCAAACACCCTGGTCCCAACACGAAATATGATACCATGGTGTTTGACCTCGGAGTGCGGAAGGATTGGGAGATTCTCCCAGAGACGTTTGTCGCTGGTATTAAGGGAAGTGGGTGTAAGATTGAGGTGCGAACAGACGTTGGCTCGATCTTTCGAGAGAATGGACAGAGCCTAGATGACGTCGGGGCTATTATCTGGCCGCATTGGCATTTTGATCATGCTGGGGATCCACAGACCTTCCCTTGTAAAACGGACCTAATTATTGGTCCAGGGTTCAAGAGCAATATGATACCTGCCTATCCCACTGTCAGGGACTCGCATGTCAATGAAACAGCTTGGGAGGGTCGTGACTTAGTAGAGATTGACTTTAAAGGAGAAAAGTCTTTGTAAATTGGCAAATTTGAGGCCTATGACTTTTATGGCGATGGAACCTTTTATCTCTTGAGTTTGCCAGGCCACGCGGTCGGGCATATGTCTGCTCTAGCTTGCATAACTGCCAATCCCCCTTCCTCTATGCTTCTTAGTGGCGACATTGCGCATCACTGTGGCGAGTTCAGACCATCACTATACACGCCCCTCCCCAAGATGATTTCTCCAAACCCCCTCGGCCGGACCCTCTCGGCTTATCTCAGGAAACACTTCCACAACATTCATCCTTAGAAAGACCCACAGAGACCATTCTTTAACCCGACAACTAAGCCGGGATAGCATCTTAAAGCTGCAGGGGCAAAGGAGAGTATCAACAAGTTAATTGAGGCAGATGCTTATGACAATATCTTTCCTGTTATGGCTCATGATATAACACTGGGTAACACGGTGGAGTTATATCCCAAGAAGGCTAATGACTGGATAGGGAGAGGTTAGAAGGAGGAGACGCGGTGGGGATTTTATGGAGAGTTTACACCAATGGACGAGATGGATGGTAAAAGACAGCATGCACAGATTACAGGGCCTCATGAGATTCACGGGTCGACGGAGGCTAGTTCTAAGATCATGTCGATTGCGCATCTTAAGTACAAGGAAGGGGAGAAAAAAGCAGAACTTCATGGTCTACCGTTGTGATGAAAGCCAATTACGTTCAATTTCAAATGCTTGTCCTAAAGCGTAGATGTGAATGTTGTGCGAAGGACTGTTGGGCATGGCGCAAGTCTAGACGCGACGATCCACCGATATCTGAGTTAGTGATGATCATGGTAACTGTGATTCGTAGTACTAGTACTCTTCTCAATTATGCGATGCGTATTTGTTCAAGCCAGAAGAGCATGTGGTCTATTCTGAATCTTTGATAATACGTGATAATAAGCCTGCTATCTATTTACCGATGTTCCTCATCGCGGCTTCATTATACCTATCTCCCTGCGGCTTCAGGGCATCAACGAGCTTCCTCATATCCTTGACCTCCTCGTCCGTGAGCTCTATATCTCTCGACGAAAAGTTCTCTACCAAACGCTCCGGCTTCGTCGTGCCCGGGATCGAAATCATGCCCTGCGCGGCTACCCAGGCAAGGGCAACCTGAGGCAGAGTACACTTCTTGCGCTTGGCTAGCTCCCGAAAGCCATCGGCGATTCTCTTGTTGGCATAAAAGTTCTCGCCTTGCCACTTGGGAACTGTAGGATCTGTGAGCAGGTGTTGGCGCATGGGGAGTCGGAGGACTTACTCTGACGTCTGTAGTCTTCGGGGGCAAAGTCATCGGGCGTCTGGTAGGGAAAGTCTTCTACGAGCCATCCGTGGCCGAGGGGACCGTAGGCTATAAACTCGATGTCAAGCTCACGGGCTGTGTCGATCAGACCGTCGGTCTCGTGGATCGTTTCGAAAGCGGAATATTCTGCTTGGACGGCGTCGATTTTGGCGACTTGTTCTGTTAGTCTTGGGCTTTGTATAGATCAAATCGGATGCCTACTTGAGTTTGCCTTTCGCAGTGTCTCCGCAGAGCATTCGGATAAGCCAATGTACTTTGTTTTGCCCTGCTTGCGGAGGGAATCAAGAGCAGGGATGGATTCTTCAAGTGGTGTATCTGGGGGCTTCTGTCAGCGTGTGCTCAGCGAGTTGATCTCGAGGAGGGTTGCTGACTCGGATCCATGCGGTGGATGTAGTATAGGTCGGGAGTAAAGCCTAGTCTTTCGATGGTTCCCTCGATGTACGTCGCGATATGTTCAGCCGAGTTGGTCACGGATCCGTCCTCAAAAGCAGCAACACCGCACTTTGACGCGACTATTAGTAGTTAGTAAGAGCACATTTATGCGAGCAGTCGACAGCATACTGAAAATCTTATCGCGACAGTTATGCTTTCTGATAAAGTCGCCGAGAAGCTTCTCATTCTTTCCCGGGCCATAAGAGACCTAGAGGCGATCAGTCAGAAGACAGCTGCCAAGGGGGCTCAACTAGACATACAGCAGTGTCCCAAAACGTGCAACCCAGCTCCAATGCTTTCAGCAATACAGGCTCGGCCTCTTCGTAGCTGAGGTCGTTGCCGAGTGCGAAGCTGATGCCCATGGCACCAAAGCCTGGCGTAGGGACCTGCAAGTCTCGGAAGCGCATTGACTTGACCATTTTGGGGGCTGTCTATCTACAAGGGGCGTGGTGTGTGTAGTGTGATGTCGATTTGACTAGTGGTAAGGATTTGGATGGCAAGCGGCAGTACTATATGACGACGTTGGGCCTCTTTCTACAAGGGAGCAAGTGTGTTGAAAACCATAGAGAAAAGGGGGATGACCGGGGGTACCATTCCGATTACGCGATATAATGGCTGCTAGTACAGTGTTTGGCAAGCATCGGGCAACTCGTTTCGGGGAGTACTCGGGTCTGGCGGAATGCGTTATCTGACGCTAAAGCACGACCCGCCGAGACCCATCATCGTGAGCAGATAGGATTCACCATATCTGGGGTAGTTGCTGCGTAGCATCGTTGATATCTAAGCGAGGTGATTAAAGTGCCGCATATGGTAGGCGAAGACGGAAGGTTCCGCGATGCCATTTTCCTTGGGCGATCGCTCCGAGTTTTTCAACAGTGCTAATCTATAAAGCATCTATTGGCTTGAACAAGTCAATTAGATCTTATCCCTGCGGCCACCAATACGAGAACATTACCATGCGAACATGTCCTCTAACTAGAAGTTTTGCGAGCTCACTTCGGTCACTGGAAATGCATGAACAATATTAGGTCTTTACCTGGACTCATCCTTGGTGTTGGTATCTATCAATATGTCGCTGCCAAATATGCCTTTATCTGCATATTGCGGGACTCTGAGCACCTACAGGCCAATACCTTTACTCACTGGGGCACTTAGCTCGGTATCAACCTGGCCCTGGGTACTGCAGCCTTTATCGTAGCTAAAGCGGTACCCACCTTGAACTATCTTCTCGGCTTGGCCGGTTCTCTATGCTTTGCGCCATTTAGCCTGGTATTTCCCGCCCTGCTGTGGATGTATGACTTCAAGAGCTTCAAGACTGGCACGCTGGGTCAGAAGATCAAGTACGGCTTGCATATACTAATCATGATTCTTGGCTTTTATATGATCGTGGCTGGCACGTGAGTACTCGCTCATCTTCCATCGCCATTTAACATATTGACAAGGCACTCTAGCTACTCGGTTGCCGTTCTGATCAAGGAGGCATTCGACACTGGCGCGATTGCCAAGGTCTTTGACTGTGCGGACAATTCGGGTTTCGTGCAGTAAGATGGCATGAAAGCACGGAACACAGGCTAAGTTGTTCTCGGACGTTGGTCGTGTTCTTGGTATCCATCTGGTGTTATGAAGAGAGATGGACGACGGATAAAAGGTTGGCGTAGGGGTTCTTCATTACATTTTATTGCATGTAACGCGTCACTTAGACACAGTCGCCATTTGCTAATTCAATCAATTAACTTGATATATATTCTATTTCTTGGTCAATTACCCATAGACTAGCTTTCTTCATGGTCTTAGTCGTTTCGCGTATGCTATGACATGAAACTCCAGCATGTTATAATTTAGTCTTACAGAGTGCCCCTATCTAATGTATTACGAATCTCTTTATTTCTACTTTAAATAACACCTGAAAGCATCATGCACATTATCAAGGTCAGGAACAGAGTCTCACTTTGAAATTGGAGAACACGGCTGTCCAAAAGAGTGCGCATCATGGCCTAATCTATCTCTATCTTGAGCCTCCCAATGCCACGATCGACACAAGCCTGTAACGCCCGCCCCTTTTCCTTGTCAAGCAGCGCTGTGCTCTTGTAGTCAACTTTTCCCTCAGACAGCTCCACTTTGCAAGCACCACAAGCCCCAGACTTACAAGAGTACAATACGTCGAAGCCCGCGTCGTTGAGCACGTCTAGCAGCGTCTTGTTTGGAGGAACTGTCATTGTTTCGTGTCTGTTGGAGTCTGGCTCGTCGACCTCGACCTCGAAGGACTCTCCCAGATCACCGCCGCCACCGTTACCGAAATCTTCGAAATGAAGCATGTGGTCTGGATACCCAAGTTCATTGGCAATACTTTCGCATTCCTTCATCATGCCTGAGGGCCCGCATGAGAATATGCGAGCGCTGTATATCCCATCGTGGCCGGGCTTTGGTATGGCGTTTCTAATATTGAGCCGTTGACCCTCTGATCGGATGTAAAAAGTGGTCTTGTCTTTGGGAAGTTGGTCAAGAAAGGCAGCCTCTTCCAGACTTGGAACGGCATAATGGAGATGGTATGGCAAGCCTTTGCTCTCCCAGTCGCGCATCGACGGCAAAAAGGCCGTTATCCCGATCCCTCCGACGATCAGAACTCGCGTGATACTTTCCTCGCATTTTGCATCATTTTCCATTGCAGCAGGGTTTGATCCAGGGAACATTTCAATCTCGTCACCGATCTTCAACTCGTTGTGTAGATAGGCCGAACCTCCTCTTGATTGTCGATCGAGGGACACGCCCAAGCTAAACCTATAGATATCACCGTCGACAATCGAGTAAGACCGCTCAAATTCTTTTCCACCTCCGAATTTGATCTGGGCAAAGGCGTACGGGTCGAACTCGGGGTTGACAAACGTTAAATGCTCCTTCAAGGCAAATGTGAGCTTCCTAACGCGCTGAGCGACGAGGCAAGCGTCGACCAGGGTGTATGTCTTTGGAGCACTCCTCAATCTCTCCTTTGCAATATCCAGAAATAGATCTGTCATGGGAAGCTGTGTGCATTCCGCCAGCAGATTGAGCGAGACATTCCTTGCTCGGAGGACACGCTGAACGTTCAACACAGACCACTCGGGATATGGTCTCTCTCGCAAAGAAATTGTGTCTCCTTTACAGATAGTGCCTGTCTTCAGGACTCGCATGTTCCAGCCTGCTCGCCCTGTCCGTATCGTTCGTTTTAGGGCTCGTGGCCATCTGAATCGGGAGTTGAGTTTGAAGCATGGGTGTCGTGGTTCGCTGACTTCGAGAAGAACGTCGTCGCCGAGTTCGTATATGTCGCCAATACACACGTTGTCGTCATTCATGTTGGTCGTGACGAGGTTCTCGCCGTATGCTCCGACATCGTATAGATCTGGCTCTGGCGGGTTCTCGGCTCGCCAATCTGGGTAATGATCTGGGTTATACTGATGCACTGCGCGCTCCGTGCCACCGTGTCCGCTGGAAGCATGTTCGTCGCCCAACACTCCCGTTGCGCTGCAGAATACCGGTCCGTCCTGTCGCTGTTTGTAGATAGCAGAGGTGATTTCGCCTCCTAGGGCGCCTTTCTTGACTTTTCCTGCTCTGACTTGCAAAAGAACCCCTGGTTTGGGAGTAGGGGCAGTATCTAGATGTGATACAGTCTCCTTAGGAATATTAATTTTCGATGGAACCCCCATTGTTTGCAAATTGGCCTAAAGGGTTACAATCTGTACTGCTCAGTATATACTCTTGTGGTATAAGCATGTAAAAGTATTTTTACGTTTCGTCACCCGACTGTTACGCGAAAGTTCCGATGATGCCGGGTAGTGGACGGGAACTTCGGCGGTGGTGGTTCATCTGGAAGTGGGTCAGAATTCTGACAGACTTCGCTATAGGGTACGTCACTTATTAGAGGGATGCCATGATCAACGATGAAATACAGATACTATACCGCCAAAAATACATTTGGGCCGGCCATGAAGCTAGCGGTATAAGCCCGGCATATAAACATTTAATGACTTGTTTGAGATAAATGATGGTGCACTTAGTTTTTGGTGGTGAGATTGACCTTGAGCCACAAAGTCACATTTAGGAAAACTACATCACGCCCACCGTTGACGTTTTGGAACCAATCTTGACGAAGTGATAGCAGTTTGAGCTAAGTACTGGGAGGAAATTGGGTCACACACGATTGCGTAACAAGCAAAAGAAGGTTCCTGTCAACTGGTTAGGTGCAGGATGCAAAGATAAGCACGTCGACTGATGTAATAAAATATGCTTTCGCGACGTCCGTATTTGATCCATTTCTGAACTTTATTGAACAGAAAATGTAAGCATGATTGGAGGAAAAATTGCATATATCGTTCATGCTCTACATACATACGCAACGACCCATATTCACCTCGTAACCTTTCAGTTATCAAGACTGAGTGTCACAGAGTACGTAGCAGCGCAAGCTAGTATGATTTTCGACCAATACGTGCTCCTACAGCATACAGCTCTATGGACAACCCACCAGCCATTGTCATCTGTTGTTAGGCTTAAATCTTACCATACTCGAGAAATTATACAAGCCTCGTCCAAGTTATGGGCCACGAGGAGCCCTGATCAACAGCACGGCAGTTCAGAACATCAGCTCATTCCTTGGAAGGCAGTGGAGTTTACGAAAGGCAATTCCGTGGAGACGAGGCTCGAGCAACCTCGCTACCTGGAATCGAGTGGATCAATTCATCTCCTAACTTTAGAACAGCACCGTGGTAGTTTTTCTGACACGCGATCAGCCAGTTAGATCATGTTCTGTTTTGCTCCTGCTGAAGGAGCGGTGACAAAGTGATGCATGGAGACTGAATATAAAAAGGGGCCCTTTTCCTTCCCAAGTCCATTCCAGACTTCCATCAAGCACACTTTACCTTCTATCTCGCCCTTGACACGAAAACAACAATGGGAATTACTCTCAAGGCACTGGTCCTTGGCCTCTTTCTTGCCCAAGCGGCACATGGGTACATATACTCCCATGTATTTCGTTGTATTGACACCCATACTGATATATCATATAAGAAAGGACCATAGCAGTCACAACTGCTGCCTGAGAACTCCTGCGGGATGGATTCCCCGAAATGATTGGACCAAGGCTGTCTGTGCCGCTCGCTGGGGATCTGTCGTAAGTAGCCCCCGCGCCCCATAAACCCAGTTCAAACGTTTGACAAGAGCATCAGGCGACGTTTGATGGTGTCAAATGCATCCAGAAGCCAGGCAACGTTATCAGTGGTGATGACTTTTATACCGCGTGCGTACTCTATGGGAATAACGATGGTTATGGAGATGACTGGGATAAGGGCGCTGGATATCGCGGTACTTGCTCTTAGGTGTACACGTCTGTGCCTCTGACGAGGGTTTCGACCGCTGATACAAGTTCCCTGAGGCATGTTAATAGAAGCATCGTTTCTAGACATATGTAGTATACAAGAAAACCCCGAGACAGTATTATAAAAGAAGTTGAAGTTGAAGCTGAAATTATGATATACCATGGCCGCTGATCAGAGGACTGACGACACGTAGGGCTACAGATCGTCTGACCAGCCTTGTGACGTTTCGGCATCAACATCTATTCATGCCGGAATTATGACCACGTGTAATTGGAATGGGATAAGCCAAGCTTCGCTTTTCGCAGATGATTGCTGTAGTGCTTCTTGTCAGCCACCCAGGTTATGCTCGCTACGCCACAATGGTAAGGAAGGCAGAAACCCTCCGAAAAGTCTCCGCAGCTGATATATCAGCCTCGCAGCAAACAATAAACAAGAAATACAACAAACAATCCAAAACATTCACAACTCTCATAACAATAATTGAAGATGACGCGAACTATTCTGATTGTCGGTGCTACTGGCCAGCAAGGCAAGGCCACCGTTGACGCCCTATACAAGACCCTTGGAGCTCTCCTGGCTATGAAGATATCAGTATCCTTGCATTGACTCGGTCAATTTCGTCTCCAAAAGCCCAGGCTCTCCAAACAGAGTATCCATCAATTACCCTTGTGCAAGGAGATACCCAAACGCCACGGTCAATTTTCGAACAACACCCAAGCATCTCATCAGTCTTTATCGTCACGGTTCCGCCAAATGATGAAGCGCAAGCACTCCCTCTCATTGAAGTAGCATCTTCACATGCATCAGTAGATCACATAGTCTTCTCTAGCGTTGATCGTGGTGGTGACGAGGTCAGCTGGTCGCAACCGACTGAGGTTCCTCACTTCGCCGCCAAGCACCGCATTGAGCTCCGACTGCGAGAATCATGCAAAGAAAGCCATAAACGATGGACTATCCTCAGACCAACAGGTTTTATGGATAGTTATAACCCTGGTTTCTTCGGTCAGATGATGGCGTCCCTTTGGGCAGAAGGGATGCCCAAGGATCGAAAGATGCAGTTGATTAGTACGCATGACATTGGCGTGTTTGCAGCAAAAGTACTTTTGAACCCAGATGCTTGGTCGGGAAAGGCATTAGCGTTGGCGGGTGATGAGCTGAGCTTTTCTGAGCTACAAGAGGTCTTCCGAGGAGTCGTTGGAGAAGAGCTACCCCAGACATATAAGGTTATAGCATACCCCGTCCTATGGATGGTGAAAGATGCATCGAAGAGTTTTGAGTGGTTTAGAAATGCGGGTTGGAAGGCGGATATACAGAATTTGAGGACACAAGAACCTGGTCTCCAGGACTTTGCGTCTTGGCTTAGAGAATCGAGCAAATGGACATGAGTTTAAGTAACGGGATTTTTATTGGCATATAAAATATTAGCGACAGACGATCAACAAAATACTATCCACCTCTGACCTAATCTTTGTAAAAATTTCCCTCGAGTCTTGGGAACAGCTTCAAAGCTGATCCGTGATAAACATCCCCTTCTTCTTATCCTCCAACGAGAAGTCATCAACAAACTTTGTGAAGCCCTTGCTCAGTTCCTCAGGGGCATGAGGAAAATCACTACCAAAAAGCAAATGCCCGGGCTTGGCGAAGCTCAGAATCATAGGACACACCTACTGACTTCCTGAAAGCGCCGTATCGAAGTAGAATTGCTTTGCTTTTCTAATAATGTCCTCAGCACTCATGATCTCTCCAAATTCAGGGAGAGCTACCATGGTCGCTCGCTGGACAAAACGCGGCCAGTGTTCCGCCAGCGTGTGACAAAATGACCTTGACATCGTGAAACTACTCGAGGCGTCTGTTGAGAATCATGTGCATGGCTGTACGGCCTGTCTCGTGAGGCCAATCGAAAGCAGGCATTGGAAGTCGATCGTTAAAGTAGACAGCCGAAATATTGTTGATGGGGTGGACAAAGACAACGGCCTTACGACGATTCAACTCCTTCCAGATCGGGACATACTCGGGGTGTCCGAGATATCCCTGAGGAGTGGCATAGCTCGTGAACAAGGTAACTCCATCTGCCTTGAGAGTATCGAAAGCGTAGCGTAGCTCCTCGAGTAGGGATCTGTATACTGCAGAGACGGAACTGTCGCAAAGAATCCATTCTTCGGGTTTGCATCGCGGAGACGGACGGAGTACTCATTCATGGCGCGAGCAACTCTGGCGCTCTCTTCAGGGTCAGTGATGTGGGTGACTCCAGGAGTGCCGACAGAGTATATGGCAGAGGTGATGTTGTAAGTCTTGTTGAACGCCCTGTCACTTTGGACACTCCATGACGGGACTTTCATGCCTTTGAGACCAGCCCCGACTCCTAAATTGACTTCATTAGACGATTCGTCTAAGAGGTAACGGATACAGAACCTTACTTCTATCTGGCGAGGAATGATGTGGTGGTGAACATCGATACGCCGAATGTTAGACATATTGGATGATCTGAGAGTTTCAGTTATTTGGAATAAAAAAGTGAAGAGTTATGTGATATGCGATATTTAGACAAAGAGCACAAACTCATTTTGTAGATTTCCAGACCTTAGGCAAATTGATCCTAGAGTATTGCCATGTACATACATCATCGATAACTATAGCTCGGCGTTCGCGGTCCGTACGGAGGGTGGCCTACGCACTGGACAAGAAGCAAACTGGTCTGACCACTCAGCGGCACTTACGGAAGCCAAATGCATTGGGAGCAGAGGAGATTTCCAATACTGACAGAACCAGCTAAAAGCTCCATTTCATCAGTTAGTCAGTGATCGCTAACCCGGCCCATTCGCATTACATCATAAATTGCCTTCTTAGCTTCCCATCATTTCTCGGCGCAAATCAAAAGCAGGCGAGATTGTCGGAGGCTCGCGACGAGTATTCGCCGACCAAACACAGCCGATCTTCGAGCTGTAATTCTTGCTGATCGCAAAAGAGTCGATGCGGCGGCCAACGTCTAACACATTTATCTACTTTTACAAGTAAGTTATTTGCGAATAGCACAAGCGCGATATAGTGATGATCAGTCAGGATCGCGTATCTTGAAGCAACAGCGAGGACGTGGGAATGCCAATTAATGATTTGACAGCATCTGTCCCTCGACTCAAGCTCGACAGTTGTAATTATTTACTTTGGTTTATGCAGTTACAAGCTAGTTTGGGCTCACCCCTGAACCCGACGATGAACGGCGCCGACGTGTACGGATATTCAAATCACGAGTTTCATCTCATATGTCACATATGACACAGAACTTACCTGCTCAGCATAACCAGGCAGTTTCCGATGTGGTTGAATAATGTTTATGACAAGCCAACTCCAAGTCGACATGCACACCTCTTTGAAAGGGCATATCAGGTTTCTGATGATTACTGCCTTACATTATTCTTACATTACCATATAATATAAGTTTAGCTTAGCCATTAATCAGCACATTTCTCATCCCACAACTATACAATGCCTGGACCTCAGTGAACAATAACGATCTTCAAAGGTGACTCTCACGCACTGCTGCAGAAACTGTATATAGTATTACATTGTTTGGAGTGATACAGTATATAAGATGCTGTTAAGGCTTGGGTATGCCACTATTCCTTATGCCTTGCACGGGCTTTTACCTTTGGCACCCCACGCACCGCCATTATTATCGAGAGCCCAAAACACAGCGCCGCCCAAGCACAATCCATCAGCCCAAGCCATCTTCAGTGCCAGTGTGTCAGCGTCGTCATAGCCTACCCACTGATCACTCCCCCAAGTCGCATACTTCTGCATAGCCTCACTGTCAAGCTCGACAGTAGCTTGATTGGCCGATATGGCCTTTTTGATGTCACTTAGCACCATGACGCCTGTCGGATCTTTGACACAAGAACCCTCTTCACTGGGTCCTGAGGCAGCACAACCAACCTCTTTGCAACTAGAGGAGGAGAGTGTATACCCGCGGCCGTAGAGGGGGATACCGAGGTTGATAAGCGAAGGGTCGGTCTGGTTCGCCCAGAGCGGCATGAGATCGTTGGCGATATCAACTATGCTGGCTTGGTAGGTCACAGTGCTCTTGGCTGGTTCTTGATCAATCCCCCAGCCGTGCAAGTCGTAGGCCATGAAGTTGAAGAAGTCGACGTATTTGCCCATGCCAGCAGCGTTGAAGCCCTGAATGCTGCCCCAGTCCGCTGGCACCGCCGCTGAGATACCATAATCCTTCCCAAAGGCAGCTCGGAGCTCCTGGACGAGAGAGACCAGGTTCGCTGCATCGGCGGTCGCTGGAAATTCCCAATCAAGGTCAACACCCTGGAAGGAGTAAGTCTCCATGAAGGACTTGAGAGACGAGATGAACGCAGATCGAGAGTCGGATGAAGCCGCCATGGAAGACCAAGTCCCGGTAGAAAAACTACCGCCTCCAATGGCAATCCACGTCTGCAGCGAGCTGCTCTGCAAAGCGGTAAACTGCTTATAGTATTCGACATCTTGGGAGTTCTGAGCGCCAACAGCGAAACTACTCGAGTCGAAATCGGCAAACGCCAAGATCAGATGGGTCAATCCATTGGTCTGGATCTGGGAAGGAAGGACGACATCGCAAGATCGGTCCCAAGCCTGCTGTACGCGCCAGTATCCAACGCGACGGCCATTGGTCGCCGTCTTACCGTCAGAAGAGCAAGACGGAACCGTAGGTACAGAGCAGCTCCCGTACGCAGACTGACAACCATCACTACAGTACACGCTCGTTGTTCCGCAGTATCCGGCTGATGAACAGCAGACATTCAAGGGACAGCGTGCTCCATCGTTGTCAGGACCGCATTGGGAGAGGACAAGATTGGGTAGAAGTCCAAGAACTAGGGCCAAATGGCCGACGGCTTGAGGGAAAGAAACAAACATGGTCGAAGAGACTTGAAGCAGGGACAGAAAATACGAGCGCCAGGCTCGGATCTTCTTCAGCCTGTTATATGTCCCATTCTCCATAGTCCGTCGAAGACATTTAACCGTCTCAACACTAAGCCCTGTTAATAGATAGCGATCTCCACAGCTAAAATAACGCTGACGCCAAGGTCTCCAAGGAATTACCCGTTGGCTCGAGCCGGGAGGGGGGCCAACTAAGCCAGCTTAATGGTCTCATGTGCCGCGGGACCAAAAGCACCGGTCTAGCCAGACGCCAGAAAACTTGGATCTTGACCCTAAGCGACGAAAATACTTAGTCAAGTCTAGCCTAAGTTTAGGGTGCTCTTTGCTGAATTTATTTGATCATCCTCTTCTAAGGTCCTAAACTCCCTGTGGGTAAGACGATCGCTTCCGTTAAAGAACCAACCGTGCCGCGCTTAAAGCGGTCAAACTGGGCTTGGGGTCCAAAGCTTCTAATACACCATTTGCTTTGATTGGTAGTCAAACGAGCTCGAACAGCGATCCCTTCTCCACAGTAAGCCTGCGCCAAACCCAGACAACGGCTTTCGACGCAATTGGTCTCCTTTAGGTCTCTCCTGAATTCTAAAACGGAGCGTTGGCAAAGAAGAGCAAGGCGTCTTTTGAACCCTGGATCATAAACCATGCATGACCTTGCTGCTGACATGAGTCTCCCCTGTTGAAAATTGACCTAGAGAGAGAAGCAAAGGGCACAATTGTTCACGCTACAGCATCATTTGGACTTCCAGTAGGCTGCATGATAAGATGAATAACTTCAAGCAAGCATCTTGCTTTGAAGAATGAAAAGACTCGAATGGACGCCATGTCGGGCCGACCCGCTCACGTTGTCCTCTCTTGGGGGCCAAGTCTATTGTTAGGTACTTTTCTCTAGCCCTATGGGGCAAATGAAGCTTTGGGGGGAGTGGACTCGGCGGAGCAGGGAGATTATCAAATTAACCTCGGCGGATTTACCAGGGTCCTTTCCAAGAGTGAGCCCACATAAAGGCATTGTGCCCTGCTAGGACGCCGAGGGTGAATTCCTTCTGCGTCGTTCGCCTTTAACCAAGCCAAACCAGCGATCATGGAGCTCTCCCTGGTGTACTTTCTCTGTATCCTTTCTCTAGCCTCAGCCTCATTCCCCTTCAACTTTGGACAGTAAGCTACACGGACCTCCTGCTTTGAACTCCTCCCTAACTAGTCCCAGTTCATCCTCTCCCGTTCTACTACCGCGCGCAAAAAACCCCACCAGCAAAGACGGCAACTGTGGTTCCAACTCGGAGACTAACGCGACATGCCTCACGTCCACTTTCGGTAACTGCTGTTCTGAAAAAGGATTCTGCGGCAAGACGAGCGCATATTGTTCGGAAGGATGCCAAGAAGCTTTTGGTAGCTGTTCGTCGAGTGATGATGGACAGCTTGTGAGCACGTCGGGATCATGTGGTGCGACGTCGACTAGCAACATCACTTGTGAGGGCAGCTCGTATGGAGACTGCTGCTCTGAGAAGGGATACTGTGGCAAGAATGCAACATACTGTGGTACTGGGTAAGTTCAATCTACTGTTTGTTCTGATAGTATTCCGACAAGAACGGGATTGCATTTGGCTTCTAGCCAGGCGATCGTGTCATCAAGCCAGACGGCAACGCCAGCCTCAGGCTCCCCAACACATTGTTAGACATGACTGACATCGAGATATCAACAGGTGCCAAAGTATGTTCGGTAGCTGTTCATCCAGCGACGAGTCCTCCACGACGACCACAACATCTGACAAGACCTCGACCTCGACGACAGCGGCGTCAACGAGCCTTGGTGCTATATCCATTGACGGAAACTGCGGATCGAACTCGGATACCAATGCCACCTGCCAAGACAGCACGTTTGGCGATTGTTGCTCAGCCAAGGGGTACTGTGGCAAGACCTCTGGTAAGTGACCCCGCGAAAAGGACATGTATTTCTCAGAGTTGTGATGCTAACTCGGCTCTCTAGACTACTGTAGCACCGGATGCCAAAGCGACTTCGGTTCCTGCGATTCGACAACCTCATCTGCCTCTGAGTCTGCGTCCTCGTCAACATCCTCATCCGAATCCTCCTCGTCAACCCCATCCACAAGTCCGTCGACAGCCGGCCTCAGCACCGGCGCCAAGGCCGGAATCGCGGTCGGATCTGTCATTGGCGGGCTCGGAGCAATAGCACTTGTGGGCTTTCTTGTGCTACGAGGCAAAAAGAGGAAGTCTTCACAGCAATTGACAGATAGCGATGCGGGAAAGCCTCATGAAGAGACGAGATACGAGTTACATGACGAGAGGACGCATGAGGTGCATGCGCAGAATCTGGTTGAGTTGCCTGCTGACTATGGGAGGGTTGATGATCGGGCTGCGGCAGGGTATGATGGGGCATACAGAGGACATTAAGTTCTGCTTCTAGGTTGTACGCTCGTTGTCCAAACTACAATCGCTTATAATTGGTGCAAGACTGGGGATTTATGAGCTGATTGGCTGCTTCTTCTTATTTAATAGACGACATTAATCATGGAATTCTTCTCAACGACCATGGAGGTCTACCTAAGTCTACATACGCACCAATCCCCCTATGCGAACGAAATATATAGAGGGTATCTAAAAGGTCTTCTTCGTAGAATTCGATCGGGTGGTGATCTTGGGGCTCACATTGAGCATTGCGCGCTCTCCATTTAGGGATAGACTGATGTGTAGCAACATAATATTTATTTCCTTCTGGATCATTAAGCAGCAGAGTTTTAAATATACCCCGGACAATGACCAACTCCGGTACACCAGTCTTAAAGAGGCTTCCATCCTCAAACAACCTTCTGCCGGAAATATGAGTGAATCTTGGATGATCGAATCTTCCGTCTGCAATGCGAGATGAACACCGTCACTTCGTCTTCAGTCCACCCAAGATAAGCTTTAGGCATCAGTCAAAGAGGCTGTCGAGCTAGCGTTGTCAAACACAGCTGAGTCTTCATCACCTGGCACAGTTTCCTCCTTTGACACACCATAAGCAAACGAAGGAAGGTGAACCTTATCTTTGATCTCACATCTGGCAATTGTGGCCAGTGCTCTGGTGGTAGAAGACCGCTCTCTGCGAGATCTCTCCGCAGCGGCGATGAACCAACCGAACTCGAATGCGTAGATTTTTCCGAGCAGGCGACGACATCTTGGTTGTTGAATGTCGAAGAGTGATGCACATGTCGGGAAAATTGGTCCGATATACAGCAAATACATAATGTTATCTGCTGCCGAGTTATTTTACTTGCGTATATGTAACATGTGACGACTGCCCTTTGCTACGGACGGAGGCGTCTAGTAGTCAATTTACTACTGCCGAAGGCGGATTGATTGAAATGGATATTCCTCTCTATATCTGTTCATTTATGAGGATATATAATAAGATGGCATCGAATGAAGACAGTGTATTTGGCCACGGGGAGATGCCTGTGACAAGAGTAACGCCGTCGTGTTATGCGGCATCAATATAATACTTGCTCCGCGGGCTGATATTATCTATTCCTAGACGTAAATTCTGTTTTTCACGGGGTACTATGTTCTTTGTTTCGATTGACGCCTGGATATAGAGATCGAGTCAATATATCCACGACCCTCTGCGAGACGCGAGGAGGGGTATTTCGAGTATAGACAGGAGCGTTAAAGCCGGCCTTAAGAAGCCTATCTCTGAGTATTCCTTTGTATATGAGAATTTCCAGATAATTCAAGAGCACTTTCACGACATTAAAACTCGAGTGGTTGACAAGGTGAAAGCTTTCTGATTATGAATTTACAAGGAACCTGATATATGTGATAGGTACGATGTTGACGGTGCATACTTCTTTCGAGATATTAATCATTACTTACAAAATTATTCAGTCAATGCTCTCTAATTAGTCAGATCATTAGACTAGGAACCCGGAGTTAGTGGCCGTATACGGAGTACGGACAGTGGGTTTGCATCACGTCCTCGGCAGGGCCTCGGCAAGGCTTTGGCAATCCCGAAATCCCATCCATTCACGTTGCATAAGATAGGGAACGTATCAAACAGAATCACAGACGCGTCATCGATCGCATTTCCAGATTCTGCTTTCAGCTAGGCGAACTGTAATGGTTGCTGGGTGGCTTAGGTGTAGGACTTGGTGAAGCATTAGGAGACAACGTATCTTGAGTCGAGCTTCAAATTCGAACTTCAGAAGTAAATTCATGGACTGAGATATTCAATGAAACTCTTTGATCATTTAATAACAAAAGATACCTATCTAACTAAATAACTATGCTAGTGGTTGCTTTATAGAAACCTTGGAAAACCCTCCACCATGCTTGACAAAACGCTTGATCTCTTCCAACGCATCCTCAGCAGTACCTTCCACGACACGGACAGGTGGCAAGCGGAATTTCTCCCCATAGTTCTCAATAGCCCAGTTGAAAGCCTCCCAAGCTCTAGCATAGTCCGCTGGTCGCGCGGGAATGGAAATCGGATGAGAAGTACCGGGAGGTTGCACCACGAAGTCGATTTTGGGTTGTGCAAAGGGCATCTTGAAGCGCTTATCATCCCGTAACACTGTCGATGCAATTACTGTGTCCTCTGCTACAGCCTTCAGCACCTGCTCGGCCGAGTCAGGAGCCCCGGCTGCATCAAATGCATATAAGAATTTGTCAAAGTCCAAATCACGCAGAGCTTTAGCAATAGACTCGTGGACTTTCTCGTCCTTATAGTCGAATAGGTATTTGACTCCGAGAGAGCGTAGGTGCTCAAATTGCGACGGGTTTGCAGTGACAAAAATGGGAGACACGCCACTTGCGATGGCGAACTGAAGGGTGCAGTACCCAACTGAAGCTGTTGCTCCCCAGAGAAGAAACGGAACCTTGTAGGCGAGCTTTTCGTTCTCTGTGGGGAGAGGGAAACCAAACAGGTTGCATGCCGCATCGGCGGCTGTCATGGCAACAACAGCCAAGCTCGCTGCATCGGGCAAAGGCAGGTTATCGGAAACTTTAAACAACATGTCTTCCGGGCATGTGATGTAAGCTTGATGAGTTCCGTAGTGAACAGGCTGGTGAAGACCTGCGGGCGTGTATCCCGCTACAATATCCCCAGGCTTATAAACAGAGTTGGGGTTTGTTGTTTCCAAGACTTGACCACTAAAGTCATGGCCCATGACGGTATTGTTTATTCCTAGGAAACTCGCATGCTTGATGTCAGCGGGATTAACACCCGAGTATAGAACTTTGATGAGCAAATCTCCGTTGCTTGGTTTCGGGAGGCCTTGTCGTTCGATGACCTTGGGACTGTTCTTTGAGTCGATGAAGAGTGCTTTCGTAGTATTTGTAGTAGCCATTCTTACAGCACGTTAGGTAGGGTTCGTAGGCATAAGGCCCTGGACTGGGACTATTCGGGTGTCTATGGATTGAAGTTTCATGATGGAAGGCATTATTTATAAGGGAAACCGAGGGAACTGACCTCGGCGTTTCCAGATCCCCAACTCCCGATTATATAATCGGATCAGCAGAAGTTGTAAGTCCATATGTGGAACTGGGAGTTGGTTTCGGCCCCCAGCATGGATATGACTGGCAGGATGAACATTGAACCCTTGTATCTGTTTTCCTTGGCACAATCCTTCGAAAACAAAACCCCTGTGCCTTGTAGCATGATTTATCTTTACACCCTGTTCATGAAATTGGTAAATGTAAGGAAATGCCTACTGGTCCAGACCCATGATGGACCCGGCACTGAAGTGCATCAGTCGTCCAGGCTCATCAACCAACATGACTAATTTCACGAATAGCTCTCGCCATTATATAAGCAAACTTTTCAATAGTAATGCTATGAACCTTGAAGGTTAGCAAAACGCCTTATCGCCTTTTTGTCTCCACGGAAACTTTGCGGAGACATACTATCCGGAGACTTTTACTCCAGCCGAATACATCGGTATATATAAGCTAGTTAGCCAAAGTCTGATGTCTTTCTATTCAAACTTCAATCATTTTTCATTCTCTTTACTCATTCACACTTGAATCACTTCCACCTCGACTCTGGGAGATATATTGCCAGTCATGGGCGGCAAGATCAACGACATCAGCGACGAGGCCAAGGCTCTCGGAGAGAAGAACAAAGAGCACTTCGAGTAAGAGTCCCCGAACGCATATTAGTTATAGTCTAACATGAGCAGCCAAGTCGCCGCTGAAGTGTTTAAGCACCCATGGATTCAGCGGTTGTGTAATCAGATATCTGACGAGTTACGCCAGAACCTGGACTGGATCGGCATCACTGAGAGACCTGACGGTCTGAAGATGCTTGATTATGCCTGTGGTAACGGCGTCGCTTCTCGGGTCAGTTACTCTGTCTTTTGCACTACCAGTAGTGGCTAATCGTCTTAGGCGCTCGCTCCATATGTCTCCACCGTCCGTGGCATTGACATCTCGTCCAAGATGGTTGAGCAATACAACATGCTTACAGAAGCTGCTGGATTCAATCAAGAGAAAATGAGAGCCATACACGGGGACCTGATGGATCCGGAAGCATCGCCCTCTTCCGAGCTTGACACTCCAGAGTTTAACGACTTTGACCTCATCGTCATGTGCATGGCTCTCCATCACGTACAGGACTATACAGCTATGATTCAGAAACTGAGCGAAAGGCTCTGTCCCGGTGGTGTGCTTCTCATCATCGACTTGGTTGCCTCGTCAGAGAGTGGTTGCCCCGAAGCCACCATGGCTAAAAATTTGTCTAACCATACCATGTCCAAAATGGGGTTTACTGAGATGGAGGTCAAAACTGCATTTGAGAAAGCCGGCCTGGAGGGTTGGTCTTGGAGATGGTGCTCTGAAAGATCCCAAGTCCCTGAAGAGATAGGTGGTGAACAGCAAGGCTTTTTCGCCCGAGGCTCCAAGAGTGTTCGGGATAGTGAGATTAAGAACGGCTAAGAGGTTCTCAATTACACGCGAAGAGAAACAGGACTACAGATGATGATAGTCAAACGTGCCGGCGGGGCATTGCTTACTATAGGCGCTGTTGTAAGCCTTTTAGCCCACTATGGGGTTTAAGAAGACTTCAATATTAAAAATAGCTAGTCTACGATCCTTTGAATTTGTATCCAGTTTGCCTAAGTTTACTCGAGGCTTCTTATTACTCAGGATCAAGGTCCTAAGTTTTATTGCATCCCCCTGCCCTTAGCCATCGCTTGGGGAAATCGCTCTCGCTGTAATTATCGGGCTTTAGTGTTCCTATGCTTTTCCCAGTACAACCAAGGTCAGTGACCTTACTCCTCGCCACTCTGACATCACATGATGATGTCAGAAACCAATATCGTTCAGACTCGCAGCACCCAGCAATTAAAGCTTCACTCCCTTAACCAAAGCCACAGCCATCTACCCCAAGCGTGCCACAAACAGTCACCATGGGTATGCCATATTCAAAACAAGTCCACGCGGCATTCGATCAAGTCACGCCCCTCGTGGCCGCTGGCTTCGAAGTCCTCCGCACGACCAAAAACATTGCAGTCTTTCTGGCCTTCCTCCAAGCATTCGTGGCCCTCATATTAACTCTCACGCTGTTCGCGATCCTTGCGGTGATATACTCTGTCAATCCAGATCTGGAAGACGAACGGCGTGCGCTGGTCACGCCGTGTATGCAGTGGATAGCGAGTTGGGTGTTGGAGTATGGAGCTTTGACGGCGTGGGTTTTAAAGGTCCTCGTAGTTCTAGTTACTGCTGGCCTAGGGGTCTTTCTCTGGTCAGGGTCTGCTGCGGATGTTGTTCCGGAGGTTGAAGGCGAGGAAGATGCTCCCGAGGATATTGAGTGAGGTAAGTTACACCTATATCAATAGGAGTATTTCATCAGTAAATAAAGTTCTTAGGTCACGAATCGGATATTAAATACCGTCTCAACATCTACCACAACAACCGAGGCCAAAGCTCAGTTGCGATACAATGCCCAGAAGATTACAAAGTTCAGTTTACAGCTGCTTCATCCTGACACTTGAGGCCTGGGTTTCAATGCCATGGCTCGTACATGTCACTGACAGCAGTAATTGATACAGCGAAATGAATTTATTCAACACATCTTTAAAGCATAGGCGTCCATCTCACAAGCAACCTCCTTCTCTTCACTGGTTAGTCAGAAACCTTTCACAATCTAAAAATCAACACCTAGTGCTTTGAGATCTTGAACTTCTGGTTCGATCCGTTATTGCCATCCCAGGTAAGAAAAGGCGTGTAGTTCGAGGTGTTGCCCTGTTGTAAATCCAAATACATGCCATACTTCAAGTTTCGGATCCTGATTCGAAAGTAAGCCAAGGTTCCGAAATCAACAGTGGCAATAACTTACTTGAACACGGTGTTGTTATTGATTGAATCAATGGTCGTACCCTCTAGTTCCCATTGCGTTGCCTGGTCCGATGTATCTTTACCGGGGTCGCATCGGGCCTTTTGATTACGTCCTATTCAGCTATAAGTAAATACTTCGTGGTGAGGACTAATGTGCACATACCCGCAGACCAGAGAACATAGTTGTTACGCGTGTTCTTGATGATTACGACATTGTTGCGGCCAGTGACCGAATAAATGTCCCAGATCTGATTGTTGTTGTTCACAAGGGAGCTGTGTGACAATAGTCAGACGATCATGTTTCTCTGTTGGTATACTGGGACACTTACTAGCATTGAACAGGCGTGCCAGCTCCTCCTCCATTAGTTAGATCAACGGCGATCTCCCTGTTGCTAGGAACCTGGCACTTGATGTTGCACTTGAACTTGAAGATTGGCGTCGCCTGTAGATTTCGGATCTGCTGCTGTAGGTCATTAATCTGCGACTGCAGATTGTTGATAGTGATCGACTTTGCATTGGATTCCTTGGTAAGGTTGTCAATGCGAGTAGATTGATCACCAATGGTTGAGTCCTTGGCGTTGATCTGGTCTTGCTTGCTCTTGACATCTTGGAGGGCGCCGTTAAGCTTGGACTGTAGATCAGCGTTGTTCTTCTCGAGCTGCGAGATTCGGCCTGTCTTGTCCTTGTTCTCCTTCTGCAACTTGTCAATATCCTTCTTCTCAACTTCGAGCTCAGCTTCAAGAGAGGCAATGAGGGTGGTGAGATTCGCGATGGTAGCGCCGGCAGTAGTCAAACTAGCCTCTGCCGCAGCAAGTTCTGTTTTGGTCAGGTCGAGGTTTTTCTGCACCTTGGCCTTCGAAGCTCGTTCGTACTCAAGTTGGGCTGCCAGTCTGTCAATGGTCTTGTGGTCGTCAATATCGTGGCCCTTGTCTTTCTTGATCTGGTCCTCGTCCTTCTTGATCACCTCGTCTTTCTCCTTCAACTTAGCTTCGTAGGCAATTCGGGCTTCATCAAGTCTCTTGGTTAAGTCGGCGACCTTTGCCTTCTCAACAGTGAGGCCATCTCCAATCTGCTTGACCTCTTGTTTGAGTTGGGCGATTGCAGCGTTACGTTCCTCGAGCACCTTGCCTTGAACATGGAAATCAGTGTCCAATTGGTTGAATCGCTTACTTATTAGCCAAGAATTAGCTAGAAGGGTCAGTTATTGTTCCTCACCTCATGCGCGTAGTTGACAAGGTAGCCAGCTTGATCGGCGTAGGCTATAACATGTTTCAAGTTCTCGATGATTCCGGTGGGGAACGGAAGAGGTTCGAGGACACGGGCGAGTGAGGGCTCAGGCTGGGGTAGGCGGACTTGAAGTTCGGCATTTTGAGAGGGAGGGAGCGGGGCGTCCCAGTCACTAGATCGTGGTCAATATTGACGGGCGGACTGTTATATTGGTTAAGAGAGGTATCTTGGACTTACTGAGTATGAGGGTCAACGACTGTAACTGACATATCGGTTTGGAAAGGCTTTTTGGTGAATAGAGGAAGAAGAAGTGTTTATTGGTTTCTAGCTCAGAAAAGAACAATTGGTATGGATTGGAATGAGGATTATATAGCCGATAGCAAAGAGTGCATCTATAGAGTCTCCATGCAAAGCCATGATGATAAATATTCTATATTACCCTCATCTACCGAATGCGGCACTTTCGAAAACAATATTCTGCATGATTATACTAGGTGATAGCTGAAATGAATATGTGGCTTGCTGAAGCCAACTCAGTAAACTCCTCGACCGGTCAGCAGCAGCAAATATTGTTTCTCTCTATCTCTAACAGGGATGCACGCTTTGACATTGCTGACAGACCAGATCAGAGTTTACCCGCTCGTTACCCGTAGCTTTCATTATCGTATCATAAGTACAGGCAACAAGTATTTAAACCATTGCTGCAAGTCCCAGAAGGGTCTGATTCCTCGGTAGTGGCGAGCTGACAACCCCATGGTCACCAACCAGCTGGACGCGACAAGGGTATAGCATGGCCCTGCCAGCCACAATGCACCATGATTGACAGGGGATGTCTCAGCCCAAAGTCTTCAGCAGTCCTAAAATGGCTGTCAGCTCCCAATTGACAGTCTTACAAGGAAAGGTTCGGCCTCAAGGGTCATGCGTTTCGGCGCTCCCGGCACTTGTACTGAGACTCGTATTATCAACGTCAAATACCCCATCTTCACCGACATGACACCGTGACAAAAGGGGGAAGAGCTCAGAGCCACAGTTAGGAAGTTATGGCCCAGCTAGGATAGTTATCAATTTCCGCATTGTAAGTTATGAGAGGGGTATAACTATTGCAGGACACAGAGCAAACTGTCCGTATAGAAACGTAACATCAGCTACAACACGCCTATACTGAGAACTGCTACTTGCTTCCATTTTAAAGGCATGGGTAGTTCACAAACCTCTTTCCCTCGTGTAAAATCGGTAAAAGAGACGATGTAACTCATGAAGCTGACTGCATTCAATAGTCCGCCCGTATATAGGCCTCGGGTCAGTATTTCAGCCACTATACAACGTCGGTCATCAGCTCCCCACTTTGCTCAATATTGTTTCTACGGGGAAAAGATCGGCCAAAAGGGTCCTGCAAGATGACCCTTCAGAGGCGAATCAAGTACGATTACGCACACATCAGTTAAAAGTATGATATAATAATGGCTCATAACAATATCGACAAGGGAAAATACGACGTCGCAGCGTAGGGTTGCATCTTTGAACTCATATATGTGATTAAACATGGGTTGCTACTGGAGTCAGCTGAACTTTCTCAGCTATGATCAGGCAGGAACTTGGAGAAGATGTTGGGAAAAGTGTTGGATCAGGTGGACAGTTGACAAACAAAGTCTGACTGATTCTTGAGTGAGGGTTGTCTGGCTCTGCCTATATAATCCCTTTTCCATTTATGCCAAACCCGCATCACCTAGGTAAAGCCACAACTATTCAACTTCTTCATTACCTTTGTTCTTATTTTTATTGAAACACTCATCTTCAATATGTTTGTCTACGAAGGCAGACTCAATTGGGGTAGTTCAGCCCGCGATGAGACAGCTGCCATTATTTTACCCTCCAGCCCGATGCGTGCCGGAGACCCTGTCTTCATCCTGTCCCAATGGTCCCGTGATTCCGGAGGGAACAAGAAGGCTCCCCTATCCCAGAAAATAACTATTGACAAGGTCGCCAAGACTGTCAACGGTAATGACACCTTTACAGTCAAGCCAGGCTACTACAGATGGAACATGACCTCTCGTGACAACTACGACAAGCTTGACTTTGTCCTATCTACAGACACCACTACATCCACGAGCCGTATGGAGTTTAAGCGCGTCTGGAAGCCCGCAAACCCACAATCAAAAGAGGCCGGCAAGATCTGGGTCAGCAAGCTCAACTGGCCCGTCATGGCTGATAATGAGTTTTGTTTGTTCATTGCTCCTGAAGGATTTGGCGAAGGAAAGCCTTTCCTCTCAATGTGGTAGTGGTCCTACGATAAAGATCTCAGGGAAAGAGTACCAATTTTCCGGGTTGGGAAACAGAGTGTCGGCGCGCTTGACAGCAACTCTGCCATGTTCACTTGTCAACTGGACTCTGACTACTCGGTTACTTGTGCCTGGGAAAAGATAACTGATATCCTTAATGTCTTCATGTCTGGACCTCCCGAAGTCGACAAGGAATTAGGCGCGTTCAAGCTATTTGCAAATACCAAGCCTCGCGATGAGGCTCCAGATGGCAAAGACGAGGTTGCAGAGCTGAAGAAAAAGATCAAAGTGTTGATCGACGATCTCGCTGCTGAGAAAGCAAAGACTACCAGCTTGACGGCACAGCTTGCCCAAGCCCAAACTGCATGCCAGGTTGAGAAGACGCAAAAGGATAATGAGATCAAGAGGTTGAAAGATGTAGTCTTACAGCTGGAGAAGGACAAGACTGATCTTCAGACCAAACTCGACCAAGCTCTTCGTGGTGAGGGCTACATAGGCCAGAAAGACACAAAGATCTCTGAACAGGCTTCTCGCATCGCCGAACTCGAAAAGAAGCTTCAAACCCGACCTGAAGTCTTGTTTTGGACTATATTCAGGAGCAGGATCACACAGGGCTACAGCAGTGTCAAACAGTACTTACTCGATTTGACTGACGAAGGAAATAATCAGGGTAAGCCTCCCGTTTCACTGAAGTAAGTGCTGGGATTTTCAGACACGGGGGCAATTATCTAACCGCCTATATCAAGAGACCAGCATGCTCGATATAAAAGCCCATACTGGCAGATTTGTGCTGTTGATGGCTCTAATGACGCTGTCATCCTTATGCACTCGACTAGCGGCTATCTTATTTGGTCTAAAGGCATGTATATGAACTATCTCGAATAACCAAGCACTGACTGATATCTCCGTTAGGACATCAAAAGAACGCCCAAGCCTCGAAGCACGACCTCTTAGACCCTGCAGCGCATTGGGTTCTAGAGGGCATCAAAAGAGATAAACCTACAATGAACGACATTGTTAAGTTCGTAAACTCAACTGTCAGTCTTTGTTGAAAGCTTAGCTAACTGCAAATACCTAGGGTACGAAATGTAAAAGATGGTACATATCTCGATGTGAAGAATGCACAGGCAGCGGACGACACTGCTATCATTACACATGATGGTAATAGTGGATCGGGCCAGAAGTTTGAGATCTACTTGGCTTGGCAATACTGAACTTCTCAACAAGTCGTCCTTTCTTGCCCGCACTAAGCATAAAGATCCTGCGGTAATTGGCGAGGCTTGGTTAGTGAACTGAACTGGAACCAATTGTCATTTCTGCCTTGTCTCTATTCTTATCTGTTTATGATATCCCAGTTGATGCATAAAATGTGGTCGCTCTTGTTTGCTGCACTGCACTTCAAGAAAGCAAGGGCTTTGAAAATAACCACCAATTGGCCCAATCGTGCAGTAGCGAGCCAATACAACAAGTCGCTATCGACGCCACATGTGTCGCGGCTTGCAGGTAGTCACCTTTTTCGACTTTAATTGGCTCTCTTGCCGCTTGACTTGGGGATCTTTTGCCCCATTAGTCCACATGCAGTGCTATTGTTTCACAAACCATGAATTTTAGGTGGCTATGTCCGTCACAGCCACGACAAATGTTTTTGGCTTTTCATCTACAACCCGGCCGGCCCTTATTTTCCTTTTGAGGGCCAGACATCTCAAGTACCTTGACTATTGCCAGATTCTTTCTTCAACATTATGGCGGCGTTTGGGAAATTGCAAGCTGCTCTGGCAGCTGCTACCAACGAGGTAACTGTCGCGGCAGCCAATATCAATTTCGACTTTACGCTAGTCAAGTACGAGGCTCCAAAGGAGTTTCGCCCTCTTGAAGGGTATCTAACGACAACCAGGAAGCAGGATGCGGAAACCGGGAAATCGCACGTCGTAGCTCGCCGGCTGGGTGCACTCTTTAGTGGGATCTGTCCCGATTCACCTAACCTCATTCGAGCGTATGGTGCCAGGGTTTCCGAAATCTCAAAGACAGCAACTCAGAAAGAATCTCAGGAATACTCCAAATCCATCTTCGCTTCCTACGTCGGCGTTGATGCAACTTCCATCTGGGCCGCCGCTACATCCTCGACAACAGCTATTCATGTCCATCTGCTGGCTTGCATGCTGGCAGAGCTCTGGGATGCATCCGAGGCCACTTCAATCTGGGCAGAACTTGTTGAAGAGCGACGCAAAGAAATTGCTCATCGACTTGAGCAGGGCGAGTCGTTGCACTTCGGTCTCGCATCAGCTGCGGCGCAGCAAGAAATCACGCGAGATCAGCTCGCGTCCTGGGATGCCAGTGCTCGGGCCTGGATCCAGACTGGAAAATCTGTTATGAGCAGAAATGATGCCCAACTGCGACTCATTCTAAAGAATGTCTACTTTGCCATCAATCCTAGCGAAGCGCCATTCGTCAGTGTCATTGACGCTTGGAAGCTGGCAGTCGAAACTACGGAAAAGCTGATCCTGGGGATACCTCAAGAAGCGCAAAATGGCGCCGCGATTCTTGGTCTCTCGGCTTGGCACATTTACCCTGATATTCATGTTTACGGTAATAAGAATATCAAAGTCGCCATGAACGATGAGCTAGTTGGGGCTGGCGGTATACTGTCACTTGCATCATGCCCTTCACAGCGAACCGAGTCACGGGGAGTCTATTGGTCACTTTGCTTGAGCCACTTGACATTCTATGGGCCCCCTGTCAAACGGAACCAGTCTTTAGAAAAGGACCCTCGTCGGATTCCATTCGACCATCTACTTCATGCGACCGTTGGCGCTATATTGAGTCGATGGAGAGTACATTCCAGTGATTTGGTCGAGGGGATCAATATACTCATAGCCATTCTCGACACAATAGGCGTCGGAAACCGCAGTGTCTATTCGATAATGGCTCTGTTCAGTAATGCTGCCAAACAGTGCTTAGACGACGAGCAAGCATGGAGTTACATGGTATATGGAAAACGTCGATCTGGATTTATCAAAGACCCGCATTTACAATTAACAGGAGCTATCAAAGCATTCTTTGGACTCACTGATGTTACATTACTTCTCTCGTCTATTCAAAAGTCAGACGACAGGATCTCACTGCTCCAACGACAGGCGAAGCGAGTCGATCTGTCAGAGCAAGACGTGGTCATATTTGACAGGGCGTCTCACACAGCACACGAGGTTGGTTCGCGCCACACCCGTCCCAACACAAGACCAAAACGCCGCAAAACGGCAGCAGGGGAAATGGGCTACAAGATCATCGGCACACAACTCTTTCGGGGAAAGGGAAAGAATAGTTCAGTGCTCGACTTCTGGATTGGCGACTCCTCTTCCACCGCGATCTACAAGAAGCAGTTTGAGAATGCAGTCCAAATCGAGCCTCCCACTACAACTCTTGATGATCTAAGATGGTGTTTCGACACTTCGTCGATCTGTCCAAATACATTCGTGAAGCTTCTCAACCGCCAAGACACAATATTGAACACCCTCGTTTGTCTATATCACGCTCACGAGGTGTTCAAATCTCTCCCATGCTTGTTTGTCCGGATACAATGCCTTGAAACATCTCTACTTGATGCACACTGGGCAATACTTAAAACAGCATATCATGATGACTTATTAGGCTCTACATTCGAGGGTTATGTCCCTATGATTCACGTGAACCACACTAACCGTTCTATACACTTTCAGAGCTTGGCCCATCTCATGTGTGGACATGATATCCACGGCAGTGCCATTCCACCACATACCATGGGCTTTTCTTTCGAAGATTCAATCATAGTCCCTTCCACGGTAAGTATCTTCGGGTTCCCTCCTTGACTGCCTAGCTAATGTATCACCTCAGCTTGTGCATGACCCTGGAGAAAAAGTGCCATATTTGACAAGAATTCTTGGTAATATTGGCCGTCCGGGACTGACATTTTTGACTGCGCCGGGAAACCCTATGCTCGCCCCTTTGGATGAAGGCACCTGGAGGATCTCGAATCTGAACAGCTTCAACGGGAAGCCAGAGGATATGCTCAGCACCACGTCATTACATCTTTCTTTTACTGATTGGAGCCAGCCTTTGAGTTCAGGGGGGGCTTCGGGTACTCGAGATGTACAGTGCTCACTTATGGAAGCTGTCATCAGCATCAAAGACTCGGGTCAGTGGGTAGGGGATGTTGATATCTTGAAGGCACTGCAAAGCGACATGATTCACCTGGCACGAATAAATCCTTTCTGCTCTCATTCACGTGACTCTCGGCCCCTGAACCACATGCATTCGATCGAGTGCTGGGATGAATTGCGAGATTGTCCTGAAGAGCAGTCAGTCATTCGAGCCAGTGGCAACTGGGTGGCCCGCCTCGCAGCAGTGTCGTATCTTGCTCAAAAGATGAGCACCAATGACATGAGGTCATCTAGAATCTTCATATGCCCTGATAATGTTTGCTGGGCCTGCCTAGAAGCGGAGAGCAACATGGATGATATCTTTATCTACTAGATCAAGGAATTAGTAAGGCTTGGAATTTTTGTATTTCGCTCCTTTTCAAGTCTCCACCACTTTTATACAAATAATGGTTATTGGCTCTCCTGAATTCGAGTCCATATTCTGAGTTTCATGTGCTGATTTAAGTTCTCAGTGATAATTCTTAACTGCAAATAAAGATGCTGGAGTACGTCTTCCTTCATACTTAACCTATAACTTAGCCTTAACGGGGGAGGCCTAAGGGTTACGCTCGGCACGAGACTCCACCAGACTTTAGTAATATCCTGGCTCTCTGTTTTCACAGACCTGCCAATCCTGTTATGTATAGTCAGCTCCGACCTGGCCTTACATGAGTCGTCACAGCACGACAGCTTGTACATACGATCATACCCAGAGAACTCGGGATCCCGTCCGCTCTCCCATAGATAAGCTGATAAGGGGCGGATTAGTAGTTGGGTCGGTGACGACCAGCGAATCCCCGCTGTTGTATGTTGTCTTTTTGACGATATCTGCAATTGTGGTTTTTGCTCCACTTACTGCCTTGCAACTCGGTATGACCTGCGAGCAGCATGTATAGGATAGTCAACACATTTTATTAAATCAGTAACACAATCTTTAATTCCATAGAGTTGAATTGGCATTTATTACCTATTCTTAAGCTTCGTTAGTGCATGATCTATATCTTATCAGATCTGGTGGATCCTCGCTGACGAAGTTATATACTAACGCCGATTTCTCCACTTTCGTCATCAGCGACCGTTTTTTCTCTAATTCTCACCCGCCACTTTAATCTTGGCATGAACGGCCTACAAATTCATATCCCATCATGACTCCAAACCCATCCTCAAGGCCTCAGAGCCCTCAACACTACGAATCAGACGAAGCACCTCTCCTCTCCCGCAGCCCCTCACCTCACTCCCCCCCTCCCCCAAAACCACCCGTATCATGGTCCTCCCTCCCAAACAAAGGCCAACTCGCCGTGATCCTCCTCGCGCGTCTCGCAGAACCCCTCAGCGAGCGCTCCCTAGCTTCATATCTCTTCTTCCAGCTCCAATGGTTCAATCCTGATATTGATCCCTCGGAAATTCCGAAGCAGATGGGTTACATCACTGCTACGTTTGCCGCGGCACAGTGTCTTACGTCTATGTGGTGGGGGAGAGGAGCTGATGATCCGAGACTAGGGAGGAAGCGAGTTTTGCTAATTGGACTTGGGGGATCGTCTTTATCGGCGTTGGGGATGGGATTTTCGAGATCGCTTGGGATGGCGTTCTTTTTTCGTTTTTGTGCGGGTGCGTTGAATGGGAATATTGGCGTTTTGAGGACCATGGTTTCTGAAATCGTTCCTGAGAAACGGTAAGTGGAAAATACTTATGGGACCAACAATTGGCTGACTCTGTTCCTCAAGACACAAAACAAGGGCTTTCCTCCTACTGCCGATGTGCTTCAACGTCGGAGTCATCATCGGGCCTCTCATGACAGGTTTCATGGCTGATCCCGTTCACACGCTCCCTAGCATCTTTGGTCCAGGTTCGCTCTTTGGAGGAGAGAAGGGCGTGCAATGGCTTGAGAAATTCCCTTATGCACTGCCAAACCTCTTCTGCTTCTCCATCCTCATGTCAGCTTTCTTTCTAGTCATTCTTGGCCTCGATGAAACACACTCACACCTACGACATCGCCCAGATCCTGGGCGCAAACTTGGGAAGCTTCTCCTACGAATCATTCTTTGCCGAAAGAAGAATGAACATATTTACAGTTCTATCAATACCGAGGATCCGTCTGATGAGCTGATGGATCATGAGGCTGATCAAGAATCTGGGGAAAGTTCAAGGCCAGCCAAAGCATACAGCAAGACTCGTCCTCCTTTCCGAGACGTGTTGACTAGGAATGTCTGTCTGAATATGCTTCAGCGCTTTCTACAATCTCTCCACGTCTCAGCGTTCAACTCCATCCTATTCAGTCTTCTGCCCACTCCTAAATCAGACTCCGCAGACTTCCATCTACCCTTTCGCTTCACCGGTGGTCTGGGTCTGTCAAGCGAGAGAATGGGTTTAGCCAACACAATCATCGGGACGATCGGCATCCCGCTCCAACTCTTCATATACCCTCGACTCATTGGAAAACTTGGCGTCAAGGCTTCATACAGTGCTTTTCTTCCACTGAGTATTATTGCATACTTCCTCCTACCGTACTTGGTTCTGCTACCAGATAACAACGCTCTGGTATGGACTTGTCTGTCTGCGGTTCTGAGTCTACAAGTATTATCTCGAACATTTGTGAACCCTGCTACTATGATGCTCGTCAATGATTCGGCGCCGAGTCCAAATTTGCTGGGCACGGTGCATGGTTTGGCATCGAGTATTTCGAGTGCTGCTCGGATTATGGGGCCTACTGTTGGTGGAACATTGCTCGGATGGGGTCTTGCTCATAATCTTGTTGGACTACCTTTATGGGTGCTGACGATCTTGGCATCGGCAAATTGGGTTATTTTGTGGTGGATTGAGGATGTGAATATGTCCGAATAAGTTCTGCATTTAGACCTATTCATCAGATGGCTAATTTCGCTCCTTTTGATACTTGTCAAAATTTTGTTCGATATGTCGTGATCGTTTCTGATATTATGGCTATGTCTTCGTAGTGCTTGGCTCGGTTTCTTATGGATATCTAGTAATTAGACCTCGGCTATCATTCCTGACCCTTCCCTCCGCCCCTCAGCATACTGAACACAAGTTCTCGTGAGCGTGAAAGCTTCCCCAGAGTCTTGAATCAATAGCGCCATCCTATTATGAGCTAAGGTCACCGATATTCGAAGGAAGGATGTCCGGCAAGTGCCCAGACCAGGTATCGGGGCAATCTTTCCGTTGGGCTCATCTCTAACCTCCTTGAATGACCGTGATGTCTCCGTCACATGCTCTCGCTCTCAAGCATCCGAATCCGAATCACTATCCTCCTCCACGACAAGATCGATTACCAAGGCCGCTTTATCACTCAGCTTATCAAGCTGGAACCCCGCCGCAAGCGCATCCGTCGCATCATGTATACAGCCCGCAACATCGAGTCCAATATCATGCTCTTTAAGCGCAAGACAAATCAACCTAAAATGCTCATGATGAAGATCCTCATCGTCGCCTCCATCAAAGATGAGCACAGCGTTGCGGTGGATAAGATAGAAATCGTCCTGCACGCCGGGATATTTCTTGACGGCTGCTAGTTTGGCGGGCGTGCAGGATGAACTTGTGACAAGGCGGGTGAAGATGCCAGCGTTGAGAAGGGCGTCGACGGATGACGGTGATTTCGGGCTGAAGATTATTACGTTAGGGGGGAGTGCTGGTGTTTCCGAGGGAGGCTTCTGTGTCGTCATTTTGAAAGTATGCTCCACGAGTTGGGCTTGGAGAGGCGTTGGTGATGAGCATTGCGTGCAGAAAAAGTTGATGATAGCAAATTGGGTTAAGGCGTGATGAGTCATCTTGTTCAGGGTAGGCTCGTCGCATAACAGTGATTCATTGCCCAACAATTAATACTAAGGGAGTCTCAATATCAAGAAGATAGATTTTAATTAGCCTGCACAAGTTAAAAGACGTGCATGTATTTCAACAGCGATATCAAATTATGAGGGATAAGCAGAAAATTCTTTACCACAAAACCCCACTTTCTTCCCAGTGCAAGATGTCAATTCTTAGAGAATACCGCCTTCCACAATCAATCACTGGAGCAGCATCACTTCAATTTGATATAGAGGTAACTGGAGATTTAGTTTCTTTAAATCATGAGATTGATTGGGATAGAATTCGTTTAGACAATAAGTCGAAATAAACATTCTCATCGAGTCACACTCAGAATAGGGCAGTGCACAAGCTTATCCGACGCGTCTTATCGGACCAATCAAGTTCCACTATAGAGGCAGTAAGCTTAGTTATCTGCGCGATGAACCTTGATGAAATTGAGGCGCAAGCTGGAATACGTGAGGCGTAGTGACCAAACAAACGGCCCTGGACATGCAAAGAAAGTGGCCTGCGCCGTTATTACACGAGGCTATTGACATTCAACTTGAGCCTAGTCTTGACTCTGATCGCTGCAAGGTTCCATCTCGCGGTGTATTGCAAGCACTTGTCTAATATACGGGGTAAACGCTAAAAACAGGCAATTCTCATGCGCTTCTACGGCGGCTGAGAGACTTCTACCAAGTGTTTGATACCCATTTTCGCAAGATAATTTAGTTGGAAATGACTCAAAATCTTGATGTTGGAATAAATATCTTGAAACATAAACGATTGGGATGCTGCATCGTAAGTACAGTTTGGTCAGCCATGGAGAACCAACAGCCCTATGAGCCTTAGCGCCGTGTTGGTTTACCCCAGACATTCCTCACCACGGTCTGACTGCGCCCCCAACATGACTCACTTCCCATGTCAAGGCAGATTCGGTACCTTCCAAATAGAGTGCAACACACAAACTCACCTATAAGTTATAACTCTCAGCCCTACATACCGTGTGACTCACGCGGTAGCATTTCCATCTTTATATAAGCTGTCTATCAACCCCAAACAATTTTCAGATCTTCATCAGTACTCATCATGGAAAAGGTACGCAAGACGTTCTTCGACCCTTTGGCTACGTCAAAGGGTCGGATAGCGGAATTACTACAGACTTTGCCTGTTGGCTCGGCACATCCTTACAGCCCTGAGGGCATATTACTATGTCGAACCAAGAATGGCATTGAGGAGATTGATATCTCGAATTACAGCCAAGACTACTTCTTCAACTCCGTTGATCTAGGAGAGATGGGGGAGATTTTACTAAGACGGATGAAGGGGTTCAGAGAACATCTGGGTAAGTATACAAAATACTCATAGAACCTTATTGTTGCTGACGATTGATAGCCGTGTTTGATGACTTTCAGATCATGCAAGCTCCAGCAGCCACCTTCAAGATCCCCATAGTATCGGGCCAGATCACAATCCTGGCTGTATCAGAACGCACTCCTACGTACTACGACTTCTGCTTCGCTGATAACGACTGTAACACGTGTTGTTGGCTCGAACGAACGACCTTTTCTGGAATCAAGCACAGCGGTGATATTCTGTATGGCCAGGATCTTCTGGACTATGTGAGGATAGACAATCATACACTCACGGAGAAGCCCATTTGTGTTTTTATCTCAGGATATACCAAGACACGCATCACGAGATTCCTTGGAACCAACCCTGCACTGATGGTTGCTGATCATGTTGATAAGGTAAGTCGCTAGACTGCGATGTGAAGTTATCAGACTAATCCGGGGTAGATCCTTTATATCATCCCTGTTCCTTTGGACAAGGCGACTATTGGCGATGCCACCATCTGCTGCCCTCTGGTCATCAAGCGCGATGAAGATTCCATCATCTGCTCTATCCTTCCCAAGGCGACGACCGACAGGAACATGATGTGCGACAGCAAGAAGCTAATCAGTCCTTGCTTCCCTGAAGCTATCAAGAGCGCAGATTTCACTATCTCCGAGCCTCTGCCTGCTGTAGCTGCCGAGGAAAAGAAGACTGAGACGAGTGCTGAGGTGGAAAGTGAAGTGCAGGTTTCAGATAAGAGGCGCGCTGTATTAACCACTAATATTTCAAGCCTCCCCTCTTTCTTGAGTGCTTCTGACGCACAGGTTATTCGCTTCAGCACTGGTATCGAGTTCATGGCTTCAGATGCAAACACCGGCCAGGACGAGTCAGCAGTTGTTCTTCCCTGCATCTTTGGGTCTCAACTCCAAGGCCCAATACTCTTATCCACCGGCAGCACTCCTTCCAACGTTCCCTTTAAGGATGAGAAGGCTCTTTGCGCTTACTACGAGCAACTGGAGAGTATAGCTGTGGTCGTTGATGAGCGCATGACTGATAACGCGCGAAACTTGGCTTCCGGCCTTCGGATGAATACCCTGTTCATCGTGCAGATCAAGACCAAGGAGGAGCATGAGACAGAAGAACAAATCTCGGCTGTGTTGAGTTCGGCGAATATCAATGCTGTCACCGCACTTGCTGGACCTCAGTCTTTGATTGTGGGCAACATAGGTGACAAGTTTTACTTCTATCGGGGGCTGGCAAATTTCAAGATCTTGGATACGGCAAAGTTGAACTTTGGAGCGGATATCACAGATGTGATCACCTCGAACAGTGTGGAATCGCTATTGGCTCCAAAGATCCCTCGACTGGTCAATCTCAGTGATGCCAACACTATTTATCTTCCCTACTCGGCCCAAGTCGTTCGTCCTCAGGACTTATCTGGTATCTTCGAGGGTCTCAGCATCGCCGAGATCAACACCATGCACGACGACATCACCGCCGCAGTTCCCCAGCTCCAGGCCCTCCTCAGCCAAAAGGATCTCCAGCAACTCTCCAAGACCCTCGTCGACACGCTCTCCGCCAAGATCGACAACAAGATGGCCCCTCTTCGAAGCGAGTACATAGCCTTCATCACCGCCAACCTCCGCACCGATGATCAAGCCATTCTCAACAAGAAGAACAAGATGCTCGGTGATATAAGAAAGGCCAACAAGGAGGTTCAGACTGTTCTTGAACCTGTCATTAATAGTCTTGCGAATATGATCTCTGTTCAGACGACATCGAAGAGGACGCATGATATGAAGAGACTTTTGAGACAGACGCAGATCCAGAATAATGTTGAGGCGACCAAGTCGATGACGTTTGAGAGCTTGACGGGTTTGTTGGAGAAGCATGCTGAGGAGATGGGGGTGATGTTGTTGAACATTGAGACGGTGCCTTATAAGGAGATGCTGGCCAAGTTGAAGGGTACTACAATTGATGCCAAGTAAGTTTACTATACACGCCCATTTGAGACTTTGGTTGCTAACATCACTAGACCTTGCTGTGCTCTTGACGATCGAATCCTTCACCTTGATGGCTTCGACGCCGGTATTATCATGGAACAGTCCCAAAGCCAACATGCCGGCCCCTTGGTCAGCCAAGCTGGACCCAACCATCCCATCCTCGCGCTTCCATACCTCAGCCAACAGCGCGGCGTCGGCTCAATGCTAGCATGGGTATGCTGGGACGAGTTCGTCAACCTCAAGAGCCCATACACAATCCGCTGGATGGAGAAGTGCAATGAATCACACATCGCCGCACTACGAATCATGATGCGAGATACACTTAGTCAAGCAGTTGCTTCACGGGAGTATAACTTTGAAGCGGGCAGTCCCGAGATTGGCCATTTGATGAGTTCCTTGCTTATGGCGGCTATGTCGAAGCTTGCTGCGATGAGGACAAGTGCTCCTGTTGTGTTGGACAAGGCAGAGGATACGGTTACGAGGTTGATGAGAGGTCTTTTTGGGAATCTGATGACGATTGCGGGATCAGGTGTGAGGCCTTTGAGTATGGTCTGGCAGCTCTTTGGGCTGAATCCTCAGTATGACGTTCCCGTCACAGATGCTGATTGGATTTGGTATGAGAATGTCGTCGAGCTGTATCCCTACACTGGATGGCCTTTGAATACGTTTAACGACAATCTGCTTAAGCTTCTTGACAAGATCATCGTGCGGGTTGTCACCAAGAACGAGAACGTCGCCGAGATCAAGCAGAGCAAGGCTTATGATATGGTGCAGTTCTGCAAGCTTCGGAATATCCAACTCGAACACTGCCGTACCATCATCACCGTCTTTGAACGAATGCTCACCACGGATGGTCTAGATATTGCAGCCATCGCGGGACGTCTTCAAGATAATGTCCCAAGTGAGCTTGAGAAGCAGACCAAGGGCTACACAAGAATGATGCGATATCTCGGCCATCTTGCCAGAGGCGGCGCAAGGCGTCCTACAGATGATCTTGTCTACGCTAACGTGTACACCAAACGCTCAGCCGCCTTCAAAGATCTCAAGATCGCGGTCGCACTGGCGTGTCAAGACAAGGAATGGGATGTTGCAAAGGAGAACTGCCAGGCTGTTCTTGACTTGTATACGAAGATCGCTGCCAGGTGGCAGATTCAGCCAGACCAGCTAAAGGTGCAGAACATCCACTACTACCGCGAACTCATCGACGCAGATGTCTCCGAGGACGCTGAGCAAGAGGTCAAGAACCGCACGAGAAAGATCGTCGGGCGCATCATGGACGATGCAGAGAAGAGGCGTATCCCATGGCAAGTTGGCAGCGACGCAGCCAAGAACAACATCGAGCCTCTTGACGAGCAGTTCCTCGAGCAAGTCCTTACCGGAACACGTCCTGAAGCTGAGACAAAGGCTTTAGTCGAAGTTACCAAGGAGGAAGTTGTTGAAGAGGAGAGCTTTTCAACGTACAAGAGCTCTTTAGCGCCTGCGTTTGTTTCGACGATGGAGAAGGCTCTTTCGGCAGAGGATGTCTGTGCGATAACCAAGATTCCTGAGTCTTCGATGAGGGTGTTCATCAAGGCGCTTAACCCTGAGTTTGAGTGGGATGATTTGGCGCAGCAGTTCAAGATTGTAATACTGAGTTTGTTGCGGGAACGTTCGGGACGGGTAGAGAGCAGGCCTGCTGCCAGAATGTTGAGATTACGATGAATAGATTGGTAATCATGTGATTGGGATTTAGTCTAGTGTCATGGGTAAATCAGGCTTTCTTATGTATAGCTCGCTCTAATGAAATGACATCTAAAGTTTCTCTGCCCGTGAGTTTCTGATTGTCTTATCAACTATGCTCATTGCTCGAAGACATTCCTCGTCTCTGAATCGTGGTGCAATGATTTGGATTGCAGTGGGTGCACCGTCTGTGGCCTCGGGAATATCTAACATCTGTTAGCTACAGTGGAATAGACTTTTTATACGGTAAAACCTACAGTCAGGGTCGAATGTGGCCTTGGCCTTGACGTGCTCGGGGTCTTCGGACTTGGAAGAGTTGCCAAAAGGAATAATGCCAGCAGGGAACTGTCAACTTGTTAGCAAGTACATCGTTGAGTGGTGCGGTGATGTCAACTTACATCCAAGACATTCCACATCAGCGTATAGAGAGGAACACCATAGGTATCATGGGGGATAGCCGTGGTCGCAGCTCCAGGAGCGAGTATGACATCAAGCTTGTTATCGCGATACGTCTCCTGCCAAGCCTTAAGGTACTCAAAGCGAACCTCATTCAGACGAGACAACTTCGTAGGTGTGTCCAGATCCGGAGGAACAGGGAAGTTGCCGTTGGCAAAGGGATGGACAGCGATAGCCACAGAGTTGACAAGTGGCTCACCGATCTCTCGAGAGACGGTATCGAGATCAGGACCCATGAGACTGAATAGCTGGAATCCAATTCTTGCACCAAGACCGGCATTTCGCTTGGGATCTTGGGGGAGATAAACCAGCTTATGGCCTGCTTTCTCAAGCGCAGAAGCAGCCTTTGCTAAAGCGCGTCGAACAGGTGGATGAAGAGGATATTCGGGATCTTCAGCCATCACACCGATGGTAAGCTTAGTATCTGCCTTACCGAGCTCTCTCCAGGGGATATCTGCAACAGTAGGGTCATAGTTCCAAGGTCGTTGAGCAAGAGTAATTTTCATGAACAGCTCAAGATCCTCGATGGAGTTGGCCATAGGTCCACCGACTGGTGCAACACCAGGGAGATGATCCTTGGGAAATGGATATTCTGATTGACCTCCGAATGGAACACGTTCAGAAGTAGGTTTGAATCCGTAGATACCGCAGCACAGAGATGGAATGCGGATGGAGCCGGCGATGTCACTGCCGACGCCGAGGGGAGATCCTCTAAAGGCGATGAGAGCGCCTTCACCACCGGTCGAGCCACCTGCTGTGAGACTGGTGTTGTGAGGGTTGAGAGTTCGTCCAAAGATGTTGTTCTCCGAATCTGCTGTCTACAGGGTGTCAGAGAGTGCAGCTGATCGGTATATGATATAGCCTACCATCATTGTCTGGGGCAGGTTTGTCTTGCAGAATAAAACAGCTCCAGCGTCGAGCAACAAGTCAACGAGTGCAGAGTTGTGATCAGGCATTGGTTGACGAAGAAACTCGACATAACCAACGGTAGCATGATGACCTTTGACGCGATATGAGTCCTGGTTTGTCAGTAGAGTTTCTGATGTTGGAGTTGCTGCTGCATACCTTGAGACTAATAGGTAGTCCGTGGAGTGGACCAGCCAACTTTCCCGTTGTCTTTAATTGCTCATCAAGTTCCTTGGCTCTTTGGATGCCCTCCTTGAACATAATCTCCGTCAAACACGATGTCTACTTCTGTTAGTACACGTTCCAACAGCTGTCTCAGTGTCACATACCAATTGCTGAGCGAGACTTGCACGCTTGGAAAACGCCACAGTAACTTCCTCTGACGTGAGTTCTTGAGAATGTATCTTGCTCAACAACTCAGCAGCAGTATACCGCTCCGTAATGACAATCTCCTTCTCCGTCAAGAGTCCAGACCTGTGAACGGCCTTTGACTCAATAAGCTTGCTCCCATTCCCATCCCCAGTATTCTTCAGTCCATGGAGTTGTTTCTCTGGGATGAGCCATTCTGCCGGTACAGCATCTCGCTGCTTCTCGCGGTGCTGAGCAGCAATGGTCTTCCAGTTGGTGGTAGTAGCAGGCATGGTGAGTGATGTGAGGATGATGAGATGAGATTTGCTGGAGAGCTGTTTTTGGTCTCCGCATTGTTTATGAATGAGGAAAGAAAATAGGCAACGGAAGTCCGGAGTTCTAGATTGTCTAATCTCCCCCACAACAATACGGATAGACTACCCCATACTGCAAGCCGAGATAGCGTCGCCGCGAGATTTGGAGGGGGGTTGTTTTAGCTCCGCAGCGCATGTAATGCCCTCTTTTGGCAGTTGGAGCCGCCGCCGTATCGGCAAATTCAGGCGGCACGGAAACAGGGTCTGATCTGCAATGTTAATTCTTAGCATCATCGGTATCATTTCCGTAGCAGTCGCCGTATCAATCAGCGTATCAAGTCAAAAAATGATTTGTAAAGATAAAAGATGCCCTGGTCTTCCATATCAAGTACACTAGGTTTCAGCAAGATCCGATCTCAGATCTAACACTCCCTGCGCACTCCCCGGTCCATCACCTTCGGAATGACTTCTCACGTTCCATCCCCCGGAAACGACTTCTCTCCTTCCGAAGTCGATATCCCAACAATGCGCATGCCTTATCTAGAGTTCATCTACCGCATCGTTGCCGAGATGGACAAAGAGGGGGTCACCGAGATTGCAGGCATCGACGGCACCTCCAAGAGCAGAGTTGTCCTCCCCATCCAAGGCGGGCAAGTAAATGGTCCTCAGATCAAGGGAATCATCGTTGACAAGAGCGGCGCCGACTGGGCCGAAGTCATTAACCCCAATAAGGTGAATACCATGCAGAAAAAGACAAAAGCTTATCGTCGATTAGCTAGCTAACAGGGGTATAGTCTCTTGTTCGGTTAAATGCCATGTACACCCTGCGGACTCATGATAACGTACATATCCTTGTTAAAGCACAGGGCATCTATCGTACTGGACCTGGAGTGGAGGAGCAGGTGGGAGAGCGGGATACCGTTACGCAAGATGAGATGGAGTATTTTACGCATATTAAGTTTGAGGCCCCTGGTGATAGTTCCTATGGCTGGTTGAACACTGTTGTTGCTATTGGAGTCATGATCATGTCAGAGGGGAGACCGATTATTGACTGTTATCGGTTGACTAACTTTCCTGGAAAGGGAGCTGCAAACTTGTAGACAGATGGATAACTGATAAAATAACATAAAATTTTACATCATATCTTTGAGCTGAAGATTCCATGTGGGGCTTAATGATCCGGGAATAACTGCTTTTCGTATGTGGTGTGCCTCAAGCACGTAACGATCTCCCTGGGCTGGGTGAGGCTGAGTCTAAAACGCCGCCGAGTTTCTAAAGGTGTGACATGCCCCAGCAAAGTACGATACAGCCAATAGAACGTCGGCTGTTTGACTACGGAAAACTGTAATCCAAGTCTGTTCATCCCAAATGAAACTTGACAGAAACCTGAGTTTTGAGATGAAAGAGAGTATGAGTAAATTGATGATACCTAAACTAACAAGACTACAACATATCAAGTCCCAACATCGTCCACGGATTCTTATCCCCATGTCATTGATCCATCGTAAAGTCCTGTCAAATACGCGACCGCTTCTCGACCAGCTTCCAATAGCGAGGTGCCAAAGTAGTGCGAATCTTCTTGCCGTAGATAATCATGGGCACAAAGAGAGAGCCAATAGCGAATGCAATGCAGCCACTGATGATGAACATGTTGGTAAGACCCATAGATGTCATCCAAGGAACAATGGCAAAAGTGACACCAACAGAGACAGCGTTTCGCAAGAAAGCAATGCCGATGAAGGCTTCAGCGACGAGTTCACGATAAGTATCAATGATCAGAGTAAAGGTGATATCGCCGTTGGCACCGAGTCCAAAAGCAAAGAATGCTCCACCGAGGGAGGGATAGATCCAGTGCATGCCCTAAAGAATGTCAGTGAAAAATACTAAGATCAAGGAGGTCAACTTACGCGAGCAGCTGTAGCGCCAAACATGATGATTCCACCAGACATGAAAAATGTAGGAATGACAAGAGGATACAGCCGCATCTCAGGCTCGTAGACACCACCGTTGCGTCGTGCAAGTCGAACAACAGTCCAGTCTGCAAGAGGCCCTCCATAGATACTTCCAAAGATGTTGCCAACAAACGGACCAAGAGCCATGTATCCAATACCAGCGGTATTGAAGTTATAAGGAGGAGCCGAGAAGACAATGGAGATGATTTGCATGAAGATGACAAGCCAGCAGACTCCAGAAGCAAACTGTAGAGCAGTAAACATGACGTGGGGAAGGGTGATGACATGGAACGGCATCATGAACAAGCGAGGAAGGTTTTCGCCTGTCGTGGTAGTCAAACGCATGCACTGACGGTATGAGTTCATGGGAATGGTAGGATCCGTATGAGTGCCAACGGTGACAAGTTCACTGCCGACCTTGTTTTTGGAGTCAATGTCTGTCTCAGTGGGGTTCTGCTCTGAAAACGCTTCGTCGTGCTCTGCCTCGCCGACCGAGAGGGGAATGTACTTTGTCTCCTCGAAGGCAAAGAGGAAGGCGACGAAGAGGACGGTGAGGCAGATGGACAAGGTGTAGTACGACCATCGCCAGCCTTGGTTGGCAGCTTGTGTGCCGGAGGCCATGGGGGTGAGAAAAGAACCGACCATGACGGCGGTGAAGTAGACAGCATTAGCAGATCCACGATGATGAACAAAGAAGAGGTCAGAGATCTACAGCTATCAGTAAGCGGCCTTGAAGTTGAGGACGTGGACTTACAGTCATCTGAACAGCCGTCTCATTGATAGCACCACCAAGACCGGTAATGACCATGGTGATGATCAACTCAGGATAGCTCTGCATCCTCGCCGTCCACCACGAGACACCAGCAAGAACAGCAGTGGAGAGGATATACGCAGAACGACGCCCATACTTGATAGAAGGGGGGATGAAGAACAAGCAACCCATGGCCAGACCAGCTAGCTGGGCGGATTGGGCATTGGTCAACTGCTGAATGGTGACGCCCATGTCAACAGTCATCTGCTGCCAAAAGACAGTCTGGATAGAGAGATTGGTAAAGGCGGCGATCGTGACGGCGATCGACAGCCCAAAGTTCAAGAATTTTCGCCATGTAGGCCAATTCTAAACGCATTAATTGAAGGTTTTACAAATGATGAATGAAGTATAGCTCACGAGAGGCTCATTGGGGTCCCTGGAGGGCGTTGGCTGCAGAACGAAGCGCGACGCGTCGGTAGCTGACTCTACTGTAAATCAATCAGTCAAATTGTCGATGGTGAAGCAGGTCATGGTGTTTTACCCAAGATCAGGCGGGCTTCTCCCGGGATGGGGACGCGATCGGTGGAGGTCATGATGGGGCTTGGGCTCGCTTGGAGAATTGAAAATGGGGAAGAAAGTGGAGGTTGAAGCTGGACTGAATCGTATGATGAGAGGCAAGCACAGGGACTATATATCCTTTTCAAATCTCAGCGATATCAAAAAAAAAAAAAGTAGTGTAGTGTACAGCCACCAACATGCAATGTACTGAGTCTTGTTCTGCACGAGACAGACTTGATACGGTGCGTCAACAGTGAGCGTACGAGGTATAGGGGGTCAAGGGTCTGTGTGCGATTAGCTTCACTCTCTACAGGAATCCCTGTCGAGGTGGTATCTGCAAATCACGAGCAGAGACCATTCCCCCGCATTCTGGCTGTTCCCACATACGAGACCAACAGACTTTGTGTGGCGATAAGAAGATGTCCCGCCCGTAGACGATCTAAACTGCTTTAGGGAGATACACGCGCGGCGCCTCTTTCACCCCTTTTCGTCTATAAACTTCCATCCCCAGCCCCGCAAAGTCAGAATATCGCCTCCTTTCGTACACGCACCCAAACAATCCCTGAGCCCCCAAGATCTTTAAGGCCCCAGAGATAGACAAGACAAGACACGCACTATGGCCCGATCTCGCGGAGGCTGCCTGAACTGTAAAGCCCGCAAGCGAAAATGCGACCAGGCTCGCCCGGAGTGCCACGCTTGCTCCCAAAGGGGCATGAGGTGCCAGGGTTACTCGACTCCCCTCCGCTGGGTCAATGGCGTCGCTTCTAGAGGCAGATTTGCCGGCGCTTCTGTGCCCGACGCGTCATTGGTCGCGAATCAAGGGCCTGAGAGCAATCAGGACCTCATGTCGATGGATTCCGAGACTTCCTCTGCTCCTAGGCACGATACGTCGAGTCCTGCGTCGGGCTCAATCTCGTCGTCTGCCTTTTCACCCCAGACCATTGGCGTGCCGTCAGCAGACGCTCAAGACCCGAGATTCCAGAGATGTATGTTGTCATCATTCATTCACTTTACTGGCTCCTCATTTGATACCGAGGTAGGTACTTCATTGTAGTTGGTGCTAATTAATTGTCTCGCTAGTCATGAACAATGGCCTCAATCGGCTGTACTCCACGGAAGCCAGCTCTTGGATCAAGCCCTTCTTTGAGCAGATGGCTTATCAGAGCCCGGCGCTGGTCATGATCGCTGGTGCGATACAGCTCTACATGGACGACGGGAATCGCGGCATGTCTGTCAAGTCGATGGAATACACCGACCTGGCCCTGCAGACGTTCCGACAAGAGCTTTCCGCCCGGTATGAGCGAATGCACCTCGCGACAATATGCGCTGGCTTGCTAGTCTGTTCGCTCTGTGTACGTGTTCCCCTTCTTTTCCTGCTTATTCCCGGCGCGAGTCTCGGAAATTAACGTACCGTCCAGCTACTGCAGACCCAACCGTGGACAATGTACCTCGAGCTCATTGTCGACGTCTACGATCTCAAGACCAAGCTCAGCACCGTTGGACAAATTTCCAATGATCTCCATACCCAACATCTCCTCGAAGTTCTTGGTGTAATGGATCTTCCATCCAGCGTCATCGGTCGAGTAAATCCTTCCATCGGCGTCTGGAAACTCTTCCGTCGTCTTCAAGATGATCGCGACGAAGGCAGAGCGACAGGTGTAGAAGTCGTATCAGGCATTCCCCGCTCCCTCCTCGATATCTTTGCTAGCATCATGGACAACGATCCAGAGTATACCGAGACGCGCTTCTGGGACTGGCCGGGACAGGTAGGTGAGTCGCTGCAGTGCCACTACTGGGAATGCTGGCGCTTGGCAGGCATACTGGAGATCCGTCGTCGGCGGAGAATGGAGCGGAAAGCGAGAGGGCTGCCCGACCGAGAGGACGGCACGTCGAGCAAAGGCCCAGATACAGAGGTCGTTCTATGCCGTCTCATCTCATCGATAGATGCCCTGCAAAAGGCCTTTGAAGAACCTCGCAATCAACACCTCCTCGTCCACAACGGCCTTCCATATGCAGTCGTCAACGCAGGTCTAGAAGTCCCCCTCCTCAAACAACATCCAACATGGAAAGCAACCCTCGACGATGTGAGGAATTCGTTGCTCGGCACAGATTCCTTTGATCTAATCAATACTATTTTCGAAATGCTCGATGAGGCGTGGGCGAACGGGACAAATACTTTTGACATTGAGAGCGCAGCACGCTCCAGGAATCTTGAACTTGCTATTTTTTAAAGGGCGTTGGGAATAATCGGCGCATGATGCACTCAAACTCATGACTCTCTTCTGTACTACGGACTACTATTTATCGCCTGAAATAAATGACGCAACTCGCTGGATGAGAGACTTTGTATACTCCGTGCTGGGCGCCGAGTAGTCAACCGTGTAGAAGGACACAGACGCCTTGCCATTCTCAACTACGTATGTCTCGCCGGGGAGAGAGCAGTCACCATTGATGCAGGCATTCACACCAGCGGCGTAAGGCTTGATGTTGGCCCAAGTAAACGTTCCCTTCTCTTTGTCGAGGACAGCTTCATTGACGTGAGCGTTTCCAGTGAATCGCGTCTGCACGAAGTCTGGGTTCTGGTTCTTCTTTGTCAAGACGGGTAGATTGACGTTGACGCCGTAGCCAAGTGGGAGAAGAGGACCGTTCTTGGGGGAGGTAGCGATGAAGTTCTCGACGAACTTGACCGAGGCTTGAGCGGCCCATGTAGCGGGGTTGGTTCGGTTCTTGACCTCAAAGTAGGGGACTTCTTGGTTGCTTGCAGAAATGGCAATAGCAGGAAGTCCACGGTTGGTAGCGGCATATCTATACGTCGTCAGTTCAGACATCTTCTTGTTGGGTTGGGGAATGCCTTACGCAGCGCCCGCAGTGCCAGATAGGGTCCACACGAAGCCTCCCAGGTTGGTTCCATAGTTGGGGCCAGTAACGACAAGATCAGGAACGCTAAAGTTGGCGAACTTGGGGAGAACATAATCCAAAGCGACGAACGTGCAGGCAGCGGGTGTGCCGTTGTAGTACCAGATCTGGCTGTCCTTTGGATCGTGTCCAACCTACGTCATGTCATGTTAGGCCAATTCGACGGCAATTCTTGGAAGAACATACGGAAGGTGCACCCTTGGGAATCAAGTCATATTGCGACGGGGCAGTCAAGTTTCCTTCGGTGGTGAAATCAGAGGTACCGCCTTTGCCGCTCTGCTTTGTCGCGGGGGCAACAACCCAAACTGCAAGCACGTCAGCATTGTATCTCGACATCATGAAGAGGTAGCTCACCATTGTGACCCTTCTCCTTGAAAATGCGATACATCTCGCGTAAGTTCCCAGAACCGAAGCCATCATCATTGCCCAGCAGAATATTCAATGCATTAGCACCTGAAGAGAGCAGGGCTGCTCCAGCGATGAAGGAAGATAGACGCATCGTCACAAAGATCCGGGGTATACAGTTGCTATCGTAGTAACGCCAAGTGCCAAAAACAAGAGAAGAAGTGCCCCAAATCAATCAATTGAGCGATGTCGACGATCTTTTATCTAAGCAAAGTCAACGGAGAGCGGCCATGTCCGTTATCGCATTGCCAAGCCTTCAAAAGTTCCCTTGTCTATCATTATAGTACCTATCGCCTCGCGTGCTCTCCTTCCAAAAGTGGACAAGGTGAGAAGACGATGAACATGGCTCTTGATACTGCACTATCAATTCTTGTAGTGTTTTGCTAGGTGTGGAGATAATCATCTAGCGTGCTTATCTATCGCACGCGGGGTTGGGACCAACCCTGTGATTGACAAGGCTACCCGGATATTACGGCGACAAAAGATCCTGGTTTCTCAGTAGAGGAACAATAATTGTCCGTTAAAGTTTGATATGCTTATTCACTAGCTTGGTTACCGCTACAGAAGACTCAAGATGATGGCGCTAACACAAAGAAAGATCGTCGCAGCCGCCAAACCTCCAGCTCGAGGCGCCGAGTTCTCCTCTTCCTCTTCCTCTTCCTCTTCCTCTTCCTCTCCATCGTCCTCATCCTCTTCATCATCCACTTGCAACTTCAACTGGGGCTTTCGACTACCCGGAACAACCTGGTCCGGGGCTATACATATCAGCCTATTCATACCAGATGCTGAAAATAGCAACGGTATGGTCTGCTGAACCATCAAATCATACCTATCAAAGTTTTCCCGATCCTCATCACCGGTACGCCCAGTCAGCAACCCACTGCCAAAAGTTATGTAACCTTCTGGCAGATCAAGATATGGCATCTTATTTACCGAACAACGCGCCGAGGAGAAATTCCGTGGGGTTGCCGAGAAAAATAGTTAGCGTATATAGATAGTTAAACGTTCGAGACTGATCAAGAAAGACATACTTTGAGTTATAAAAACGTACTCCCTACATTCGTCGCTGAGGCCCAGAGAATACAAATTCGGACATCTAGCAGCGCGCCCTATACCATCACGCGTAGGATTCTCGAACTCCCCGATGCATTTCTCGCTCATGACGCCTTTGCATGAGTGATTTGCGTACGGCGTGTTCTCAGGAGCATCCATATCTGGGGGGTTCTCGGAGGTCCTGTTTACAGCTTTCAACATGGACGAGCAGACCAGTATATCTTGTCCGGCTAAAGTCGTCGGGCCTGCAAGTGTTTTAGGACCGCTTATAAAAACGGCGGTATCGACGCCTCCAAATACGCGGGCACCTATTGCACGTTTGTCGGTTACAGCGGCGGTTATGTACCATGGCAAACCCTGTCCTGCGACTTTGGTGCGCGCTGTGCGTGTTGAGTTGTAGATCAAGCGGCCATCGTTAACGCGTCGGATCTCAGAAGGGCAGTCTTCGGGCAGCGAGGAATTCTGCGCGAGACATATTCCTGCCAAGTGTAGGAAGATAACCGCGAATATCCCAAACATTCTTTGGATTTTGGTAACAATGATGAACTTGCAACGATAAATCTGAGCATCGAGGAGCCCCCGTCAGAGGGGAATGGCAAGATACCTAGATATACCCTTTATGCTTTTGGCCCCCATTTTACATGACTTCATTGTAGTCCTCGGCGTTTGCCTGTTTAGCTGTGCCAAGCAACCTTTTAAGCTTATTCGCTAGCCTAATTATACTACAGCCTATAGGAGAGTGAACATCATGACGACAGTACTGAGGAAAACAAACCCCAAACCTCCAACTCGTGACGCCATGTTCTCATACCCTTCCTCACCCTCACCCTCATCGTATTCATCTTCCTCAGCTTCTCCTAGCTTAAGCTCGGGTTTTCGACTGCCCGAGACAATGTTATTCGGAGTAATGCACACCAACTTCCTGTCACTGATACCACCGCCCGATACCACCGTGAATATTGGAATAGTCTGCTGAACTCTCATATCATAAGAGTCAAAGTCATCGTAGTCGTCATCACCTGTCTCCCCTGAAGAGATAGAACCGCCATACGTCCAATAGTCAACAGGAACATCGAGATTTGGTATGTTGCCGAGTGTGCAACTGTCCGTGGAAATATTCCGCGGCGAGACTAAGCGGAAGAAAATAATTAGCCATACAGTAAGACGTTAGAGGGGCCTCCAAGTTACCTAGCTGGTACAAAGTAAGGTGCTTCTTGCATTGAGCGCTGAGGATAAAGGCCGCGGAGCTGGGACAGCCTCCACTAGTGCGTATCGGGAGAGTCGAATTCTCCAATTCCTCGATACACGCCTCGCTTATGACGCCTTCACAAGACTCATCTGCATCGTCTAGGTTCTCAGAGCTGCTGTTTAGTCCTTGGAACATGAACGAACAGACCCCGACGGACTTGTCAGCAACTAGGTATCGAGGAACGCTTATAAAGCCCTTGATCCACTGCCTGGAGTGAGCGCCGTCGAATGTACGGTTTTGGTCCCGTTCATCGGTCACAGCAGTACTGATGTACCATGGAGTCTTTGCTCCCTCGAACTCAATGGGCAGGGTACCCAATGCGTTAAAGGAAATGGCGCGCTTGTCGACATTATCTGTAAAGTCGCTGGGGCTGCAGTCTTCTGATGGTGAGGAACCTTGAGCGAGGCATGCCCCCAAAAGGTATAACCACACAAGTGCAAACATGGTGAGAATTATGTATAGTTCACTAGTAATGCCAGACTGATAGTTAAAGTAAAGTCGTGCACCGTCGAGGGCAGAGGTGGCCTTATAAATATCCTTCATATTTTAGCCCCCAACTATATGACTTCATTACAGTCCTTGGCGTTTGCCTCTCACTGGCTTTAAGCTTATCCAATAGGCTGGTTATGCTACAGAAGGCTACAGATCATAACAACGCCAACGCCAAGCAAAACAGCCCCCAGCCCCCCAACTCGCGACGCCCTGTTCTCATCTTCTTCTCGATCTCCTAGTTTCGACTCAGGTTTCCGACTGCCCGGAACAACCTGATCAGGAGCAATGCAAAACAGCTTGCTTTCACTACTATCATTGCCGTTTGATACAGCCATCAACACAGGAATACTCCGCTGAACTCTTTCATCGTAGCGATCGAAATCCTCGCGATCACCATCACCATCAAATCCTGCCCAATCAGTGCCGAAAGTGGTGTAATTGGCTGGAAGGTCGAGATACGGCATCTTGTCGAGCGAACAGCGCGTTGAGGAAAAGTTCCGTGCTATGCCTGGGGGGAAGAACACTTAGTTAGTGATACAGCCAGATGCCGGAGAATAGTTAGTACCTACTAATGCCGCCAAATACTTGTTCTCTACATTCCTCGCTCAGGTCAGGCATTATTGAGGTGAAATCGGGACAAGGTTGGCCGAGCGCAGGGACAAGCATAGTTGCATTCTCATATTCCTTGACACACTTGTCGCTAATGACCCCTTTGCAGGAATATTGCGCATCAGTGGGATTGTCAGAGGTTTTGTTGACACTTCCCATCATGTGTGAGCAGACCCGGATGTCTCTTCCATCTGGACTTGCACCATATCCATGCGGAACGCTAACAAAGACACTGAGCTCCTGACTCGAGTCGAGCTCAGAGCTGCGCCCAGCGACGAACTCGCCATTTGGGGGGCGCACGTCGGTTATAGCGGTGGTTATGTACCATGGCTTCGACTGTCCTTTGAATTTGTAGGACAGTGTGCGTGTTGAGTTGTAGATCAAATGGTCCTCGCCTACACGCCGAAGTTCCATGGGGCAGTTAGAGAGCGAGGCGGCACATGTTCCCGATAGGTATAACAGGATGACTGAACAAAATCTGTATCTGTATAAGTTGTCCATTCTTAACAAAAATGGGATATCAGTAGCACCACGGAACCGAACTCCTTGATGCTTTTTGGAGAGGAGCGCTAGAATGAATGAATGAGATTATTGCTACTCGGGGGCATAAATCTCAAGATAAATAGGCACTCTTGGCATTTCGGCCCCCAACTACATGACTTCATCGCAGCCCCGGAGTTTACCTAATTAAGAATCCTTCACAATGCAAATCCCCTGCTCAGCGCGTTGTCAAAGCGCCAAGGCGGCGCAAACTGGGCCAAGACGTGCTAATTGGTGATCATCGCTTAAAATCTCCGGTATCCGAAACGGATTGATATGTTGGTCGGGAGAATGACGTATTACTACATATCAGTTTTGACGAATGGCTGTTTCTATGCTACTTATGATGGAAATAATTTGGGGGCCATCCATGCCTGGACTTTTCCTGTTTTTAAGTTGAATCTGATCATTCGGAATTGATATATTGGCGACTTGAAAGCTTTACAGCTACCTACTCAAACCATCAAGGATTATATAAAGCTCAATGTAATGCCCTAGGGGCATGGGGAGGAGCAATGAAATCAAACCGATATCTCCAACATCCATTTCATCGCCTTGATTAAGTCATCGTCACTTTTGATAGCACTCCGTAAAGGAAAGTTCATAAAGGCATGTGGGAAGCCTGCGTACACACTCACTCTAACGGGGATTCTAACTTGTAGTTAGCAAAAATACTCCCATCTAAAAGTTAGTATATTCACTCACCCTGCTTTCTGCAACCTCTCAGCGTATGCGAATCCGTCGTCGCGAAGAGGGCTGTCCAACTCACCCTTCTTGATTCCAGGACTCAAGTTCTTCACGGACCCCGAGTCGAACAGTCGTCCTGGAAACCTGTTTTCGGAGAAACTTCACTCTGACTACCATAACAATCCAGAGACTAGATATCATATCCCTTTCGCTCCTATTGGGGACCCTGGAAACAGGAGACTAAAAGTCATCACGATCGAGGCCGGTCTGGCTGGTGTTATACTAGCCTACAACATCGAGAAGCATTGCCCTAATGTGGAACATGTAATTTACGAGAAGAACCCAACAGTCGGCGGAACTTGGGTAAGGCTTTTCCCTTTTTTATACTTCCCTTGTTGAATTCACTGGTTAGCTGACAAGGAGTCACTAGTACCAAAACCGATATCCTAATGCCGCATGCGATTCCCCGACCTGTACATATCAGTTCAACTTTGCCATCGACCCCGGTAAGATATCCCAATATATCTTCTGATGGATGATTCAATAAGCAAGTCATCAAAAACTAGGGACACTAACATTTCCATAGAGTGGGAGAAGTTTCTGTCAGGATCTGACTACCTACGCCAGTATGTGGCTAAAGTTGTAAAGAAGCTCGACCTCGAGAAGTATATGACGTTCAACTCGAGAGTGATCGAAGCCCGCTTCGACGATAAGAAAGGTATATGGGATGTCAAGATTGAGCAGACGGCGAGTGACGAGAGCAAGAAGACCTTCACCGGCGACTGCGACCTCCTCCTAGGCGCAGTGGGTATCCTGGATCGCTGGGAGTACCCAAAGATCCCTGGCCTCGAGTCGTTCAAGGGTCAAGTGATTCACTCGGCCGACAGGACAAAGTGAGACGCCCAGTCTTTTCCTTCTTCCGGAATGTCTTACTAACGCGTCGGGTACTTCCTAGGTGGAAACAGTACACCAAAGATAAATGGGCAAATGATGAAATCGCTGTCATCGGGTCAGGAGCAAGCGCGTATCAGGTCGTACCAGGTATGCAGCCTTACGCCAAAAGAGTACACAGCTTTCTCCGCACACCGGCGTGGTTTTTTGCCCAGATGTCTTCTTTTGGTGGAGACCCTCGACCACAGGATTATACATGTCAGTGCCGTAGGATATCGAACCCCATTGCTGGATTTACGAAGCTGACCGTTGGTGTTTGGAGCCAGATACCGAAGAGGAGAAGTCCCTCTTCAGAAAGGACCACGGCGCTATGCTCAAGCACGCAAAGGCTAATGAGAGTGTTTTGATGATGGTTTGTTCCCTTCTACCTTCAGTTTGCGAATATGACTGAAAGAGTGCAGCTGCAGCATATGATGGTGAAGCACGGCCCTGCGTATCACCAGGCCCGAAAGGTACGTCACAGTTGGTTATTTGCTAGAGCCATCTTCTGATCATGTTTTCCTGTTTCAGACTTTGACGGAGAGGACTCGCAAGTGGATCAAAGATGACGACCTGTTTGAAAAGCTGATTCCTTCTTGGAGTCCAGGCTGCCACCGAATCACTCCTGGCGACCCATTCATGGTAGCGTGAGTCCACTCCAGCAACAACATACTGTGAAATGCATCTTATAGAAATAATCTAGTATCCAAGAGCCCAATGTTGATGTTCATTTAACGGGTGTCTCACGAGTCGACGAGAATGGAGTCTTTGGTGACGATGGCACCTACACCGCGTGCGACTGGCTTTGGTGCGTAACGATTTCTGATCAACGGTATGACCTCTAAATATCTGAAAAACAGATGTGTCCTACCGAACTCCCTTCCCCTTGATCGGGTTGGACGACTACGACCTTCGCAAAGAGTGGCATACCGTCCCAGCGAGCTATATGGGTGTAGGTATTCGAGAGTTCCAACCTGGAGGCGCATAGCTGACTGTCCTAGCTGATGGCGCCCAAGATACCGAATTATATGAGTAAGCCTATGGTGTAATCAAGACCAAGTACTGTCTCTAACGTACGCACCAGTGTATCTCGGTCCAAACTGTCCAGTAAAGAATGGAAGCATTACTGGTTGGTAGAATTATCCTCGCTAGACGACATGCACTCAAACCGCCATAGGTCTCCTGGAAGCAATCGTCGGCTACACAGTCAAGGTAATCAAGAAGATGCAACGAGACAACATCAAGTATTTTGTCCCCCGCCAAGACGCTACCGATGAGTTCAACGACCACGCTCAGTCGTGGTTCAAAGGCACTGTATGGGAGGAGAACTGCAACGCCTGGTGTAGGTTACATAGTATCCACAAGTCATTAGATGCTGACTCCTGAGTAGATAAGAACAGAAAAACAGGGCGCGTAGATGCTATTTGGCCAGGAAGTGCTCTCCATTTCCGGGACGCCATCGAAGATCCTCGCTGGGAGGACATGGAGATCAAGTATCATTCGGTAATAACTTGGACCTGGTACTGCCTATTGATGACGCTCGCTAACTTTTGCTGTTTCACAAGCGTAATCGATTCCAGTATCTTGGATATGGGTTCGCCCCGGTCGACCTTAGCACTTCTTCTGAGGCAGACCGTAGTCCATACCTCAAGCTAGAGAACCTCGATCCGCGATTTTACGAATAGGTATTAAGCGCAGGTTGACGACCTTGAAATAGAAGGAAGTCGGCCTGCAAGAGGCCTGGTCTCTATAGTCAAGGTAGCCAAATTGAAGTCATTACAGTGATAAAATAGTACCAAGGACATATGAACATGAATTCTAGCCAACTCCGTGAGCGCTGGTCAACTGATATCAATTGCGAAACCAGCACGTGGCAATCAAACCCAACATCCGCAACTTCGGGTATGACCAACCGAAGACGAATAGACCAAGTTATGCCGGAAGTTCCGTGATCGACACACTTGCCTAGGCACAATTTGTGCGGGGGAAGCGGAGGCTTCGGCACCAACTGACCCCCAGATTTCTCCGGGTTCTCCAGATTTCCCACTTCTTCCTCGTATACGGACTCCCCTCATTTTCGCTCCCATCTGTCAGGTTGCAAGATCTCAATCTTTCATTCTAAACAAACCACCTCTTATCTCTTTGCATAAACAATGACAAGCAGAACCTCGATAAATGACCGCAAGTCTAGAAAACGAGAGCTGGATCGTAAATCCCAGCGATTAGCCCGCCAACGAACAAGAAGTCGTATGGCACATCTCGAAACATTGGTGGCTAGTTTCCAAGAGGCAGACGAGGATGCTCGCTTCTCCTCTCTGATCGAACAGCTCTCCGAGTTGACCAGTGAGCGAGATAGACTAAAAGGGCTTCTGCAGACTCTTGACTTTATCATCCGCAGTCACCTTGACAAAGCCCCTGCAGCAAGGCCCGTTCCATCCTCTGCGGTCCCCAAAGATAGTTCTGCACAGCCTCAGTAGAGGGGGCCTGTTATTCCAGACTCTCGACAAACAGACTTCTTTCCATTACGTTCTTCTGGGATTGAGAATGCCGACAGTGCTCCATCAAGGAACAGTAGCGACGGGGCCCAGGCTGGGCATAACCCTGAGTCCCTGGATATAGATCATCTTCTGTTCCAGCTACCTCCTCTATCCCAAGACTTCTTTCACGCTGCGCTTCCACAGGTTGCCCCACTAGAATGTGAATGCATGCTCGGGACATCGTACGACACAGGCTCGACGCTTAGCATCTGGCGCCAACTCAATGATCTCTACCAGCCATTGGTCCACGCAGACCTCGCAGCGGAGGACAGAGAAAGCGAAGATTCAATTATCCGTGCCGTGCTATACGGGTGGAATAGTGTCGGTGCAGCGGGACGAGCGCTAACCACTTACCGTACGCTCCGCACCGTAGATGAGCTTCACGGTGTGAAGCCCAATCCTACCGACCGACTGGCTCTATTGGGAGTGATGCGTCTGATGCTGATAAGCCAGAGCAGCACAAGAAAAGCCGAGCTACCACGTTGGCTCCAAGCCAGGTCAGTGCCCTTCCGCGAGCTTGACGTCCAACACTAACTCTGCCCCAGGCCATCTCAGAACCTTCCTCATGCAGCCGCTATCGACTTTGTCTTCTGGTGAGAGAGTACTGCCTTGCTTTCGCTATAGCTAATAGAAAACCCCAGGCCCGGTGTGCGAGAGCGTATGGTCTTCTCGGAGCATGAATACTGCAGCGGCTCTTTTTGGCGCGGTGCGTATTCGAGCACAAGGCTCATATGGCCTCTCAGACTGTCTGATGCCTATGTACTGAACTCGGTGACTGGTAAATTTCACTTTTCGCCGTCCTTCCGCATGTTTATTCGGGATCTGAGGAACTGGACTGTCTCACCCGAGTTTTTAAAACAATATCCAGAGCTACACAATGATATCAAAGGATACTGAGCCCTGTTAAGAATACTATGATAATATTAAGTAGGACATTGAGTAGGGTTTAGATCTTGGTTAAATGAAAGCTGAGAGTTATGTATGAAGACCTTAAATGTACCTAGTGAATAGAAACAGGTAGAGGTCCAAGTGTGACTCTAGCCACTGGTTGAGGAAGAATATTCAGTTAGGCCACTTCGTACTGTTGAATATAAGTAGTAGGAAGCTCTGTATTGCCGATTTAAACTGATCTAGTATCTAGAATGAGTCTAGAACAACACTACGACGAAATAAATATTACGTTTAGCTAATCCAGAATCCACTCCCTTACGAGTATATTTAGTTCTTAAAATATCGTTCTCATATTCTCGTTCCCAGTCACTAATATGCATCTAACATAAAGACACACACTCGATACTTCTACCTAGGCCGCGTTGATGGCACTGTTGGTAGATGCCCTTAAGCACTGCACCGATCAATGACAAACCAATGGCCATCAAGGCTCCATGTGCCATAATGATAACCTCCACCATTTTGATGATTAAAGCATTGGTTGATGATATTCTCATACGCGTCCCAGCACATCTGCTGCGGCATTCCTGGGCCTTGGTACTCGAAATGGCATTTGCCAGAGTTACGACCGTTCTGGCAGGTTCGCTTCCAGTTTCCCTGTCCAACCAGAGTAGTGCAGAATATCTCGCGATCTTTGTAGTTTCCAGTTCTGTCGGTACAAGCTCCAATGCTGTCGCTGCCTACTCCATAGCCGCCGCACTCTGCAGCCTCGGTTATGTAAAGGTTTGCAGCCAGGCTAAGGGCGCTCAGGAAGAAGTTTCCGGCCTTCATTATGACGATAATAATTGAACTTGATGACTTGTCAGTCGTGGGAACCTTCAAACATGGTAGGAGTTGTTACTCACGATACTAGGAAAGCGAAGTGAGAGTATTATTGGAGATTAAGGCTTGAAGACTTGTACTAATCTTTAAAGGTTCTTCTGGACTGGGTATCAGGCTTTATAGCTGTATTTACCTGTCCTACACGACTCTTGCAGCCTTGAAATGTCTCGGAAAGTTTGCCGTGGCCCGTCATAAGCGGGCTTGGCAGAGTCGGTCTCTGTTACTGTGGAGACTTGCTCCGTCTTTCGATTTGCCAATGGCCTCAAAATGCCGATCCCAGTTCAGCTTTCATGCAGAGTTACTCTTGGCATTGTAACTGCTACGTATTTCAGCGATCCTTCTCAAGGTAAGCAGTTCTGAAGCCGGTCACCATCGGTGGCCGCTCCATGCTAAGATGTTTAGGGTGACTATGTTGTCACAGGCTCTTGTCAACTATAAACACAAATGGTGGGTAGGCTCGGTCTTATAATGAAACGTGGATCGCTAAGACTTCTGTATCACACACTCTTAGCCGAGGTAAATCCAGCAGCATTTGATCTTCAAGAGTAGCTTGAAAGGAGGGAAGTATATAGAAGTTCAATATGGCTAAGTAAATCTACAGGAAAATGCCAGACCAAGGGTCTGTGGGGATCACTGTGGCCTATAAGGTTAAGCTTTAGGCTGCGAATACAGATAATAAATTGGTAGGTCAGAAACTCTGAGGCTGGTTGAATATGTCAAAGTCGGTATATCGGCCCTGTTGCAAGAGCTCATCCGTCCTTGTCGTAAAATCTTCCGACTCGATGTCCAATGTTTGTGGCATGATGGGCAAATCCCTCTTCATTAGTCCAAGAGAATGTTCGAGCAAGAACCTAACCATCCATCCATCCAATTTGTGACTTTCCGTCGACAAAAGACAAAGCTTTTGGAACGTCATCAGTCTATTTATCTACAATATGTCAGTATCATGTATAGCGTGGCAGAGCTTGTGCTTACCATGGCTTCCGTGGCTGGCCAGTACTGTCCAAGTTCAATCAGCGCCTCGAAATTCGTGTTCAATTCCTGTCGCGCTTTTGGAATATCCTCTGGTTCTCCTAACAAAATCGTATGCAGAAGAACAGCCGACGCCACGGTTGTCATGTGTCCAACAGTCGGGTAGTTCTGCTGACATCCAGTCATCTGTCGGGAGGTGTGTAACAGACTGCTGAAAGACGAAGCATGTGATTTGCACAGCGCGACGTGATCTTGTTGCCCTATGTATGATTGCTCTTTGGTCTCGAGGGAGTTGAAGTATACCAGTGCGGAGAGGTGGTAGAATACGAGGTGAAGACCAATGAAATGTCCTCCAAGGTCGTTTTGTTGGTAGCTGTAGATATTCTGGATCGTCATCTGCATATTTCCTGGCAGGCTGGCCTTCCATGATTCGAGCTTCTGGCCGATGAGTTTGATAGCATCACATTTGACCTTCGGTGCCATATCTCCCTTGGCCATAGCGCGGTTCACGCCTTGGATTTGACCAAAGTGTTGGATAAGGGTCACCATATGTGCAAATATGCCCGGAGTTCGATTCGAATTTTGATGCAACGATGAATGGCCGAGGCATTTGAAGGACGTTTCATCAATGGGCAGAGGAGATGAATCAGGGCATTGGGGATTGTCCAAGTGCCGGGGTATTCCAAGACCAGAAGAGCACCAACGATCGAGTATATAAAGCGACCACCAAATTCTAAGAGCCGTCTCACTCTCAATACTTGGGTTATCCGCCGAGAAGTTGAGTTGAAGAACCTCAGCCATACCAATCGCAATTCCTGCAACGCATCAGTAAGACTCACAGCTTATACATTTATATCAGTAACAAATGAACTCACGGAGAAATAACGTCTCTGAAGAAGTATGGCAGTTCCCAGCGCTAAGAAGTGACAAAAGAATACACGTCTGCACATTCTCAATACAAACATTCTCAAGATCTGCCTGCACCAGCCTCTTCGCCTCTTTTGTCAACGGACTCTCCAAGGCGCGATGATCAGTCTTGGTTGAGAACTTTGAGCCTGTAGCACATATAGAGTAGAGCAAGGCATCTCCAATTTCTTTATCGCGAACTTGTCTCCGAAGCGTCTCTGGATGGAAAATACTATGGGCCCGGCCGTCAAGATGCGTCAGATAAGACTCCACAAACTCAATAGCCAACTCATCGGTCAGCTCTAGGACAGATTTGTGATTTTGTTTGGGTGCAGATGTGGTTTGTGAGATGACGTGCGAGGAGCAGGCTAGGTTCTTGCGCTGACAGGTATTGCACGGCGAATCGATCGTCCGCTTTACACACCGCCTCTTGGCCTCACGGCAATGGTGACAAGATGTTGCTTTCATCGCTGAATTGATTGATAATGTCTTTTTGCGGAATCAAATGGTTGAGATTGGGTAGTTGAGAGGATGATAGGGATTATTAATGATGAGCCAATCGCATGTTTGGGTGCCCGAATGTCTCCGGACAGGCTGCGGCCCCGCTTGCGGAGTGTTGAGGTTGTGATTCGTCAGGGATTTGGGAGTCGAGGACGTTTGAGCTCGGAGTTTGAGCACTGCTAAGTATAAAGTACCTTGTCTCTGATATCTGTAGCGCAAGTACTTATCATCTAACATGGAATATACTCAGTTTATATCAATCCTAGTCATAAAAGACCATACTGCACTCAAGACAATACCAGAAAAGAGAATCTGAAGTATTTAAAGTCTCTGTTTTCTCTCGTGGACTGATATTGTACTTGGTTCAGCAGTAGTCACTTCAATTATCCCAAGCATTACTTCAAACCTATCTATATCAGCACATTCCACTCCATCATGGCAAACCTTCTCGAACCAATCACCATAGGCGGCAGAGTCCCTCTCAGAAACCGTATCGTCATGGGTTCAATCACTCGTAACCGCTGCATAGACGATAACAAACCTGGCCCAGCCCAGATAAAGTACTACGTCGATAGAGCCAAGTATGGCGCGGGTCTCATCGTCACCGAAGGCACTTTCGTCGATTGGACTGGCTGTTACTGGAAACACGCTCCTTTCATGGTCACCCAAGAGCATGCAGATGCCTGGCGAAAGGTGACTGACGCTGTACATGATGTTAGTGGAAAGATCTTCTTTCAGGCGTGGCATGCTGGGAGGTGTCAGCATGATCAGCTGCCTATTATGAAAGATAGAGGTGCCAAGGTTCTGGCTCCTTCTGCTATCAAAGCTCAGGGTGGGAAATATCGAGGATTGCCTGGGATGCCTGTAGGTTTGTTCTGAGTTTGATGAATCGAGGCTGATTAAGAGATAGGGGCATACGGACAACATCGAGGCCATTACACATGTTCACGCTGTTATTGATACTTACAGGCGAAGCTGTGAGCTAGCTAAATCAGCTGGCTTTGATGGAGTTGAGCTTCTTGCTCAAGGGTAAGTTGTAGCATATGACATACCCGCTAAACTTCTGAACTAGTTACTAACTCACATCAAAGCGGCTATCTGCCTCAACAATTTCTCAGCAGGTCAGTCATGCCAATAACTTCATATCTCCCGAGTGCTAATTATTTAGCCGTGCAAATCACCGTATGGATGAGTATGGTGGTTCAGTCGAGAACAGATGCCGCTTCACCCTCGAACTCGTCGATGCAATCGCCGCCGTCTTCAATGGGCCCGAGTATATCTGCGTCAAGATTAACCCTACAGACCATCTCAACGATTCTATCGTTAGCTTTGATGAGATGAAAGAAACTTATACGTATCTCATCACCGAGCTTGTTAAACGAAAGGTCGGTATTATTAATCTCGGCCGTCGTGGTGCCGAAACGTCCCCTGGTTCAGGGGAATTCTTTGGACCTCTCCCTCGGCCTGAAGGCTACCCTCTGCCTCCTGGTTATGATCCAGTTCTTGATTTTGGAGAGCTCGTCAAGTTTCCTGGTAGTTCGACTTTGCTCATGGCCAATCATGATTATACTGTTGAAGCGGCTGATGCTCTTGTTGAGGCGGACAAACTCGACATGATTACGTTTGCGAGAGCTTTCATCTGGAATCCGGTGAGTAGTACAAAGTCGAATTATCCAAAGCTAACTAATTGAAAAGGATCTTGTTCCTCGTATCACTCACGGAATACCTCTGGCCGAGAATAGTAGAGACCCTTGGGTTTTTTATGGGCTGGAAGAGACGCCAGACGATGGTTACAATGATTGGCCAGTTGCCTCAACCGCATAGACGTCACTAGACTTTTCACGCAATACCAGCCAGGGACAGATATATGAGCAATATGTGCATTGTTCCATTCAAATGAATGTGACTTGATAATATACGAGCAGATAACTATGTACAGATGAATGAGTGTCATGGATGAATCACCATGATAATCCCATTTGCAACGCAAAACTGGGTGTCCAGCATCCACGTCCGTGCAAAACCCAGAAGAAAGAGAAGCAGTGCTAGCACCTTTTTTCTCAATCCGCTTATTTCTTGATGGTGAGCAGACCAGGGCGGTAAGGAAGATCGTTGTACTCGCCACCAACGCTGGGGTTGCGGCCCTGGTAGAGGAGCTGGAGGTTGCAAGGGTCGACGGGGAAGGTCTGGTCGTTGCTGGTTCGGATCAGCTCTCCGTGGCTGATGTCGTTGGTCCAGGTAGCACCACTGTTGGCCTTGCCGGCGAAGGGGTTGGACTCGGTACCGGCGTTGACGGTCCAGGTGCCATCGAGGCTGTTGGCGGTGAAAGAGCGGAAGTAACGGCCGTTCTTGCCCTTGGCCTCAACTATCATGAGGTACTTGTTAAGTCCCTGGAGGGAGTAGACCTGCACGGCCTCGAAGAGGTTGTCCTCAGTGTCCTGGAGGATGATCTGGGAGCTGCTGCCGAAGCTGCCAGGGAAGTTGCCAATGGGCATGCTAGAACGGTAGATGCGGCCGTTGTCGCCGGCGAAGAACAGGTACATGTTCTTGCTGTCACCAATGACAGTCTGGTCAATGGGGCCGAAGGGGGCGTTGGCAATCTCGCCGGTGAAGAGAGGCTGAGCAGCAGACCAGCCGTTGGGGTTGGTAGGGTTGCTAGAGGTCCTGTAGGAGAACTTGGTAGGACCCCACTGGTGCGCGAGGATCCAGATGTTCTTGGGCTTGAAGAAGAACAGAGTAGGGGCGACTGCGGTAGAGCTCATGGCGGTCTGGGTGGCGGAACCGAGCTGGTTGAGGTTGGAGACGGGGCTGAAGGCCATGGAGCCCCAGCTGGTGCCGAAGACGGTGGCATAGACAAGCTGGCCGCCGTTGTAGGGGGCGACGGTGAAGTCCTTGAGGGACTTCCAGCCGTTCTTGGGCTGGGCTAGGGCACCGCTTGAGGTCCATTTGTAGGAGGTGGGGAGCTGGCACTGGGCTGCGACATCGCCGACAGAGGCGAGAAGCAGCAGACCCGTGGAGACCAGGCTGAGATCGTACTTCATGGTGATATCAGGATGATGAGATGAGAGGTGGAGAGGTGGAGGTTGTGATGATACAAGAGAAGAAAAGACTGATCGACGAGGAGGAAGTCAGTATATTATATATGAAAATAGTAGATGGACTCTGCATGGCGAGATGGCCCTTAATTTGTATGGGGATCATTCGTTGCTGGGGAATAATCGAGCTGGCATTGGAGGAGAAAATATCGTGTATCCACTGGAATACAACAATACAACCCAGTCTTGTTCTAGATCATCCGAACAATGACCCAAACAAGGATCGATCGAGGGGTGCTGAACGAGTCTGAACGAGCGTGCTTCCTTTTGGAACCACGGAGACGGATCCGAGTGTTTCTGCTTTGGGGTTAGCTGGATCGGGGGCCCAGGTACATTTGGCTTACGCTAATTTAACCAGAAGGGAAAAGTACCTACCTACCTTGGCTCCCCTCTGCCTGTTGCGAGTCAGCTCTACCGTGCATGCGTTTGCCTGAAGCTGAAGCAGTGACGAACACACTAGATGCATGTTTACGTAGATTCGTTTCGAGAGTATAAACTTTCTTGTTCGTTGGGTCAACGGTAGACACGGCATGTTTCTCGGCTTCACCAAATCGATTTGCCAAGCTGAATCATAGTGGGTTTCATCTTGGCAGGCCTGGTTTCAGCCTCCACTTTGTCATTCCCGCGGGATACGAGAAAATAAGCCAGGCCTGACCACCACATGATGTCCGTTCCCAAATGGACTGATGCAGTCATTACTATACACAGTCTAGTTCACGATGCCATGTGGCGAGTGAAGTGTGTATGCACCCCAGGGAAAGAATGCAGCAGGATATTGGCGCACCTATAGAATTGCACCGTTCATCGGTAAATCTAGTCAACACCCCAGATTCGTCCCTGAAAGAAAAACAACCCCGGCACGGCAAAGGACTGCAACTTCATTAGGCTAAAACGTATCGCGGTGAACGATTGTCATATATTACTAGCGTGCCAGTAGAATTTAACTACTGCTATGTTGTTTCACACGCAGCGTGTTATTCCGCCTATCAGACCTAACCTAGTAATTAACAGTTTAAATTTCACATTTGTATTTTAGCCAGATTTGGTGTAAGCGGGCGAATTAAACTATTGCGAGTCGCGGGAATAGAAACTACAGAATGCGGGGGGATGAAGAATGCGGAGTGCATACAGCCGTGTAAGTCGAAGATATCACGAAGTTCAAGTGTTGCTGATGATGATGATGGGAGATTTTTTGGCGGTGAGTGAGGGAGGGGGAGGGGGATTGAGCATGATGAACTTTTGAATAAGGCTGAATGTTTTTCCACGGGACTCGGCTTCTTTCATGTTTGATGTTAAATGTCAAGGCGAGAACAAAGTGGGTTTGTCATGTCATAGCGTGATGGACATCCCCTTGAAACGCCAAGTAATATCCGTTTCCTGGATCCGATAAGATAGGGAGACCAAAAGGGGGAATCGAGGCGAGCTGTGGTGCTACTCACTGATAAGATAAACTAATGAAGTCATTAGAGCTTACCCTATACGTCGAGAATATCTTAAGTATACAATAATTAGCACACTGCACTGGCACAACTTTAATGTTAATAGATAATATAGCTCTGAGTAATGTTTAAAGGCTATATTAAGCTTTCATCAAGAGTTAAATCTTGTACTTCTAGCAAGTAAGGTCTCTAAAGGTGTTGAACTCCTAGCCCTTCCTCTAAATATAAGGCCATCGTTGAAAATAATGTATCATTTGCTTACTCACTATAAATCGTCGACAAAACCGTACAGGATTGAAAGAAGTGTATTTCTAGGACACATGTCTAATATACCTCTATTCTAGCACTCTACGCATTTGGCATATGATCCTTCATCCAATTCTCCTTTTCTAACCGCAACGATCTCTGCCCCCATTTAATAGTAGCCCACGCCCCAATCGCTCCCCAAACCGACGGAACCGCCCATCCCAGCGTATATCCAACCTCAACCGGCAACACCCACGCCAACACGATCAAAACAATGCCCACAACCGACCCAGTAATCGCCCAAGCCCAGAGCATCTCAACAAGCATCCTTCTAAACCTCGGCGACGCGTTGTACCGCGCCATGGCAGCCTCTCTATACTCCTTCCCGCCACCTCCATCGCAAGCCGTAATATCCTCCATGATCGTGAACGTGAGGGGCGGGTACTTATCGCCGATGACGTGGGAGCTTAGACGGTGAAGGCCAAGCCTCCAGCCGAGATGATACGCTGTCCCCGTCCAGATCATGTATGTTGTTACCATTAGTATACCGACCGGCATGATGATGCTCAGACCCCTCATCATCGGTGGATCGGGGATGCTGAACCCAATCATAAGCGCCGTCATGACAAAGTACGGTGGCCCGAGAACAAGATGCACCGTATCGAAGCTCCATCGTCCCGCGCCGTTGAGAGGCCGATAAGTATCGCGCTTCAACGCAAGCCGCAAACCACGAAGACCATACTCTCCACCCGATATAAACCCAAACATGGCCGTTATGATAGCAAACATGGCGCCCGGTCGTAAATCGGTGAGATTAGAGATTGTGAAGTAAAAGATAATCGGGATGAGTGTGCATTCCGTCAAGATGAGGAACCAGAATAGAAAGATCATGAGTTTGTGCTCATGGAGGTTATACGGTAGTGGCGGCGGACCGCGCGCGATAGGATCAGGCTGTTCATTTTTGCTCGGCATAGACGGCGTGCTCGGAGCAGAAGAAAGCGTTATATTCTCCGTCCCCGCCACGTTATTCGAAGCAGTCGTGGCCATTGTGAGAAGAAAACGGCGTGCATAAGCTTAAAAATAAGCTTATTTTACAAGAAGACGAAAAGCAGCGTTAAATCACTCAGGAGGGGCATTCAGTCTGTTTTATTCTAGTGGTTATGGCGTACGTCAGTGGCAAAAAGGTTAGTGAATAGACGAGTGCGTCAGAACGGGCTTGGTATTTGGAGGATGGAGCGGGTGATGATGCTATTTTTGCTTGGCGTGAGCGCTGAAGGATGCAATGCCAAGGGAGGAGAAAACAAGATTGGTTGTTGGGGAGGCTTGGTTGGTGTTGGTGTTGGTGATAGGAGATTTAAATCCGGGGATGTAACGTCGAATGTGAGAGAATTGGATCGATGATGATTGCTTTGAGTCTTCGCTTTCGGTTTTGCTCCAGTGTTTCGTACTCGCTCTTGAGATACCTACGGAGAGTGATGAAGTGTTTGCCATTGTGGGATGATCTTCAACTTTACAGCGGGTGGTGTTCGAAGCCATCGCGTAGAGGCTACCCACAAAGCCAGAATAGGGTCTTGAATGCCACCGCAATGATTGTAGTGAAGAATGACAAGATATGATACCGATAACGCATCATTGGCACACGTAACTACCGGCGCTGATCTACACTATCACCAGCATCTTATTACCGACCCGGACGTCCGTAGGCCAAGGATGACAATCAGGCCATTCCTCCGCATATCCCGGGCCGCAGTCGCATCACGAGCGACTCTCTCTTCGGACCTATTTTAGCATGTCAAGTGGATGTAATAAAACTTAGGACCTCTATTATAGGTGAGAAAAAGACTTAGATAAACTTAGGTGAATTTAGTACAATTTATTAGAGAATCTTAGACCAAATACTTTTAGCACCTCGATTTAACATCAGAAGTCTTCTTGCACCCAGGGCATGTCTATCTGGACTGACCCACGGGAGAGCCATCTCATACTATACTCGTACCAGAAGACTAGGTATAACGCCGAATACAACACTACTCCGTAAAGACATACAATAACGCCGCCCGAACGCGAGATCGGTAAGACCGAAAGTTTATTCTTTCGCGAGCTCGAATGCGATGCTATAGGTGGAGGAACAACTACGCGGCCTCTCTACACCGACATGTGGATAATGTCAGCGCAGAGTTGTCTTCGGAATGAATTATCCATCGAGTGAGGACATGCCTAACGATGTAATCTAAGTGCGACAGAGATCGCCTAATTCAACACCGCATCGTGAACACATCAGACATAATGAACTCGCTATATCTCCGAGTCAAAGCAAAACATGGGTATTCGTGTACTCTTCTAACCTAACTCCCCCTCAGAAGTCCAGTCCCTCGTCCTCTTCTAGCTCGTCACCAGATCCGGGAAATACCTCTTAAGACTACTATCCAGCATCCGTATCCCCACCGGCTTGACGAGATAATTATCCGCACCCGCCTTGCTCGCCGCCTCCCTGTCCGTCTGGCTATCCTGCCCCGTCACAATAAACAGCACTGCCTTGCTCGTCTTCTCCAGCGCCCTGATCTGCCGCGTAGCGCTAATCCCGTCGCACACCGGCATCTGGAGATCCATGAGGATGAGGTCGATGGGCGACGACGTCTGCTGCTTCTTGAACAGCTCGACTGCCTGGTGCCCGTCTATGGCGCTTAGGTAGGGAAGCCCGCGCTTCTTGCAGTACATTTCTAGGATGCGGAGGTTCACTGCGTTGTCGTCGACGATGAGGGTCATGGGCTTTGAGGTTGCGGGAGGGATGAGCGGGCGGATAGGGAGGTCTATTGTTGCTGCTTCGATTTGGGATACGGCTTTCGCGACGGAGTCGTTTAGAAGTGCTTCGGTTGTTCGTACAGCGACTGATGAGCCGGTGACGGAATCGTAGCCTTCGTCTGACGTGGACTTTTGATCGCTCTCGGTTGTTGGGTCGGGAGGTGAGAGGAGGGATTTTGGATCTTCGAGGGGTGCGGGAGATGGCTGTGGGGATGTTCTTGTTGATGTGCGTAGTCGTGCTAGTAGTTCATCTGCTTTCTGGAGTGCAGAGTCGAGTGCAGACGACGAGAAAGGTCCGTCGACGAAGACGATATTGGTACATGATTCGGGAACGTCTGGTTCATCCGAGTTGGTGACCAGACAGATAGCAACCTGTCCCTTCGGTATTGTTGAATGATATTTCTCTCGTTCGGTCGGATCGCGTACATAGTCAATGATATTGAGACAATTTTGCGGGTCGTTCGATGATGTAAAGCCGTTTCGGGCCAGGTATTTCGTTAGGTTCGAGGATAAGTGCGCGTTGGGTGAATCGGATGGAAGGTACCGGTAACTCAATGGCAAGTGTTTGAGCTGCAAGGTTGTTGTTTCGGTGGGAGGAGTACTAGAAGGACGAATGTCACGGAATGTCGCGCGAAAGTGAGAACCGCGATCGACTTGAGACGACACCAATTCGACCGAGCCGTGAAGCAGTGCTGAGAACTTGGTCGCAAGGGTCAAGCCAAGCCCAGCGCCAGTCGAGTGCTCGCCCACCTTCTCGTACAAATCGAAAATTCGACCTTGATCCTCAGCAGGAATACCGCAGCCTGTATCTTCAACATCTACTACGAGAGTTTTTGTATCTTGTGTATAGGACTGTGTGACGGTCACTACTCCTTCGGTCGTGTTTTGCAAAGCGTTTACGATCAGAGGAAGTATACTGTCTCGGAAGAGGTTGATGTCGATTCGAAGGCCTTTGCTTTCGGAATTAAGGTTGTGATGGAAGAAGACGGGGGCTCGTGTGCGTGTGTCCCTGAAGGTAAAGTCGGCCAATGCCTTGACGAGTGATGTTTCCATAGTCTCGATGCTGTGGGTAGCATATTGTCGCTCGGAAGCAGCGATATCAGCCCAGCGGTTGAGGGTGATCATATTGTTGACGGTAGACATGAGCTCTCTACCCGCTGTAGAGATTGTGTCGAGGTAGATAGACGACTTTCCCAGCTCAGCAAGCGGCTTCATTATAGCCTCCACGCCAGGCTTCAACGTTGAACTTCCAGGCACTGTCAAGGCCCTTAGATCCTCCGTCAATAGCTCTGCGGCGCCGAGGATACCGTGGATTGGGGTTCGGAGCTGGTGCGATACACCGCGAAGGAACTTCTCTTTGGCTCGCATTACTTCTGTGAGGAGACGTTTCTGCCATCGCTGGGTGAGCATGGTAGCGCAGGTGTGCACAAACCAGGAGTCGACGTCGTCAAATATTCTGCGGAAATCCTTTGTCGCGACGACGAGGACCGATGGACCGAGTTTCGTTTCGCATTGTGCTGAGATGAAGCGTACTACTCGATCTTTCGGTGGCTCGTCGAAATTGGAGTTGGCGATGAAATCCTCGATGTATTCGTCATCCTCCCACAATCCGTGCTTTAAATCTGAGGTCGTCGCGGGGTAGGGGACCGTCGATTGATCGGTGCCTGTAGACTGCAAACTAATTGACTCGTCGGGGAAGGCTTGTCGGAGTACTCGGAGAATAGGTTCTTGGACATCTTCGCCGTCAGGTTCTTGTTGGACTGCTGCGATGAGCTCGACAAATCGGTGACGTTCTCGTTGGCGTCGTGCGCGTGCACATTGTATTATATCGTGAACGATCCAGTCGGCTAATCGAGCTAGTGCAAGCTGCTGTGTCTTGGATAACGGATCTCGACCTGTCGCTGACGCTACACATAGCGAGCCCAGTCCGACGCATTCACCTGACTCGTGCTGCATCCGGAGCGGGACACCGGCATATGCGACGAGTCCACCGTGTTCGACGTATGGCGATTCGCGAAATCTCCAGTCCTGGAGCATGTTTGGTAATAGGAAGACATTCTATCGAGGCTTAGCGGAGGGCGTCAGCGAGGCAGTGGTGGCTATACTCCAGGCGGTTGAGTAACGGTATGTGCGCAGAGGGTTTCACCACGGGGAAGAATAGCAAGTTGAAGGCCTACCGTGGCCAGACGAATGTAAACATTGACGTCCAGCACACCAACAACAGCATACTCCCAGCCCGACGACTCTTGCGCAAGACATGCCTTCTCCTGCAGACCCGCGAGGAGTTCAGGCTCGTTGTCTAAATCCCTCGCATAATACCAGAGCATAGACAGCCTCAGCCTTTCATTCTTTGCCAAACGCGATCGAACATATTTCGAAGACGACGCATACTGCGCTTCCGGCGGTATCGATGACGGGTCGCACGGATCTGGCTTCGGAGGGTAGAAGGACGAATGGTCGTCGGAAGTCCACGGCTCTATCGGGACCTTGAAGTTGTTGGCATCGAAGATGGGGCCGATCGCCTTTGGACGCGGAGGGAGGGAGTGTTTATCGACAGTTGAAGAGAGAAGCGCGACATCTGCCTTGGGGAAGAAATGCATTTAGTGATGATTGTCTAGGAGCTGAATTTGGCGAGGCATGGGAGGAGCAACTTTTAGGGCAAGGATCGTCAAAAAATTAGAATGTTAGAGGAACTGAATTGAATTGAAACTGAATTGAATTTGATGGAGATGGAAAAGAGAGGGAGGGGCTCGTGACCCAAAATTTACTGAACGCAGGCGGGAATGACAGACATTTCCAGGGGCTGACAGATATGGATGTCGTCATAATTGTTCATGCCGAGACAAGCGCTATTAAAACCGTTTTAATTCTTCAATTCCTTGGATCAAAAGACGCTTTCTTTGGTAGAGTTTATGCACTCGATTCAACTAAAGAACCCCCGCTCAAAATGATAGGTACCCTGAAACCAAACCTGCAGTGCCCTCCCTCATTCCTCAAAAGTCATGGGTCATTTTTGCTAGCCCGCTGATCTTCTGCCACTATACGGGTACTAGATACCAGAATCATCCTGAGTCGCGTTATTGTGCTTGTTAAACATGGTATAATACGCAGCCCAGTTCGCGCACGTCTCGGAGTATGTAGGTAGGATGCCCGAGTTTTTAAACATGGGTCCAATCACTTTAGGGGACTCAATGAATTGAAGCGCCAGGCCTCCCGATGCGTGGAAGGCGATCTGAGGGGGGAGCATTAGTTCCGAGGATCGAGATCGAGATCGAGGATTTAGGCGAAACTTACATGACAGTGCATGAGCCAAACACCAGGGTTGTTGACTAGAAAGTGTTAGTCTAGCCCCCCATAGATCACTAAAAAAAAAAGGGATTGCTTACTTTGGAAGGCGATGATAATGTAGCCATCGACGGGGAGGAGTACAACATCCCGACGAGGAGGATTGTCCAGCTGAAGAGTAAAGTTTTTCGGATCAAACTCTTTGTTTCCAGAATCGAGAAGAACAAAGTCATGTCCGTGAACGTGAATGGGATGCGCGACGGGTGCTTGCGTCTTGTATACCTTGCGATGACCCTTTGTCGTAGAATTATGAATCGACTCTGTGAACTTGCCCTCGATGAGAAAAGCAACCCACGTTCCATTCTTGTAGTCAAGAGTCACGGGTTCATACCCAACAGGAAATTGAGGGTTATCCCATCCCTTCTCAGAAGCAATCTTGACGAGACTCAGACTTGGTTCAGCCCAGTCAAGATAGAAGGAAGAATTGGCGAGGACCCATTTGTGCATCATGGAGTCTTTCTTGAATTCATTGGGATATCCGACGAGATGTACCTTGAACGAGTTCTTGATGTAGTCATCGTTGTGCTGTGTGATGTTGCGCTTCACAATGGGCTTGAGCTTCTTACTAGGCTCGTCTTGACACCCGTAGCAGATGTTGTCCTCTTTTGGGGGAGGTGTCCAAGGGATAGACTTGGAAGTAGCGTCATAGCGGATGATGCCAAGATTAGACCTCGCACCACCATTTTGACAATCGCGAGCGTGCATCCAAAAGTTGACGTTTCTGCTATTCTTCCCCTTGACAGCTGTTGCATTGACGATGATGTCGTAGCGTTGACCAATGGCTATGTTGATCAGATCTGTCTCATAGGGCTCAATGGGGACAAAGTCAGTGGCCACGACCCAGAATTTATGGTTGTCAATCCAAAAGGTTGTGTGTGTTGAAGCAGCAGTGTTGACGAGACTCATTTTGTAAGTCTTGTTTGGTTCGAAGTGGAATGATGTGAGTTTGGAGTCACCCTTGCAGTTCTTGTCTAGAGAGGGACAGCAGTAGTATTTGCCGTTACCGTTCATGAGCATGCTGTCTGGAGCCGGAGGGCGGCCTATTGTCTGTTAGCACCTGTGGGATTCTGTTGGGAGAGGAGAAGTACCTAGATATTCGAGTTGGACTTGGGAGAAGGTGGTTTTATGAAAGTTATCTGTGATGAGAACTGGACCAAGATCAACATCGTAGTTCATGCTAGTCGGCCCATTGATCTTAAGAGCACCTGCCAGTCCGTCGGCATCTAACCTAGTGTTAGTAGGAAATGGTGATATAAGACCTTGGATACTAACACTGTAGACTGAAGTGGCCTGAGAATGTTAGAAATTGTCGAATATTTGAGGACATGCGACTTACTGTGATACCACGACGTTCCATATTGTGTAGCTCTCCAACTGTAAGTGAAGTTCTCCCCAGGCTACTTTGATCAGTACACGAGTTAGATGGTAGATGGTGATACTTACAGGAATTGGGCACTCTGTCACTCCTGACACGCCGTCCATCCAGTTGGTGTTCAGCTGACGGATACCATGCCAATGGATGGAAGTGCCGTTGAAGTTGGTCAATTGGTTCACGACGGTGATTTCTTGCAAACGTTAGACAAGATAAGGATGAAAGAGCACAAAAGTAACACGACTTACGAAAAGTATCTCCCCAGTTTCCCTCAAGAGTCGGTCCAGGATACGTGCCATTGAACAACATCCGATCAACCCAGTATCCATCAGGTGCAATCCTTTCATTAGTAACGTACAAAAGAAACTGCACCCTTCAGTACCGGTCTCACAAGGCAAAAGAAGAATCACTTACCTTCCGAACTACACCCTTAGGGATGACCTCCTCATAGTCTGTATGAATGTCAAAGTCAGTTGACCAACAACTTCTGTTCGTAGGTGAGTTGCAAGCTCCATCGATAGACTTGGCATCAAAAGCATCAACAAGAGAAAGATCTTGGACTGGAGAGTATGTATGAGAGAATTTGGTTTGGTCTGTGAAACGGTGAATGAAGAGAAACTGTGTGAGTCTCTTCCAGAAACCCATCTTGAAAGATACTCGGATGGTAAAAGAGAGAAGAGGAGAGGGTAGGAATGACAGCTGGAAAGAAATGGAGGGTTACGCGGACCCCGATGGAGAAGAGATATTGATATAAACGCCCAACACAGTCTCTCCTCAGACCAGCGCATACCCCCCAAACAGTTCACGATAAGCAATCCTGCAGCGGCTGAAAAAAAGCCATGAACTAAAATGTAAAAACCCGCATGGTGGCGTACAAGAGTACGAGCGAAGTCATCGTCAACACGCACGTTATCCGCACAAACTCATTCGTCAATGCAACCCCCAACGTCGTAATATTTGCATCGGTCTAGACGCGAGCTTTTCCTACCGGCATATGTGTAGCATCGAACTAAGGAATTAGAAGAGCGCTGAAATGCAGGATTTCAATAATGCGATGCAGAGGGTAAGCCGAGCATGCAGCTGAGAGCGGGGAAACACCAAAACACGATGCTGGAGTGATAAGACGATGATAAGAGGATACGATTTTGAGTCTCTGGGCTAATTTAGTAGAGAGCCGATTGATTAGGCATGTCTCAGTTCTCCACGCTACAAGTTCGCATCGATAGTCTTGAAACTATCGACCTAAAGCGGACGGACCGCTACCCAAATGGTTCTGGCACGATTGGCGGGGGAGCTGATTGGGCGAGCAAGTAGCCTCGCTGGGCGTCGTGCAGTTTTTGCGGGATAATTTATTGAGTGGTTAGGGAGGTTTGATACGACTTCGTGTAGAGGAAGGAAGGGTTGTGCAGATTGCTGACCGGTCTTGGCCGGGAGGATGCGGGTGAGATGCGTGGCTGGATGAGGTTGTATCGGTGGGCTAAGATGCGAGACGGCGTGGATTTGGGGTATGACAATGATATGATATTCTTTTACTTAGGTCCGCTCACTCAGTGTGAGCTTGGAACTGCCGATGTTGTGTTCTAGAGGAAGGATTGAGGTATTAAAGGGCCAGTCCTCATCTTGACTCTAAATCACGGTTCACTAAGCATCGCCATCATGGCTACTCCCACGGACCCCCTCAACTTTATCCCCGCAGACATATTCTTCCCTACCGTTGCAAACTTCACCAAACCCTCTGAGATCCTCACCGTTGAATCAACCACATCAACATCCCCCAGCGACCCTCTTCGCTATGCTGCTCACATCACTCTGAAGGGTGAGCCCAACACTCACTGTCTAGTCCAGTTTGCATCGCCGCAGATCTGGAGAGTCAGGTACAATCCAAAGTACACTGCCGTGTCGGATTATGATGATTTCAACTCGTGAGTCCCCTTGTGAGTTTGTTAGGGCTTGGTGCTGATGAGAGCAGGCGCACTATCGTGAGAGATACCTTCTCGAGCTTGGTAGATGATCTTCAGCAGGAGTATAAAGACTCCGAGGCTTGGAACTCGCCTATTGCTAAGGAGGGATGGTTTTGGAAGACAACTTTTGAGCAGAAAGCTCCAGACCATTGGGTCCTTACAGTATGTCTACCAGCACCGTATGCTACTACCATCTAACTTTATTAGACCGTTGAGTACGAGACCAAGGAATCCACTGGTGTTACAAATACAGCTCTTCACTTCTTCGCATCCCCATTCCGCATTGTCGTAAGTACCATCCCCTCACTTAAGCCACTACGCTCACACATTTAGGCGACGAGAAAACTCAAGCCTCTCGACGCAGACCCAGCGTTTTTGAAGACCGTGGGTATCGACACTGTGTCTGAGTACGAGGAGATCATCTGGCAGACTACAGAGGAGACTTTCTCGTATCAAGGTAATCCAAGCATCGGCGCTGTGAACAATGTCGTTCTCAATATCAAGAAGCCTGGACCAGCAGCGTATCTTGGCTTTGGAGAACAGGGTGGGCGAACTGTTATCAAGAAGCCCACTTACCTCAACTTCTTCTGTAAGTTCAACCGTTATGCTTTGATTGGGTGGCCACTGATGAATCAGGTTATGACAACTTCAACTACTCCAAAGTCTATGGTCTTGGAGCCCTGGATACTCGAGAGCCGCTGTAAGTATCGTTTACAGTACGGCGATCGCATTCTAACCGAGGAGATAGGTACCACTCTACACCTTTCTTTCTGGAGATGAACGGCACTCCGGATCGGAAGAATGTCACAGGTGTCATGGTGGACAACTACTCTCAAGTTGCCATTGACCTTGGAAAGAATGATTCGCACACCATCAGTATTGCTACACGCTTCAACACCTTTGACGCATGGATTCTCACGGCCGACGATGTGCCAAGGATGATTTGGTGAGTATCCATGCGATTGGAGGAGCAGCCTTTGCTGACTGCTACAAGGCAATACACCTCCATTGTCGGACGACCTAAGCTCAAGCCTCGTTTCATTCTGGGACATCACCAAGCATGTGAGTTGCATGAAACATAGCACCTCTCCGTAGAAATCACCTACTAACAAATCAAGGCTACGGTTACTCCAACGAAGTCACTGTGAACAACGTCGTACAACGGTACAGAAATTCCGATATCCCATTGGATGGGATGCATCTCGATGTCGACTTTCAGGCACGTCCACGCTTGAATTAGATGAGCCTGACTAACAGTACCAGGATAAATACCGTACCTTTACCAGCAGCGACTATGGCTTCCCCAACGTAGGAGCTTTCCTGAACGGTCTCAAGGCAAAGGGCGTCAAGAGCTGCACCAACATCACCCCCATCCTCACCATTCGTCCCTCAAACCAAGGTCCCTACAAAACACTGGACAGCTTCTGGGATGTGAACGACAAGAAGAATCCAGAGACCAAGTAAGTTTCAGCGGCCTCTCAGATGATAATGGCTAACAAGTGTAGTCTTCTGGTCGCTGATAAGCGATATCTGGACGGTCTGCCAAACAACCAACCTCTTTGCTGGCGCTACGACGGCGGTCTGCAGAACCTTGACCCCAATAACGTTAACCAGCGTGAGAGATTTGCAGACTACATCGGCGCTCCTGACTATAGAGATGACTACAACTTTTCTGAGAATTATAACAGTGGATATCCCTTCCATGGCGGTGTCAGCTATGGCACTAACCTCGGAACTGTAAGTCCTTTCGTCTCAAGGCATGACAGTAGCGGACTAACATGGACAGCCCGGATTCTATCCTGATCTGAACAGAAAAGCTGCGAGGAAGAAGTGGGGAGAGCAGTATCAGTACCTCTTTGACAACGGTCTCGAATTCGTCTGGCAAGGTAAGACGCCCTACATGAAATAGTTATCTATCAACTCAAGCTGACACCTTTAACAGACATGACAACTCCCGCTGCCGCGAAATGCTACGGCGATTCTCTCGGGTATATCCCCTCCCCCCTCCATCACCCAGTCCTTCTAACAAGACCAGTTTCCCCTCCCGTCTCCTCATGACAGACGACTCCTACACCAACCCCCCCAAGACCAAAACCGCCATCGAGCTCTGGAGCCTGTACTCCTACAACCTCCACAAAGCAACGTACCACGGTCTCAACAATCTCAAGGGCCGCGAGAACAAACGCAACTTCATCATCGGTCGCGGAAGCCAGACCGGCATGCACCGCTACGCTGGGCTGTGGACCGGCGATAACGGTAGCTCGTGGGACTTTTTCAGAATCTCTGTTGCGCAGGTTCTTGCGCTGGGGTACAGCGGTTTGAGTATCGCGGGTGTGGATATGGGTGGTTTCACGGCGGATCCGGCTAACAAGCTGCCGAATCCGAGGTGGTGTGATCCCGAGTTGTTGATTAGATGGTAGGCGGGGGCGTTTTTGCTGCCGTGGTATAGGAATCATTATTTGCAGCATCCGGAGGCGAGTTCGGGAGGTTGCAAAGCTTTTCAGGTAAGATTGGCCTGAGATGTACTGGCGAGATACTGACAAGAATAGGAACCCTGGGCTTATGACGATATCCTACATAACTTCCCTGGTCCTCTTCCCCCTGACCAGGCTGCACTGTATCGCTCCGTTGTGCCTGTTTGTAGGTACTACGTGCAGCTTCGATACTCGCTCCTTCAAGTCCTGTACGACTACATGTTTGCCAACCTGATCAACGGTCTACCAGTCGCACGTGCAATGGTAAGCTTCCATCTCCGTGCCACATGATTACTCTACTGACACATCTAGCTTGTCACGGATCCCTTTGACACAAGTCTGTTCAACTCCAACCAGGGATTTATCGATAACCAGTACCTTCTGGGCCATAACATCCTGGTTTGTCCTCAGGTTGAGGAAAAGGCAGGACGTCGCGATGTCTATCTTCCAAACTCGGACAAATGGTATCCCTCCAACCTTCGGGTCAACAACCAAGGTTTTGGACCGGATCCGATTCTCAAACATGCTGCTGTATTGCAGAAAGCAGCTCCTGGTGGCAAGATCGTGGACTATGATTGCCATATCCCTGATGCCGTCGCCGCTCCGGAGCAGGTAGCCTACGTTACTCCTGTGTATATCAGAGGAGGTGAGTAGAAACGTCTGGCGACATGAGGCAAGCTGACAGTGTGAAGGTGCTATCATTCCCCAACTTGATGTTCGTCAGTGGGTGAAGGAGGGCGATCTGAACCCGCCGACCATTCATGTATACCCAGGTGGCAAGACTACTGAGCCTACTGTAAGTACTAGCCAGACTCTCAAACATCTTACGCTAAGTGTTCTTACAGTCATACTCGATGTATCTGGATGACGGTGTCAGCCGAGACAGTGCACCCATCGAGCTGCCCCAGCACAAATACAAAGATGCAGCACTATACACCAAAGCAAAGGGTATCTACCGCGAAGTCAAGATCACCCAGGTACATCTCACTCACCTCTATATTCTCGAACATGTACTAACAGAGTTATAGGAAACCACCAAGACAAACCGTAAAATCACCATTCGGCACCAATGGGACGGCTACGATGCCAAAGCAACCGTCGGCGATACCTACAACTTCGCCGTGTGGACTGTCCAAGCAACTGCACCGCCTGAGTCACAGATTAATGTTGATTTTGAGGATGAAAATGGCATGACTGTTATTGATTCTGGATTGACGTCGACTTACATCGCAGGTCGTGGTGTTTTGACGGTTAGTGTACCGGTGCATCTTGTGCCGTCGCTCAAGACACCTCAGAATTATACGCAGGGCTCTTTTGCGGATCGGTATCTGGCTATTAATGTCAGTGGGTTGCCTTGAGAATGGCATGGGATATTGGATGGGGACACTCTCTTTGCCATTGATTTGTTGTCGTGATTCATAATTGACCATTAGTCAGATTGGAATACTATCACACTACTTGCGGACTATCCGCGGAGGGGCAAGATAAGCTGCGAAGTGTTAGCGTTAAAGTAGTGCCAGGTACCGTCTTGGGTTCAAGAGGACCTTGACGTAAACCACGTTCTTCTGATCAGAGATGATACTACCTTAGCCCCAGCTGGGGGCTTATAATTAAGCTTGTAATACTAACAATCAGACATGTGATAGCTCCCATACACCGTTTAGTTGCCAGTGATTATATTAGGCTGCTGGTCACCGCCGTTGGGCCGTTTCACTTCAACGCCCGCTCATAACCGCCGTCTGTCACCTGTGTCACATTGGGCTGCGAAGAGTAACATCCAGTGCTACAACGATGAGATGTTCCTTCATGTCAATTAATCCTCAGTTTTCAGTCTTTTCTCCTGTTCAAAGCCCCTGCACCAGATAAACACCACTCAAAATAGACATCGTGCCACGAATCATCAGTGGAGCAATAAACACCTTGTCCATGTCTGCATCGTGTCTTTGCTGCACCTGCATAATCTACGACATGCATACCCGCAACATCCTCCTCACTCAAGTGTCTTGCAGGAACACAGATCGCCAATACATCCGCCAAGGACCAGGGCATCGCATCATATCGTCAAACACCATGAAAGGCGGTCATTGACTCACGCCATCGCCGATACATGCAACGCTGGCAATCCACTTGGGCATCAATTATACCACTTAATCCAAGGATACAAAACTCTGACTCATGACAACAAGTTCAAGTTTTACTACCTGCCAGCAAATCTAGCATCGTGTACCATCCCCAATATGCATGCCACATCATCGCGATTCCACCAGTGGGGCTTCACCGCCAAAACCCATTAATCGGTATGGATACCTACCTATTTCAAGGCCCTACAACTCTCTTGTCCTCAATTCTCCCCTCAAACCGCTCATCTCCTCCCTCTTTTCTCACAATTATACCCTGTCCTTCAATGTCCCGCCAGAAGAATGCGTCTCATACACACCAAAACCTTCCAGCTAGAGGAATTCTACGGCCAGCCTCCCGAATATGCCATTTTATCACACACATGGGGTCCCGACGAGGCCACGTACCAAGACTGGCAGGGCAACCTCGAGCTCATGAAGCTCAAGAAGGGCCATCAGAAGATTCGCCGCGTCTGCGAGCAGGCGAGAAAGGATGGCCTCATGTATCTCTGGTGCGACACCAACTGTATCGACAAGAGCAGCAGCTCAGAGGTCTCTGAGGCCCTGAATGCCATGTTTTCCTGGTACAAGAATGCGTCGGTTTGTTATGTCTATCTGAGTGACGTGTCGCCCATTGATACGGGCGCTTTTGATCCCATGGTGCAGTTTAGACAGTCGAGGTGGTTCACTAGAGGTTGGACCCTACCTGAACTCTTGGCTCCTACGTCGGTGGTGTTCTTTGCGAATGACTGGACGACTATTGGAACGAGAAAGACGCTTGCCAATACGATTTCGTTTGTCACCAAGATCGATCAGCAATATCTGGACTGCACCTTTTACAAGGCCAGTATCGGCGAGCGCATGTCTTGGCTATCCAAACGAGAGACAGAAAGAGTCGAGGACATTGCCTACTGCATGCTGGGTATTTTCGACATCAACATGCAAATCGTTTACGGCGAGGGAATGCGGGCGTTTATCCGACTACAAGAAGAGATCATCCGTGTCTCAAACGACCAAACACTCTTCTGTTGGGCCTGGGATGAGCGATACGTTCCTCACGACTGGGCTAGCATTCTCTCCCCATCACCAAAGACCTTTGTCGACTCGAGCATCTACACCGAGTGGCCTGTCCACGAAGCAAAGACATATACCATGACGAATGCCGGTCTGTCAATCAGGCTGCCCATCATGAACACCATCACCGAATCAGTCGAGCAATGGCTCGTTCTCCTCAACGCGAGACGAGACTCAGAGAACCAACAAGTCGCACTGCTTCTAAACCGTTTACCAGGAAAGGATCGCTGCACTCGCAACCGAACACCACCCTGTCCAGTACCAGTCCTAACAGGGTCTACAAAACTCCGAGAAGAAAACATGTTCATCGCTGGAAGTCGAGAGCGTGCCTCGTACCAACCTGACTTCCACGGCTATGGCAGCTACGAAGTCCTCGTCACTCTCGATAGCGGTGCCATTCCCTACGACAGCATAACATCCTGCCCCCGCCTAGAATCCGGAACCATCAGTCTCCAATCATGGGATCAAGCAGGCCACTACGGCCGCGTGCTCGCCATCCAAGGCATGCAGAGCATAAAAAAGAGCGAAAAGCGCGCGTCCGTATTCATCGCCACCCTAGTCTTTGGCATAGAAGTAATCGGTTCTAAAATCGAATGGTTCTGCAAAATCCGGGGTATCCAAGAATCTTCCTCCGCCTTTAGCAACAATACCCTCGAAGAAGCTGTTTACGAAGAGGAGCAGGATATCCGATCTCAACTTGCGAGAACGGGACACTGGAGGGCTATCTTTGATCAAGAGAAGGATACGACGTCTGATACGGTGCGAAAGCATGAGATTGATCTGTTAACGTCGGTGTCGTTGAGTTCTGGGGTGAGGATATCGGCGTCGTCTATGATGGCGGTTGCGCATTTGCAGTTGGCGCATATTGTGAAGCCAGCGGAGGTTGCGCCGTGGGATGATGGGCATAAGTTTAGGACTGCGGATGGAGCGAAGGATCTGTCGAGATGGTTGAGTGCTTTGGAATGAAGAATGAAAACTGAAGAATGATTTACGAACATGATATAATGAAAATGATAGATATGCAAGCACTAGAATACTTTGACAGATTGAACAATGAAGAACCTTTTCTTTATACCTCAAGGGTCCTAATTTGTTCTACTTCATTTTGATAACTGTCTTCTTTGGACCAAAGTCCATGAAGTCCTTCCCCTCAATAGCAAGTCTATCCACTGTGATAGCCGTCTGCCTCTCTTCAATCTCAACATCCTTATCACCTCTCAAAACCACCAGGAACACCAACTGATTCACTAATCCATTCCTCAGCACTTCCTTCTTGAGTCTCGCCGCCACTAAACAACGATACTTCCCCGTTGGCAAAGTCATGTTATGCTTAAAATTCCTCTCCCTAACACATCCAATTGCCTGATCAGTCCCGGGTATGACCACCTCACTGAACGGTTCAGTCCGGACATCAAGCGTTACAGTCCATCCCTCTAGCTTAACCACCTTATCATCAATACTAACCATCCGCGGAATGAGATCACCGTTTTCGGTCGCTGTTTCAGTAAGGTCGATGGGATACTGCACAGTTCCTCCCCAACCGGCCCAACTCCAGCTTGGGAAGGCTGATCGTCTTGTAGGCTTGACTGTGTAATTGTGGATCCAGGCCAACGATTGAGTGAAATCTTTGAGTGGCATTCCCCACTCGAAACCTTGAGGGTAGGCAGGTTTTCCATAGCGTGCGAGAACACCCTGGAAGGCATTCAGAGAGTCACCGTCGTTAGTGAGAGACCGCGAGGTATAAGCTGTTACCACTGATATGAACATTGACGAAGTTCTGTCCAGGGCTTGGGTGTTCGTGGCCTAGATTCGTTACCATTTGGGACCTTGTAACAATAATTCAACAAACCTCGACGTAACCAGCTTTTATCTTCCCCCCAGAAACCTTGGTCCAAGTAAGGTCCACAGCTGAATCATGTGCCTCGGCATAATCGCTCGGCCACAGCGTCTCCCTACACTCCAGTACCCATTGCGTCTCCGTCAAGTACAACTTTCTCGTAGACAAAACATCCTCTTGCCACGTCCAGGCCCTCGTTTGCCAGACTGAAGACTTGATCTCTGACTCGATCTGTGGAGGGACGACTACTAGATCCTGTCCGTTGATGCGCTCTCGTGTAGACCCCGCGCGGGCCTTTGATATCCCAGGAATGCCATAGTCGGAGCGCGGACCTGCGACAGCTAAGATAGTTATTGTGGCAGAGTAGTAGATCAGGTGCATGAGTTGAAGCTGCTTGGCTTTGCTGGCTGCTTGTTCGGGCGTTGGGTTGGGGCTTTGATCGATACAGAGGGCATCAACCTAGACAGTTAGCGATACATCAAAGAGGTACTGGGTATACACACCCATAGATATCGTTTTCCGAGCTTTTTGGTCAAGGCGATAGCATCCTCAATAGTCTGAGGAAGTTTGCCGGCCTCCAAAGCTCCATCGGCGGGATGTATACCGCCCCAGACGTAACTAAGCGCCAGATAATCGCAGTTGTCAGGACAATCAACCACCTTTCGGGTATCAACATCAAGCATTTTAGTAATCAGCAGTCGTTTGTCGAATTTGGCATTGCACTGCTCTGAATGATGCTTCTGACAATGCTCAAGGCTTTTCTTGATATGATCAACATCAACCATCCCTTCAATAACTCTAACGTTGCAAAGCTCTTCTGAACAAGAGCTAGTATGCATGGCTATCGCTTCACCAGTCATCATAGCAACTCTCAGCTGCTGACCCGCGTTAAAGAAACTCGTTTTGAATGACAAATCGAGAACAGGTGTTGAAAGACCAAACCAAATTGCAAACTTTCGTTTATCGTTTTTTGGAACGCATTCCCAGTGATCCTGTTGAATATACCATCGATAAGGAATAAGCGTGATAACAGTAGTATCGTGCTCCGGAGGGGGTCTAGGAATGAGTCTATAGAGCAACCGACATAGTGGACAAGAAGGCTTCATGTGAAACCGTGACAAAAGACCAAAGCGTAGTCTGTAAGGTTCCTGTTTTTTAAAGTGTTCAAGATACTTGGCCTTTTCTAGCTCGCCTCTCTGGTTGAGATCTAATGGATCCGCTTCGTTAAAGGCGCGGATGATGTCGAATTCGGCACATCGTTTGCAAAGCTCGCTTGGGTGTAGGCGGAGCTGTTCCAGTAAGTCCTCATCATTTCTGGTCCATGGCTTCGTGGTATTATTCACACCGCTGGGGAAGGCCTGGGTTGGTTGATTCTGAATCGAAGGACAAGGCTGGTCTACCGGCTCGAGCTTGCGGCAGAAGCAGCATAGTCTTGAGTTCTCGATAGACATGTTGTCTGTGGCTGGGTCGGAAAGTTACTGCACTATCGAGTGTATCATCAGACAAAAGCTGCTGAACAATGTGGCAACGCGATTGGAACCTACTTCACAGTTGACAGTATACTCAACTCTAGAAACAGTATCTGATTGTAACAAACGGTCTTCTTACTGCGGGGTTGAGCGTCAGCGGTAAGACTGAGTGGATTCTTGAACGTGATGGCTCGTACCGGCGGGTGATAGGATGAGATCAGACAAGGATCAGGGCTAGTCCACTACAAAGTGGAAAACGCCTTGTACAGCCACAATAGACGGGATTGCAGCTGAGCTTTTCAACCCTATTAATGGGGGGATAGAAAACTTAGGTCCTTGATCCTCAATGGTGAAAAACTTAGGCCAACTTACCATAGGTTTAGGATACTTTTGCCGAGTTTATTTTGACACCATATAGTAAGGTCTGATGTTTTGCTGCTCCGAGGTCTCTTCATCAGCGCTACTCATTCAGGAAAGGAAGACATGGAGCAGATATTCTTATCATTCTACTCAGGATTGGCACTTCTAGCTAAATTCTTTCCACCAAGGTTGTCGCCTATAATCGTTTTCAAAGCCCAGCTAAGAAGAACTATGTATGCATACATAATAAACTATTACTATTTATTTCTTACATCAAGCATGCACCTAAGTGTTGCAACGCGCCCCCCTTTTATGAGAGCGCCAATAACTGATGCCAAAACAATCCTGGCAATAATGATACATAAAGTTAGACATCCACGGTTTGCTCAAGGTGCAAGCATCAATACGGTGCTATGTGAAGTGGTTTTAATTGATAGTTCTTGTCTTTCTCCTTTGTGTGAAATACTTTCTCTTATGGTAATCGAAGAATCTCTGCATTCCGTTTGTTGAAGCGACTTGTAAAGCGCTGCGGTGAAAGCCACCGTGTATGATCATACTAACTCCCTTCTCCAGTAGTAGCCGCACAATCTCTACATTGCCAATCTCTCAGGCGGCCAGCAAAGGAATATCAAACAAATAGACGCTAGCTTCTCCAGCCATGAAGTCTCTTTCGGACCATGTGAGCCCATCAAGACATGGACAATGTAATGGAGGGCCTTGATCCATTCGAGGTCCTAGTTTACGTGGACTGTTACTCCTATATACTTTGAGTCATTGCTGGACTTCTTCTGATGGCTTGGCACGAACGTCATAGTGTACCCAATACCATGCTGCGTATCGTGATATCGGGAATTCAATTTCAGATATGTAGTCGCTGTCTTTGACACCAGATACGTAGGCCGCGTAACCTTTACAACACCGTGCGACAATCTACAGTGCCACCTTACCCTTGCATCTCGCTTGGATGAGAAAAGAGAGTGCCATGCTAACCTGATCTGATTCCTGCATAATGTTGGACAAGCCTAGCCCCAACATATGATGTTGGTTACATCAATGCGCCATTTTCTATCTCTACCCACGGCCGAAAACTCTCACTCCGCCACCTTCTGTTCAACTAAGTTCTAACTACTGATTTGGATGCGAAAACATGGACAAAACCGACGCGGCACCGGCAGCGATTAGTGAAACAAACCCACGGAATCCGACTGAGATTCTTCCGGAATCAATCCCTCCCGAGATGCCTAGCCAAGCAGGTCTGGACCTTGTTGCAGCACAGGTACGGTGCTCTGCTTGAATCTGGATTCATGATTACCTGATAGCGATATAGCCTCTGGAAGAGAACGAAGGGGATGACGATGACTCGGCGCTAGGGCAAGACTTGTAAGTGCTATATTTATCCTTTCTACTGTCACTAATGCAACACGCTAGTGCAAGCTCGACTGCTTCCCTTACCTCAAGTATTCTCGAATATCGAAAGTTTCAGGGTCGGACTTTTAATAGCGACAAGTACGAGACTGAATATTTCGCACCAAATGATGAGAGGCAGAAGGATTCCATTGACATCTCGTAAGGAATACTCTATGCAACCAACATATGATCGTCCTACTGAAAGTCAGCAAGTCATCACTACCTCATGCTACTTCTCGACGGCAAGCTTTCGCTCGTCCCCTCGCCAGATGACTTGGAAGCCAGTTTCCCATGTTTATTACAGCGTCTTGCTTAAACTAACGACATGCAGAAGGTACTTGACGTCGGAACAGGTACCGGTAAGCAATGCCTCGGATAACAGCCACTGTAGGAAAGAAGCTGATGATCAAATAGGTATATGGGCAATGTAAGGATGAGTCTTGTATCTCACACAGAGCTGTTATAAACACTGATGTCTCGCAGCGACTTTGCCGACCAATATCCCAACGCCGAGGTCATTGGAACAGATCTTTCCCCAATTCAACCTGATTGGGTACCACCAAATGTCCGATTTGAACTCGAGGACGCAACTAGTAACTGGACTTGGTCCAACGACTACTTTGACTTTATTCATATGCGCTACTTGATTGGCGCTATCGGTGATTGGGGCGCGTTGTTCAAAGAAGCATTCCGCAGTTGCAAGCCTGGAGGCTTCGTCGAATCTGTCGAGGTCAATCCGACTTTCCTCAGTGACGATGAGACAGCTACCGATGTGAAGGCAGTGCAGACATGGAATAAGCTTTTCAGAGAGGCGAGCAAAGCTTTTGGTCGTAGCTTTTGCGAGATTGAAGGGGACGCAGAGCTTCTGGCTGCAGCTGGATTTGTAGACGTGCAAGTTAGTGACTTCAAGGTATCATCTCTCTCAAACATTGTCCCTTCGAACCTTTGTATCTAACATCGTCAAGGTTCCTGTCGGCGGATGGGCCAAGGACTCCAAGTTACGTCAAGTCGGCCAGTTCCTTCGCGCAACGATGGAAAACGATCTTGAAGGTAAGCCAATCATCGGTTCTGCTCTTCAGTCTTCTAAGAGAAATACAGGATATACGATTATGGCTTGGCATCAGATATTGGGGTGGCCGAAAGATGAATATCAGTTATTTCTGATGGACATGCGAAAGGCTCTCAGAGATAAGAAAGTGCACAGCTACATACGTGTTCGGTTTCTTAATGCCCGCAAGCCATGAGATGCGAGGTAGATAGGAACCTGGGAAATGAAGACTACAGTATCTGATCGTAAGATATAGTCTTCTCACTGCGGGGTTAAGAGTCAGCCGTAAGACTAGGTAGATTCTCTAATGCGACATATCGTGCCGGGTAATGAATTGGTCAATATTGGACCCGGAATCAGAAACCTAGCCCACTATAAATATAAAAAACGCCTTGCACAGCCACAGGCGTCCTTCCAGCTGAACTTTCCCACCTCATCTATTGGACGAGGTCGCTACAGCGGCGCTAAGAATTTGGTCAAGACTCAGAACAGCACTTATTATCACACTCAGGATCAGCATACATTTCTCAATGAATCCATTCTACCAAGCCTATTATCCGGCAATCGCTTTCAGAGCTCATTTGACACTAATCCGGTCCAATACATCCGACCTAGTCGAACTCGTCTCGCAAGCATGTCGGAGGCATCGGAGACTCCGCTGGCTCAGCCATATCCTGGACCTCCGCTGCCGAGTTCGTCACACATTCGCCTCATCCACCTGCTGCCCGGAACCGACACAGCAGCTGTCTGCTGTGAGCTAATCACGGTTTCTATTAACGCCGCACCAAGATATGAGGCTTTGTCGTACACGTGGGGTGATCCCTCGATTACAGAAAGCATCACCATGACCACGCAAGGCTTCGAGGTTACGCAGCCATTCTCGGTAACTTCTAACTGTTTCTCTGCCCTAAAACGTCTTCGGTATAAAGAAGAGACTCGGATTCTCTGGATTGACGCCTTGGCTATTAATCAATCCAATGTTGATGAAAGAAATCACCAAGTCAGCCTCATGTCAAGGATATACTCCCAAGCTGCAGTTGTAGTTGTTTATCTCGGTGACGCAGCAGACAACAGCGACCTGGCCATCGATTTCATCATGAATTGTTATGATCCTTCTCCCAATACTACATCGTTGAGTTTCCCAAAATCTGACATCTTGATGCAAGCCCTTCGAAATCTCTTTCTGAGACCTTGGTTCACAAGAGTCTGGGTGATTCAAGAAGTCTTTCTATCAACTGAGAAGACCATATACTGCGGAGACAAAGAACTCTGTTGGTCCGCCATGGAAAACTTCAAGCATTACCTCGTGAACACGAGAATGCAATTTCGACTGCCCTACGTGGTCTCAATGTCAAACCGCCGTTTCGAAGAGGAGACCACGGAAGAACTACTGTTGAAAACTCTCCTTGATTCCCGACACTGTCAAGCAAGCGATCCGCGCGATAAAGTGTACAGCCTACTACCGATACTGCAGTCTCATATCAAGTCATTGGACTTGATACCAAAGTACCAGGATGGACTAGACAAGATCTACACGGATTGTGCTGTGTCTCTGTTGACAAGTTGCGGCTGGAACCTTGTGTATGCTGTACAGGGCCAATCAAGTATAGAGGCCTTACCGTCTTGGGTTCCAGATTGGAACGTCACGCCTCAACGGTATATTATCGGTACAGCCCCCTGGATGGAAATGAGCTATTTTTGGATAGACAAGGCACTCCCAGGGATTCCAGATAAACCTCAGATCATGATGCGCCACTCGAATGATGGACAAATGCTCGTGCTGAGAGGATACGGATATCCAGGCGGAAGAGTTGTGAGAATGGGATCAACTTACATCGCGGGTAAAAATCCTTTCCCCGCTAAAGAGTGGTATACCATCGTGCATAAGAACGGCGCAGCCAATAACTCTGGATCCACCTCATCAAGCGTAAAGCTCCCTCACCGGACAGAATCCTTGTTCAAGTTCCTTCGACTTGCCCACTACTTGTACTCGTCAAGCATGGAAGATAAAGAAGGAGACCCTGTAAACGAGCTGCCGGAACCAGATTTTATCATAGGAGGCTCACGAACATCTTATCGAGATTACAAGTTTGGTTCGAGATGGGAACATACTGTAAAGAAATTGGCTTCTGAGAGGAAAGATGGCGTGCTGCCGTTCAGGGACATACCCTTTCATTATGCGGCGGAGGGTTGGCCACCGAGTTATGGCAATACTATTAGTGGGAACTTGGAGGCTTGTCATCTACGTCGGTGCTTTGTTACAGACACTGGATATTTTGGAATTGCACCTGCAGAAACGCAGATCGGGGACCAGGTCTTCATTTGTGTTGGAGCTTCAGTTCCGTTTGTTCTGCGGGGCATTCATAGCAGTGGAGGTGATGAGTTTCGCATGGTAGGGGAGGGCTATCTAGAAGTCGGCGGGTGGCATGGAATGATCACGAAAGAGGGTCAACCTCAACCTCTGTACATTGTATGATTCAAGTTAGCTTTATCTCTATATCAAGACTCAATCCTTATAAAGAACTCCTGCTCATCATCCTTCCTCTCAACAACCGCCCTCCTCACAAGATCGTCCGCAACAGCTAATCTCAACTTCTCCGCCGTACACGGAGCATCCAGCACCAGAGGTTCACTAACACCGTTCATCTCCCTCGCAGACTTGACTGCTTCTCTTAAAGCAAAGAACACAGCACAGCCTAGGAACAGAGGAGGTTCTCCTACGCCTTTGCTACTTTGGATGGAGCCTAGCTTTGACCAATTGATGGGGTTGCCTTGAGAGTCGTGTTGGAGGGTGTTCACGTTGAAGACTTGGGGGATGTCCGAGAAGCCTGGGATTGGTTAGTGAGAGCTTCAGAAGTGGGGAGGCGGGAACACTTACCAGGGATTTTGTATGTTCCTGGGCCTTTAGTGAAGATTTCGCCTGATTTCATCCAGAGGGATTCCTCCATGGTGAAGAGACCTTGGCCTTGGACAAAAGCACCCTCGATTTGACCGTAGTCCATTGCTGGGTTGATGGATCGTCCAATATCCTACAAAAAGAGTCAGCACCGACGGGTGTTTGTTTTAATGGTAACGTACCATCATGAGATCTGTTCTCAATACTGTAGAGTCACCAGTGAGAGTATCCAGCTCAACCTCCGATATGGCCCTGAAGGTATCATTAGCGAGGCTATCCCACAAGAATGATACAGTAGAACTTACACTCCTTGCGTAAAGTAATAGTACCTGAACTCAAAGTCAGCAGAGCCTCTATCACAAGAGATCAATCACTCACATCGGCAAAGGATCCTTCCAGTTCCCCCACTCATACCCAATCCTCGGCATCTTCCAAAAACCATTCGCCGCTAAATTAACTCTGTCCCTATACGCCGCATGCGCAATAACCGCCATACTAGCATCTTTACCAAGCTTTTCTCTATATGGCTTCAGCCTCTCATTAATCTGATCACACGCATTCTTCACAGCTTGGCCGTTGATATCACTACCGGATGATGCAGCGGTCGGTGAAGCATTGGCGACTTGGTCGGTTTGGGATTCTTTGTTGTAGATTGAATCGACACTCACGTTGAGTTCTTCGGCTGCGACTTGGGTCATCTTAGTGTACAGACCTTGGCCCATTTCCGTACCGCCGTGGTGGAGAAGGACAGAGCCGTCTTCGTAGATCTTGACGTAAGCTGCCGCTTGGTTGAGGTGGAGGGCTGTTGCGAAACTACTTTCATCAGCAAGCTACTGCTAATCTATTTCAGGAGACTTACCTAAGGCCGAATTTGGTTGGGATCCTAGAAATACCTCGCTTCTTGAATCGATTCTTGGTGTTGAACTCTTTGATGGCAGACTTGCGCTTCTCAAACTCGGAAGAGGAACTCAACTGCTCCATCATAGTAGGCACGTGGAAATCATCCGTGATCTCCTGCAGGAAGGGTGTTCGCTGACCGACTTCGTACAAGTTCCGCATTCGAAGGTCATCAACGTCCATGTTTAGAGACTCTGCGATCTTGAACATAATCGTCTCGGTGATGTACATCCCCTGGGGACCACCGAAGCCTCGGAAAGCCGTGTTGCTGACCGTGTTCGTCTTGCAAACATGTCCGCGGACCCAGACGTGAGGAATGTGATAGCAGTTGTCGACGTGAGTACAAGCTCGGTCCCTATCACTGTTAGCCCCTCACCTCACCGCTTCCAAAGGAGTCGACTCTTACATGACTGCGCCGCTCATATCTAACGAAGCACCCGCATTGTTATAGATATCAATGTCCAAAACCTGTATCTTACCCTGCTCATCAACACCAACCTTCCACTTCGACTGGAACGGATGTCGCTGTCCACTAAAAGCAATATCCTCATCACGATTCAGCATCATCCTCACGGGCCTCGCCGTCTTCTGCGCTGCGAGAGCAAGATACATCGATAAAGCTGTGGTTCTTGACTCTTTACCTCCATACGCACCTCCCATTCTCCGAACACGCATGTTGACTCTGTTCATAGGCACGCCGAGCACTTGCGCGGTGAAGACTTGGTTCTCCATGAGGTTCTGCGTCGAGATGTAGACTTCCATTGACCCATCTTCCATGTGAGGAATCGCAAGCGCTGCGTTGGTCTCGAGATAGAAGTGCTCTTGGCCGCCCATGCGTGTGGTGCCCTCGAGAACGTGAGCGCATCTGCTGAAGGCTTCGTCTAGCGACCCACCAAGAGCATCGCCCTTTCGAAGTTCTTTACCGTGTTTGAAAAAACTCTTTGCTTTGATGGCTTCGTCGATTGTGAAGATGGGGGGGAGGCGCTTGTATGTTACTGTGACTGCGTCGGCAGCAGCACGAGCTTGAAGCGCTGTGTCGGCGTAGATCATACCGATGACTTGGCCGTAGTATTCGGACTTTCCATCTGCAAAGATGAGTTCATCGAGCACGACAGGGCCCCAGATATTCTGCTCTTTGGTGATGCTGTCCTTGTCGATATAGCCAACTACACCGGGCATCTCTAGGGCAGCTGAGTAATCAACGCTGAGAATCTCTGCATGGGCTGCTTTGGACATGACCAGCGCTCCGAAAAGTTCGTTGTGCTGGCGTGGCATGTCATCGACATACTCTGCTTCGCCGGTACAGTGCTTGACGGCGGAGAGGTGAGGAATTGGACGGCCGACTTCCTTGGTACCTCTGTTCAGCATCGAAGACGTGAAGTTGTCGCGATTGCCGGATGAGATGCCGCGGTGAATCTCCTCAATGATATTGGCATCGACTTCACCGAGACCTAGATCGTGAACGACTTCGTGCCAGAAGCGGAAGAACATGGAGATAGTGAGAACTGTAGCACGGTTAAAGAGCGTATAAAATGCTCGAGGGAGTAAACTGACCTTTTCGGTAATGTGCCATACCGCCGGGTACACCAAAGGGAAGCTGAAACTGCTCCAACAGAGCATCAATCGCAGCATCCAAGGTCTTTATATCAGACCATTTCTTCCCCACGACAGCCTTCTGCGCTATCTCAGCCATAACAGTCGTCGGCGCCATACCACCAATAGCAAAAGCAGCATCCTCCACAACCCCATCCCCATCCAACCTCACCCTAAACCCAGAAGTGACAATAGCAATATCATCATCCTTCCTCTTCGCTTGCTTATAAGCCTTGGTAATCTCAATCTCATCACTCGGAAGCGGGACCACAATCTCTGTTATGACTCCATCTTCAGGAAGTGCTGTTGTTCTGTATGACAGAAACCACGAAGATAACGGAATCTCAGTTGTTCCAGCAGCTTGGGAATGGATCTTTACCTTGGCGCCTGCGGCTAAGAGGACGGGTGCGGAGTCGGAAATGGGACTTGCGGTGGCGAGACTTCCTGCTAGACTAGCTACATTGCGGATCTGTCGACCTGCAAAGTACCGAAGTTGTTTGCGGAGAGCTTCTAGCGCTGAAGCGCGTCGACCAAGCTTGGCGTACAAAACAGTACACATCTCTTCGACCTTTGTCAACGAGAGGTTTCCGGGTATACTGATACTCTTCAGCGATTCCAGTTCAGCCTGTTTCATCTGAAGAGGATCAATAGTGAGGCTGTTCAGCTCAGCAATGTCTGCTGCAAACACGGAAACACGATAAGCTCTCTTCTTGAAGCGTACTTCGATCTGGGTTTCACTTGCACCGCCGACGATCTTGGCCTCTGGAAACACGCCTTTCAGGTCGATCAATTGCTGGAGGTTTGTAGGTCGGAACCAGAGTCTACGATCGTCGCCGTAGCAGATCGGCTGAGGTTCGTACTTTCGTAGCGCTGGAGGGAAGATGGGCTCTGTCGATGGATCGTATGGTAGAAACGTCTCTCCAAAAGCCGGTTTCTCTGGTGATCTTGGTGGTGTGCTCGGTGTTTCCTGTGGTCTGGGAGCTGTGATCGGTGTCTCCATCTCCTTCGGGTTCGATTCATCTACACCAGTTGAGCCGCATCCTTTTGAATCAGGGTTATCTCGACAGCAGCCTCCAGGACGACCGCATGACCCAGTCTTGTTCGCTTCGCGCGCAACAGTCGCATAATCGTCCTCTGTGGTCTTCTCGGGCGTTATCTCCTTGCCGTTGATCTCAGCTATGGTTCCGTTGAGGTCTTCTGTGATGAAAGTTCGTGCAGCTTCGAAGATGGGCTTGTAGCCGGTCTAATCACTGTAAGCAGATAACAAACTGGTTCTCTGGGGGTAGCTTACGCATCGGCACAGATTTCCATCGAGATGGCCCTGTAGCTCAACTTCAGAGTTGGTCAAGTGAAATTTGCCATCTCGGTATGAGTTTCTGATGAGTGCATACAAACTCATGACAATTCCCGGCGTGCAGAAACCGCATTGCGTGCCACTACCCTGTTAGTCTCATATTTTTACTTAAACCCTTGATTTAACTTACTGCATCTTGGCAATCCTCTCCTGAAGCGGATGCGGCCTCTTCACCGTGCCCAGCCCCTCAACAGTGATGAGACTCTTTCCATCGACACCAACAAGCGGATACAAACAAGCGTTCACAGCAAGATGTCTCACGCGTCCAGCTTCAAGTGTCTGGAGGACAACAGTGCACGCTCCACAACCTCCTTCTCCGCATCCTAATTTCGTTCCTTTCAGGGAATCTTGAGCTCGGATCCAATCTAGCAGAACCCAATCCGAATTGGGGTTCTTGACTGTCACTGGTCGGCCATTGATGTAGAATTTTATATCGGAGGTTCTGTAAGTTGTTTTTATCAGGGCTGCGAGTGATTCGACTGCCGTTTTGGGGGTGTTTTCATCGGTGTCGGATAAGGGCGGTGATGGGAGAGCGTCCTGTGAAGTCTTCATTGTAGCAACGTAAATAGTGAATGGAATAGAAGTCAATTGATACAGATGAATACAGAATTGGGTTTGGAAATTCTCCCAACAACAAATGGGAGAAACAGAAAAGGTCAGCTCAACTAGTCCCCTCCCCTCTAAAGTCAGCCACTCGGACTAGTTGTAGTTATCACGAACCATCATCCCACCCTTGACCAGTCCCCATCCTTGATTAATACGCCATTCAACGACTCCCCCGCATTTATCACGATAGCAAAAAGGCCCCATTTTTGCTGGCTCTGGACCGTTATCTCCCGTTGTGTTTCCGGGCCGTTGTACACACTTGACGTTAGATGAGGGGTTTGTGTCGCCGAGATAACCGAATTATCTATCTAACTCGAAAGTGGGAGGGGGAAGCCCACTTCTGTCATTCGTATTCCCGAGTCGCCCCGCGTCAATGTTACAAATTAGATCTGCCTGTATAAATGTAAGCAGACAAGGGGATCCAATAAAACTTAGGACCTGTATACTAGGTGATAAACAGCTTTAGGTAAACTTAGGTAAATTTAGTAAAGCTTTAGAGGATCTTAGACTAGGTATTTCTAGTACCTTAGTTTAACGTTAGAAGTCTTCTTATACCCTAAAGGCAGGTTGGGAACTTATTGGATTAGAAGAAAGGTCGTAGTAATCCCGTTCTTATAGTTTCTTATTACGGTAGGGGATCTATTTAATCTCCCAGGAGTGGCACAGCTCTTCAGCGTATGCATTGTTGATTTCAGGTCACAGAGATTACTCAATGCTCCAATCTCCATCAAACATGGGGTTAATCTTCAGCTGGCCCAATCCGTCCTCGCCTGCATTCTTCTTATCAACCTCCACCTCACCAATAGTCCAGTTCTTGATATGAATACCTAGTGTCAAGTTTCCCTGCCCGGGAGTATAATTATCCATGCCCTTTCCCGCATCCATACCGACGACGCTTCTTCCAAGTCTCAGCTCTGTATCGTTATTCAACGTCTCAAAATAGACATTAGAGATTTCCAAGTCGTAGTTTTGCATCGGAGCAATTGTCACGAGCGCTGCACAAATGCCTTCACAGACAACATCGTCAATCTTGACTTGCATGGTCCGCTGAGTATCAATCTCCTGTGGATCACCGTAGAATGGCGATGCGCCCAGAATAGCCGACGGAACATACGCATCGGGCTTGTACCACCGATTGTGAATAATGCGAAGCTTAGAAATCGATACATCGCTGACATTACGCGGTTTCCAACCCATTTGGATGATGGCATTGTTCCGAGCTTTCCAGATCGTCAGACCGTGGAGTCGGGCCCCGGAGTGATATAATTTGATAGCATCATCATTGACATGCCAGAACACATCGCGGACTGAACCTCTATACATCTGGGTTCCGTCGGTTTGGAAATAGTAGGCTCCGACTTGCTTGTAATCGCGTATATGTGCGCTGACTTTGTTGTCTTCCTCATGAGGAGTACTGTTCATTGGATAGAGATCCATGGTGTTGAATGGCGGCGAATTGAGTGTTGGACCAATACAGTGCCATGTCTGATTGTCCATCACAGACTGGTGCCAGAACATACGGAGACTGAACCGGTCGTCCTTCACAGCGGTGTAGTTCTTGATGGTGTTGGCCATGTATACATAGTTCTCGCCCGACAGCACTCCATACCCGACCGTATGGAAAGTTGGGTGTGTTGTTGTGTATTCCAGCGCTGCTTTGACGTATGCACCAGGCTCGAAATATACGTAGTGAGTCATCGGACTCAACTTGATATGGTCCTTACCCAACACACCATCCTTCTCTATCCAATGGATACCCGATTCGAATATCACGGTTGGTTTGGACCCGAGAGTGTCTTGCGTCATCTTGCCTGGGCGGATGACCTGTACATTGCTGGATGTCTTGGAGGGAATCAGATCCTTGGGAAGAGGCGGACTGGCGAAAATGACGAGGCCATTCCTAGGCTCCTCACTGACAATGGTACCGCCATCGCTCACATAGTCAGTGCCGTTAGACCTGTACGTAAAGAGATCATCCCTGAACTCAACAGAGAATCTCGCCCCGGACTTTTGGTAGGGCACCCGAATTAAGACAGTGTTATACTTTGGACTTCTAACTGTGAAGCCAAGATCAACAGGGCGAATGACGACGTTGGAAACTGGCCCAATGGAAGATCCGTCAGTAGTAACAATCCGAACATCGACATCCTCCTGGTAGATGAATTGCGTCCAAGCCATATTAATCCCCTCATCTGCCTCAATGGTAATTCCATCTCCGTCCGCAAAATCATACTCTTTCCCAGGCTGAACTGGATCGAACATTTTCCCGTTGCCATTACGAGGGATCGACTCATAGACGAAAGAGCGATGAAAGTCGTCCTCACCTGCGATCGAGACAGAAACGTTGTATCGTCGTGAACGCCGGACCTCGTCAGCCGCTACCGAAGTATTGGTGTTGACGACTGAGTTCTCGTGCCACCATATCGTGATACTAGACTCTGGCTCTATAAGTTCGCAAAGTCTGGCTGCTGCGAGGAAGCCGAAGAACTTCCAGCACGGAAGCATCATGTTCGTAGCTGACGATAATCTCGGGGTTTTAAGAAAGATCCTTGCAAACTGGGCTTGGTAGCTATATATGCTCTCATTCTATCTCATTTACAGATGAAGGGACATATTTGATCATAGTGCATAGCCACATGTGAAGAGGCCTCATTGCGTGTCAATTGCTTGACCTGGTGAAGAAACGGACCGACAAGATGTCGACAACCAATGATACCCTCTATATCGAGGCCCCGTACATCTTGGCATCCAAAATCCAGCCAGTAAAGGGAAATAATTATTGCGGGTGCGGCAATTTCATGCAGAGGTGTCAAAACTTCCCGAGAATCATTCCGTGCTGCCGAGAAGCTTTGGTTCCGGCGTATATACAACAGTCATATTCAATGGCAGAAACGCCCGCTTTGGATCTCTCATACGACTAGGAACGAGGTGGCTACGGCTAGCCAGATGATATGGAGAAGTTGTCGCGGGTTCTTGAAGACAACTACAGCTAGGATGGCATGAGGAAACTCTTTTCAGCCGCCCATCATACTGTTCTAAGCGCGATGGTGTCGATGATGAACCGGGTCGAGATCAGCTAAGCCTGTCAGACATTTACTTGGCATAGCTTTCAAAGTGAGAACAAGTCGTGAACTTTCTACCCAAACCTCCATTTCAAATTATGACTATGTCGCCTGGTAAAGAAATGACTCGACTACTGCTAGAACCTCCGCCATTAAACTCTTATTTGATTTCTTCACTCAGATATTGAAGTGAGGGAATTCGGGCAGCTTGGTTAACGAGGCTCCGCAGGTACGCCATATCAGTATGCAGGCTGACACACAAGGTACAGTAGCCCAATTGCTGATATGCCAGCAGGTAATAGCTATTTTCAACCCCCATGTTAAATCCGTAGTGAGGTGCATGCTGTGAGTTGGGGGCTAATTACTACAAAAGACTTCATTGGGTAGTTAATGTAGCACAAAGCCAGGATTCCAAGACCCTAACATTCAGCCCAGAGGGGACTAACATTCTGGTTCTTGGGTGTCTCCGGCCCCTCCGATCTTGGTCAGAGTGTTATGAAGACCATTCTTCCTGTGTAACCCCACGGCCCGTCATCCAGGCTTACGGTTAGAACGACAGTTTAATGTCTATTTTTATTCCAGCTGAGGTTCTGCAGCTCTTGGCAGAGTTTACCCTGTAAAGATCTCGCAAGGCTCTAGTAATTTCTGCTGTTAAATAAGCTACCACTCTCTTAAAGTAGAGCATCCAGTCTGTTTCCATCTTAGCTTTAGTCTTTCACTCGCTATGGTCTCTTTCCTCGTCTGCGAAAACCAAGACAGCACTCAACGCCAGTGACACTCTTCACATTGTCAAAGAGTCTCATTAAGATGGTCGACATAGAAAGCCACATGCCGCTTAAGGCGAGCGACCGCCTACTTTCCGTGCCGACTTACCCTCATACGTCGCCCATCAACACTTCATCGGACAGCATACCCTTGAATACGCTTTCAACAGGGTCGTCTTTGTCAAGAGAAAACCTCGTCAATCCCGTCTCCAAGCCCAGAAGATTTACGATACCGTACCAGAATAAACTGCAGATCCTATCAGTGGCAGTTCACGTTTTAGCAGTCGCTATTACTATCGTTATTGTCCAGTTCAGACTTCGCGAGATATACTGGTTTGACCAAACCGCAAAGCTTGATCTACTCGGAATGGAGATCAAGGCCGAGTCAAACACATCAGCTCTCCAGTTTGCCGCCAAGATCCACGAGGCTCTCATCCAAGTGCCATAGCATTCCATATTATAAGGCATATGCTTCGAGGCCAGGGTGTTTCTTTTGGCGTCCTGGATGGAGTATATCGGTTTGGCTCAGTCCCTTGGCTCTGGTCGAAAGGGCTTTGGGGTGCCCTACACAAACCCGCCCATTACCAAAACTTTCTCTTCGCTATAGGTCTTGCGATGGCCGCTATTTACGCCAACGTTATTGCGCCTTCATCCGCTATTTTGCTCACTCCGACACTTGATTGGTGGAAGGTTCACGACGCCTTCAATGCCCAGAATTTCACAACCCTCATCACTGGAAATTCGAGTCGAGCGTTTCCGTCATACTTGACGCCGCGTGGCAAGTGTGCGAGTGATCCTAGCTGGGATCAATGTCCTGGAGGAGGCTATAGCACCCTTCTCTCCTTACTCAGAGCGTATCAAACCGATGGCATCGATCTCGAGACTCAGATCAAACTACCAGTTTCAAAGTCGTACCGGAAGATCAGCTCAACCCTAGATTTCAACGAGTATATCGCAAAAAACGAGAGTCTTGCTGTCGCCACAACTTCCCATACTTCAATCGCGATGATAGCGGGTCTGCTCTGGAACCATATCCTAGAACAGAAAGTGGGCAAGGTAAACGACATAGAGCGCCCACAATTTCGACCCAAAATCCAGAACATTCGTGCACCACTGGTACAGGTTCAGTGTTCTCCCTTCTCTTGGATCAATGCCACCAAGAAGATACATGATCCTGTATTCAAGGCAAATAATCTCAGGAACTTCAGTCAACTTGTTGACAAAGAGGGCACCAACCACTACCAACGAATGGGGAGCCGAATCGCTGAAGGAAAGGATTGGCATCACACAAAATCCACTCTCCACATTCCTACTCTGAGATGGGTCGACGCTTCATCTTTGTTTGACGATCCCAGTCTATCTCTAGCTGCAGTTGCAACAGTCCCCGCATATTACTTTCAAGAGGATAAAGCAAAACTCGACAGCATCATCCTCCCATGCATGATTGATGCCCGCTGGGTGGATGTATCCCTTGAATACGATCCCACGATGGATAACACAATCAACAGTAACTTTACAGACCTAATGTCACTGAGGCCTTATTGGGATCCCAAAAACACGTCTGGTCCTCCTGGAGGGCTCACCTCACCAAACGTCGTGATTGATACATCTTGGGCTGAATCACTCAATCTCAACAATTTATCATTACAACGTCAAGAACGGAACCAGAGACGTCACAAAGATTGAGAATCTAATGGATGTCTTTATTAAAACTGACGACGACCACTATGAGGATGACGACGACTTTATTCCCAATCACTTTGTTCCACCTTTCAACACGGCAACTGGCAGAAAGCTAGGAAACTTTACGACTGATAACTCGAAAGTTGAATCCTATGTAAACGAGATCTCCAAGACTGTAGCTGCTATACTCTCCCTCGCTATAGTCGATGGTATGTCTCGTAACGCTATTAGTCTAAAGATGCGCTTAATTACCAAGAACCTCCAGAACGGCTCATCACAGGGAATAGAAGAATTTTGGGAGCCGCATCCCGAGGAAAACGGCAACCCTGGATCGGAAATATTCGAGGCAACTGACGTGGACGAGCCAGTCTCTATCGACTGGGAAGTCTATAGGTATGGGTGGGGTTATGGCCGTCAAAGCACAGCAGTATACTTCGCCATCACAGCTCTTTTCATCCACGTGGTGTTGGTGCTTGTATTTGGAATCTACATGGCCATATTCTGGGTCAGCGGGGAACGGCCTGGCAAGTCTCAAGATACGATATCCGAGTTTGTAGCCCTGGCATTGGCCTCTCCGTTGATAGGTGACAACGCTTCAGAAGTGAGAAGACTTGCGAATGGCGAGGAGGAGGAAGATAGGGGCAGTTAACTATTGACGCTGCCGTTTAAGCTTGGGATGAATGATGAGAACGAGAGAGTATTATTAACTTGAGCTAAAAAGACACGCCATATAGTGAGCATTTGTGTCCCTTTCGCTTCCTGATATTGAGGAGAGTCTGAGCTAAAAAATAACTTCATGTCGTCTAAAAGAATATGACTTATTAACTCTAACACTGGAACTTCATAGACTTCCAATCATCTCCAATGTTGAAGCAATCATTGAGATTAAGGCCCTTCTCGGAATAGCCCTGGCAGTTTCCCTCCCTGTATCTGATCACTAAAGAAACAACTTGTAAGCACAGGCATTATCGACTAGGAATGGGGTGCAGCATACTGTGGCAGCTAGTCTTCTTTCTCTCCTGCATGCTAACAGCATGGTCCTTTGAGGCCAGGTCTTTGATGCAATATCCACTGTTGTAGCCCTTTCTGGAGCGTGAGGTCCTGCATGTAGTGGTCGTCCAGAACTTGACCGTGATGTCACTAGCTCGGCTCTCTAGATGAGAGTCAAGACCTGCCGGAAGGGTGTCGATAGGGTTGGCCAGAGCAGGAGCGGCGACAAGAGAGCAGACTGCGATAGCAGTGGTGGTAAAGGCGTTGAAGAGCATATTGAGCAAGGAGTTTGGCAGATTTGTTTAGAATCAAATAGTGTCGGATGAGGATGAAGAGGGGTAATATGAAGAGAGGAAACCTCCTACTTATACCTGGCAGTCGATCTGACGGTACGTAGTTGAAGTACGGCCACTTCCTCTTCGGTACTGTGGATTTGAAATGCTGTGATACAAAATATCAACGTCGCTTGAATGCAAGCATAAGGGTACTCAAGCGTCTATTCGATACCAGGATATCCATACACGTAGCTTTGTGACTTCCGGATTGATGCGGCCCCCAAGCAAAAGTTCCAGAGGTGTCAAAGTAACTAAGAGAAACTCAGTACGGTCGGTAGTTTGGTTACGGTCTAGATCACCTAACTCGGCGTTAATGGAGGATACTGTCTGGGGATTGGTTCAATGTCAGGCTCGTAGATCCAGTGCAAGATTGAGAATTGAAGCAGGCTCAGAGCTAAGAGCAGATCTGGACTTCACTGCCCCTGTTCCACGTCACTCACTGCATAATAGGCCCCCAAGTGAATGCCCCGCGGCCCTGGAGTGGCTGCCATGACTCGTATTGAATTGGGCTCTTGGCTGTGCTTCTAAAGGCCGGGACTTCGAGTATCGTCGGCTATTTAGAACCCTGCACACCCATCACATTGTCAAGGCAAGAAACCACTCGTCCGTAATTCTGCGGTGGTTACCAGACATTGAAGAAATCGATCCACAAGTAAGTGGAACCACGAGAATACATTCCTTATGAGGAGTACCTATTTCAGTTCCCTAAATCTACCGCAGATCTTTAGTAGCGTCTCGTAAATTCAGCTGGAAGGGGAACCGGATGGACCGGCCGTGACAAGGATCATGCGGGCTTGGAGTTTAGACTGGAAACCCAACTCTATTTGGACTCGAGTTGCATATTTGCCCGGAGACGGTATTGGGGGCGGAATGGATGTCCGGACACAGGATTAGATGAGTGTAGACAAGCAAGTAGGCGTAGGCGGCTCCAAATGGCAGATTCTATCAAAAATATTTTATGAATGATCTGCGATATGAGAATTCATCGTACAGCCAAGAGCAGAGTCCCGGGTCCATGCAGCTCCACGACTCTCTCGGTCATCATGATCGCCCTTGGCTGTTTGTCCGGCCCACTACTCTGCAGTCGTGTCCCGTGAATTCCCTGCGGAGCAGACACGGCAGAGATACAGGGGCGGAGGCCTTCCCTGAGGCCAAGCCGGCTAACTCGGGTTGAGCGCTTCATTTGACCACAAATCTAGAAATGTCTTCTACAAGCATAATCCCAAATCGGATACTGGAGCGGACGTGGTTAGGGTGTTGGGTAAACACTCCGAGGACAGGAAAAGCTCCGACAGGCTCCGGAGATCAATTGCGTGCTAGTTCTAAATAGTATTCCTAAGCTCTCTTCAGTGCCTCGGTCCTTGACAGGCTGTTAGGATCGAGGTAAGGCTTCTCGCCAATGCCGACAGCCCTGTGACCCGTGCGCTCACCAAGACCATCGTAATCATTCGTCGCGCTATGGAATGCACTGCGGTTATCCCAGAACGCTAGACACCATTAGCATAACCCTCAACCACCATCTGAATCAGACCACTCACCAATATCATTGGGACTTCTCCAGCGGAAGCGAACCTGCAGATCATGGTTCTGCTCAATCCTCTTATACAGCGACTCCAAGATCTCTCTACTCTCACGCTCGCTCAGCTCATTAATGCGCTTGGGAAAGTTTCCAATCGCAAAGATAGACTTCCATCCCGTTACGGGATTGGTGCGAACAACGGGGTGAATGGCCTTGAGCTCATCACCGATATTGGCGGGATTTCCTCGCGGTTCCTCGTAGACCTTGTAATGATCCGGTCTCGCATCTCGTGCCCTCAAGAACCCCTCGCCAGAAAACGTAGCAGTCAAGCCCTCAAAGAACTTTCTGTAAGGATCGCTGAATCGATCATATAGCTCGTATCCTGAAGCCCAGAGGGTATCGCCACCTCCGGCCGGGAGTTTTGTGAGTCGCAGACTTGTGTAATCAGCGGGATACTGCTCGAATTGGATATCGCTGTGCCAGCTCGCAGCGCCTTGCTTTCGATCGTCACGATCCTTGATTCTATCCTGGAAGAACTCAACGTTTGATGAAATAACGCTGATTTCATTGTCGTCTACGCCGAACTCATTGGTGCTGTTGAGAAGAGGGTGGATGTGGAGGGTTGAGTCCTTGGGCTTGTTGGTCAGCTGGCCGAGGCGGTGGACGAGTTGTTTGTGCTGTTCGTCTGTGAGATTGTCTTGGGCGCGGAAGAAAACGACGCCGCGTTGGGAGACTGGGACTGTTAGAGATGAGCTCTGGGGCTGGGAAGGTGACATACTGGTGATGGCGAGATCGCGGATTAGTTCATCTGCGTTTGGGGCGTTGATGATGTCGTCGACAAGATTGACTTTGGGATATTCGCGTCCAATGACGGGTGTTGACTCTTCAAACGTGAACTTATCGAGAGCTCCCGATGCCTTCAGAGGCTCGGGGTACTTGTTGGCCTCGACATTGAGCGGCACGATGCGCTCGGCCTGTTGGGTGATAGTAGTAGTAGTAGTCGACATGTTGAGCTATGTTATGTCTGTCTTAACAAAGCAGTCTTGTCTTTAGTGAAGAAAAAGCTCCTTCGTCTGGGCTTCTATGCTTTCCTTATATATGATGACATTAGTCCCCACCAGGCGTTATCAGATCGCACAATCCGCCATTTCACTTACGACATTGCGATTGACCTTGCTAACCCCGCAGAACCAGGTACGCAGTAGGTCTAGTGAGTCATGCCGTTAGACTTGCGCTTTCATCATGGTCGATGGTGTCACTTTAGCTTGTGAATCCATTGGATAGTAAAACCAGAGCTGCGCGTGCGATAACATTGCCTCATCGGCATCATCGGTCGACGACCGATTCGGAACTCGGAGTCACTCGGATCTCGTTCCATTTTTGATCTTATTGGATCATCGGACACCAGGTAGTCGCTTTGAGCTCCGAGATATCGGTTGTCGCAAGCATTTGATTCGGGCAAGTCCTCCCTACACTCGGTTATGAATGTCCTTTCGTATTAGGTGACCAAAGCTTACAATTTCACCATGTCTCGTCTTTCCGACAGGCCGAGCTGATGATTGCTTTCGGCCTCAATACCATGTGATCAGGTCCGTGTTCTTTGCGATTTGGTAGATCAATGGGAGTTCGGGATGGCGTGCTAGCTTATCAAATCCCCGGGATTGCACGTTATCCACTTCGTCATTAGAGCCTTGGATGGTGAAATGCGGAGGTCTCCATTGAATTAGCGCATTGATAAAATGTTAGCATGGGCCAATTTCTCTGAAAGGATCGATCAAAAGGACATATTCTCATTAAATTTGAGCGATGGGTGGTTGTGATAGGTCACAGGCCACGAGATTGGAAAACAGTGAAAGTCCCAAACGAATGAATTGATGAGAACTTCGAAACCGGTAAACACACCACGTCGATTCATTACACAAGTAAAACGTATAGTTTCTCAGCAAGGAGTAGAGATTGAATTAATTGACAAGATAAGGATAAATTCTATCACATAATCAAGTCGTAAGCAATGTCATTTGTCTTATTTTGATCTGTTCATGGGATAACTAAATGGACGAGCTCAGGGTAGCTAGATTTATTAAACAATTTCCGATCAGTTATCGATAAGAGTACAAGTCCGCCTCTCTTATCTCGTGGAATACGGCGCAAAGTTCTTCCGCTCCTTGAAGGCGGAGGATCAGCCGCCGACTCCGCCTGACATCCGCCCCGCGGCAAAGATTTCCCAGTGTGACACACAAAACAGGCAGGCATGGAATCTGCGAAGCGGAAGCGAGCCGCCAAAGCCTGCAATTACTGCAGAAAGAGGTGTGTCAATGCCTGCTAAACAAGTGCTATACTGTTAGGGTGCTAATTGATGCAGGAAGAGGAAATGTGATGGCAGACAGCCTGTGTGTACCCTCTGCGAAGAGGCGAACAACTCCGAGTGCGAGTATCGCGATGAAGGAAATGAGTCAAAGTGAGCTTCAGCCTCATAATGCATGGCATGAGACTGATCTAGCTAGGCGCATTACAATCCCTGTTGATCGCGTTGATGAGATCTTTGATCGTCTTGAATCTCTTGAGTCAACCTTTCAGTCCGCTATAGCTCGTCAGCGGGATCGAAGTCCCATCTCGACACCGTTCCCAGCATCGACTCCTTATCCGGCCTCAACGCCTTATGCACCATATCCTGTAACACGACACAACGAACCGATCAGCCCTGAAGATGGAATAGTACCTGCTTCATCTGTGCATTCAACAGGACCGGGGACACAAACATCGCTATCACAATTCGCCAATAACAATGTCTTTAACACGACTATGGACATTCCACTTTCTCACTCATCCACGACGGGAAATTTGCTGAGATCCGCGCCTGCTAAAGCACTCCTTGGCCATTATCCTTCAGATCTGTTTCTCCATATTGAGTTGAGAAGACCCGTCCCTGAAGGATTGAGATTAAACGCTGTTCCAGCAAGTCAAATCGACCTACCGACATTATCACCCAACGAAACAGACCATCTCGTCCGAAACTACTTTCAGCTCGTTCACCGCTTCCATCCCATTCTTGACCAACGATCTTTCTACGATCTATACGACAGAACCGTTGACCACGGCGCACGACCTGATCTCCCCTCCTCCCTGGTCCTCGTTGTTCTCGCACTAGGTTCCGTCGCGGCCGAGACGCCAAATCGCATGGATGCAAGCTGGAGCCCTGGAGTAAGGTTCTTCACACCCGCTGTGAGACTATTACTCACGGAGTCGTTGTGCTCGTTTGGTGGTGATCCGCTTTTACCCCAGGCGTTGTATCTCGCTGCTCTGTATTATAGTTATTTGTCGAGGCCTTTGCTTGCCTGGAGGTTGGTACATATGGCGTCGACTGATGTGCAGCATTATTGGATAAGGTGTGTCTAGCTTTAGTGGGATTGAGAGGCGTGCTGACGTTTTAGGTCTGAGAAGTTGCTGCGAGATGGTTCGCAGGACCAGTCAATCCTACGAGTCTTTTGGGCCATTCTTGTGCTCGAATGGTGAGCCATCTGATTCCCGTTGTTAAGGTCTTCTCTGACTGTCTTCAGCGATATTCTAGCAGAGCATCATCTCCCTCGCAGTGGCATCGAAAAGATCGTCGATAAACTCCCCTACCCTTGGTCTGATGGTCCCTCCGAACCTTATATGCACCGCTGGCTCGCCGATCTCTCGTCCCGTCGCCTCTTGAATCGCATTCACTACGTCCTCTACGCAGAAGCCGAACCAGGTACGGGCGACAACCAAGCCGATAACTCTGAAGAAACACAGTCTAGTCTCCCAAATCTAGCTCATGAGTTGAATCGTCAGCTAGGTGCATGGTATCATCTCCTCCCTCACAGTATCCGGCCGAACTTGGAGATACCTCCAATAGGCATTGACGATACAATGGTTACTATACGATATCACACCACCGGCGATATTATCTACAGGCCCTTTCTGTATCAGGTTTGTGCTCTTGCACCGGGAACACAGCCAAACCCCGCCACGCTCGAGAATGCGAGACAATGTCTGGTCCACTGCCGTAGATACCTCAATGCGGTTGAATTTGCAGTGCACGCGCCGACTGCATCTTTGGAGAATCTCTTACACGGGTATGTCCTTGACAAGAATACAATAACAATTACTAAGAGTTCCAGGACCATGGCAGTAGTATTGCTCCTCTCATTCGCAGCCTTTTCAAGATTAGATGCCCTCAGAGTCCCGGATCTCAACCAACTACAAGACAAGGGAATACGGATCTGCGAAAGATGGGCGTTTCCAGGGTCAAGTATAGAGCAAATGGTTGTAATCCTGCGCGCCCTCCGAGCAAAATGCATCGATACAGGATGAGAGCAAACTCCATAGGAAACAACCTCAATGCAGAAATTTACCCAGTTTGGTGTCATAACTTTGCATATCCGGACCCGGAAATGGTCAATCCAAAGGCGAGATCCATTGATTTTGACATCAAGGGCGCGCGCTAGTCATCGTCGGAAGCAGGGCCGAGACCTGTGGCGAGATCTTTCCAGAAGCCACTCGTTCAGATGTACAAGGTTTTTAGGAAATTGACTCGGGGAGTTTATCTAAGTTTCCTTGTTGGAACTGTTTAAGTATTTTAAGCCGACCAGCCAAGCTTAATTTTGGAGAAGCCAAAGCTGCAGATCCACTCACCGCCAATGCCTCCAATATCTACCCCGGCTACAATATTTATTACTCAATCGTTATCATTAGCTGCGTTACGCCACATCATCTCATCATGACTGCCAAGGACTTCCAACAGCCTCACAAAGAAATCATCATCAAGCCTGCAACACTCATTGACGCCGCTCGCATCGCAGAGCTAGGCGCGCATGTCTTTACAATAACATTCGGGCACTCCGTTGAACCCCACGAACTCAGTGCCTTCCTTGAAGAATCCTACACAGAAACCTCAATCGTCAACGACCTCAATGACCCCAACAAAGACGTTATCATCGCTACGAATGCCGACGATGATTTCCTCGGCTTCGCATATCTCACCCGCGGAAGCAGTGAGCCCTGTGTAGAAAACATGGAAAAGACCGTTGAGTTACAGAGGATTTACGTACATCCTAATTCTCATGGCGCTGGTGTTGGAAAGGCTTTGGAGAAAACCATTGAGGCCATGGCGAAGGAACAGGGGTTCAAGAATTTGTGGCTTGGTGTTTGGGAGGAGAATCCGAGGGCGATAAGGGCGTATGAGAAATGGGGTTATAAACAGGTCGGGGATCATGACTTCACTATTGGGTCTATTGTGCAAACTGATCATATCATGATTAAGAGTTTATAGATGCAAAAGGCTCTCAGGATAATGCGTCATGGAATAGTGAATTTGGCATTGGATAAAATACGATTTGGCAATAAGATAAACAGGCGATGACAGACCAATTAGCTTCTTTCTAATCTTTATCCTCCGGAACATGTCTCTCAAACCTGTTCGGCACTCAACACCGAAATAATGAGACTCAATTGATGAAACTCGCATTCAAGGATTTTTGACCTTCGGAAACAGGTCCGATAACACTAGGTGAATGACCAATGACAAACCCCTCGGCACCAATTCGCTCTAGACCTTGCTTAGAATGACTGTACCTGTGATTCGCCGATCCAGACCGGCCCGGTCGATGTGAACGACGCCCTCTCATACTGGCGGCCCGCCTGCTCCGCCAAACCTTTATTACTGGCGATATATGTTCATTCTACACTGGCATAAAGACTTCAATATCTCCATTTCACAAAAAATCACTACGAGACATACCCAACACACCAACCATGTATATCCGCGCCGCCCATGCCGAAGCAGACCTCCGCGTCCTTCGCCGTCTCATCCACGAAAACCCCCTCGGAATGCTCACAACCGGAATAAAATCCCAAACACACTCCTTCCTCCAAAGCAGTCACATCCCCTTTCTTCTCGACGTAGAAGATGAATCCAGCCAAACAGAACTCGGTCGTCTCCGCGGGCACTTGGCTCGTCAAAACCCCCAAAGCAAAGCCATGATCGAACACTGCACCTCCAACCCCTCTCTAAAAAGCTATCTCGAAGACGAAGTCCTAGTGATCTTTACAAAGCCGGCTCATCACTATGTAACCCCCAAATTCTACACTGAGACAAAACCAGCGAATGGAAAGGTTGTGCCGACGTGGAATTACGCTGCGGCGCAGGTTTATGGAAAAGCGAGGATTTACTATGAGAACAATGAAGAGACGTCTTCATTTCTGGGAAGGGCGATTAGTGATCTTACAGATCATAATGAGAGGGGTGCGATGGGGTATACGGCTGAGAGTCAGTGGAAGGTGTCTGATGCGCCGGAGAAGTATGTTGAGTTGTTGAAGAGGAATATTATTGGCATTGAGATTGAGGTTACCAAGTTGGAGGGCAAGTTTAAGATGAGTCAGGAGATGGGGCACGGGGATAAGGAGGGTGTCATTAAAGGTTTTGAAGGGTTGGGAACGGAAGTTGGCGATGAGATTGCGAGGGTCGTCAAAGAGTGTGGGGAGTTGAAGGATCAGAAGAAGTGATTGAGAGGGACATTGATAGGCTTATGGAGATAAATAGATAAGGGTATATTGAACAAATTAATGTAACTTGGTCTTTTCATAGGCTTGGGAATGGTGCAATGACTAATATTTCGGTGATTTATATATGGGTTAAGTGGAGAGAATTATAGTATCGAGACATGGTATCTCTACTTCACTCGCTCAGCACACTTTCCGCCAGTTGATTAATAGCTGAAGCTTATGACATCTCAACGAGACATATCAAGGCAACACACCGAAACATCCCAATCAGCTTCAGGTCTTGGAAGGCAATATGCGCATAGCCTCAACATATCGAGGTCACGATGGCTCGACAGGGCGAGAATGTCACCAACGCGTCGTAAGTCCAGCGTGTCTGGTTTAGAACGTTTGGTATAAAATGAGGTGCGATAAGAGCACAATCAAACAGAGTCATGTGATATTGAGACAACCCATTTATGCTCCAAGGTGGGCAGATTTGCTGTCAAACCCAATTCACCTTGTCGTGATAGGCACTTCCAACATCGTAGCGTTTTACCTAATCACCGAACAACCCGGTAATTTACCTCGGCACTGTCAAACAGCACAAGATAAGCTTGTCCCAAATACAAATTTCAATAACCGTATATTCCCGACTATGGGGCCCCATGGGCTATCAACCGCTCCAATAACATTCATATTCTCACGGTATCGTGAAGCCGACCATCGACTTTCGATGTTACGCGTCGCTGTCGGCCCTTTTATCATACCATGAAAAACGCAGATCGTCAAGTGATACAGCATTAAAGATTTCATTGCTTAACTCTTTAGAAAGCTGACAGCCCTACGGATGGCTCGGCATTCAGATACACCACGACGCGAACACGAAGAGGAATTTGTGTAGGGTAAGAAAAGCGGCATACCACCGCGCTAGCAGATTAAATTCCCCGACAATGACATGATACGCTATGTCTACCAGAACAATGCGTTATTGACTCGTGGGAAATGAATGCAAACGGTTGCTTAGATAAACGAACTGTGGCCTGGGGAAGCACGTGGAATTAAGTTACGCTTTGGGTAAATTACCAGCATAAAAACTGGTTTTCTGGGGAAGTTCGTTAGAAATCCTTAACAGTAAGAATTTGCCTATGACGTAGTGGCGCTGGGAATACCGGATATCCGGACGCGGCTGAAGGATACATGCATCCCACATCCCATGACAGTCAAACACCACAGTTACAGTGACCATGGAGAATGGGGGAACACGGGGTATGGAGAAATAAGAAAGATAAAAGTGCTTTCGGCCGAGGCAGGGCCGTTCGGAGACGAAGAGCGGGTAATAGTCAAGGTACAGAATCCAGAAGTTCTTGCAAGTGTCGTGGTACCTGGAGATTCTACGGAGAGAATGGATGAGATCGTCGGGCATTGGGATTGGCGTCATTGCCAAGATTTGTATGGGAGATCGGCAAACGGGGCTTGGCAGGTTAGACAAGAGATTTTGACGGCTGGGCGATAATCTACTGTCTCACAGAGGAGTTTAACGGTGAGATCTGAGAGTAGAGATGTGTAGTCGTCCAAGTCGATTGACTTTGAGCCAGAGTCAATCTCGACATGAGAATGTCATGAACTGATGCTAATTGAAGCGAATGTCATGGTCTCCCCGGATCCCTCGGGTGTCGTCATGTTTTGATGGTCAACCAAATCCAGAATAGTACTAAACAGGGGTTAGTGGCACTCAGGGCACTAACGCTTCCAACCAAAACGGACATCCAAGCCATCACGGGGACATTTCCCCCAATCAGAAGTACTAGGAGTAATGCATTACAGGCCGTTTCACTTAATTTTGCAGCCACTACAACCTCCCAAAAGCCATATCGTCATACCAAACAGACAACCGTTCCTTTGATGCCATGAGGTTGTCAGAGGTCAATGTCTCGGGCTTTCCCCAGCTTTACAACCCCGTGGAGGTGGTACCCCATTACTCCATTATCCAATTATTGACCCATTGTCTGCATTCCCCTTGTTAAACCCCACAGAATTGGTAGAAGCAAAAAAATGGGACGGACCGATTTCGTGGTCTCGAGACCACGAGAGCCAGGATGGGCATCGGCGTGCGGCTCATTGGACGCCTGTTTTTCAGGCCTGACATCACGAAGTATCACACTTTTTGGTTTATAACGTCATTCTTGATGAGTGTGTATTTAAATCCTCGACACCCTCCATTGTGTCGACTAACTCAATCACCAATTGACTTTGGATCATCACTAGAACTACAACATACTCACTATACACTGTAGAGATACATACAGTTTGACTGCCCATCATGGCGCCGTCCTTCCTCACTGTTCATTTCGATGACCAGAATCCAAACTCTGAAAAGGGAAAAGAGGCTGGCGCGAGGAGATCTCTCGCTGGCCTCGATTACTCGCCTTTACCTCGCATCACGCCCCGATCCTTGCTTCTAGCCACCTTTGTCTCTATGGGCGGTCTGCTGTAAGTTCTCGTCCTAATTTACTTCGAATTGCTGTGGCTAATGGGAACAGCTTCGGTTATGACACAGGTCAAATCTCAGGCTTCCTCGAGATGCCAGACTTTCTCGACCGTTTCGCCCAGACAAACAGCAAGGGAGAGAAAGCATTTAGCACCGTCCGCTCAGGCCTCATTGTCGCACTGCTCTCCATCGGAACGCTCATGGGCGCACTCATCGCAGCGCCTGTGGCAGACCGCATTGGAAGAAAGTATAGTATCTCTGGCTGGACGTGGATGATTGCTATTGGATTCATCATCCAGATTTCTTCGGACAGGGATTGGGTGCAGATCATGATGGGCCGATGGGTCGCTGGTCTCGGAGTCGGCGCCCTCTCGCTGCTCGTTCCTATGTTCCAGGGCGAGACTGCACCGCCGTGGATTCGAGGTGCAATGGTTTGCTGCTATCAGCTGTTTATTGTAAGTGACACATTCTTGGCATGCCGAGTTTTTTATCTCCCGACGATCTGTGGGGAAGTTTTCAAGGATTGCACTGACGCTTGCTTGCTTAGACGATGGGGATTTTCTTGGCTGCGTGCTTCAACTACGGCACTGTAACGCACCATCCCGACAGCTCAGCATCCTGGCGCATCGTCATCGGCGTCGGCTGGGTCTTCACTCTCGTTCTCGGCATTGGAATTCTCTTTCTGCCCGACACGCCCCGTTTCGACTACCGAAATGGCAACGTCGATCGTGCGCGTGAAACGCTCTGTAAAGTCTACGGCGCGACGCCAAATCACTGGGCGATCCATACTCAAATGGAAGAGATCGAGTCTAAGCTCCGCGCCGAGAGCCACATCAAGCAGAACCCTGTTCAAGAATTTGTCGGCATGTTTAAGGCGCCCCGCATGGCTTATCGTATCTTCATCGGAACGTCGCTTCAGATGTTTCAGCAGCTCACTGGTGCGAATTACTTCTTTTACTACGGCACTACCATCTTCCAGTCTGTGTCTATCAACAGCTACAAGACACAGATCATTCTGAACACGATTAACTTTCTGGTTACGTTTATTGGATTGTATATCGTTGAACACTACGGTCGTCGCAAGTCGCTTATTGCGGGAAGTACTTGGATGTTTATCTGCTTCCTTATTTTCGCATCTGTCGGTCATTTCTCGCTTGATCGCGCTGATCCAACCAAGACGCAGGGTGCGGGTATTGCTATGATTGTCTTTGCTTGTCTCTTCATTCTGGGCTTCGCTACCACTTGGGGTCCTATGATTTGGACCATCATGGCTGAGATCTTTCCTTCGCGATATCGTGCCAAGGGCATGGCTCTCTCCACCGCGAGTAATTGGCTCTGGAACTTCCTCCTCGCCTTCTTCACACCCTTCATCACCAAAGACATTGACTTCCGCTACGGATACGTCTTTGCGGGATGTAACGTTCTTGGCGGTCTGCTGGTCTACTTCTTCGTCATTGAGGGACAGGGACGTACTCTCGAGGAGATTGATACCATGTATCTTGAAAAGGTGAACCCTATCAAGAGTGCCAAGTGGGTTCCTCCCCCTCCTGAGGAGATGTCGAGGATTAGGAAGCAGGCTGGTACGGATATTGAGACTGCTGTGCCTGCGGCCTCGAGTGATGATGAGACTCTTGCTAGGCCGTCTGGTGTTACTGATGGTGGAATGGGACATCATAAGGAGGAGCATGCTGGCACTACGCACCGAGAGTAAGGGGTTGGTGTTGGTGAGATGTGATGGGGATTTCTTATGAGTGATGTTGGAGACGAGATTGCATGATACCTACGATTTACTTTTATTGTTCATAGTCCAATTTATCGTACTTATACCCGATCAACAAATTGGTGATGTGCATCAAAGATACACTTATCAATTTTGAAATTGTGATCAGGTCAGATGAAAGAAGGATCTAGATAATATTCAGCCTCATCACGAAGCTAAAGGACACAAGGTAATAGACTTGTCGGGCGGTCGGGTACGGTATTTTAAACTCCAGGCAACCAAAGTCTTCTCGGCACCTGAATTATTCACCTTCCTTGACGGTAAACCCTTCTCACCCACTGCGACTTCCATCACCCTCCAGTTACCGCAGTTGGATAACCAACAATCTCTGCATCTGCATTCTGATCCATACATCGAATAATTCCATCATCATCATCATTCACACAAACGCTGCCACTGGCATCAAATATCCATCGCCATCGTGAACGACATCATTACCACTGCCCGAGCGCGCTATAATTACGCCTTCCACTGCATCGACGCCGACAAAAGGTCCGTGTCCGTCACTCCCTCCTCCCACCAACCATTCTCAACATCCTTATCACCGCTCGCCGCCCGCATCATCAATAGCATCGAAAATCTGCACCCCGTACTCGATCAAGATGTGTCAAAAGTCCAGCTACGAAAAGCGCTGTGAAGACTGCAACTCCAGAGTCATCATCCACGTCGTGACCCATCAAACATGCAACGGCAAGCCGCCAGTGCACACGACCAAGGCAGAGGAAGAGAAACGCAGGACCAAGGGCTACGACATACCCTATCGCCAGGATCGCTTCATATGCCAGCGCAGAATACGGCCCTACAAGAAATACTGGTCCTACGTCGGATCGGACGCCTGCTGGCATTGCAGTCTTCGCAAGCAAAAGATAGAAGTGGAGCGAAAGATCATAAACCTTCGTGGGAATGAAAGTCGAATGGGAGCAGAGCTTCAGCTTTATACGAAGAGGTTAAAGAAGCTGAGGGAACAAATAATGGACACGGGGACCCCCGAAGACGATCGCATGACGACACGGCTCCAGACAGCCCAAGTTGACACAAATGGCTAGTTACCTGGTACGCTGGCTAAAGCGGATGAGAAAATCAGGGAAGGTCTCGAGTATTTGTCCCAACGAAATCTGTCAGACGACCCAACCGCCTCCGACGTTTCACCTACTACAAGCGACGAACAGCCTTCATATCCTACAGCGATGGATAAAGGCAAGGGGAGAGCAGGCCCAGAGGATCTGTCATCAGAGGCTTCTAGGTCTTCCCCATTCCTTGGACCGAACCGAAAGGGGACTATATACACTGATTCTGATGCTCGCAAAGCGGAGGATAGTGAGAGCAGTGAGCTCAGTGAGATCAGTGAGCTCAGCGAGATGGAGCTGGAGGAGATTGGTGAGGACGAGGAGGATATTGAGATGGGGGACGATGGTGAGATAGAGGAGGATGACGAGATGGAGGAGATTGGTGAGAACGAGGAGGATGTTGAGATGGGGGAGGATGGTGAGGTTGAGGAGGAAAGTCAGAGCAGTGAGGAGAGTCAGAGCAGTGAGGAGAGTGAGAGTAGTGAGGAGAGTGAGAGCAGTGAGGAGAGTGAGAGCAGTGAGGAGCCTATGGTACCATATGCCGAGTCGACCCGTACAAGAGATGCAACAATTGCAACTCTGGCTGAATGGATGGCCAGGAGGCGCAGGAGGCGCATGAGGCGCTGGAGGCGTATGAGGCTCAGGATTAACCAGTCATAAAACATTACATTAGTTGGCGGTATCGCGTCAGCCGTTGCCCTGGTTATGTGTAATACTGTCGTTACAGGCTGTACCTGGCTCAGAGTAATCTGGCAGGGGAGGGTGGATGAACGATGGATGGGGTTGGGCAATGCGACATAGGTTATCGAAGAATAAAGGTGAGAAAGGAGTAAAGAAGGTGCCTGAAACACATAATAATAGTTGATAGGGAATATGATCATCGTTTCGCATCGTTGCAAGAAATCACATAGAGCGAAGAGTTTGCGGGTCGCGATTGTTGATACGTGATGTCTCGTGACGACAAACTAAACGAAAACCATCAGAAAATGCCAAGATACAAAATAAAGATGCATGCTAGACATGGTAGTCTCATATACATTGTCCCTCATGTCAAGATTGTACAGCATCTTAGGTCATAAAGCATGCTACGTTAATAACACCGCTATCAGGTGTTACATGAGGGGAACCGTGATACTCAGTACTGGCTTCATGCTCAGATGTCCCTGATTGACGGTGAGAGAGCAGGCGAGGAGACAAAGAAGAGCCATATTTGGTGCGTGAACATATCATCGTGAAACCTTCTGGGTAGAAGCTTGTGTTTGGAAAACAATATCGTGTCTCATAGTCACATTCTTGTACTGTGTTCACAGCCTGAAGCTTAACCTTATAGGCGGCAGTGAAATCAGATAATTGGTGAACAGTGAACAACATGCCAATGATGCTTAGGGCCAGTGAACATGTGAGCTCGTCAAGTGGCGACAAAGGGGGCAATTATTTCAGTGCCTTCAAAAACAGTGATAATGATACCCTTCATCTGAAGTCTCAGAATCACCTCCCCCCCACAAGTATAAATTCTTGCTCTCATCCCTTTCAATTACCAATTATTTTCTAAACGTCCCCTTCAATGCCAGCAAAGCTTGAAAATATTTTACAATACCGTCTTAAATAAACAACACTTATATCCCACAAGATGTGTCGAGAAAGAGAAGAGACATGGCTGTGCAAGCACTGCCGCCGGTTTCTCAAACTGGTGAGATATACAATATGGGAGTGCGATGGATTCAAACGAAATGGTGTTTGCACTGAAGTAAAGAAAACACTACCGACGACTGTTTATTTGAATGATCCGGATTGCAAGTATTGTAATGCGCCCAGGAGATGGCCTGAGGATGAGGCTTATGCGGCGTGGGTGAAGAATCAGAATGGCTCGTCGGCGTGGTGAGGATGGGTGAATTGTTCTGGCGTTCAAAAGGCTACTGCATCAGACAAAGTCACAGATATTAGCTGATACTTGAAATCGATCCTAGTCGTGATTAATTAAATCGAGGCTTCTGCTCAATCTTATCATTTGACCGGCTCCTGAACCCGGTCCCAGACTCTATCGGTATCCATCCCGATCAAGTGACACGGCATAAATACTCCACATTCTCCATTCGGCCATCTTATCTCTCTGACATTTTCCGACCGACGAATCACACCCACTCTCAATGACAGATTGTGGGGGCTTCCATCTCCGATCTTCATGACGCCGGCCGACGCTTTTCTCCTCCATCACTTTTAGCCTGCGCCCGGAATTTGAACTCAAGATCTACCCCAGGAAACTGAGCTGACCGGAATTCCGAACCTTCACCAATACTTGCTTGTAGCGATTTCCGATTAAGGAATCACTAATGCCGAGGACAACAGGCGAACCGCGTGTAAGGCGCTCTTGTGAGCGCTGTCGGTACGTTATCAGTCGCGATAGAAACGGGATACTGATGATGGGGATAGGGAGAAGAAGATTAAGTGTCCGGCTGAGAAACCGGGCTGTTCGCATTGTCGAATGGCGAATCAGACGTGCACTTATCTGCCTAGGAATCACGTCATCAGTAGTCGGAGATCCTTCGCTCGGAGCTTGTTAGTCACTGCGCGTGGGTTGGATGAAACGAGAGAGCTGATGTAGAAAAGCAGACCTCTCAAAGCGCAGCATGCTAGTATATCTCCGACTGCATCGAGTCATGAGATAGAGTAAGTTCTTGGGTCGAGTCAGTGTCCTAGCTAATTGCATTGAAGTCAAGGCTTTGGGAATAGACATCGAAGCCAAGATGCCAATATCTGGAATGGTCATGCGAATTCACCGCGTATGCATCCGCAATTACCTCCGATAACAGCCATGCTCTCCGAAACATCCTCATGGTACAACATATCCTCCGAACTATGTTGACTCACTAACAAGAATAGGTCACCAGCGAACCCCCAACCCCCATCAGACCTGTTAACAGACTTCGTGAACGCCTACCGTGAGAAGATCTACTTTCAACCGCTTCCACTCTTCGATCCAAAACGTCTCCAGCTTAAGATCGGGACATTACCTCAGTACCTCCGGTGGAGCTTCCTAGCTTTATCGCTCCATTATACCAGTCATAACTTCTACTATGGACTGGAAGGGAAGGCTATTGAGTATTATACCACGTCGGCGAGGAGTGTAGTTGTTGACTTGGCGGCGGAAGGGCTTGTGCAGCTGGAGGTTATGCAGGCTTTGTGTCTACTTGCTTTGTGTGATCATATTGGTACGTTAATTCTCATGCTGTCTACTCATCGCTAAGGTACTTCAGCTGGCAAATCTTCCCGGGCTTGGATGATGATAGGTATGGCAGCTAAGCTCGAATCACTTCGGCTCTCAGACTCAAAGGTCAGTGGTTCACGACAGTCTGATGATGCGATATCAAGATGTCACTGGAGCATCGCTATCCTGGAAAGTACCTTTGCTCCCCACTGCAACACTCTCTTCGAAGTAACCCATACACCGAATTATCCCAAGAGCGTACCTCGACCAACGACTCTGCATGGGATGAAGACGTATTGCGCTGACTTGACGGATGCATACGAAGCAAACGTCCAAGACGTGGGGATTGTCGCAACTTGTCTCGGCTACGTCTCCGTTTGGGGCAGTATCATTTCTTACCTTCGCGACATCCGCAACGGAGCGAACGAATATCCATGGCTAGCAACCTCAAGACACAACCAACTCACCGTCAAGCTATACGAGCTCGAAAACATCACCTCCCATCGCCATCTCATCCGCAACGCCCCCTTTCCAGACCAACCCCCCTGCGAACTCAGCGAAAACAGAGAATACTGGGCGCCCTGGGTACTATTCCAAGTAATGATGCACGCCACCCAAGCTATCCTCAACAACCCCTTCGTCCAACTCGTCGCTCTTCGCCGCGCAGGTCGGAATTTCCAGCCACGGTCTTTTCTGCAGAATACAGTTGACCAAGCTTTGTTCCATGCAGAGTGGGTTTCAAGACTTGTGAGGATGTGTGCGGATAGACAGTTTGAGGTTAATGATCCTCTGGTTGGACAAGCTGTTGCTGGATGTGTTTCGATACTGTGGATATTCCAATTTGCGAGGGATAAGAAGGTCTCGGAAAAGGCGAAGGAGAATCTAGGTATTTGCGAGACGTTTTTAGAGCACTTGGCGCGAAAATGGCCTCATATTGCTGAAAAGGTGCGTCTCCTAAAACTCAAGGACTCGCTGGTGCTAACAACGATGTAGGTCGAGATTCTGCGAACCCTCAATATCAAAGTTAAGAAGAAGCGACAGTCTCCACAAGATGATGAGTCTAGCAGCGCTACTATTCAGTTTGAGCCAGATATGATGTGGGAGCTTCTTGATCCTGCCATGACAGGCATTGACTGGGGGAGTTTATGCAAGGCTGGGGGGACTTATGCTACGACGAGCGCTACGATCAAGGTTGCGACCAAGTTTATACATCCGATCAATAGCGACGAGGATAATGCGCCGATGGAGAACGTTTCGCATAATTTGTTTGACCTGGAGGATGTTTATGGGGAGCCGTTTCTTGATCAGTTCTTTTCTGATTCTTTGCTTGTCAATATCTCATAGACATATTACACAGGGTTATCGGCCAGTATAAAGCTCGGCTGTTCGATGACCTTTACAGTATTTGAATGAGTCTCTGATCATGTTCTGAATATCTCTGCTCAGAATAACGCTGGTGCAGCGCCAACTTCGGTCACCGCTAAGAAGCCGATTTTGCCTTGAGAACCTCGCCGTCCAATCATCGTGATACACAGATGCGCGGACAGCAAGCCACAGCTACGTCACAGCCAATACGAGATGCTGAGTTTGTAACATGTCTGAGATGAGACGAATGAGAAGACGAAGTGGCTTCATGGCGCCGACACGGATGTTCACCAGCGGTGTATAAAACGCGCAGGCTAGCTGATCAAGTTGCGCATTTTCAACACTCAAAATGCTTGTCTCGCAATCTCTCCTCTCGCTTGGGTCCATCTTTAGCTCGGTGACCACGTTGCCAGGATGTGGCGAAGTCAATGTCTTTTATACGCGAGTCCATCCTCTAGACTGCTGATGACATGTTTACTTACGTCGTGAAGCGGATTGCCTGGTCGGCATACGTATGTTACGCAGCAAGGCTATGATGCCGCTCTTGTTGAAACACAGATCTTCAACCATACGCGCCTGCTACGGGAGGCGGGATACAACGTGAGAGGTATATTCATCGTAATCAATAACAGGCTTGCGTTACTGACTGTCATCCAGCGGTCTGGAGAGGCCCCGAAATACCTGGAGCCGAAATGAGTAAGCACATGAAAGACGTGCACTGGAACGTTGCCGGTGTTGGCTTTGGAGTCCGAGGATTTCAGATTTCAGACGTCATCACGCTCTTCGAAGGTAGGCAATTTCTTTTGACTGTGAAAATGAAGAGTATTTGCTGAACTAGACAGAGACTCTTGATATATACCGCGAAGAAGCACCTGATGCCAAATTTGTGTTCAACTACAATCCGTTGACCTTTTTATGGTCTGTTAGACGGTATTTCCCGCTGTCGAGTGACTGTAAAGATCATCCGGGAAAGGATTTGGTAAGACTTACTGATGTAATGACTGGGTCAAGCTGAACATGCATCTCCAGGGATATATCATATATCACGATTTGCGATAGGGCGTGTGCTTGAGCGGGATGATAGCACATGAGCCAACGACGATGGATTGGGTCTAGGGCTTTCAATATGTTAAAATCGCACGAGGAAGTCAATCTTTAGATAAATGCTGTGGTGAATGTAGCCCAGACCTGCTTAACCCTTTGAACAGCGTTTTGTGACGATGGCTTAGTCCCAGACCCGACATCATGCCATTCGCCTGTAGACGTAGAGCGTGAGAGGTGATGACCACCTACTTGTAGGAAATTGCACTTATTCTGAGTGCAAATATTATGGTAAAACAAAGTGGTCACAAAGCGCTGTTTTCGTAGTTTCCATAGCATGTTCAAACTAGACAGCGCTTTTTGAGGATAGCAATTACGTGGGATTCTAGGCTTCAAACTAAGTCATATTGCTACATGAAAATATGTAGGTTCTTTCCTGTTTATTGGACTCGTACATGTAGCTGATAACCGTTTGGGCAGGTTGTTCAAACCTTTTTCGACTATTCGTGGCAAGATATCGACAACCTTGGCCCTCGGCCGTCTCAAAACGTGCAAAATAAAACGAATGGGGTTTTAAAAAGCATAGTAACAGGAGTTTGTGACAGGGGCTTAGTGTGATGGCCATATAAGTACTTTGAAGTATGCGAAAGAAATAAGAACATGACCCCCAGTTGTATCAACAAAATACCAAGATAGTGCCACTTTCCCGCAATACACCAGCCATACTGAGAAGGGAGATTCGGAAGAATATTCTAGAAAGATTTAAGGTATGGCAGACCAGAATACTACCGCACCGTTTCAAAGCCGCTACGGCACAGAAACGTCACGATAAGCCTTGCAGGTGACAGATCGCACAGACTCGCCCTGCCACGTGTACATGGCTCATCCCTCCCTCGACCACGCTAGGACTGCCGTGACGGATCAAGCACAACGGGCTGCAACCACATTACGAGTCCCAGGGATTCGGGACACAGCCACCGAGTACCAGGGATGCATCTTGGCGAGAGGGTGTACGGCATGCAGATCGAGCAGCGCCCAATATCTGGGGGAACACATGACGGCCGGTCATGGTTGCAGGGTCGACGTTTTGGGACACAGCCTAAATCAAGGGGTATGGTCTGTGAACACCTGGGGCTGAGATCTCACGATAGGGATACCACTCTGGCGTGTATATACGCCTGGCTTATCAGATGGTGGGGTGTTGATCCCTGCGGCCCGGATTTGGGTGGCATTGGCGAAAAAGCAGGGACAGAGCCTGAATTGTTGCTGCAGATAGTTTTGGTATAAGGAATTAAATTAAAGAATAGCTTATACGTTGGCCTGCGTACGAGGCCCTGGTTCGGAATAGCGTCACGTTCTGAGCATAAAACTAGCAACTTGCGGCACGGTGACGTAGTGTGATGTACTACAGTATCACGCCTTATGGTGTTCAGGAAAATGTTCACCAAATTCTTCATACATAAAGCTTCAATCTAGATCTATTCAACTACTTACGCTACACTAGTCATTCATCATGCAACCATGGACATCCAAGCCGCAACCTCCCATGTTAACATGCGCTTCAACAAATCACATCCTTTACAACACCCTAACCCTTGAATGCCTTTCCAGTACTCACATTAACCTTCGTCCACACAGAGCCTGTAGACATGTACCAAGCGAACTGAACAGGCCAATGGACATGCATCATCCATAACCAAGGAAGAGGATCCCAAGACTCAAAGGTACCATCCTTCCAGTAAATGATGTGCTGTACAAACGCCCGAATGGACTTTTGGATATCTGAAAGACTCATTGTGCCTCGGAAGAGAGTCAGGTAGAAGGGATACAGAACAAGCTCGACAAAATCCTGGCCGACCCAGTAGTATTGCTGGGGATTGGTAGGCGATACAGGTGGCTTTGTCAAAGGTCTTGGTGCAGATGGGGTAAGAACGGAGAGATACTCATCAACAATCTCGAGAGTGTTGTTGAAGAGAACAGTAGCAGTGTGAACTCTTGGATTGCACTCAATGGGGTATATCGTGACTTCTTTCTCAACGCCAGACTTGACGGCATCTTCATCTTCCCTGTCGATCAAGAAGTCAAAGCTCATATGTCCCGTGAAACTATCCCCACCTTCTTCAGCTTGCTTCAGTGTAAAGTCAAGCATCGCTCTGCTCAGCGGTGAATCAACAGGCAGAGCGGAGTAATGCATGAGGACATCAGCGGAACGACACGCCACAAACGCACAAACGCGACCGCGAATGACGAGCGCGTGAGTACAGTACTCAGGACCTGTGATGTACTCTTGTATGATGAAGGAGCATTTGGCAGTCTCGAAGGGAATTGTCTCAATGCGCGCGAGGGTAGCTTCTTCGGAGGGGAGAGGAAGTAAAGGCATTGCAAAGCGCGCGACATCATCTACACCAACGGGTTTGACAAGGTATTGTCTTGCACTATGCTTATGTTCAAGACCACCATTTCTTTGGAGAAAATTAATAACATCCTCTTTATCCTCAACAGCCTCCGTTAGCGGAACCGTCAGACCAAGACCCTTGGTATGCTCGATAAACGCATCTTTCTCATGAAGTCTCCGAATATCCTCAACGCCAAACTGAATGGCCTTAGCATTCGTACGAGCTTCGATGATTTCCCGAACAGCAGCGTCTTCAACAGCCGCATTGACATCTGAGACAGAAACCCAAAGATCAACATTTTCGTAGTGTATGATCTCGACAATTCGATTGAGATATGGGTCATTCATCATCGTTTCTGAAGGAGGCGGGAGACGATAGTACGCGTCGATTGCAAAGGATACGCGACCAGGCGAGAGGGAATGACAATCTGCGCCTATGACGCGATGGCCTCGACGATGGAACATTCGTGCGAGAGAGAGACCCTTGGCCATGTTCACGCCTGTGACCAAGACTGTAACTTTGTCCAGATTATCGCCGTCATTTTGAGATTGTGAGGGTTTGGAGGTGAAGCGGTTCAACACGTAAGCTCCGAATGCAAAGAGGGCGTTTGTTGGTAGGAATATGAAGCTGAGGAGAAAGAGAGCCAAGTTCTTGGCGAATTCAATCGCTCGAGAGCTCTCCAGAGCCTGATTTGGCTTTCCCATGATGAATGTGATATAAACTCTAACAATTGAGCTGTAGCAGTATACAATTGACAATTATGAGCTTCATTGAGCTACAGCTATTGAGGATACAACTCAGAAACGCGTTGTTGGAAAAAAGTCAATTGGAAGACGTCATGACTTGGGCGTGTCTGCGGAGAATGGTCTCACTAGCACGCCGGTGCAGCTCCGGAGCAGCACATTCCGATCACAATCCCTTCCCCTCACTACTGAGACCATCTAACTCATGTCAGATTAGTCTGAGATCCCTCAGGGAGGGGAAACGCTTTAGGCTTTCTTCGCCAGGAAGATTAGCTCCGATGGTTTCACACCATGGATATCTCATGCATATGCAGCTTTTCACACCGGTCCGTTTGCCAACCAATTACGGCTCCAGCCTGTTCCTCGAGGTATCACGAGAAAAAAACACACCATGTGTGGAATTGTCACTGTGCATATATCGATGCAAAAGGTCGAGACACTCTTTTTTCTTCCATCAGCCCACAATACTGTTACACCGAGACGCTGTGCTACGTCTATGGCGTGCTAGACTCGCGAGCAGGTGGATAGAAGAGAAGAAGAAAGCGGAATAAGAGGCGGTCAGGGAATAACGGTCCCCGTAAGGCGCAAGGGTAGATATCGTAGATCTGCAGTGCAACATTCCCATTGTCCTTTTTTCCCGATCTCACTTCAGGGTCTAGGCATTTCACATGTCCCCATGTTATTTTTGGCCAAGGGATGGTCACTAGGTTAAATGTGGGGGAAAACCTAATGAATGACGCGCACATGCGAGATGGTAGTGTAATCGACGCCCTCTCGCTAATATCGCCCCGTCTTTACGAGAATACAGTCTAGACAGTAAACTTTACCCTTTCATGAGTCCTAGGACATAGATCTAGGTACAATCTGGCTCCACGCGGGGCCTAAGATTCAACCCCTGAACGACAAATTCACGGTACATCCCGTTGCTGTTGCTGGGTATATGACACCTCGAGAAAGAGAGATTCGCAATATACCTTACCAAACAGGCTAGCATAGAACATATGTCGTGCTCAACCGCTTGGTTCTCAAGGGCTATGTTGTATGCACTCATACAGAAGCGTGAGAACTAATGCTTCAGACCCATCTCGGCTTGGCCATCATGACGCCAACATTAGATACATGCGTCCGCGTGCAAACATGCACCTGTAGCCAAGTCTCGGGCCTCAAACCACCCACCCAATGAAAACGGGCCTCATGTCTCTGTACCTCTCCCCCAACCACTCGTTTACGGACGACTCATGTAGTGTTAACTTGCTCTCGTGAAAAGAACCCCGGCTTGAGAGCTGGTCGGCAGTTGAATATCCCTCAGAGGGGGGTGGTACTCAAACATAAAAAGCTCTCCCCATCACCATCACTGCCCTGGATTCCAAGCTACACACATCCTCTACACCCTTCTATCCCTATTGTACTACCCCAAAAACACCACCCACCATGTCTGATATGAGTGCTACCGTCGAGCCCACCGCCAAGGGTTTCGCTGTCTGTGGCTACGAGAAGATCGAGTATGACTTTGAGTTTCTCGATGGTGTTTTCAACACTGCCAATCCTCAGCTGTACCAGCTCTACTCCCCCTGGGGACGATGTCTGGCTGTCATGGACCTCAACATCTTTAACCTCTATGGGAATGAGATGCAGAGGTACTTTGATCATTATGGCATCCCTCTTACTATCCACAAGACAATGATTGGTGAGAAGGCGAAGAGCATGGATACGCTGTTGTCTATTGTTGATTCCATGACCGACTTTGGTATTTACCGAAAGGAGCCTGTTCTCGTTGTTGGCGGCGGTCTCGTCACCGATGTTGCTGGGTAAGTCTTCAGCCACTACTATTCATAGCCCAACTGACCGTTACAGCTTCGCTTGTGCTGCGTATCGCCGCAACACCAACTACATCCGCATCCCCACCACAGTCATCGGTCTAATCGATGCCTCAGTCTCCATCAAAGTCGCCGTCAACTACGGCCGCTACAAGAACCGTCTTGGTGCCTACCACGCACCATCCCACACGTTCCTTGACTTCACTTTCCTCCGCAGTCTCCCGGTAGCACAGATCCGCAACGGCTTCGCGGAGCTGATCAAGATCTCTACCTGTGCTCACAAGGATACTTATGATCTTCTTGAGAAGTACTGTGAGCAACTTATCAACACTGGCTTTGGACGATCAGATGATGCTGGCCCTGAGATTAAGGAGGTTGCTGATAAGATCTGCCGTGCTGGCATTCATGAGATGCTGAAGCTGGAGACACCGAACCTGCATGAGATTATGCTTGATCGTGTTATTGCCTATGGGCATACCTGGTCGCCTCTCCATGAGCTTGTTCCTGAGACCCCTCTTCGTCATGGCCATGCTATCTCCATTGACATGGCATACTCTGCTACCCTCGCTCACATCCGTGGTCTCCTCTCATCAGAGGAACATACCCGTCTCTTGAATCTCTTCTCCCGAGCTGGCCTCTCCATGGACCATCCTCAGTTCGACGCTCCTCTTCTCGAGAAGGCCACAGCTGCTATTCTCAAGACCCGCGACGGCAAGCTCCGCGCTGCTGTTCCCATCAACCCAATGGGTGACTGCGTCTTCTTGAACGACGTCAGCCACGACGAGATGGTTGCTGCTCTGGAGGAGCACAAGAAGATCATGAAGTCTTACCCTCGCCAGGGCGCTGGTCTCGAAGCTTTCGTTGATTCTAGCGACACTGGATACACCATGAACGGTACTCCCGTTGAGAACGGCAGCACTCAGAACATTCCCCTCAATGGCGTCGAGAATGCCAAGCTTCACGCCTCTGGTCCCGAGGGCGTTGATGGTCTTCAGCAAGACTCCAGCAGTGACGACGACTATGTCGTCAGCTCGTCCAAGACCAATGGTCACCAGGAGAAGGGTATCCTTAGTGATTTGAAGGAGAAGGCGAATGGTCTTCAGAACCAGATCGCCAAGGCTGTCACTGTTCAGAGTCAATAATTGCATCAACAAAAACAAAATTCATTGCATTGAGAAATGAGTATACGATTGTTAGGTAGTTAGGTTAGCTGACTGGGATTACTTAACATCTCAGTCTTTTTAGCATTATGATACCGGGTCTGAGAGCGAGATGATAAATCACTCAGTATCCACGGTTTTACATTCAATTCAATATACAAACAAGGATTTTATTCCATATAACGCTCGGATTAAGTTATGACTATATGCTCTGTTCGACGTTCTCGTACTGGGCTGATATCCAGGATCAGAGTACACACTTGGCTTCCTCCTGTCCATTACTCATCGCCGTTGATCATGTTGATGGAGTCCTCCGCCGCATTCTCCGAAAGGAACTCCACTTCTCTTGCCATACAGCGTCGTATGTAGTCCTGGCCACGTTGAAACATCCCCTTCTCGTATTCCGTCAATGCGCTTTCCAGCGCATTGTCCTCAGTGTCTACGCTACTAGTTTGCGTACAGTACTTAACGATCGCCTTCGCCAGCATGAGAGCATCCAACATCGCCATATTGACTCCTTCGCCCACAAGCGGCGTGGCAAGATGAGCAGCATCTCCAAAAAGGGTAACTCCAGGGACTCGTTGCCAACCAACGGACGAAGCGGGTAAGCGATATAAAGGCCATGTATGAAATGGTCCTTCAGCATTGGTCAGATATTCCCTCAGGTTCGGAGCCCAGTTTGCGAAGAGCTTTGGTGACGACAGAAATTTCTGACGAATGTCCTCAGTGTCTTCATGACTCAGAGGTCTGCGATAGAGCTCTTCCGGCGCATCCATACCCATAGAGAATCGATAGGAACGGTCAGCTAGCTGCTGAACGGCCATGATCTTGTGCTGTCCCATTGCGAGCATGTTCCCTGGACCTGCGTGTTCCAGTGCGGCAGTGCAGCTGGGGTTGTCGTGAGATATGCTGCCTTCAATGAAGAATTTACCAGAGTATTCAGGTTTCGCTGAACTCAGCTTGAGATGCATCAGTACAGACCACGACCTGAGAGGCTACTTGACGTACCAGTGGGCGCACCTTGCTCCACGCTCCATCAGCCCCAATGATAGCACGGAAGCCAGAAACAGAATTATCATTGGAAAAAGAAATGACATGCTCAGCAGCGGTTTCTCCTCTCTCAATAGACTTTGCATGGTGACCCCAACGAATCTTGTTAGTCGGGATACAGTCAAGCAACAACTTCCGAAGTTGCAGCCTATCAATCTCAGGAGCATCGCGGTCTTCTCCAAATACAGCCTTGATGGTACCTGAAGGGTTCTGCATGAACACACGACATGCATCCCATCGAGCAATGCTCCTGAATCTGTCAAGTAACCGGGCCTCCTTGAGAGCAAGTTGACCAGTAGAGGCATGGATGTCTAGAGTTCCTCCTTGATTGATGGACTTGGGCACCGGCCTTTCGTCACGCTCATAGACGATGTAATCGATGTTGTTGACCTCGAGTAGCCGGGCGAGAGTCAGACCGCTGGGGCCTGCTCCTATAATGGCAAAGGGTGCTTTGGCGGGCATATTGTATGTTTCTTGATTGCTTGGAGTATTTCTCTCTGTGGCGTTGGAAGATATGATGGCTGCTTGCTATGTTTTATATGTGGAAGTTGATGAGTGAACCAAGAGTGACGAGTGTCCACGGAAAACAAAAGTCCCTCCAAAGTCCGGTATTACTCCGTGACTGGCATCTCTTAATTCGAATCTTGGATAGCATACAAGCGGACGAATCTATTCAGCCTGTGCAATTATCGTCCTGACATTTCCGAGTCTGCTGCAATTGATTGGTGGACTTCGGAGAGTAAGCACTTGTTTGCTCCGATCCCAGCCAATAAGGATGCGACTCTTTGGGCTTGATGACAGAGGGAAACTCTTTTTATGTCCTCCTTTCATCCTCTACATTCTTCATCACCCTAAGTTTCTGTGAAGAATAAAAGTACATCAACCTTGAGTCCAATATCTTCACTGGCGAATTCCGGCTTGGCTCGTTATGCGGTAAGCATCATTCACCCTGTACCGAGGCTGACACTGACCAAGTATTAGTGCGACTACTGCAAGCAAAAAAAGTTTAGGGATGCAACCCGATACATCAAGAGTTTATCACTCCATAAATGAAACCTGTTAACCACGTACTAGATGTTCGAAGGAGCTTCCTAAATGCAGCGCGTGCCAACCATGGCCAGGTCCTTGTAGCTATTCCCGAGACAAACCGGCTCTCGTAAGCAGCGTTAATGAACAGGCAACCCGTGCGCCTCTTGACTTGACAAACTGGTAGAGTATAGAGAGGCTAAATGAGCGGTTGCAGAAAGTTGAGGAAGCAGTACAGGCTCTGACTCCTACCGTAGCTGATGGTGTTGAGGCTGCGAATCACGGTCCATTAACCAATTATCAACAGGTAGTTGAAAAGGAGTGCAGATCTCAAGACGGAAAGGATTCACATCCAAGCCTCAGTGTTGGAGATATGAGTTCTTTTTCCTTGCTAAAGGACACATCCATCACCAACACAACTATCGGATCATCACCTCTTCATCAGCATGCAGCAAAGGAGTTTCAGTATTTGTCAGATTCCTTAACAACAGCAGGCGTAGCCAGTAAAAGCTATGCAAATACTGACTTTTTCATACCCTCCAAAGGAGAGGGGTATCAGATGATAGGCCGCGAGTATTCCCCTCGAAAAGGTGCTCAAACTCAGCTAACTGTTCAGGCTTCTTGGAAAGCGCCCGCTTGGGTGAAACATTCTTCATCACACCTTCAGAGAGCCTCCTCATACAAGCCATGTTCAGACCTGAAACTGTCTCGAAAAAGGCATGGGTCGTGTACATCAACTACATGATCGTTACTATGCTAGCACATAACGAAGTCGTCAGAGCTCAAAAGTACAGGGACAACATGAAGGTGGCGCTTAACGATAGTAGAATCTTTCTCGAACCTCACCAAGTCAACCTTCAAGCCCTCATCATGCTAGCCGTCCATGGAGAAGATTATGCGTCGCCTAATCAATCGTGGATGCTTGTTGGCCATGCCTGTCGTCAAGCCGAGGCTTTGAGATTGCACGCACCGTCTGAACGAGATTATGAGACGAGACAGCGAAAACTGAGTCTTTTTTGGCTTCTTTTTGCTGTAGACAAATCATGTGCTCTTGCGTTTGGCCGCCCATGTTCTCTTCCATCAGCAAGATACTCTTACGTTCCGCTGCCAGATTTGCGTTATTTGACAAGGTTTCAACCTCATGCGGACTCTCCTGATGCAGAGAGACGGGCCCAAAAATCGGTATTCGGAGGCCATATGTTTCTTGCGCGTATTGAGCTCGCGCAGATGATTGGTGTGAGCCTAGACGGGAGCCATATCCCCGAGACAGAAGACGGCTTGCGCGAACGTCTGGAAGAGTGGTATGCTCGAACAGATAAGGTGACTTCTGAAGAGTCTAATTAGGGTTACACATGCTAACCCTCAGTAGGTATTGAGCGATACAATCCAGAATGAAAGATATTTCTCAAGCCCTAACGAACTACGCGAGATGGAACTGGGCATTAGCACTATCAAGTTTGAGTACCTGTATGTCTCGATGGTCTTCCTCAAATCTCATTCACCTTCTGCCAACTCGAGACTTGAGACTGCGAGGGAAGCCATCTCTCTTCTTCCTTCGATGATCTTCAATTGAACTTCAATATACAACAATATGGTCTGGTAAGTCATGCCCCGGTTGTTTTGCGCAAATACCTGAGAATGGACAGGCATCTCTTATACTACCCTTTCATACCGTATTTCATCATATTCGAGAACTTGGTCTACAAACGTGCGCTTTTAAGTAACATCATGATTCAAAAAGACTTCGAGCTTTTGTCTATGACGGTCTCATACTATGCCACCATGAGAGATCAAATGCAAATGCTGGCTCCGCTGTGCAAACGCCTCGAGAATATTGCAGCGGTGTTTTTTCGCTTGGCAAAGCATTACGTTGATAGCTCACATACCTTTGCTCCAACTCAGCAGCTCTCAGCAAAAGTCTCCGTTCAATCTTCGTAGGACATACAAATGGAGCTAGGCAGCGAAATTGGCGTTGATCTGGAGCATTATATCCAGTGGCTACCGCCAAATATGATCTCTCCGCAGGGTTCGCACACCACCGTGATAGCAGACAGAGAATCGGTTCACGGTCCGTCTAGAAGTGCTTCATCCGAATCAGTGCAGCGAGAATCCCAAGGTACCAAACGGCCGCTTAATGTTATGTTTAACTGGCAAAGGGGTGTAATAAAACTTAGGACCTCTATCCTAGGTAATAAAAAGTCTTAGGTAAACTTAGATAAACTTAGGTAAACTTAGTATAATTTAGTAAAGATATAGAGGATCTTAGACTAAGTTTTTTTAATATCTTAGTTTAATGTTAGAAGTCTTCTTACACCCCAAGGACTGGTTCGCTTGGGATGTTCACTACGGGGAAGAACGGTATTATGGCATGAAGATGTTAAGATGAATATGTTAGAAATGCTTAGGTAGAACTAGGTGATGGGTTATTCGCTTTTTTGTGCGTGTAGCTAGCCATCTCTATGACCTGTGGCCTGTTCGTATTGGTCTTCTGCCTGATCTCTCTCCTAGGTCCAACTATAAAAGTCAGCAAATATCGTTGACATCCGTGGTTGCTGTACTTACATATACTGAGGCATATAAACTTGATCATTACTGGGAACCAGATAGCCACGGCGACGAGTTGTCCAAAGCCCCACGTTGATAGGCCATCATCAGCCGAGTGCATGTCCAGAAGTTCAACCATCTCGCGCAGGCCAATGAAGATCATGATAACGGTTAGGAGTTCGATAGCAGCCCAGAAGACACCCAGTGAGAGTTTGGCGCCTTTCGTCTCTGCGAATGAGAAGATTGTTCGAGAGTCTCCCCCAATCTGCGTGTACTTGATCTTATCTCCGGTCATTCGCTTTTTAGTAAAATCCACAATCCAGTCGATAATGAGACAGGATACAATGATGTGAGCAACAAAGCGACAAGCAAGAGTGATGTTGAAGAAGTCATAGCTGTTCTTTTCCTTGATTCCCTGACAGAAACTCATTGGACCAGGGTTACCTCCGCAAGCATCCACGGTCGAAACCTGCTTCAAGTGTTCTTCGAATGCTTCGGCGTTGAAGTCCTGAAACTCTGTGATGACGGTCATGAGAATCCAAGAAAGTACAACGAAGAATAGAGTATAAAAGCGGCGCTCTCCAGCTCGGTGCATCACGAGCTGCGCAAACAGGACGGGATATATGCCTGCTGTGATGAGACCCTGCAAAATGCGATGGTTGAACATCCAAGAGAAGAGGCTAAGCATATTTGCCAAGCCAGCTCTATTTCCGCCGTCGAACGTGATTATGGCTGTGATAGAGATGGTAGCAGCGAACAGAGCCTGCGACTCCTGAAAGTCGAGCATAGCGGAAGATGCAGCTTTGGCGAAGCGTGTTTCGGACACTGTTGTCTGCCACCTTTGGCATGTCTGTCGGAACACAGAGTCTTTATGGAAAGAGCTAGTCATGCGGCCAAATGTTCTGATCCAGGATCTTGTGAGTTTGAAGCAGAGGCCGAGGAACAGAACGAGCACCAGCTGGATGATATACGCCGTGACGATCTTCAAGGTTATGTTAGTGTCTAATGTAATAGGCATGATAGGTAACTTACACCTTGTCCAGCGATATCCAAGTCAATGCCAGCACTCGCAGCCTGACAGTATGGCTTTGCCATCACTCTCCCAAACTTGGCGATATTATCAGGCGAGACAGAACCGCGCTTGAACCCTTGAAGACTGCTCGTCCATCTGCCGTATGTAGAGTCAGAACAAGAAGCCCAAGCACAGTCTCTAACTTTCCGAAAGACATTCAAGGAATTGAACTTCTAGAAGTCAGCGCCTAGAGTGCACTGTACGATCCCTGCTTAACGTCCCGTCTAATTGTACATAAGTGTTGCGTTCGAGCATGTCGTCGTACAGTTGAGTGACTTTGCATCACCGTTGTTGCAGCCATAGGAAATAAGCCGGGCGCCTACGGTCGGGTTGTCAATGATAGACCTGACGCGGAAGAAGTGCGCCGTCTCCCAGGCCTGCCACTGTTCGGATATCGCGATGCCGTGGTATGTTCTGTTGAAGTCATATTTATCTATGACCTGGAACTTTCGTTAAACCATTTTAACAAAGAATGAAGGAGAGAGAGGAGAGGAAGAAAAAGTTGAGGTAATCTCATTTGAGGCTCATATATAGGACCCCTGAGGCCTACAGATTTAGCCCTATGAGATGCGCTAGCAGGGTTCCACGGTAAGCACCGCCCTCTATCTCGGTTCCTCATTTGGTGGAATTCGATTGCCGAGACTCCAGGCAGATAAACCAGCCTGTGATAAAATTTGGGGGCCGTCGTCGAGTTACTTTGCCACCAACGAGAGCTGAGGGGCAAGAAGGCCTCTGACGTTAAATCGAGGTGCCAAAATTACTTGGTCTAAGATTCACTAAATCTATACTAAATTTATATTAGACTTATCTAAGCTTACCTAAGGACTTTTGTCACCTAAGATAGAGGTCCTAAGTCTTATTGTACCCCCTTACCCCCCAATCACTGTTGGCCTTTGAAATAAACTCGAGTGGCCACTCTATATATATTCCATAACTTGATGGGACCTGTCGCTTAACTCGTTGTATCCAGGCTGTAATGATGGTCTGGCGAAATGGGAAGGATGGCGACACTGGCACTAGAGCGATCGAGGCAAGCACATACTCAATGGCGAAGAAATGCGCCATAATGATTTGGGCAACGTGATTGTCGGAATCAGATATTGTGAGGAAGTCAGAATCGCTGGCCCCTCCGAATAGCTCGTATGCTCGACAAACGGCACCAAAGGCTGTCAAGAAGTCAGCAAATGCTCACTCAGAGTGAGATGGATTTGGCATCTTACCACCGACGCATGTAGTCCGCGACATCTCGAGGATCCTCTGAAGATCTGCAATAAGGCTGATTTCAAGCGTGCTGTTACTCAGACGCGCAACAGCCTTTATGGATGCAATACCAGCGTCAATAGCTTCATCATCGGATAGGCCTATGTCGAATCCGTTGTTGATATCGTTAACACGCTGTACATGCCCCTCTATTGAGAACATGCGAAACGCGGAGTCCTCAAATGGGAAAACTGAGCATTTTGAAACAATAGTACAGCCACGAAGCATGGACAAGAACTCTTGCATCCCATCAGGCATGTAGGAGGACTGCCATGTTAGAGTCATAAGGGTAGCATATCGAGCATCACCCTCTTCCTTGGTCTGACATGGGGTACTCAGAGCAGAATTGAGTGACTTGATTGCTTTGATGCGATGCGATATGGCGTCAGAATTGAAATCAGTGCCATTGCAGAGGCCGAGATGCGAGGCTCCAAGAGCCAGCATGGCGTGAGCCAAGAAGTCGAACTGGGTTTGTCAGTAGATACTTCAAAGATCTCACGGCATATTTGCGCTTACACCATGAGAATACTTCGCAACTTCTTTCCATACCTCTTCTCCTTGAATGGGAAGACCAGGGTACGCATGGAGGAGAAAGTGATGAAAGTAGCGTAAATCAAACATAGAAAATTGCGCATCAGATAATGGTTGGGCAAGTTGAGGTAAAGGCAGATGCATCAGCCCCTGATCTGAAGGCTGAGGATACTCGCATCGAAGACCAAGACGATCGCAGTTATCACAAGACGGTGTTGTTTCCTGGCATTTAACACGTCGACGCTTACAATTGAAGCATCCCCGCCTTGATTTGGTATGGCCCTTGCGAGGAATTGGTCTGCGACGAGGACGACCAGATATTAGCGACGAGGGAGAGGATGACGAGGTAGATGCTGTTCTATCAGCAGACCTCCCAGATGACGGTTGCTTGAGTGATGGGCTCTCTGAAGGCCGCTTATCGTCAAGACCCTGCGAGAGGTCGCCATCAAGAAGCAAAATCCGAGACTCTAAGGACGACAGGGCATTGTCCATGATAAAAGACTTTCAGCGATAAAAAGAGCATATACTGGCATACCAGAGATGCATGATCATTTGGCATCACTGAGGCTGAAAATAGGTTACGTAGGGTGGGGGCGAGATTAGGTGTAAGCACGGATTAATATAGGCCGGTTGATTTAGTTATAGTTGACTTAAGAATCCTAAGGAGATCGATACTAACTTAGTAATAATAAAGTAAAATAAAGTATTAATATCTGTAATAAATAAATAGTTTAAGTAAAGAAATTCACTAGTTATCATCATATAGCATGAATTACAAACACTGCATTCTTTACTAAGTTCTGTCTGCTGATTTAAGCTCTTAGCTATAAGCCTTAACTGTAAATAATATATCTAGCTAATAACTTAAATATTATACTATAATAACTAACCAATTGCTATAGCTAAAGGCTAAAAAGAGAAAAACCTAGATTATAACTCTTTAGCTAGCCTTAGAGGCATATAAGATAGTACCTCTAATCTGTTGGCTAAGAAAGGTTAGCTTAATACTATAAATACCCTAGATCTTTAAGATAGTAGCCCTAATAAGAACAGTCTTCTATTAATATTATCCTAACTAACTAGCTATCTAAAACTATACTAATAGATCTATTATAATGCCCTAAGTAGTAGTAGCTTATAATATAATCCCCCCTAAAGACCTTAACCAGTACTTTAATAAAGTTTATAACCTAATCCTTATATAGGACTTTTATAAGCTTAGTAGTAAATTCCTTCTTAAGCTTACTCTCTTTAACTATAAGACTATTACCTATATATTCTCTAATAGCCTATTCCTTAAAGGAATTATATTAGTTACCTAGTAAAAGAAGGGGGTACTATTTGCCCTAAAGAAATAGAAGAAATTTAACGTAGCTGTAGAACTACTTAGAGGAAATTAGGCTTAGATTGTATCTATATTTAACGTATAAAAGGCAATTTGCTAAGAGGGACTTCTAGGTATGGCGTATAGCTATTAGATTTGTTGAGAAATGCTAACGCACGAGAAAAGCTTAACCTTACTAAAGAAAGTTTCGTGATAACACGTATATCGGTGCGATTAGGGCTAAGAAGAAGGTTAGACTGGAAGAAGGTTCGGGGCAATCGGAAGGTGGTAGCGGAGTTAAGTTTATAAGTCAGTCACAAGGTTAGAAAATACACTTCGGGTTTAACACAATGGCTGCATTCTTCACGCGATAATTTTACATCAACAATATATCCATCCCTAATCTAGCATCCAATTTAGTAAAGCATCGTGGATTGAGGCGAGTTTAATCCGCTTATTTCAAGGTAGTACGTATCGGGCAAGTGAGTCGGCCCTGTAAGTGCGCGACAAACTATATTAACCATTGTGTCGAGAATAAGATATAAGCCCTAGTCCTTGTTATGTCGATAACGAGGGCATTCGTTTTTGGGTGACTTGGCCTAGCGGTGATCTTCACACATTGTATTACAGAACTATCACCACGTCATGGGGCCGCCATTCGTCAGCTGCGCTCCGCTTCCGGCGTCCATGCATAAGCAAAACACCATGGTTTGTGGATTTTGCTCTCGAGCAGGTCGATAAGACTTAAGGTCCTAAGGAATAGTACAGGAAGAGATATGTGATATACATATCACATAGTTGGAAGTTCTTATTTACTAAGTAACCCCAGGTATTCATTCCTGTTACTTGGGTTTCTTGCCAGCAATACCCGCCTTCAGCCTTTCTATGTCATTTTGGCTTACATGGAGTTCAGACATAATGGCCTGATTTCCGTTTTCGTTAAGAGGTATTCTTACCTTTCTTTACTTTTGCGGGAGTAAGCAAGCCACTTACCGGTTTAGTAAAAAAAACTGTACTTACGACTAATCTTGGATACCATTATCCGGCGTATCCTACCAATTTCCAGCCAGCTACAGTTTAACACCCCATTATCTAGCATATCATGCATTCCAATTCTCAGCCAGCCACAGTTGTTTAACATACGATTTAAAATATTGGTGTCTTAAAGACCTGTCGATAGACCGCGACCCAGTTCCGATCATGGATGGTAGCATATCGCCCTTGCTTACTCTTGCATTCATACTCAGAATACTCAATAGAAACCAACGCAGGCATGTCCCATGAAGACTCTACAGAGTATAAAGTAGCAATGGATTCCCCTTGCTTCTGGTTCCATTTTCCGAGCTCAATCTCTATTCTTACCTGACTATCATCCCACCTATCACCCTCTACACAAGTTCGCGATGAGCACCGATCTAGAAGCCTACCTGAACTACATGCTCACTTGGGAGGATGAGACAGACGATAATATCAACGCAATCATTACAGAGCAATCCCTATTCCTCAGCGTCGGCACCTACGACTCAACCACGGCTGTAAGCACCGAGTTCAGTACGCTCGTAAGTCTTGCAGAGACACTAGCTGCCGAGACCGTTGCTGCCGATGCAATTCAGATTGCTGCCGATGTGGCTGCTGTAGCATCAATCTGGTCATTCGGCATCTCGATGATGATTTTTGCAGAAGCCGAAATTACGGCACTATTGCTTAGCGCCGACATCTCAAGCAAATCTACTGAATTAAACAACAAAATGGCGACCGTCGATACCGATATTTCGGCTCAAATCAATGACCAGGTATCCCAGTACATCACTCAGTACAAGACAAACAATGTCTTGATCGCTTCGAAGGCAACAGAGGGTCTCGACACCAGGCACTGCCGTAGCATCCTTCTTCAGTTTGTTGCCCAGGTTCAAAGGCATACCGGCAACCAGCTCAATGCCGACAACTTTAGAAAGTATGCGCATGTAGCCAGACAACTCTACGAAAGCAAAGAGATAGACGCTATCTACGCGGCATTGGACACGCTGTACCTAAGCGATCAGACAGAGGCCGATCTAACCCAATACATGGATACTATCAAAGGCCTCGGGCTTAACACCGCTCTGCTCACATCCATCCATCTTTTCTCAGTTGCCTTTATGGCTAATAGGCTGAGTGTCGCAAATGACACGCTTCGGAACGTTTGCATAGAAGGTGGGATGGACCCTGATATGGTGGATGTAAGCGCTTTTGAAATGCTCGATGGATTGGGAAAGCTAGTTGTTGTCGTTGGAGCAGTCATGTCAGTGGCTGATGCCGTCATGCAAATCATTGACATCGTTGATGTAGTGGAGCAGGCGGAGAACCTGCGAGATGCCATTGAAGGAAAATTCCAAACTAACTACTTGAATTTCTTTAATGGTATCAGCGAAGCGTCCCAGAAGTACAACAACGCACTTCAGAACATCACAACACCCTCTAGCTCTATTTCTTAAGTAGCTGCTATAGTTTATTTCTTAGTATTTTATATATTTTATAAAATTGTATCTAAAATGAGGAAAGTCCAAATTCTTCTAAACATATTATTATTCGGTCCTTATGAGCGAAAACAATGGCACAGCGATGAGCTTAAATTTAACCTAGTCGGAAGTTATACGTGCCTGGCTAGATATCGAGCCTACATTTCTTTTCTGACGTGATATGAAATATCACTCAGGCAAAATTTATTTGGCTTCTAATAAGGTCGTGTTAGGATCTGGTCTGGTTATGCTTATGCTTGGATCTCAGCCGCATTGACAAGCATCATTCCCTAGGGCTTCGGTGTCAGCAGCTGATTAGACAGCGCGTATAAACAACCCCCCACTTGGTGACATGATCTACAAAGGAAGTCTTGGGCTTGGACTTCAATTCGGTTACGGAAACATGCGATAACCTAACAAATCGGCAAGGTAAGGCTTTTCTCGTTCTCGCTTCTGCTCTCGCTTATATCCCCTGCGATAAAGAGGTAGCCCATTTTAGTCAGCGACCATCTAGTTAAAAAGCTAAAAGTAGCGGTAAGTCAACTCCTTTTCTCTCAAATTCTGCAGTTGAGTACTTTAAAAGTCAAGCCTTGACAAGATGGGCGACATGGCATACGATGTAGGTTTATCCCTTCTCGCTCATAGTACAAAAGTAACTCATGTTCCTCCAGTACCGTTGGAAAGGTTTGATACCATCCGCCTGCACGGCAGTTTATTTACTAACCAATATCAGTGGTTCTCCTGGGCGACTCGACAGTTGGCAAGTCAAATCTCGCAAGTCAATTCAACCAAGGCGAATTCCATGCCGACTCCAGTCCAACAATTGGCGTGAAGCCCACCAACAAAATGGTGCAATGCAACTCCAAGACCATCAAAGTCAACCTCTGGGACACAGCCGGCCAAGAGAGATACCGGGCACCCGTTCCTTATTATAACGAAGCGGTAGCTGTGATGTTAGTCTATGATGTAACCAACCGCCAGAGTTTTGAGAATGCCGCACGCTGGTTGCAAGAGGTTCGAGATCACGGGGAGCCTGAAATTGTCGTCATGCTCGTGGGGAACAAAACAGACCTGGAGCGTAGAAGGGCTGTGACGACGGAAGAGGGCAAGAGATTTGCTAGTAAGTTGACCTATGCTTGCTAGTATGTTTGAAAGTGCTGATGAGGTCCAGAACTTGAGAAACTTCTGTTTATCGAAACTTCAGCTCAGGATAACACTCGAGTTGAGCTTGCCTTCAAGACTCTTCTAAACGGTATGGCTGATCCCTTCTGATATACTTTTGAATATAACTGCTGATCAGGTTCTTTGCACTAGGTATCTACAAGACGCAATGTCAGGAGAAATGATGAGGTAAATGAGATATGGGGTTGACTCTAAGTTTCTCATCCTACTGCATTATTTTAGCGAGGTAATATCCATCAATATGAGACGACATTGCGAGAGCCTTTACGCCACCCTCAGCTCTATCAACAAGTGAATTCCACTCGCGCACATCGCGGCAATTTGTCTCTGAATTGCAAATTGACAGTATCCGTCCAAACATGTTCTCGCAACCCAAGATGCCCTTACTCAGTGACAAACGAATCCTCACTCCATCCATAAGTCCGGTTCAGGCGTCTCGCCAAAATCAGGATCAAATACCCCTCAATCTGTGACTGATGAGGTCGGTGAATGCTAACAGGCCGCTTGATATCCATATCCTCAGACGGTCTGAACGTGTAAACGGAGCCGAATCGGGGCAGCACTGAGAACCCCAGTTCTGACATGGCAGCCTCGAAGGACGACCAGCTGACGGATCCTCGTGATCGTGTTTTGTCGAACAGGGTTGCGAAAACCTCGGCTGTTGATGAGCTGACCTTTAGTGGCTGCGTAGGCTTTGCAGCTTCTTTGTCTTCAGAAGACTCTGTGGTTGGGGTAATCGCGTAGACGGAGGAATGTTCAGGGCGTGTCTTTTCCTTTTGTCTTCGTGCTTCGATTCTTTCTTTTGAGGCCACAGGAGTGCTGTCGATGGGAACAAACTCAGCCTTGGTATCCTTGTTTGTCTTATCCTTGGCCTGTCGATACCGTTCTTCGACGTTTCGGAACGCCTTCTCTAGTGCATCTTGGTAAAGAAATCCCATCGTCGTGCCCGTCTTCTCCATCATAAACGCATTCAAGGCTTCCAGCGCTTTAGCAGACATGCCAGGTTCCAGAAGAATCTCGATGGGCGCAGCGTAGTCGCGTAGGTCAACTTCCTTCTTGATCTGGTTGAGCTCGGTGTCAATTTGTTGCAGGCCAGCGACAAGTAGATTTCCTTTCTTTCGTGAGATAGAGGGAAGTGAGTAGACCTTAGAAACATCTTGGACGAACGCTACAATGGCAGCGACATCGTGGAGAGTCCGAGACTCTCTCTCGTCAAGCTTCTCCCTCTCCAAAGGATGCGCCTTGTAGAGATCGTCGAGCTTCTCCATCCACTGAGCCGCTTTGGTGACGGTCGTAACGGGCTGACACAGTCGTAGCAAGTAGTGCAGGTGAGGGTCAGATCGCGTGAGCTCTTCTGGTTTGCCTTTCATCGAGACCTTGGCATTGCCTGAGTTATCATATGCATTGGAAATTCGCTTGAACCGTTTCGATCCAGTTCCAGTGGAAACCTGGCGTTTGAACAGTGCTTGTGTACGGGCGTACTCGAAATGGCACATATTAGAGAGCTCTTGAACAATCATCGACTTGTAAAGCTTATCCGTGGACGGCTTCTCGAGGAGGTTAAGCAAGCCAGTGATGGATTCCCAAATAGCAATTCCTTGGACTGCATGCTAGATTGTCGCAAAGAAAGCAGGCCCAACGTACTTATGTATGTGTACTGGCAGGGATCGGCCCTTCTCGTCAGGCACGAGCTCAGGCTGGCTGTAGAACTGCACGCTGACGTCTGCACAAAGAACTGTGGCCTCCGAGCAAAGAAGCGACAACAGTTCCTCAAGAGATGATTTCTGATCGGAAGCAGCAGCAAAAAGCTCCTGGGAATTGAGCTTGACGGTTGCCTGCTTGGGGAGAGAATCAGATAGAGGAGCGGTTGGCGGCTTGAAATTCTTCGGCTGGCTTCGATCCTTGGGGCCGGAGACTTGATCCAAGACACATTCGATCATGAAGTTAAGCGCCTGCACCATTTGAAGTTGCCGCGTAAGAATGAGCTGCCCCAAAGACTGTGGGACGATGTATCGGTTCTGAAGGCCTGACTCCAGTCCAGATTGAATTTCCTCGTCGTTGACGCATATAGGAACACGGAAACAGTATCCATACTCCTCCTCAGTGAAAACTGTATAGCAGTTCTTGAAAGGATTTGCATGACGCAAGTTTCGAGTTCGCGCCATCTCATCGATGAGCTCGAGATCTCCAGCAGTTCCGTTGTGACCGCGGCGGTATTGCTCAGTTAAAGGCGTCATGGCACGGTGCTTGATAATGTCAAGGAACAAGTTCGAGTCCGAGTCTGTTATATCATCAAGATTCCACTCGGGCATAAACTTACAGAGGCTGCCTAGCGAGGCGTCTCGAGAATGCTTCAAGACTTGTCGCTTCCATGCCGCAGCCTTCATGCATTCCGCTCGCTGCGCTTTGTCGAATGATCGCCAGGCAGTTTCGACTTTGGGGCCATAAGCTTTCCATTGGCGCTGCAAGTCCCCGTGCAGCTCGAGGAGCACTTCTGAGTGGAGGACCATCTTGGATGATGTTGGCGATCTCGATAGGTTGCAGGCTGCAGATGCATATGCCGGTGCCGATGGAGCAGAGCTTGGAGTTCAACGACGGTAGCTTTGAAAGCTCGTGCCACAGTGTGGCTTCGCAGGGCATGGTGGCTGGTAACCCATAAATGCGACTTAGGATAGAAAAAACAAGGGATGGTAACATTTTGCTTCGCATGAGAGACAGGGTCTTGGAAGGTGTTGGCTCAACGTATCTCAAGGCTTTGCGGATGCCCAGGTGCTTTACCTGACCAAGGAACACAAGAGACTGAATCAGAATAATGAGCTTTGAATACTGGTAGACCTTTTTTTAGCAGCTTGGGATTTAAGAAACTATTTTAAGAAGCAATCTTTCATCGCGTGAAACAAAAGATTCAACATGTCGTCTCATCCAGCCAAGGCAAACAAACCATCAACACTTGACTCCCTCCACTGGGACCTTCTGCAGGGACCTACCTGCAGAAGGACCACTAAATCACGGAGTGGGTCAGGTACAGCCAATCAAATCAGAGGATGCCCATGTCTCATACTCCAACAGATCTCAGATAACAGCCAGTGGTACGACCTGCAAACTTTAGCCTAGCACTGCCTAAGGTAGTTAGCTATCGTACTACGCAGAATCTTTAGATAAGGATTAAGCTAAGACCTGACTTATCTCAGGCATGGCTGATATGATAACGAACGGCAAAGAGGGGACCCCCCATGCTTCCCCAGGTTCGCAACATCACCGCGCAACCTCACCCTGCTTCAACAGACGGCGTTACTCCAGCACCGGAACCGCGTGACCAGGGCATATTATGCAAGCAAGGTTAGAAGAATGCTGTTGGTACATAGGCTGGAATCATTTCACTAATCGGGAATCCTCCCAGGGAATAGTACCCAAGTAGGCAGCAATGGATCAAGAACACTACGAGTACAGACTGAAACGGATAAGACAGGCATGTGCCAACTGCAGGTATGAGGCGTTCAGTGCCTTCACCTAGTTTCTAAACTGACTATTATCAAGGCGCAAAAAGGTCCGCTGCTCTGGCGAGCGTCCGAGATGCACATACTGCACACGCCTCCGACAGGAATGCTCCTATGAAGAAGCACCCAAACGCGAGGATCAAAATGACTCTAACAGGGTCCTGCGCCCGTTGATGATAGCGGGAACTAGCAAGGAAGAAGCCTCATCTTCACTTCCTCTCGAGTCCCGAATAACCTCGCTTGAAACAAGTGTGCAAAGGCAAGGCTTGTGAGATCGTGTACACATAACCAACCGTTCACTCGGCTGACCAAGTAACTGGGTAGTCTCATCAGTCTTCTCACCAACGAACGTGGCATCGCTGTCGGGAACAACCTCCGTCTGAGTCACAAAGACAATATTGCCGGGGACGCCAAGGGGCTGCCTGTCACGCCTGACATGACGCTTTCTGCTGCAGCAGACCTATACTTTCAGTACTGCCACAACCAACCATACTCCCTCTTCCATGAAGAAACTTTTCGCCATCGCTTGGTAGCTCAAACGCTCCCCGAATACCTTTGCCTCGCCTTGTTAGCTACAGCCAGTCGATTTTCTCAGTCCACTAAACCATTGCTGCTCTGCGCAGACCAGGCATGGGAGCTGACCATCAAGCGCTCGACAGCTAACATTGACTCTGCGGAGAGTCTAATGATAGCCCAAACGATTCACCTTCTTTGCGTCATTGACTACTCCGGTATGAGGTCCCCCCCGTTTACAAACGTAGATACACTATTGACAGCGGAACTGATATCTCTCTCAGATGGCCGATGTCGCGCTGCATGGATTAAGCTTGGGCTGGCTGTTCGCATCGCGCAGTGCTACCGATTCAACACTGAGCCCGATCCCCGTCTTCGTCCTGAAGTTCAGGAGGAATACCGACGAACGTTCTGGTCTATCTACCTACTTGACAGGCTGATGTCCTGTGGACGAGAAAGACCTACCGCGCTTCAAGACAAGGATTGCCTGCTTCGTCTTCCGTCCAACGAGCAAGCTTTCCGAGACTGTTCAGAGAATCGGGGTCCAGTACTTGAACAACTCACCGGAGACGCGCCAGTATTTACGGAGCTTCCTGAACACAGTCATTTCTCTGTAATCATCTTGATGGCAGCGACACTAATCCGCGTAGTTAATTACGTGCTGCGAAAGGATTCGCGAGTTCACGACGATGTTCCCTGGTCTACTACTTCACAATACTCAGCGCTCGAGTCAACTCTGTGGCGGCTAGAACTCAACTACGGACTACTAGATCCGTTAAATGCCGTTTGGGAGCAAACACTTACTTCAGGTGGTGTGGTTGACCCACGAGCCGCGGGGCCTCTGATATATGGCCGTGCTTTGTTCCATCTCGCGGGCTGTCTGCTGCACCATCCTTTCCTCCTACAGCATCGACTAGCAGAATCGGCCAGCAGGACACCCCCAGGATTCTTAAGCAAAGCCTGGGCGTCAGCTAGAAGCCACGCCACTGCACTAACCATGTTGCAGGAGACGGAGAATCTTGGCTGCGTCACAGTTTCTTGCTTCAGAGGTTACTGCGCTATGGTCGCCGGCTCGATCCACCTTCTCTTTGCGTCGGACAGCAACGATGAGATACGCGAGGCGTCGGTACGACGCTACGAGGAGTGTCGAGGCCTGCTGCTAAAGCTGTGCCGTTATTGGGAGAGTTCGAGGCTAATGGTGAGTTTTTCTCCACATATTGTTTGTGCGAGGTCTAGATTATTGATAAGTGATAGTTTATGAAGCTTGAGCGTCTGTATGAGGATAGAAGCCAATACCGCCAGTTCTTCGATTACACACTAGCTATGGGTGAGAAACCCAAACTCGAAGCGTTCTGGGACAGTATCGACAACTGGGTTCCTTCAAGCCGATCTCCGAGCCCCGAGCATGGCCCTCCTGAGCCAGTACAGCCCAAACATTTCCCTACGTCTATCGACTTTTTCGATATCGCGCCGGCGGATCCTTGGGGCAATGGAAATTCGATTTTCGAGATGGACTTTTCGAATGGCAATAGTTTCATGTGAAGTGGCTATATCATAGATAGTCCAACGCATGTTTCAGTGTTTAAGCGGATGGATAAAATGATGTAAATTACGTTGCCTATTGCCCGCTTCTATTTAAACTATAGCAGTGTTAAATTTTCGTCTAACCCTTTATAGTCTTACTCCAAAGCATGTATGTTCATGAGATTCACGCCTGGAGAGATCTCAACGGCTTAGCCAACAGACTTGTCGCTTGTGATAACATAATAAGTCTTTACAAAAGGCGCCTCAGATGTCCATGTAACCTTCAGACCAGAGGGTAGTGCAATTATATCTCCGGCCTGGAACTTTAGCGTCTTTCCGGTGTCATGCTCGGTAATGGTGACCAATCCCTCAAGAAGCATGATTGTTTCATCGCCAAGAGGTGCACTGTACTCAAAGGACACAGAGCCATCTGAATCACACCCAGGTATGCCGCGACCTGTTCTCCAAAGTCCGACCTCGAGACTTCCTGTTGAGCCTGTATCTCTGATGACGTAGAACTCGCCAGCTTGCTGTTGGCCCTTGCCTGGCTCTTCCCAAGAATAACAAGTCCAAGCTTGTGGGTTGTCGTTGATGTTGCCAATTATGAGGTCGTCTTTTGTGTTTCCAGGAGTAGATCCATTCCACATGACCCAGAACTTCTTCAGAAAAGGGGCGTTGGTGTGCCACGAAAGTTGGACATATTTTGGATGGCAGATGATGTCGCCTGCTTTAAGTTGATACTTCTTGCCGGTGGATTTGATGGTAACCTCTGTTGAGCCCTCCAGCAGCAGCATAGTTTCATCGCCGAGAGGAGCTGAATACACGACGTCGCAGGTGCCGTCTTCGTTGCAGCCAGCAATCCCTGGACCCGTGCGCCACAAGCCAGCACTCAAAGACCCAGACGTTCCTCCGCTTCGAATAACCACGACCTCTCCCTTGGACTGCTGCCCAAAAACCGGATCTTCCCAGTCAAAAGGGACCCAGGTCCCGGTTGTGCTGCGGGAGCCATGCTCAAGCTGATGAACGGAACCCATGTTGGAACTCTGTGCTTTGTGTTTGCCTTGATGTCAAAGGGAGCGACTTATCAATTGACAGTGAGTGTGACTATGATGACGATCATTATTTGACTTGCGGCAGAGTCGCCATGGCCTCTTCCTTAATAACCCCAAGGCTATCACAACCCTGCAGCTTATCTTCATATCCCCGATAAGTACATCATTCCCGGATGCCCAGGATCAATCAGGGAACCCAAATTCTCGGAGATGTGAGTGGGGACGGCCCGACGTAAAGAACTACAAGGGCGCCAAAGAAGCACCAAGTCGACTTAGTGGTTGCTCTAGTCTGGACCTATTCCTAACCGAGCCTTATCTACAGAACCAACAAAAGAGAAATCACATCAGAGATACACCGTACCAGATAAGCAACATTTCTCAATACCAGCATCAGTCTGACCTGCCATACATAGGTGCTGCGCAGTGGTGTGTGGAAATGTAGTTAACTGGCTGTCATTTCCCGGGCCGTGTTCCACAGTTGCTTCCGAGACTAAGTAGCCTCGCTACGCTTCCTCGAATGGCAGCTCGACACACTATCTAATCGTCATCTGACTCTGACTCTGACAGCGCCTCCCGCACGTCAGTCTCCCATATCAAGAAAAGGACGACGCGCCTCAGAGTAACCCTGAGAAATTAACAAGCCTCAAAAAGAGACTTGTGAATAGATAAAGAACACCGAAACATCACCGAGTAGATGTCGCTGATAACAGTAATTCTTGGGCAGAGGGATGTGATATATAGACCATGGGTTGTCAGGACGGCTCTACAGATTCAATGCAAATCACGGACTTGGCTCATACCACTCTGGATTAGCATTTTGACTCCAGTCATCTATCTACCTTGATTGCATCTAATTTCTCGACAAGAAAGAAACCGATATCTTCAATCGCCATGACTGACCACGAGGTTCCAGCAGTGATGGGCATGCAGCACTCCAAGAAGCGGCAATGGAGACCCTATTTGCTCGTTGTTGTTAGTGCCACACTTTCAAGATATATGTTTCTACTGACTTCCAAAATTAGATGATGAGCATTAGCCTTGGAGCCATGTCGTTTGGATATTCCTCTGGTGTTATTGGAGCAACCATTGGTGAGTAACCACGACTCTGTATAGCCCGGTCCATCCTCTCTGCTCAGGTTTCTGATTCTCGCCAGCGCAACCTTCTTTTATCGAGTATTTCGAGCTTGGGACGAGATCAAACGCAACTAGTCTTATCTCAGCTATGAATGTGAGAAACCCCAGCTCCATCTGGAAAGCTACAGACTGACATAGAGCTTACACGTCCAGTCACTCTTCTTTGCTGGTGCGGCCATCTTCATCTTGACAGTTCCCTTCTTTGCAGATAAATGGGACGAAAAGCAGCCGTTGCAGTGGTGAGTACCATCTTTCGCTTTTTCGCTTTTTGGGAGAGAACATGGCTGACTTTACGTCCACCCAGTCGGCCGCCATCATCATTATAGCAGGAGCAATTATGGCCGGATCTGTGCATGTCGCCCAATTCATTGTCTTCCGATTTGTATCTGGGGCTGGGTAGGTTCAACCATGGACGGCTTGTAACTTACGATCATGTTCTAACCTGACACCTAGTACATATATGATGATCTCATCGGTGACGCTGTGGATGACAGAGATAGCACCTCCCTCAATCCGTGGTGTTCTCGTTGGTCTTGTCGGAGCAAGCTTGCTATTCGGATACTCATCATCGGTTTGGGTGGGCTACGGATTCTATTTCTTCAAAAGCCCAAATGCCTGGAGAGTCCCGTTCGGTAGGTACCAAACGAATGACTCTTAGTTTGGCTGGCAACTGACATAACCCTGTTAGTGTTTCAGGGCTTTCCATCACTCATATTGCTCGCTCTTCTCTACTGGCTGCCGGAATCTCCCCGCTGGCTTATGCTACAAGGCCGCGATGACCAGGCCAGGGAGAATCTACTAAAGCTTCACACTCCAGAAGAAGTGGAAGTTGAATTCCTACAGATTCGCACACAGGTTGAAATCGACAAGACTCTCCCAAGCTCATACTGGGTCATGTTTACGAATAAGAACTACAGAAAACGAACCCTTATCGGCATGGGAACTTTTGCCAGTATCCAAACATCTGGAATTCTAGTCATTAACAGTCAGTATCCCCAAACATCCTAGACGCTATCGTGAGCTTCCTTACTGACCACCTACTGATAACAGACTACGGTCCTATGGTAAGACACTACACCCTGAAGAACTCAGCGATGAACATGTGTTTCTGAATGCTGACCTTGTTTAGATCTACGGCGCACTCGGCTTCGGAGTCGAGACACAGCTCATCTATGCAGCTGCTTGGCTCACCTTAGGTTGGGGCGGTGGCTGCCTGGCACTTTTTGTCGTTGACAGGATTCCAAGACCGAAATTCATCGGCTACGGTCTCCTTGCTTGCCAAGCATGTTTGATAATCGAGGCTGCATTGGTGGCCAACTTTGCCGGCTCAGACAACAAGACAGCCCTACGAGCCTGTGTCGCGATGCTCTTTTTGTTCGTCTTCATCTATGAGTTTGCGTTAGACAGTGCCCAGTTTGTTTACCTGGGTGAACTGTTTCCTACTCATATACGAGCAAAGGGTGTCTCGCTGGGCTGTGGAACGCTAGCACTGATGAACGTCATTTGGCTATCTGTAGCACCCACTGCTTTCAAGTAAGTGAATATCACGTCACCTCTGTAAGCATAAGTATTGAAACTGACTGCTGCAGCTCGATTGGCTGGAAGTTCTATCTATGCTTCATCATTCCAGGATGCTTTTGTGCCGCTATGATCTTGTACTATTTCCCTGACACACTGGGTCTACCTCTTGAAGAGGTCAATGCTATTTTTGAGGACGAGGTACGTTGTATTGTGCTTTAGATCTTAATTTCTAGTAGTCTGTAGCATCCAGAGAGCTAACAGTTTAGCAGTATAGAGAGAGCATTGCTGGCATCGAGGAGGGAAATGTGAAGGGGTCATTCTCAGACAAGAGCCCTAAGGAAGTGGGTAGCAATGAGTAATGTGATAGCGATATCGTTCAGAAGCGATACAGGTCCTATTCCTGTGTCATCTTAACGGCGGCTTCCGTTCTTAGGCCTTTGGTCTAGGTCAGGTGTCTGATCATTACAGATATGTAGCCTATGAGATTTCCTTTGTATAGATAATTTTATTACAATTATTTATTTATCAATAATTCTAAAAATACTCTTTTTATACTAACTAATTATTATCAGTCCACTGTCCTCGAGACTTTCTGACCAAAACATCCAATAACGAGGACTGACCAGACACAGCCTAGCAGCCATTGGGTTGGTTTGCCACGTCTGACCGCCGCACGTCCTTATTGCGACCCCAGTGCTGTCACAGATTTGATTTCGCAAGATCACTGACAGTCTGCCTCGTCATATCATCCTTGTAGAAAACCACATTGTATCCAATTGGCCGATTGCGATGACAAACCTTGGTCAGCGTCACAGCAACGAGTGCGGGCTTGTCTGCCTGCCTATCTAGCGTAAATCGTCAATGTATATAGCTGTTATGCCAAGGGCTGCGCTCCAGGCGGGCCCGGTGGCTATTGGTGAGACACCACCAATTGAATCTCTGTTAGGATGTCTTGTGGCTTTGTAATTTCGGGACGAGATTTCTCCAGAGCAGCCCAATCAGTTCGATTACAGCCCAACAAGGCTGTGCCCCGCGCAGGTCACAGCGCATATGTAACTATCCCAGCCCCCCCAGCGTCATAAGATCCAATCCATTTCTTACCCTCTCATCGCTATCTATCGATACTTATTGGCATAGAAAGAATACACCCGTCGGGTTCTTCTAGATGTCTGACCCGAGCGATCCATATTCCTATACGGTTGGGTGGGTATGTGCTCTATCGACAGAGTTCACGGCAGCCCAGGAGCAATTCGACGAGGAATATGAGCCGCATGAATCACCTGAGCACAGAGAAACAAACGACTTCAATGTGTACAGTTTCGGCAAGATCAACGGCCATATGGTGGTTGTCGCTGTACTGCCAAATGGCCAATACGGGACTGCATCTGCCGCGACTGTGGCCAAGGATATGATACGTAGCTTTCGCAACATTCGATTCGGTCTTATGGTCGGGATTGGCGGCGGGGCCCCTACTAAAGACCATGACATTCGCTTGGGAGATGTCGTGGTAAGCTCACCCACGCCCGGGCAAGGTGGTGTATTCCAGTACGACCTCGGAAAAGCCACAGAAGACGGATTTCAACATACAGCATCCCACAATAAACCGCCCCCGTTACTTCTTGCTGCAGTAGCAGGGCTCAAAACTCAATACGAGCGAAAGGGCCTCCAGATTCATGACAAGACCAGCACCATCATCTCAAACAACAAGAGACTAAGGGCCAAGTATGGACGTCCGGAGGATCCAGATTCTCTTTTCGCCGCTTCGGTCAAGCACAAGGGTCATCCGTGCCACGAGCTCTGTGTGACGACCCCAAATGATCTCATACCTCGAACGCCACGACAGGAACCTCTGGAAGATGTCGAAGTCCACTATGGTACCATTGCTTCGGGCAACACTCTGATGAAAGACGCAGCTAAACGAGATGAACTGGCTTCCAGAGAAGATATCTTATGTTTCGAGATGGAAGCCGCTGGGCTGATGGATGGTTTTCGATGTCTTATTATTCGTGGAATTTGCGACTATTCTGATGCTCACAAAAATGACCAATGGCAAGGCTATGCAGCCATGACTGCCGCTGTATATGCGAAGCAGATTCTCGGAATAGTTCGTCCAGAAGCCGTTATAAGGGAGGAAACTATCGTCTCAAAAATAGATGAAGGTCAGTGGTTTTCTCTGCTTTTGGGAACTACGTCTAAATAACAATACTCAATTCAGTTATTTCCGGCGTGCAGGATCTGAAACGATCTATTGCAGAACAGGAAGTGCTGAACTGGATATCCGATGAGGACTTCGGTAATTATCAGCTCGATGAGCGCAGTAAACAGGCCCCAGGAACCTGTCAGTGGTTTCTTGACTCGCCAGAATATCAGGCTTGGACCCAACAGAAAGGCCAAGTCCTTTTCTGCCCGGGCATTGCCGGGGCTGGGAAAACGGTACTCGCCTCTGCCATCATCGAAAACCTTCATTCTCGCTTTGAAACAGACTCAAGCACTGTCACCGTCCATATTTACTGCCGATATAATCGTGTCGATCGGCAAAGCTTCAACAAATTGCGGGCGAGTGTCCTGAGACAGCTTTGTGAGCGGCTGTCTCCTCTCCCCGACGGTATCATGCAGCTTTACAGCCAATATAGGCCCCGACGGATGGGAGCCCCTCCAGAGAGGATAGAATCAGAGCTGGAATCCTTGTCAGACCCGTTTTCAAGAATCTTTATGGTTGTTGATGCATTAGATGAGTGGGCAACGGAGAATGGGGACCTCTACTCACTACCAGCCGAGCTTCTCCGTCTCCAAAGAAGATTGGCCATTAATCTACTCGTCACCTCCCGGCCAATCCCCCTCATTTCAAATCAGTTTAACAATTACCCCTCTATTGCCATTACTGCTCAGCAACAGGATATTCACACCTACGTTAACAATTTTCGGTGGCCAGAGTCGAGCTGCATTGGTAAGATACCAAAACTGAGAGACCTGGTAAAAAGGACAATGTCACAAATTGTCAAGGGAATGTATGTCTATTTGGTCATGCTCGGTTTCTATCCCCACTTTACTAACAACAACTTAGGTTTCTTCTAGCAAGACTATACATCTATTCACTAGAGAACGAGACCTCGGAAAGAGACGTTGCAGATGCTCTAAAACGATTCGAAGACCGAGCGAATAACAATGGCAATGACCCAAAGTTTAACATTGTGGACCAAGCATATGATGATACTATAAGAAGGCTCAGAGAGCAACATCAAAATTCTAGTGACTTAGCATTTCGGGTCCTGGCCTGGATATGCTGTACTGGTTGGAAGCTACCAGCCAGTGCAATCCAGCATGGCCTTGCCTTACGAGAAGGAGACACTACCTTTCATGAGGATGGCATAATTGACGAACAGTTACTGCTCTCTGTATGCTGTGGGTTGGTAGAGATTCCTCAGGGAACAAGAGAAATAAGGCTCGCTCACTATACGACCGAAATCTTTTTCCAGCATGACCTGCATCTGATTGATGAATACTTCCTCGTCCGGCATTCACTTGACTGTCAATTACCTTCAAGCTCTGACGCCTATCTTGCTAGGCAGTGCGTCACTTGTTTGTCCATTGGCTTCCCCGCACATCGTCAAGAAGGGATTGACATGCAACATATTTATTTCAAAGACACAGAGTACTTTGATGCATTGGTGGACGAGCTTGACAGCAATCCATTATACAAATATGGTGCATTCAACTGGAGCGGCCACGTGCGACGGCTTTCACCATTAGACAAAACCTACAAGACCTCGATTGACTTCCTCCAAGCACGGGGAATGGTCGACCAGGCTGTCTTGATGATTCTCGATCTTGGAACTTGTAGCGAAACAAAACAAATACAAATATCTCAAGATATGAGTACTTTACATCTAGCAGCGCTTTTCGGGCTCGTTAATCTGGCAGAGTCACTGATGAAGAATCTTGACATCAATTCAATGGACAGCTTTGGCCGGACTGCACTCGTTTGGGCACTGGAGTGTTTGGCTTGCGAATTTGAGCCCATACCGCGCTACAGGGATCCAGACACACCAAATTTTGACATATATGACGGCATTCACATTGATCGTCGTCATATTATTGAGGCTTTATTGACGTCAGGTGCGGATCCACACATGCCCGGATGTGATGGGGACACTGCTCTACACTTGGCCGCCATCGTAGGAGATGTCAAGATCGTCCAAAACCTTCTCGACTGTGGAGTAGACATTCACGCATCAAATTTACATGGCGATATCCCTCTTGTTTTAGCGGTGCGGTATGGCAAGGAGTCGACTTACATGAAGCTCCTGGAGCGTGGTGCGGTCGACATCTGTGGAAAGAATAGTCGCACAGCTCTGATTGAAGCTGCTTCCGTTGGAGACTTGGCTCTGGTGAAGACACTTCTTGGGAAAGTTGCTAAGGTGGACATTTCGGATATAACTGGCCAGACTGCGTTGATGGAAGCCAGCAAACGGGGCCACACTCAAATCGTTGAGCTCCTCCTCGAAAATCAGTCTAACGTGGATCACCAAGATCACAAGGGTGACACCGCTCTCATGAAAGCATGCGTTTATGACCAAGCTGACGTTATTAAGCTGCTACTTGCAGCCAACGCCCACCTTGGGATTGAGAACGCCGAAGGGGAAACTGCTCTTACCAATGCTGTTTGGCGTTGTGAAGAGGGCAATATCAAGCGACTTCTCCGCCACAGCATGAATCCTGCCATTCGAGATCAACATGTCGACACTGTTCTTATTTCCGCATTCCGTTACAGGCGTCCAGACATTGTCTCTTTGATACTAGAAGACGCTGAACTCAGGCCAGCTTCGAATCAAATCGATCGTGTGTTATCAGAGTCGTGTTCGCGGGGATGGGAGAAAGTTGTAAGACTCTTGCTTACTCGTGGAGCAAACCTCAATACCAAATTTATAAAATTAATGACACCAATATCACTTTTGACGCATGCTATCTACGAGGCTGGCGATGCTGTCGTTCTGTTGTTGCTGGAAGCTGGTATTGACATTGAAACCGAAGACTACAATGGCGAAGCATCCATTCACGTAGCCGCAACGGTAGGCACAAAAACTATGGTTCTGGGCCTACTTGAAAAGGGTGTTTCTGTCAACCGTCGTTCCCGTGCAGGACAATTGCCTTTGGACTACGCAATGAAGCGTCGAGACAAAGACATTTCTATTGCTGACTTACTTCGAAAACATGGTGGAATCACTGAGGCACAGCGACTAGTTCGCTTGATGCGAGATAAAAGACAGTAGATTGGTTAAGTTTGTTTTTGAGATTTATATACTATTTATTATTTGCATTGGCTTGATGTAATCAGGGTAAATGGTCTCTTAATAATAAGCAGTTCTTATACTGGCGTTGGTCGATGTACACATTGCACCGTCATCCTTTTCTTGTCGGCATGCGGAGAGGCCAATTATACTTCCTCTTCCACGAGAGCTTTCAAAAGCCATTGGAGTCATCGGCGTAGCGCAAGTTGGCTCATGACAATGCTTGCATCTTTTCAACCCTCTATACAACACGCAAACTGCTCTTATTCTGAGCTGCCAACGTGTCAAAGTTGGGCCACAAAGCCTGGCGTATAACACTTAGTTCAACCTTGCCTTCTCTACACGTATTTGCGCGATCCAAACCAGTACACCAAGGGTGGTACGACAATCTCAGTGATCGTAGCTCGTTGCAGCCACGGAAATCCCCAGCCAAAGACCCCAGCTGAGATAGCTCTCCCGATACCGCCGAATGCCAGACCAGCCAAGAGAATATTCAACGCCAACTGTCTTTCGTTGATATCGTAAGACGTCCAGCATAGCGCAGCACCGTAGGCAACGTATGCTCCACCAAGAAAACGGATCTGTGAGTCCATGAGGGAGACGGTTGATGGAGGGAGTTTTGCGCGCTCAGTTTGGGTGAGATATTCTGTTATCCCGCGGACGACATGTGACGCGCCATTATAAATGATCCAGGCGGAGAAGCCTTTGAGGAGGAGGGGAGTGTATTCCGTGGGTATGAATTGAGACATTCTGCTGGGAGGTTTGGTGGAGATTGGAGAATATCTAGAAGTGCAATTGAATTGGTGAATTTGGTGTCGCTCTGCATATAGAATGGCTCAAAAGAGCTACTTATAGTCCTGTAATACGATCCCAACGCGCGCTTGATCTTAAACAAATGGCATGTTCTTGCTCGAAACGGGATAATATCTTGCCGCTGACCTATCAGCGCTCTAAGCGAAGAGGAAAAGTCGCCGGGCCGGGATGATTCTCTCGTCAGCGTTGCTGACAAAGAAGTCAGCTCCCATGGCGTGAGTACAAATAATACATTTATCGTCGGAAAAAGAAAGGGCTCTAAGGGCTGAGAGCGGACATAAGAGGGCTATGTCCGCAGTTGTTCAATCTGGGACGGAGATATGCACAACACTAACAGTCGATCGCGACGCGATAAAGGGATCATGATATTTAACAGCCACTCAACGCAAGGCATGCTTCGAGATGTTTTAGAATAGTCCTATCGCGTTGTCTTTTGCCTCGTTGTCGCTAAGTATCTCAGGATGAAAAATGCCTTGTGAATTGTATTCATCTTTCCATCGCAACGCATTCCCATGACCCCCCACAAGCGCAGCGCTCGACTACACGATACAGCACGTATTTACAAAATTTGCAGGCCCTTCCCTCGCTTCTTCAGTTGTGAGTCCTGGAGTGTTCAATTATGAGGTCATCGTGACGAGAAATGGACCCTTATAAACGAGAGCTCCTTCCTCGTCTAATTTATGGAGCAGTGACGATGCCCTTCACCTTATGATATCATCTCGACAGTCAACCTTCTTCTTAAACCAAACCTTACAACTTCAAACTCCCATTCTCATCTCCACCAAAACACCAAAGACTCACCGCAATCCACCACAGCCTCATCAAACTCCAACCCTTCAAAAGCAATCATCTTCAAAATGGCAGACCTTCCCACCAAAGACGACATCAAGGCCCAGGCCGTCGATGGCCGTCCCATCACTCAAACTGAAGCATCGGCCATCGCCTCCGAAGAGTCAGCCCTCACTGGCAGCGGCCCCATCAAAGGCGGCGCCGCGGCAACCGCTCAGAGTCTGCATGACAAGCAGCAGAACTTCCTCGAGAAGGCGGGTGAAGTTGTCCGAAAGGCGCCTACCGAGGTGACCAAGGAGGATGCTGCTGAGGTGCAGCGTGCTGAGGTAAGATACCGCGATGGTTTGGGTCATGACGGTTTACTGACTGCTATAGGCTCGTGCAAAGGGCGGCCCTCCTGGAAAGGGTTCGACTGCTGCTGATGTGCAGTCTGTTGCGGACACGAATACCCAAGCTTAGAGCCACATTTTTCTCTTCCAGGTTGGTGGCAAGGATGAGCCAGTGGTCTTGATTGTTTCATAAGGGTCCTAAGAAGGAATTCGCGGGGAAAACATGATTTGGCATGTAGAGTCGCAGGAAGAGGCTGGAGACGATGGCAGGGCCAGAAATAAAGTTATCATCATTAACATTCAAATTATTATAACCGGATGCCAATTACTTGTGTGTTGTTAGGTATTTGTGTCTTAGATGCATGGCCTGCGAAAACTCGATTCAACCTCAAATGTTGGCCAAAAGACCCTCGGCTCAAATGTCACTTCATTGCTTTGATATGAGTCTGCCTTATTACGTGACAGGGCCACTTACTCACGGCTGAGTCTGGCCCATATCTATTTCTGATATGGAGCTCAAAGGTTTGCAGGTTCTTTCAAGTATAGATAACCTATGGTTCCATCCGGAGCAATGTTATCGAGCAGAGCTCACCGAGACTTGCTTTTCCTTTTCTTTTTCAGCTTTGACCTACCCACCTCCCAGATCAGGCAATTTTTCCGTGCAACTAACTTCGAAGCTTGGCCTACTGATTCTTCTCATGCAACGCTCTGTTGGTTGTTATGCTGTTGGTCGTGTTCTGTCCCACTTCTACATGCAACTAGGCAAATCAGGAAGCGCTTTGACAGTTCAGACAGGCAGCCGAGATCAGATCATCGTTCTGACAGATAATTCAAATGGTAATTTAAACTCGAAATTCAACTTATTTATAAGCCTGTCGCCAGTCTGGGTTCTCTTCGTCGCCGTTCCTACTCATGGGAGAGGTTTGAAGATATGTTGGTCGACCCTCGTTAGCGGAACCAACCCTGGATCACGAGTGCACAACCCAAGCATGATCATCTGCAGCTTGGCCCGCAACTAGGCTTCATATGGACTGCTACTGCATAAGGGCTGGGTATGCAGTCCTGATTAATTTGGTTATCTGTGGCGGGGTTGGCTCGGATACCCGGATGATCGAATACATATATCGATAGCATCCACTCCTTATTCAGAAATGACCAATTCCCCTCTCAAATGTATATACCTTGCAAAATCCGAGCGTATGATCATAACTTAAGCCAAGCCCATAGAGTAGGATTCAATATCGGAAGTCTTGCTAATCATTCCCTCGTACGATGTCTTTCCTCGTGAAACTCGGTCTAATATTCTCTTTATTCGCCAGCTGGTCATCATGCTTCACCAAGTTTCTACGTCCCCCGGAGCAGGACTCAGATGAAGCAGTTGACCAAGACATGACAAAGAACAACCAATATGAGGACGGAGAAATGATCCCGATTCTATGGAACACCAACATTAAAAAGGTCGACCTCTATATTTGGCAATTCATTGACGCTAAAACGAACACAACCGCTCGTATGGAAGGTAGTAGGACTCCGTCCCTCCTGTTTATTATTTTGCTGATTGATCCGCCTAGACAATGGTACATCTCCTTCTACCAGCTGGAAAGCTCAGTATGATATCTCCAACGCGACGGAAAATAACGAGGATTGCATTTATTGGTTTTCATTAATGGACAGCAAATATGGCGGGACACTAGCGAAGTCTCAATACGTAAACGTCAGCGCGCCGAAAGCCGAGGCGACCACGACGGATTCGTCCGCGAGCAGAGATACAAGTTCTGCACTTGAGCATAGTTCAAATTCAGGATTGTCCCGCGGTGAAGTTGCCGGTATAGCAGTCGGCGCCACAATTGGAGGTCTACTGATTCTTGGGGTTATTGGATGGATGGTTTGGAGAAGACGGACGAGAAGGAAAAATGATGCGGTAGCAGCAGAGCTTCCTGGAAATTATGAGCAGTGCCAGCCTCACTCTGAGAGACCGAAGAGTGAGCTACCTGCTGAACCTGTGATTTTTCCCCCAGAGCGTCCGAGGAGCCCTCCTAGAATCTATGAAGCACCATGATTGGGAAGAGCAAAGCTTAACATGATGATACATTATAGTCAATACATTCTTACTAGCTGAACTTCTTATCTTGTAATTCCAATCCACTCGTCCTACAATTTTCATTCTGGTCGTTCATTGCCATTTCTAAATCATAGGACACTTTAACCAATAAACACGTATCGTTTGTTATTTAGACCACCCTGAAAGTTACCATGTTTACTTAAGATCCTTACCAGTGACCGTAGACACATTCCAGTCAAGTAAAGCATCACTGCCCAACACCCCCTCAATAAGAGTCTCACTCAGGTTCCACAAGCTGTTTGCCAGCTCAGGGTTTGAAGCCTGACTCGTTTCCTTGCCCTCCTGATCAGGGTCAGAAAAGTAATACCCATTTAGATCCTCTTCTTCGATCTTGGGTGAAGTCAGCGCCCAGAGTGCACTGTAAGATCCTTGCTCGACGTCCCGTCCGATGGCCAGCATAGCCCAGGACAGAAGTTTTCCTGTCAGGCCGGGGTAGGCGTCTTTCCACTGCTGCTGCATCGAGGTATTGACCTGTCTTTTTGTCAGTATCGTGCTCCAATTGGGGACTGAGTGAACTTACTGCTCCGGGATGCACAGAAAGGGCATATATCCTATCCTTGTTTCCCTGAATAACCTTTCCAGCTAATCCATACTTTGCAAACAAGATCATCGCAAGTTTGGTCCTGTTGTATCGAGCTGTGGAATCAAGGTTTGGATCGTTGATCTCATCTTTACTCCTGAATTGGATGTTTGACAGCTGTGCGAGGCGATGCATCTCACTCGCCTCAAACACAACTCTCGGCGGCGGCGTGTTCTCCATCTTTCCCGTCTTTCTCAACAGCGGCCAAAGCTGATTGCACACGTAAAAATGTCCCAGAAAGTTTACACCGAAGTGTCGTTCAATCCCATCAGCGTCCAACCCGAATTGATTCGTGTTGATGCCCGCAGAAAGAACCAAAAAGTCAAGTCTATCAAGAGATTCGCGAAGACCACCAAAGACTTCGCGTATCTGAGCGAGGTTTCCCATGTCGCATTCTTTCCAGTCAACTTGAGCGTCAGAATTTTCATTTTGGATGGTGGAAATGGCTTCTTGGCCCTGTTCTTCTTTACGGTTGATCATTATGACCTTGCAGCCGGCGTGGGCGAGGGCGCGAGATACTTCATAGCCGATTCCGAGGGCGCCGCCTGTTACTATTGCGACGCGGCCTTCGAGATGTTCGGGTTTGACGACTTGAGGACCAATGCCTGTTGTTTTCTGAAGGATGGATTGCATTTTTGTGGTACTGGTGGATGTGAACTTGGTTGAAAGAGGAAGGATTCGACTTGAGAAGTTGTGAAATTTATAATTATGAAGTTTGGATGTATGGTATGGAAATGCGGTCTTGTCCTATATATCGCCCTGTAAGTCGTGGTTGAAGCCATTCATGTATCATTGTGACGTTGACGAAGCGTTATCGACAGGGTAGTTAGGGGTTATGAATGACATCATTATTTCTTCTTCATCGCATTTTTATGTTACATCTTGCGCAAATCGATATCATCAAACTGACATAATACTAACTAAAGAATTATGTTATTGTCAAAGCTCTATTTGGAGTAACAGCGCAAGGGTTGTCAACGGTCTGACTGTCTTTTCGGATAAGGTCACCCCAATTTAATGTGATCCACAAACGGCGGAAATGTTAAGATGACGGTAGAGAAGAAATATTTTTCCAGATATCGACCCTATAACGTTCAAATTATCCAACTAATATCACAACCAGCCATTTAGGTACTCCCGCGCCCATGCATCTCTCGATTCCGTCGTCGTCGGTGATTTTTCGCGTTTAAAGTTCACGGTCCAGGGTAACGTCTAACCGAAAGCATATTTTCAGCTGAACACCATCACGTAGCATCGTGAGAAATTGAGTTCACGAGTAGCGGAAATTGGCAGGAAATTAAACATAAACATTTTCGGACCAACCTAACCACAATCTACCAACCTCACCAGGCAGCAGTACTCCACTGATCAACCGCCCGAGCATGTGCTAAAAAGTCTAAAACTTCAGCTGCAAATGGTGATCTACACTGATTCTGCAAATCTTTATAGCATAAACCCGCTGTATTTCCAAGCCTGTAGATCTGTACACGTGGTTGGCAGTCATTGCTGAGACCAGATGTCATGGCTGTGTACTCCGTATTCTGAGTGGCATTGGGGGTGATTTGGGGGTTATTGTCTGTCGGCCGACACAACGTTACAACCTTGATAGAAATGAAAAAAAATCCTAAGGCTGAAGCGAAAACACCGACGGAGCCTCGGGCCGGGTTGAAAGTTGAAGAGCGCCAAGTCCCCGAGATGATTCAACTTCCGTAACGGGGTTAGCTATCTAAACGCGATAATGAACTGAGTCACTCACTGTCTTCAAAAACGGGTCATCGCTCTCAGGGTCCTTGCTCCAGCGACAGGTGTCAAACCGTCACGAGCTTCTCCCCGTCTTCGTGCGGATATTACAACGTCAGTGGCTAACTCTCATAACCAAGCGCTCTCTTCTCCACGATATCACAAAAGCCTCAAATTTTAAAATTACCCATCAGCCCAGCGCGTAAACCTGCATATGCGTTCGGGTTCAATTGCTCTCCGTCGGGGACCGGCAACTTCTGTATTCAATCTAGACCAGGGGTATTCTCACCCAATCCCTGTACCAAATCGCGCGACAAAAGGGCCTTCTTGCCTTAGCGCTTATTCCTGACAGAATAATTGTTAAGAACACAGTGGCAGATTAGGTGGAGAGACTAACGGGTGTTTTTGTAGGGGGGCTAAGCGATAACAGCCTGTTCTGAGATCTAGACCCAGCTACTTGGGCGAAAGAGGAAATCACCGGACTTAAGCAGGGGGAGAGATGAAGTGCTGTTGGTTGGTTTAGAGATGTGACAAATTGTGAGGAAGCGAGACGACGAGATTGACAGAGTTGTTTCTGAGAAGAGTGACAATGGAGGCTATGAGTTGATGGAAGAATAGTCAGTCGCCAATCTATAGCAGTGTGAAATGTCATTCTGTCAATCGGAAACAGTGATAGCTCTGAGGATCATATCGTCCGGGGTCTAACGCAAGGGTCAGCAGCCTTACAGCAAAAAAAGAGCACCGTGTTCCTGCACTAGCCAGGGGTAGCGTAGCTCGACCCTCACCCATCCACAACCGAGTCAACGTGCCTCATCCCAAATTCTACGCCGTCCACATGCCAGTCCAGGCCACTAACGATGAACTACGCCTCTTTTTTCAATAATGGCGCCTCCATTGTTAAAAACATGACGCTTAGCCTCTCTCTCTCTCTCCCTTTTCCCCCTTCAACCCCCATCAGTCACTCTTTTTTCTGAACACTCTTGACCGTTTGAGTCAAGAAGTACTAACTACTGCCCACGATGGCTAATTCACTCTTTACTTTTTTCCTTCTCACACTCCTTTCCTTCTTTGTTTCCGCCCAAGACGATGTTAACCCCGGCGACGTGAACCCCGTTCCCCCCGTCGGCGAGATCAAGACCGAAGACCCCATCTCCAGTCCTCTCACCGAAGGATGTCCTCAGCCGTGCAGCATCGCGGGCAACGACCCTGCCAACTGGACGCAGCTTCACAGCCTGGAGGAACTCGCGGGGTGTTCTATGCCTATGCTGTTTGCGCTCAATGTTGAGAACGATTATAGCGAGAGCGCGACGCTGTATACCTGCGTTACCGAGACGAGCTCTACACAGACTAAGAGGGATGAGGGTACAAAGGTCCAGGCTAGAGCAGCGGAGAGCTCTGTTTCGCTGGCTAGTAACTGCGGTGCTGAGAAGGCTACCGTGAAGACTACCTCGGCTTTTGGAGGGGCTGTTCTTCGATCTGGTAATAATGTCGCTGCTGCCGCTGGTCTCTTGGCCGAGTATCTTGATAACGGGGCTACGTGCGGTACTACCATTATCTTCGCCAAGTCTGGTTCTTCTATTGCTGGTGTTTACGTCGGCAGTGAGGTCCAAAAGGACAGTGCTTCTAAAACTCTTCGCCAATCTGCTACTCGTCTTCAGAAGGGCGTTCAGGCTTTCCAGGTCTGCAATGCTAATGAGAAGACTACCCAGACTATCGGTCTTTACGCAGCTGATAACGTGAACGGTCTCGAAGCTGTGCAGAACGCTGTGAGGACTTGGTCCCACGGTCAGTGTGTCAGCATCGCTCAACCTTCCAAGGAGTCTATCAGCCTCGGCGTTCTGACTACCACCACCGTCAAGGCCCGCGATGTTGAGCTCCGCTCTCGCTTCGTTGGCGTTGAGTCCCTTCTCGCCCCCCGAGCTGACTGCACAGCTATCCAAGTTGTCTCCGGCGATTCTTGCGCCTCGCTCGCCAAGAAGTGCAAGGTCACTACCGCCAACTTCAACAAGTACAACCCCGCCAAGAACTTCTGCTCTACCCTTGCTCCTAAGCAGTGGGTTTGCTGTTCTGCTGGTACTCTCCCTGACAAGACGCCCCAGCCTAGCAAGGATGGTACATGTTTCATTTACAAGATCAAGTCTGGCGACGGCTGCTACTCTCTCGGTCAGAACTTTGGTATTACTCAGAAGTTCATTGAGGATGTCAATAAGAACACCTGGGGCTTTGCAGGCTGCAACCGTCTTCAGCTCGGCCAGCCTATCTGTCTCAGCAAGGGAAAGAACCCTATGCCTTTGGCCATCGCCGGTGCTGTCTGCGGTCCTCAAAAGCCTGGATCTAGCAAGCCCTCTAGTGCCAAGACCGGATGGGATCTCGCCAACATGAACCCCTGCCCTCTCAACGCCTGCTGCTCTGGCTATGGTTTCTGCGGCATCACCTCTGAGTTCTGTACTAACACTACTGCCAAGGGTGGTGCACCTGGTACCAGCCAGCCCAACACTCCCGGCTGTATCGGAAACTGCGGTACCAAGATCGTAGGCAACACCAAGAAGCCTGCCAAGTTCCTCAACGTGGGTTACTTCCAGGGCTACAACCTCGGCCGACCCTGCTTGAACATGGACGTCACCAAGCTCACCGCGGTCACCACTCCTTACACCCACATTCACTTTGCCTTTGCCGGTCTCAAGTCTGATTTCTCCGTCCTTCTCCAACCCGATGTTCGTGCGCAGTTCCTCAAGTTCAAGGAGGTCAAGGGCAGCTTCAAGAAGATCATCTCGTTCGGTGGCTGGGCTGGCTCAACTGATGCGTCAACATACCAGCTGTACCGCGATGCCATCAAGCCTGCGAACCGTGACAAGTTTGCTTACAACATTATGACTGTTCTGAACAACCATAAGCTTGATGGTGTTGACTTCGACTGGGAGTATCCTGGTTCTGCTGGCTCTGACGGTTCTTCTACCGATACTGCCAACTACGTTGCGTTCCTCCAGGTTATGAGGAACAAGATTGGAAAGAGCGGCAAGACTATTTCTGTTGCTCTTCCTGCCGCGTATTGGTATCTGAAGCCTTTCCCTGTCACCAAGATTGCGCCTCTTGTTGATTACATGGTCTACATGACCTACGATCTCCACGGCCAATGGGGTATGTATCCACCCCTGACTCTCAGTAATAATCCATACTAACGTCTTATAGATTATGGCAACAAGTTCATCAGCTCTGGCTGCCCCAACGGCAACTGTCTCCGCTCCCACGTCAACAAGACCGAGACTCTCGACTCCCTCGCCATGATCACCAAAGCCGGCGTCGACCCCGCCAAGATCGTCATCGGCATCTCTAGTTACGGCCGCAGCTTCCGCATGAAGGACCCCAAGTGCACCGGCCCAACATGCCAATTCACCGGCAGCTTCAGCGTCTCCGAAGCCGAGCCTGGTGTCTGCACCGGCGAGGCCGGATATCTCTCCGACGCGGAGATTCGCCTCATCGCGTACGATGCTAAGCAGGGCAAGAAGGGCGTTACCGCGAAGACGTGGTATGATAAGGACTCGGACTCGGATATCATGACGTTTGGAACCAAGGGTAAGGGTATGACTGATTGGGTTGCGTATATGGGACCTACGACGAAGCAGAAGCGTACGGATTGGGCTAAGAGCTTGAATTTTGGTGGTGTTGTTGATTGGGCTATTGATCTGGAGACTTGGTTCTCTCCTAAGCCTTAGATAGTTGTCCTCTAATGTGTCCGCTACCACGGATTATATATATTAATAGCTCATGAACATGATGAACTAAGACTGTGGTGCCCTTGCGTCTTCCTCGTATTGTTTCCATCGATATTCTCTCTCAATTCCTTTTCGCCGTTGCGCCGTATCACAGAGCTTTTCATTCCCGCATTCACACTCTGCGCCCTCACGAAGCCAGCGATATGTAAGACTCCATCGAATCTGCCGTAGTCGTACAGTTCCATCAGGTAGAGTATCTGTCTTGCGAGATTTAATCCCGTGCGTCCAGTGTAATCGCGAATCACCGCTCATCTGCATCATACTCCTCGGCAGCAAGTCGACCTCAATCTTCTCGCCTGTTTCTTTGTTCGCAAATTGCATGAAAAGTGGCGAACCCAGAGATAGTGAGTAGAGTTGATCAAAGGGCCCGTGGGTGTCAACGTGAGGCGGTATTCCTGTTCCTGGGGCGTATTGCTGAAGACAGACTTGATCTGGTGGACGGCCTTCCGTTGTTGGAAGTAAAGGAACTAGCCAGTCTGGAAAAGGCTTGAAAGGCGTTTCTTCATCGATGCCGAATGTTTTGTAGCTGAATGTGTAGCCGTAGTGAAGTGATAGTCGTCCTCCTCGGGATGGCCATTCTAGCTCATTCTCGAAAATGTGAATGAGTTTTTGTTCATGCTCTGGTGTGATGAAGTCATGCTGCATGAATATCCCCGAAGGTCTAATTGGTAGTTCTTCCATTCTGAGTACTATAATTTAGCGTCTTCCATAATTGAGTTGTGATGAGTGAGATGATGCAAGGTCTGGTTCTCGTACGAGATGAGTCCACGCGACATTCTGAGTTTTCATATCACGTGATGCCTTCATGTGAACTCTCATAGACAAACATAGAAAATACGCGAACCATCATAAGCGATAAACTCAAGATTCTGGATATATCCTCCTTAAGTATCTCATGAATCCTCCATTGATTTGCTCTCGTTAAATCGTTGCACCGACTCCCGGGCCTTGATAATAAGCTCCCCGCAAGTGTTGAACGACTGCTCGAACGACCTCCTTGGGTCTTCGTGCTTCAACCGACCGCTAACTTCACCATGTGCAATATGAAGTCGTTGTTGATCTTTATCAATAGAGTCGTGAAGATCATGCTCGGTAAGAGTTATATTATTCGCAGCCAGGATCGTCATGGCCGCTTGCGTCGCTTGGCTACAGCTCCTTGACATTGTCAGTTGTAGAACGGTATAGTGAGTGTATAGCTCGTCTTACCAGCGAAATGCCATGTCGCGGCTGGACACCTTGCTGACTATGTCCAAGCACTTCCGTGCAGCTGTGACTAAACCAGGGCAGTTCGATGGCAGCAATGGAGTATCTGAATCAGTTGACCAGCGAGCTTAACCGAATTTTAGTAACCGCCACACCCACTTTCGATTGCATAGAGTCGCCTGCCGAACAGAAAAGATACAGTGATAGTACGTCACATGTAGTTGTTTGATGAGCCTCAGCTGTTTTTGGCCGAAACCTGGGAGTGTATCTCCCCTGAATGGCACAGGGATGGACTCAACCCATTTCTCCAGCATCTCGTCCAAACGATCCGCCACGGTTTCTCGCTGATCGAAAGAGAGTTGCGAAGCGCGAACTGAGTACACCAAGTCGAAGATCTTGCCTTGGATAGTCGCTAGTTCAGCACGGAACTGGAGTATCTTAAAGTGCAGGGACTTGTCTTCGTTGTGTAAAATACCCCCATGATCGTAGGAAATCTCTGTGACTGAAGAACCAATATCATGCTCTTGCATCAAGTATGGCTGTCTTGTGAGAAGTGAAAGCTCTCGGTCCATGATGTACGCTATCCAGACAAAGCGGACAGAAGACAATTTAGCGAAGTCCCCGTACCACTTATGCAACCCTAGGCCATAGACCACCTTGACAGCTTTGGCGTGCACAAGTCCGGCCCGTTCTAGATCCGGTGTCGTCATCAAGTACAAGGCTGTCCCCAAAAGAACCTGGAGTCCTACTTCATCTGCCGGCCCATATTCATGCATATTATCCACGTATCTGCTGGTCCTATCGATGAATCACTTGTCATCTCCTTGGTAGTCGTTTTTGGGATCGTTTCTTAGGGATAATGCCAGCATAACATAGATGGCGCACAGCTCACTTGAGTCAGTATCCGGTTCTCTACACTCTTTTTCAAAGTGCTCATAGTCACGTTGACTGAATAGTGGCGTGGCTGGGTTGACACCATCGAAGTAGGCATCGATAATAATGTCCTGGTCCAACTGGTGATAGTCTAGCGGTAGATTAGAGACTGACGGTGGACAATCATGCTTTAGATATCTGGCCGATCTGGCCGATCTGGAGAGCTCATGACCTTTGTTGCCTTCCGGGTATTTCGGATCTTCGTCCTCCATGTCGGGAGTGCCGGGATCATACGGTTCATATCCCTCCTCTGGGTATATTGGAGTCACAGTGCTGAAACTGAATGGTTCATCTTCGGTGCAGTCCATCTCTACATCATCCTCTTGAAAGAGGCGCACTCTCTGTTGCCTCTCGAAGTCCTTAAGTTCAGTGATAACCTTTTCGAGTGGAAGTCGTTCGGAGCTGCCTTCAGCTGTCTCGACGCGCCCATCGACTCGTGAAGACTCAGCCTCATTGGGATCTCTACTTGCACTGATAAGCATCACTTGGCTATCAAACTGATCAAACATACGGTTCCGGTGAATCCTCGACTCGAGTGATTTGCATAGTCCAAGTGCACTCTGAACCGCCCAGCCCGCAGCTGGGGCATGTTGGTTGTTTTTCATCGCAGTGAGAGTTTCTATGATGGCACGGGTCGCATGTCTCGTGAGAAGTCAGCACCGGCGTGCAACTTTGTGGTCAGTACTAACCTTTGATCTAACAACATTGTAACGTCTTTGATCCATTTTGGATTACAGAGGGTGGAGAAGGGATTGAGACTGTGATGAATGCTTTGTTATTGGCATGAGAATTAGATGAGATGGGAGATGAGATAAGGGCCATATTTTGTTGCCCCTCGCGTCATGCATGTCCCGCGTTGCTGAGGTGCTAGGCCAAAAGCGGTCAAGGCGCACGCGCAGGGTAGGGAGCCGTATTAAAATTGAATGTCAAGGAAGACTGTGAATAAAAGGCATTGTCGGTCGGATTATACTCCGATATAGACTCGCCACAACTAGTATTTCCTACCGCGTGGGTCTTGGAAATTCGGTTTCGCGATACATAGTAAAGTTCATGCGCATTGGTCTTCCTCTACTCGGTCGTGCAGTGTGTTCATATCATTGGCCAGCACAGTTTTATGGCTACCTGAAAGCTGACCATGCGCCTCTCATCTCACTCACTGCCGATGCCCAAAGCCAACTGAGTGATGATGCCTCTTCATCTCAAGATTCTTAAGCTGGACAACGCACGTCTCCATACAACTCCGTCAAGCTCTGATCAGCAAGTGAAAGATCTGAGACATTCTGGTCGACATAATGGCTGATACTGACGACGCCATCGAAAATGCGAAGAGAGCGATCAGCGACAATCCATTAGACCCCGAATGTTTAAAACTCCTTGCCGACCTTCTCAATGAAAGGTACGTCGACACTGGCATGCTTGTCGACCTGGATGCGTCAATTCTCGTAACGAAGCAAGCTATCGATACTATAACGGATGGCGACGCCGAACTGGCCAGTTGCTTCAACAGCCTCAGTTACCGGCTTCAAGATAGATTCATGATGACAGAAGATAACGGAGACCTTGAAGAGGCTATACGATTGTCACGAAAAGCAGTAGAATTGACGGCGTCAGACAACGCTAGATACCTGAGTAATCTTGCTGCATCGTTAAAGACCAGGTTCTCTGTCACTGGGGACCTAAAAGACATGGAAGGTGGCATCGCCCTGGCAAAACAAGCCGTTTCTGTAACGGCAAGCGATGATCCAGAGCTACCTAAATGGTTGAATAACCTTGGAAACCATCTCAGTAACAGGCACTTGGTTACAGGTTCCCTTGAAGACCTAGAAGAGGCAATCGCCTTGAGTAGATGCGCAGTCGCTTCATCATCAGACGCAACAATACGAGCTCTCTTTTTGAACAACCTATCGGCAAAAATAGATCTCAAAGCAGAAGCCAGTGGTCAGTTGAACACATACGATGAAGCGATCGAATGGGCAAAGGAGGCCATCTCCCTGACGCCAGACGACCATAACGATCAGGCAAAGTGGCTAGGCAATCTCGCAACTCATCTGTTGGAGAGATTCGACAGGTCGTGGGATCTGAACGACTTGCAAGAAGCCATAAATACTGCAAGCAAGGCTGCGGACCTGACATCCAACGGGCCTACGAAAGCTTTGTATCTCGACGCGGTCGCGGATGGCTTGAATAGAAAATATGATAAGATGGGTCGGTTGGCAGATCTCGAGGAAGGTATTCGCATGACTGAGATGGCTCTTGAAATGCTACCGCGCCATCATTCAAAACGTCCACAAATTCTTTCTACGCTTTCGGATCTTTTTAGCAATAGATACCTGAGAAAGGAGATGACAAAAGACCTCGACAGAGCGATAGAGCTTTCCAGAGAGGCTGCAGATGCAAAGTCTGATAATCACCCCTACAAGGCGATATATCTCGACAGACTCGCAATGCAACTGAATCTCAGATCGTCAATATCTCGAACAGACCCTCATCTCTGGAAGGATCTGGAGGAGTCGATCCAGCTAGAGAGAAGAGCGATTGCCATTACGGTGGACAACCGCCCAACCTGGTCCTTTAAGAATAACCTACAGGCTATGCTTGTTATAAAGTATGGCATGACAACAGACCAAACAATACTCGATGAGTGTACCCAGCTACAAAAAGAAGCGCTTGATGAAGTACCCAAAGACCATCAGTACCACGCAGAGATGCTCACCAGCCTGGGCTATCGCCTCAGAGACAGCGCAAAGAACGACCCAGACCTCGAAAAAGCTTCTGAGTGTTTTCTCGAGGCGCTACAAAACACAAATGCTCCTCCGATAAGCCGTGTGAGAGCTGGCTCAGCTCTTCTACAGTGCTGCCCCGATAAACAGAAAGCCTACCGTGCCGCACAAGTCATCATAGGTCTTCTACCTCAGTTGATCACTAGATCACATGAGACATCGGACAAACAACATGCTGCAGGCTCGAGAGCTGGTATGGCGTGCAGTGCAGCAGCTGCGGCTTTGCAAGCGGACAGGCCGGTCTTCGAGGCGTTGCAAGTACTTGAGCTTGGGCGCGGCGTGCTCGCCAAGTATAGTGAGGAGATGCTGCTGGGTCCTTTACAGATGGGACAACTACCCGCTGAACAAGCCAAGGTATACAAGCACCTTCGCGATGAGTTGAAGGGGTCGGCCACTCCTGTCTTACCGGAGATGGGCAGTTCGTTTCAGAAGCATGTTTCAGGACTCAACGAGCGTTATGATCTAGCAAAAGAGTTGGAGGACTTGATTGGTGAGATCCGAAAATTGCCTGGTTTCGAAGACCTCTGGACTGCCCCAACAGAAGCAGAAACATTGGAGGCTGCCAAATATGGCCCCATTGTCGTCATCAATGTTAGTCGTGCTCGATGTGATGCACTACTCATCGAGAAACATCAGATGCGATCTTTGGCCCTTCCCAATATTACAAATGACCTCTATCAATTTGCTCGTGCGGGCGACTTTGGTAGCTCAAAGGTCCTAGAATGGATGTGGGATAATATCACTAAGCCAGTATTGGATACTCTTGGTTACTCTCGGCCCCCTAAAGAGGGCACATGGCCTCGTGTATGGTGGATACCTACGGCCCTATTGACTCTTTTCCCACTACATGCCGCAGGATATCACCGAAAAGAGTCATCTGAGACTGTCCTTGATAGAGTAGTCTCTTCCTACTCTTCTTCTATCAGGGCAATCATACGTGGTCGTCAGAAAGAACTTTCATCATCGTTCTCTAGCAAGGCTGTGCCGCGTGCTTTGCTTGTAGGAATGCAGCATACTCCAGAAAGCGGATCCTTACCCTACGCGAACAAGGAGATAGACATTGTACAGAAGCTATGCGAATCAGCCGGTTTGGAGACTGTTCGGCCGAGACCACGGAAAGAGGACGTCTTCGAGCAGCTACTAGACTGTAAGATATTCCACTTCGCAGGTCATGGCTACACAGACGAAAACGACCCCTCCAACAGTCATCTACGTTTAGAGGACTGGCAAGAAGATCCATTTCGCGTGGCTGACTTACAGCAAATGAATCTTCGCGAGCACGCACCGTTTCTCGCATATCTTTCTGCTTGTGGCACCGGACAGATGAAGCGATATAACCTGGTCGACGAAAGTATCCATTTGATCAGCGCATACCAACTAGCTGGTTTTCGCCATGTCATCGGTACGCTGTGGAAGGTTAGTGATCAGTGCTGCGTTGATATAGCTAGGACCACGTATGAGACCATGAGGGACTTGGGGCTGAGTGATGAGAGTGTTAGTTGGGGGGTGCACCAGGCGAGTAGGGAGTTGAGAGACAAATGGATCAAGACGCAGAAACAGGGGAGCGTTTCCTCGACAAGCCGAGATTCAGGGTCAACAAATGATAGCACTGATGGCGTTAGGGGCAAGGAGAATTGTGAAGATGAGAATGAGAGGGACATTGTGAGTGTAGAGGAGGAGCCTGAAGTTGGTGAACAGCTACAGTGGGCCCCTTATGTTCATTTCGGTGTATGAATATAACGATGCCACTCCCAGACAATTGCAGCTCTTCCTCTAGGGCATAAAGCAAGATGATAAGCACTGCCTCTTTCAGGCTCCGTGAAGCGGTACTCATTGGCTCTAGGTTGAAAGCAAGGCTTGTAGTGCTGATCTTCGTTACCCCGCCCCCGGGATATAACAAGACTTCTGACATTAAATCAAGGTGCTAAAAATACTTAGTCTAAGATCTTCTAAGTCTATACTAAATTATGCCAAAATTTACCTAAGTTTACCTAAGGCTTTGGTGTCACCTAGGATAGAGGTCCTAAGTTTTATTGCACCCCTCGCCCGCTTATACCTGCAGAGAGATACCGATATTTTGAAAGTGCAACATGTAGTGGCTCAGCCCAGTGAACTCTTAAGGCTACGCGAAGGTACTTGGAGAATTTGTGATTTAATGGAACCAGTCGTAGCACATAAAACTAGCCATGTTCCTTTTATTGTGCGATGTCAGATTACTCTGGCGTACCGCTCGTCATGATTACACCGTCATACCAACATTTCGTCGATTATCGTGTTCGAGCGAACCCATGTGTTTCACGTCTTTCAAACTACCTTCAACATGGCTATGCTGGCCAAAGCAAGATTACATATCTTGACTACACCAATCAATCCTTGGAGCCAAGACGCATTGATGTCCCCGAACGCGAGATTTCCCAGCTTTTGAAGACGTCGCCGCCAGTTTCGACACGATTTATCTTTGTTGAGAATGTTTCGCCCGGTCTCATAATACTCCTTGGAGAGAAGCTAGATATCGACCCTTTGTTCTTCGCAGACTATATCCATGCTGCTTTCGCGAGTCCAGAGAAAACATCACCGCCTCCGTCACTAGCAAACCTCTCGTCATCCATAGCAACAAGGGATCATATTCATCTTCACTGCCAGAAGGTCATTGCGCTCGAAGGACCGGACGATGAGCTGAGATACTGTTGCAGATCTGAAGTGCTTGGGTTGTAACTAACTAAAGGTATTAAGGTATGACTGCTCCTTACACGCATCGACTTATTTCAGATCTGTGGATCAACTCCTCCTGTGCCTGCATCCTCAAAATCCGTAAGACGTCCCGACGCCATGTATCCCAGCTTTGTTGTGTAAGAAGGTGTTCAGAGTAATGGTCGGGCGAGCTGTTATATGTATACATCAACTCCGAGGGTTGGCAAGGCTGCAGTTTCCAGTCGCCTTCATAGGCACCCTGAAATGGACATGCACAATGAGGAAAGACGCTGTCGCGATTCAACAGGCGTTCCATACAAGCCCAAGTCCTTTTGTACCCCTTTATCTTCTCGCTCGCACTGAATCTGCATGAGCCCACTGGAGCGTAGTGCGATTTTCCGATTCCAACATGGATAAGTGTGTGGCAAAACATGAGTGCGTTCATGTAGTCTAGTCGAGCATCTTCCACACTCAGCAAGCCGGAAAGACGATCAAGTATTCCTTGGGTCTTGATTTCGTGGTCTTGGATGTTCCCGCTCTCTTGTTGCAATGATGCCCCGTTTTGAAGCAGTAGTTCAACGAACTCTGTATCACAAACAAGCGTAACAGCGCAGTAAAGAGGCCAATGTGGCATTGAACGGGGCGGATATACAAACAGCTCCCGGGAAGATGTCATTGGTCCCTCCTTCTCATTGTTCTCCCGGTTATATTCCACGACGAATGGTTGCATAACTGCCACTGCGACTTCTCTTTCCAGCAGAATGTGGAGGAATGATGGGTCTGAGGAGACTAAGGCCGGAAGAATGGCATGTTGAGAGGACCCATTGTTCGATCGAAAACAAATATCAAGTTCCCCTAGCAAGTCGAGATAGAGGGTTAGGGTCTTCGGGTTTTCGGTTTCTATCAAGCAACCACATATAGCCACGAAGGTCCGATAAAAGTCTGAGAAATATACCTCGTCAACCGTTTTGCTCCTGGAACAACTGTCTAGGCTTCTGATCATGTTTAAGAGGTCTCTAAACTCCTGTCCTTCACTGAAGCGTAGATACCGAGCGAGGGCTGCCGCAATGTCCGCGGGCCGGGGAGCGATAACTTGTATCATGGCGTCAATATGGCTAAGGCGTCCGCTGGTATAGACTAACTTGGAGATCTGAGTATAACATTTAGAGAGCCAATCGACAGGAAGATGCTCAAGAATGAATAAGAGATATTCAGTATCGTCTGAGCTTAACGCAGCATTGAACATATTGCGTATATGTCGAGGGCGCAATCTACCTCCACAGAGGTCCAAGTAATCCAACAACTGGCTCAGAAAGCTGCGGTCCAGTCGCAAGAAAGCGACTTCGACCAAGTCGTCGCATAGTTGACCTCGATCAACATTGAACCCCTCAAGTAGAAATTTCAGGTCCTCGAACTTCTCACAATGAAAACAAATGACCTTCCAAACGGAGTGACCCAGATAGACTGGAGAAAGGAATAGGTTCTTATCCTTGTAGTCATTCTTAACTACATCATTGATGATGGTCCTTAATAACAACGCAAGCGAGTCGGATGGGGCTGGGTTGCCAGTGTCATAATCGGGAAGCAGGAGACAGTTACAATTTCGATCCAGCCAATGAGCTATGACGGAAATAGAATGAACCATTGACACGGTCAAGAATGTTGGCTGGAACGTGTCGTAGAAAGAATGGAACTCGCATAAGATCGCCTCTAAAGCACGGGAGTCTAATACAAGTCAATAAGCGAATAGTGATAGCAAGGTAACCACATTCCTTGGTTCTTCGGGATTACAACTGTGCTCTCTAATCTCTCTGCAAGAGATTTCAAGAATCGCTCCACATCTTGAACCCATACATTGCCAGGTTCAACTGAAGGAAGAAAAGTCCAACGTTAGTTGTTGTCGCGAAGGAAGTACACTACTTACGCTTCATCTTACATATGTCGTGCGCGACAAAGTTTTTCAGCATAACATTTAAGTAAATGCCCTGTTGCGGCACTTCCAATATAAGAAACCACTCTTCAGAAATAATCTCAGTGTCCACAGTTCCCTTAGTCGTGCGGTGGATCTCTGCGAAACTAGAAATTTGATCAGATATGGGAGGATCAAATGGAGCGTATTATTTTCTCATACCACTGAAATAAAACCTCTCCATGCGTAGTCTGCAAGCCAAGATTATCTCGATTGATGCCGAATTGCCGACGAGGCGCAATCGTTCCTAAAGGTGGCAATTGGGGCCATATGCTTATAGTATTGTCCTTAACATCGCGGAGCTGAAATTCGAAAACAGGAAAGTTTTCCAAGCTTCGTTTCGCGATCTAAGGCGGTCAGTGAGTGTTAAAGCTTGAATAATCTACAATCTACTCTACCTGACTGAGATTTCGGATGTCTTCGTTTCGTCTGTCGCTAGACGCACCTAAATGGACACGTTGTGGGTGGATTGAGACGATATCAGCCAGTATCCAGCATGCCTTAAGTAGGTTGATATAAGCATTAACTTTAATCTCAGTCCCTTCAACTAGATGATTCATTTGTGACCGGACCTGTTGACCGTTAGTTCGCATGTTGATGGAATTATTGGTTCATCAGGCACCTTCAACAACCACCATTTGCCTGCTTGCAGCCACTCGTCGATCGCAATCGAGGCCCAAGGCCTATTACCATTCTCTGCACTTCTCAAGAATGCTGCACTGAGCTCTGCTCGATCTTCCTCATCCAACGGAGCGTTTAGAAGAGGGCCTTCAGGCGAAATGCGGTGGCCTATCATGAGGGTCCGAAGCTCGTCCAGCTTCATGTCCGTTTTTGATTGCTGTTTCTCAATCCGTTCCAGGGATGAACTTGCTCGTCAACGGGTGTCCCAGAAATAACAAGAATAGACCTACTTTTGAGCACCTTGCAAGAGAAGGGTTAAGTGGAAATTGTGAGACATGAACTAGAGAATGTTAACGCTTGAAAACATTAATTGCGCCGAGATCCAAACCTTCGCACGAAGCTCGTTGATGCTGGACACTTCGAAAGCGTACTTGATTCGGTTCCATTGAATACGAAGCGAACGTTTTGAACCTTGTGAATTCACTCCTGGGTCGAGTTCGGCATATTTATCCGCAAGTCGATCCATTTTCTGCAGCGTCTCTTTGGCCTGACTCATGACTCTGCATGTGTATTCCAGTCGTCTCTCTCCCGCCTGTTTTATCCACTCTTCCTGATCTCGTACTTCTTCATTGAGTAAGTTCACTGTATTTGATAGATTGCCCAGTTCTTGGATCAAAGCCCGGAGCTCCTCTGGTGCGTCGCGAGACACTTTGTATACTCGAGTGTAGATCTTCCAGCATAGCTCCCCCACGGCAATAAAATCGCCAACGCCGAAGCCGAACGACATGGTGTCAAAGAAGTTTGAAGATCCAAGGTTGAGTTGATCTGTGGCTTTCGAAACTGGCGCTGTGGATGTTACAGAGTGACAGAAGTAATCTGTCTCACCTGTTGGTAGCTGAAATTACTTCCAGCCTGCTGACAAAGTCGTTTGGCGCAAGTGATTGGTAGCCAGTCATCATAACAGGCTGTGCGCTCACATCTGCCAGCTGGCGGTTGGCAATTGGCCTGCGTAAATTGCGCCTCACCGAAATTACAATGACAAACTCCACAATTGTACTTGCATTTCTATTCCGCGCCTTAATGGGCGCCTAATGGACTGAAGGATGGACCCATTACAATCACAGTGGTCGGAACTTATTCTCGGCCCTTTCAACACAATCCTTGACCACTACATCCAAGTCCTCCTCCGGCAGACCCAGCAGCTCATTGTGAAGCTTGTCTTGGGTCCTCAGCTTTTGACCCTCTGGTGAGAAAATGAACGAATAATAAGCCTGCACAAACCCCATTATGTTACCAGACCTGCCCGTGGCCTTGCCATTCTCAATTCGATCAGCGCTGCTCTCATACTTTATCTCCCAGTCGGCGTCTGTCGTGCTCGTGACCCGCTGGATGCTTCTCAAAATATCTTTCTGGCTAACATAAAAGCTTGAAAGATAGACAGGACTGTTTTTGAAGTTCGCAATGCTTGGGGATTTATCGTCATTATTGCCCGGGAACTCTTTCAGACTTGCAATGGCAGCAGCGGCACGGCCGAACTGAGCCAAAGTGCTAGTGTTGATCTTTGCCTCGCCGTCATCAAACAACGTAACTTTACGGTTATCGATGTCAAAGCCCATGAAGGACTCTCCGGAAGGAAGGCTGTAATCGAACCAAACGCCCCCGACGAGAAGTATCCAAGAGCTGACGCCAACCCGCTCGATTTCCTTGAGGAGGTTGATTGGCGGCGCAGCGGGGAAGAAATCATCGACAGATCCTTGATTCTCGATGACCACGTTTGCAGCATAGATGTTGGGAATAATGTAACGGATCCCTGCTTTTCCAGCTGCGCGAACAATGCGATGGTGGACTTCTGGGTCGACATTGACGGCGAGGGTAATGACGAGAAGCTGCTGATTATTGAGTGCCAATGCGATAGACTCCTCGTTTTCATAATTAACAGCGATAGCCTTGACGTTTTCGGAAAGTTTGGAAGTGCTGCCGATGCGAGTCAGGGCAGTGACAGTATGTTTTCCAGTCTTGAGGAGTTGCTCGGCTATCTGGGCGCCTTGTCGGCCGCCAGCCTACTTTACATCAGTGCAACGAACAGACAAATGATTGATGGGACATACTCCGACTATAGCAACTCTTTCGATGCGGTTAGAAAAGCCTGTAGGCTGATCTTTTGCAAACTTTTGCGTGGACATTGCGAGAATTGGGTTGTATAAGATCGTCGGGTCCGGTCTTGGCGCTATGAAAGATGGAGGTTTGCTAATTTGAGAGTGAATGAAGAACGAGTAAAGGGATACAGGTCGTACTATGTATGAAAGTAGAGAACTGAGAATAAATGGATATTCGCAATGTTAAATCCGGACTTCGGCCGAATGTCCTTGGATTTTACATTGTATGGCCGTCTTTCGGCCGGAATCACGGACCAATGGCATCAAAGACAGCGTAGATTACAAATGAGAGAATCCTTCAAATATCAATCTAGATAATGATTATACAAACATAAAAGCCATCCTCCTAATCCTAGAAGCAAATACTCCATTCCCTTGGCTTAATGATTCTTGCCGCACAGATGCTCGGCAAGTCTCAGTGAAAGAGCCGCCAGAGTCAGCGAGGGATTGGCCTCAGGACTGACAGGCATAACCGAAAGATCACAAACCCATAGATTATCCAATCCCTTGACCTTGAGATTCGAGTCCACGACACCAGGTCCCTTCGGTCCATCCATTCTCATCGTTCCGCATTCATGGGAAAACACTCCGAAGCCCAGATGCTGCGGTCTCAATCCTGGATCAGGACACACTCCTGGGTCGGCATACGTGGCTTGGTTGGGCTTCACGCCAACGAAAGCATCACGGACTCTGCGAATGATGTCTTCCATAGCACACTGAACCTCATGCTTGATAGGCGGTCGACGAATATCCAACACAGGATCCAAGCCCGGAAGGCTGAGCACAGAGTTCTCATCATCGAGTTTTCCAACAAACTCGAATAGTACGCAGATAGTATCGAAGTTCTCCTTCTCATCAGCCGCATCCTTAGTAGGACTCATGAGGGTACCATCATGACGATAGAAATGCGTCGTGTTGAGCGTCGCAGAACTTCCAGCCAAGAAGAAATTGGCATTGATCGTCACTGTGACGAGACATTCTTCACCGCCCACTTTGAGGTGTGTTTTGAGATTGAGGGGCTTTGAGGTGACGTTGTCGGACTTTTGCTTGGCGAAACGCACATAGCAGACGTTATGGTCGATAAGACCTTTACCAACCAAAGGGTTGAGGTGGTCAAGACCGCTGTTGAGAGCAATGGAGGCGGTGCCGATCGTGCCAGCGGAGAGGATCACTTTGGCTCGGCCGACGTAGAGCTCTTTGATGGTGTTGGTGGCTTTGTCTCTAATCTTGAGGGCGTTGACACTTTTGTTACTACGCCTTCGTCGTCAGCTAGAACGCTTGATGGATGAACGGGTGTACTTACAATGTGTTGCTGGCAGTGTGTTGAACAGCGATGACCTCTGTGTTGAGAAGAACAGAGAGATACTGATCGTTGGCGTACATGCGATTGATGATGCTCAAGGTAGTGCTGTATGCACCCTGAGCGAATTTGTATGGCGCGGGGGCATTGAATTGCGCTGCGATGGGCATGAGATCGAACTTTGAGCCTGGCAGGGCATTGTTCAACATCTCGTTTGCGTCGCCGATCTCTGTAGCGCTAACTTCATGCTTGCCGTCACCCTCTGGATAAATGACATCGCCAGGCTGCGAGTCAGTCAGGTATCTAAACGCTTTCTTGTATCCTTGAACTAGGTCACCCTTGAGGTGTTCGACAACATCAGTTGGGAAGAAAGCACCGAGAGTCTCGTCACCAATCTCTGGGATCCAAGTACCCCAGAGATTAGATCGACCACCGACACAATACACTGGACCGCCGACATAACTATCAGAGCGGTCGGTGCATTGGACTTTGGCCTTTACAGCGTCATATACGCGCTCGTTACCCTCGGGGGAATTACTTGCGCCGCGGTTGAAGTAAGGGCGAGAGGTATTGAGAACATGGGTTGAGAAAATGACGCTGCCACGCTCGATCAGCAAGACTTTGTATTGTTGGGATACAAGCTGTTCAGCCAAGGGGCCGCCGCCGAAACCACTTCCTACAATGATGTAGTCATAGGAGTTGAGTTTGGCGAGGAGGCAGACGACGTCTGTATCGAGATGGAGAAGATGATCCATGGTGAACTTGACTAATGGGAATGGTGCAAGAGGAGGGGTTGGTGAGATTGGATGAGAGAGGAAAGCAAGGGAGAACTTTGATAGGAGAAAGTCCCGAGGATAATATAGATGCACACCATGTGAGACACAATTGAGGAGGACATACGGATTTGGAGCTGACGAATGTGATACTGATGTGATGAGTGCATGGCATCAATCACATCCTGAATGGGAACGTCAGCAAGCCACTTTCGGCCTAATTCAGCTGAGGTAGATCAGCAACGGCACCTCATTATGCATGCAAGGACGGCTGAAGTCAGATCAATATTGCGGTCAGCGGCGAAGAGTGATTGGATTCACGCATATGCAGTTTTCAAGGAATCAAACCAATGCCATATACACACACTTAATCATACGGTGCTGAGCTGTTGACTAGACTCGGCAGATGTGTTTGAGGCCATCTACAGCCGTTCTAAATATGTTTCATTGCACTTGATACAGTGGCACGGCATGGACCGAGTCCGCGAAATAACTTGATACGGCGGACCGGTATCGCAGTATGTCGTGGATATGACCACTGAAACCTGGTCGATGGAATGGGCCTCATCAGAGCACAAATGTTGGGAAACATGTAGAGTAGAGGTCTTACTACCATTTGGACATCGAGATACAGCACTCGACCAGTTCTATCTATGCATGATGCAGAAATACAAGATATGCAGTAACAACCACTAATGCAATCAACAATAATACACTTTTTAACGCCTCTTCCAAAAGAATGCCAGGATCAAAACATTGTAAGACAGTTTAAGCGCACCAGCGAGAATGAACGCAAGCCAGAACTTATCCAAGCCCGCAAACAAACCCGTGATGTACAAACCAAGACAACTTCCAATCGTCTTTGTGATATTAACAACACCCATAGCCGAAGTCCTCTCATGGTCCAAAACCCCCGCCGAGATGAACGCCTGCCTGGGCGCATTATCAATCTCGCGCGTCACGATTCTAAAGATGAAAATCACAAGAGCGATGTACTTGTTCCCAGGCACAGACACCATGAGCAGCGAGATGGAGTTTACCGTGTGACAGAGGACCATGGTTTGCACCTGTCCGATGGCGCGTGACAGCGGTGACGACGCGAGGTTCAGCACGGAGGAGATGATCCCGGCGGTGAAGGTCGCAGAGCCCAGCGCTCCCTCGGGCATGTCGTACTCGCGCTTGAAGAAATATGTCATCCACGAGATCTGTGCGAGACCAGAGCCCACAAAGTCAAGTATCAGTGCGAGGGAGAGCTTCCACATAAAGTCGAACGACGCTGGGGTGAAGAGGCGCTTCTCCTGTGCTGCGACGAGGACTTGGACTTGTGTTTCGGCAACGGCTCCGTAGCCGGAGCTGTTATCATCGAGAAGAGGAGCAGTCTCATCGTCAGATGCTGGTTCTTCGGGGGTGAGGATGCCGGATTGGGGGGTTGAGCAGGATTCTTTTTGGAGGGGCATTTGCTCGACTTCGGAGCTGAGGAGGAGTGAGCACAGGAGCTTGAGGAGGCCGATACCGGCGTAGCCGAGGAAGATTATGCGGTGGCAATCTAGCTTTTCCATGCCGTTGTCTTCGAGGGCGTTGATGAGCCAGCCTGTGAGGAGGTTACTTGCTGCTGTGCCGAACATGCCTAGCATAGACCACCAGGCAAAGATGTCATTGCATGTATGCGCGGTGCTGAGGCGAGCAATGGCCGATTCTTCAATTGCCTTGAAGGGATCAATTTCATTCGCACTACATCGTCAGTTCCCTCACCAACATCACAAACAGATAGTGAACATACCTTGGATTAATAACAGCAACGATACTCGCCAGAAGCAACAGCCAAAAATTCTCAAAGTACGCAAACGCAACTCCGCCAGCACTCATCAACAGCGCTCCAACAACAGCAGTCAACCTCACGCCAACACGATCACCGACCCAAGTGAGGATAAAGCTAATAGCAAGATCACCCACGAGCGTCAGCGTCATGAACAGGCCAATCTGCGTATCCTGAAATCCCAACGCGTTGAGATACAGCGCCAGAACGAGCGTCGTCCCTCCATAGCCGAGGAGGCGGATGAAGCGGAGAAGGATCAGGATCTTCAGGTCTCGGCTTGACCGCCACAGAACATCGGCGCCGATACTGGAGAGGAAACGACCAGCTACCGCCATGATAAAATCCCCTGTAATCTAAGAAAAAAGAGGGATATGTACAGAAGAAAACCCTGGGGATGTTAGTGGTAGTCTTTGTTTGCCTCATTTAAACAGAATCTTTTTTAATTGTCCGATATCTTCTCTTCTCCCCGTCGATCTTCCTCTCTCGCACGGCCCATGCATGTTCTAGATCATGCGATCGGACTAAGGCTTGGCTTTTTCGTCAGCTCCCTTCTTCTAGGCAGGCGAAAAAAGGGAAGGGGAAAAAAGCGCCTTTTCTCAAAGGGGATTGCTACGTAGACGAATCATGACCCAGCCTGTGCTGCTGTGCGCGTGCCAGAGGGTCCCTTTGGCTAAGACGAGTCATACATTGCACAGCGTGTGACCAATCAAGTTTAGGTAGAGTGTCTGACTTTTCTTTTCTCTTCCTGTGTCCTCTGCAGTACGTATTCTAGCTAAGAATGTCTGTCTCGCCCGCTGATGCCTTACCGTGGGGGTCACGGCATTGACCAGACTTGCTCCCTAAGGGGCAGAGACGGGCTGTTTCCCTCCCGCACACTACGCCAGCTCTCGTATTCTGCAAAGCGCTTGGCCGCATACCCCGCGTAGTCAAAGTCGATAGTTCCGGTCGCTGTCTCAGCCTGGATGAGAGCGCAGAGACCCCTGTCGCAGCGGTGTAATCAGTGTCTTGTCCTGTACCACCACACACTTATCTGTCTGTGAGACATATATGGCGACTTACCAGTAGAACCCAGGAAAGCCTCTGTGATCGTCGACCTGACGCATTAGATGATCCACAGAAGCATCATTGACAGTCGGTATGTTGTGCTCCCGACAGAGTTCGGCGTGGGTCGTGAGATACTCTGCGATGAAGGCGCGTCGGGTTGATGTCTTGGGGAGAAGATTGTAGTCGCAGTCGAAACCGGTCCATTCAGCGAAATGATTTGCTAGTTCAAAGGCCCGAGGACAGTATGTGGCGTGTCTCGGGGTCGTTCAGTGTCTCTGGTTCGGGGACATTTGCAGAAAAGGGTATGACTTACTCGTAATCAATGAACCGCACTGATGCGACATCAATGTCATCACCCGACTCTTGTACAATTATGTTTGCGCACAAGAGGTCGCCGTGAGCGAGAACCTGTGCGGGTTAGTACCAGACAAGCAAAATAAAAAGTAACGACGCACCAAGGGCTCCGACACGTCAGTTGACAACAAGGCATCAGCTAGATACTTGAACTTTTCATGCAAATCATCAATTTCGGCCTTTGATCGGTGAGGATGTTTGGAGATAGCATCCAGCCATTTCTTCGCGGTGGACCAAACGCCTGGTTTGTAGGTCAAGACTTCCTTTGGGTCCGCTGTAGGAAGCATCGCGTGCCACCGAGCCAGCTCCCTCGCGACGCCGCGGAAAATTCTTGTCTCAGACATGTCGCCTTCAGAGCAGACTCGCCCAGAGATGAACTGATACGCATGTCCATTGCTGAAGCGAACCAGTGGTGATGAAGACAGTTGACGCTCAGCCAGGAGCTTGTGCACCCTGAGTTCCTCTGTTGCGACATGTCACGTTAGACACGAATCCAAGACGGAAGTTCCAGACGAGATTGGCAGGGTCTCAAGGGACAAGGTACGTACTCTCGCGATCAATGGTGATATCCGTGCCATCTCCGTAGACCTTGATTAGCACCGCATCTGCCGTGGATGCATCGACCGTAACCTTGAAAAGCTGCCAAATTTGGTTATTGTTTTAGCGCACAAACGTTCCATGTACTTGGGTAGGTAGGTCACTATCAGGGAATACTCACGCCATTCGTTGTGCCCTGAGTCAAAGCGGAAATACGCATGTCGTCGATCTTCCGATCGGGGAACAGGAGCGGAAGAAGCGACAGGGCTGATCCATGAGGATCTGACGTATCAAAGACAACATCCTTGAACGGGATATCCATTCTCCACTCTCGGTAGTTCAACAGATAGTTAGCGATATAAACAAGAGAATATCCAATAAGAGATGGAAGATGGGAAAAGGTTGGGAGGAGTAAAAGATGGGAAAGCCCTTAAAGTACCTAAAGTTAGCTGTCTGTGCCGCTGGGTGCTACCGCCCGTGCCGCTTTTCCCAAGGGCGGCGGGCGTAAGCAGCAGGGATCGACGCTGAGGCTGCGGCTGAGATGAGACAGCAGAGCAAATAGTTTTTCTTGGCCCGTGTCTCACTCACACTTGACGCAGATCCAAGAGATGCCCGTAGAATGGGAAGCGAGGGAGTGATTGGAGGCTGAGTATAAGACACCGCTTTGCTTCTTCCTGTGGCCCGAGCACTTATGCGGCCCGCCAGAAGGGATCATTACACTACATACATGCCTGGAAATATTGGCCAGCCACGTCGGAGACTACGGCTTATCGAAACATTTTCGCGTCTCTCTATCAATGATTGTCAAAAGCGATGAGCGAATCTTTGATGTTATCGAGGTATATAAGGTGAAAGGCACACGACACAATGCATCTTGAAATCATCATCAGCATCTCAGTAATACATCATGGCGCCTACAAACAGTCTTCTCTACAAAAACTTTCAGAAACATCCCGCGGCTCTTATTGAGTCGACCGAGGGGATTTATCTCAACACTAGCGATGGGCGCAAGATTCTAGACGCTACGAGCGGAGCGGCTGTTGCGTGTCTGGGCTATGATAACAAGGACGTTCAGAAAGCTGTTGTAGAGCAGCTTGTGAACGTTCCGTATTGTCATCCCGGCTTTTACAAGACGCAGGCTGCGGAAGATCTTGCGGATTTTCTTGTCGAGTCTACCGATGGCCAAATGTCCAAGGCTGTTCTTTGCGGTTCAGGTAAGCCCATGCAGTGTCTCGCTGGATGATGGAGTTGCTAATTGAGTTTTTAGGATCTGAAGCTGTCGAAGTCGCGCTCAAGCTCGCGAAAACGCACTTTTCGCATCTCGCTATTCCTCAGACTGAACGGAGCCACTTCATAGCTCGTGTGGGAGCCTGGCACGGCGCTACGCTCGGTGCGCTGACGCTGGGCGACTTCAAAGTACGAAAAGATCCGTTCGTGCAGTTGATCTCGCAGAATTCTTCGCGCGTATCGGCGTGTAGCTCGTACAGAGGACAGCGTGACGGTGAATATGACGAGGCGTATGTTGCGCGTCTTGCGCAAGAGCTCGATGATGAGTTTCTGAGGATCGGGCCCGAGAAGGTCTGCGCTTTCGTGGCTGAGACTGTCGGGGGGAGTGTAAGTCGTCTGTTATCATTGTCTTTGAAAATGCGCTGATCTGATGTGTTTAGGCGAGTGGCTGTGCTATGCCGCTGAAGGGATATTTCCCTGCTATGAAGGCTGTTTGCGAGAAGTATGGCGCCCTTCTTATTCTTGACGAAGTCATGTGTGGAATGGGTCGTACGGGTACGCTTCATGCTTGGGAGCAGGAAGATGTCGTTCCTGATATTCTCGTCGTCGGAAAGGGTCTTGGTGCGGGATACGCTCCTGTCTCTGCCGTCATGATCAACTCTAAACTCGTCGAGTCATTTCAAAAGAGCGGCAAAGGTTTCGCCCACGGCCAAACCTACATGGCCCATCCCCAAGCCGCAGCCGCCGCCCTCAAAGTCCAACAGATCATCCGCGACGAAAACATGGTATCGCACGTCCGTTCCATGGGCGCATATCTCGGCACCAAGCTCAAAGAGCGCCTCCTCCCGATGCCATACGTCGGCGACATCCGCGGGCGCGGACTCTTCTGGGCCGTTGAATTCGTGACCAACAAAAAGACCAAGACACCCTTCCCGTATGATCTCGGGCTCAACGGGCTGTTGCACTCGCGCGGAATGAGCGCTGGGTACGAGATCGCGCTGTTTAACGCTAATGGCGGGTATGATGGGTACAGTGGAGATCATTTTCTGATCTGCCCGCCTTTTATCGTGTCGAAGGAGGATGTTGATGAGATTGTGGAGAGGACGGCGAGGGTGGTGGAGGATACGTTTGAGGAGTTGGGTAACTCGGCGGTTTGGGAGAAGATTACCCTGCAGATGGAGATTGATGAGGTTGAGGTCAAGCCGGTTGGGGCTATGGTTGCTGCGCAGTGAGGGAAAAGTTCATAGATGGGTTTTTGTATTTATTTGGTAGATTTCTAATGATTTTTTGTTGATCGGAAATGTTTTGGGGTTGATGTTCTCTCTCGTATGTCGTAATGCTCGGTGGCCACTGTTAGCAAGATCGCCGTTGCAATGTTGCGGCTCAAACAGGCCAATAAACGGAACCACAAACCTTGTGGTCTAACCATTAATCCAGTAAAAAACTCAATCTCTAGATCAAGTCAATAATTTCGATGGCGCCATCGAGTGTGAATGTCTACCGTTGCAGACAACAGGAGTTCATTTCATTTGGTCGGCAAATTCAATTCGCAATACCCGATCGATGCCCACGGCGCCCGTGCAGTGCACACAATCTAGACACAAACTTGGCACAGCTGTTCAACAATTCCGGGCGAATGGTTTAGTGGTATAATACTCCCTTAGCAAGTTTCGTCCATCAGATGCTCGCATCTGGGAGTGGTCCAGGGTTCGATTCCCTGTTCGTCCAACGCAGGTGGTTAGACTCCACCAAGTTCCATTTTTGACTTTTTTTCGCAACGACCTCAATGAGACATATCAAGCCAACACAGTGAAAAATCTCAATCAACTTCAACTCCTTCAACCTTTTTTGCAATCAGTTATGAATAAGGAGGAGCCGAATTGAAAGGCTTTGAGCATGCAATTGAACTGCGACTACTTCCTTCCATGGGCATCAAAAGTTTACAATGGGACTGCAGGTCAACTCTTGCCAGTTTTAGGCTGATGGGTTGATCAGAGCAGAGAAAGCAGTCGAGCTAGCGCTTTCTGAAAACACCAGATCTCTTCTCGGGCTCCCGTCGAAATGGAAAGCACGATACGCCTTCTGCGCCTCCGACGGAACAAGGTACACGAACTTCCTTTCTTCAGTGACTCTCGCAATATTTCTCCCTCTTTCATCATCTCATCTTCCCCGTCATCAATAACGCATCAGAACAAAACGGAACAAAGCACTTTCAATTCTCTTCACACTTAAAAATATCATCTACATCGTGGCAATGAACCCGCCAATACAAACAAAGGACCTCGACGATCCCTACGTTGCGGACGACTTTCTCTCTCGGCTCTCCATTGCTAACTGGAAAAAAAGCGATGGCGTCTCCAAACATCAGTTATCTTACGGCGATACTGAGGTAGTGCCCTGTCACAACGGATTCATCTGGGCTGCAGCAAAAGTCTACGACAGCGACTCTGCCCTTACCATTCGGATAGATGATATGTGGCTTGCTATGCTGGCACACCTGAAACCCGTGCTCTATAGACATTCCCGTTTCACGAGAATTACGACTCTCTCAACGTTTACTAATGAAGACCTCGATGACCGAATCTTGGTGGCAAGCCGCTTGACTGATGTGGTCAAAACAAAACTTGGTGATCCTTTGGCCAGCACTCTTATGCCTAATTTCAGCACGACCATGCCTGTGGACACCACTTCGGCCGCTCTGTTTCTACTCGGCGACTATTGCGAATTTCGACAACATCGGACGCTAAGTCCCAAGAAAAATCGCTCTTTCAAGAATACGATTTTTGTGGGAGGGCCGCGGGACTGGATCAGCTTGCGTCAGAAGCTCGCGCAAATCAGAATCTTGAGGAAGGAATTGGAGCCCCTGGTTAACAGCCTTTCAGGTCTCGTGAACTTGATCCTACAAGCTGGTCTTCAGCAAGACAACAGTCACAACACCGGGGAGCCTCCTTACGTTGCATGTGATAATATGCACCCGGAGCGGTAGGATCACCTCTGGGAACGTATGCTCATAGTGGAACAGAGCGGACATTTGAGCGCTGGTTGGCTTCTTAACTTTCTCCAACCACTTGCAAATAACCAGCCACGCTTCCACCTCGATAAAGAGTCGCACCCTGCTGTTGCAACGCTACCTATTCTGGTCAAGGATGGCCAGGATCTCCATCATCACACGATGATTGGAGGTTTACTCGGGTATTCGACGTCGCCAATTGTTGATGACATGCAGACTCAAACCGAACGACATCTTGTTCAGCCTGTGTCCGGTTGGATGACATATAACGACAAGGCCCCTACAGCTTCCACAAGGAAGATGGCTAAGGAGCAGCAGGAAAAATGATGGCTGGATAGGAGAAGAAAAAGAAACAGAGGACATAATTGGCTCAGTACTCAAGGCTCAAGAGTCCCGCATGGCACTCGATTCTAAAGAGGAGATGGAAGCGAGAAAAGAGAAGCGAAATCACATATTGAAACAGCGTTATTAATCCTTGAATTATATACAAAGAATGAGAATTATTGCGACAGAAAAAGTCCCAGCTGATAACCGGTCTTTGTTCCCTGATACAGCGCACCAGTGCCCGGGTGTTCCTCAACACATCACGGATTGCCAGGCAGCTTCTCCACCCAAGTCGCGCTATAGCCCGCTCTCCTGAAACTTGAACTGGGCAGTAGTAACACCAGTGAGCAAGTTCTCATTGCCGTAGAAGATGTTGTTGCTCTCAAGTTCCCAATAGATAGGCGTCGATCCACGCTCAGACTCGCACGACAGAAAGCCCAGGACGACGTCACATTTCACGAAGAATCGGTACTGATTGTTGACAATGTTTTGATAGGTATCAAACTGGAATGAAAGCGCAGGGCCAAGCGGGATGACGGCTTGAAGGTAGTTCTTGATGCCACCAATCATGGTTGTGAGGCGACCGGTTGACGGCTCGAGGGCAAAGGTCGCGGGGGTGTCTCCTTGGGAGGTGAGGTACTGGCCGCTGGGGTAGGTATTCACCACGCGTCCATCAGAGAGGACGGCGTTGATGGGGGTTCCCTCGGGGACGGCGGCGGTGGTGGTAGTCGCGGCGGCTGTCGTAGTCGTCGACGGTCTGCAGAGTCCCGCGAGGGCGAAACTTGCCTAGGACGAGAGGACGAAAAGGGAGAGAGTCTGCAGTGAGAAACGCATGGTGAAAGAGTGAATGGGGTCAGCGAGTAAACGAGTGCGGACGACTGTTATGCCAAGACTGGGGAGCAGATCTCGGTTTTATACATCGTCAGTAAGGGGCTCGTTAATTTCGTGAATCTGGATTAATCGGATGCTAGTGAGAGACTATTAGCGGTTGGTGTGCCGATCTACTGGTACACTGGCTACAAATGGTGTTGTGTTAAGCTATAAGGCTGCTAGGTTGAGCTATCGACGCCACGCTCAAGAGTTACCGGTTATTACACAAAGTAATTGGACGCGGTACGAGGGTTTACGAGGTCTTCTAAGTACAGATAGCGAAGAGGCTTTGATGTAATGTAATGAACAGAGCTAAGGTCAAGTTTCCTCTGTAGTTGCACATGATAACATTGCGTTTTTCATGATGGTGAACAGCAAATTGGAAAGCTGGAGGAACACGTTTATTATACCTATATACCCAGTACTAGGCATTTGTACCTTGGGCTTATCTTAATGGTACGCCTTCTGATATCCAACTAGTATTTACTCGAATACATGCAACGTCGACCAAGCTTTAGACCCCAATCCTTCCCCATAGCTGTTTGGCTAGAGTAAGCTGAATGCTCCCCGGTGTCTAGATAGACCACGTCTGTGCTGCGCTTTTTGCCAGAGCATCATTCGAGCCATCCTCCACAACATCATAAGTAGGCTCATCAGTCCAAAACTCATAATCATTCGCCTTGTTGCCAGGCTTGCTGATCTGCCATGGCATCCACGGCACACCAAGACCATTGAACACATCAATATGCTGACCGACCGTGGTAGACTTACTGCTCCCAGTAGCACCAAACTCCTCAAAGAGCATGAGCTTTTTGGCGCTCTTGGCATGCTGCAGCGCAATTGGACCCTTGTTTTTGAATTCGTTGACGCCCATGTAGGAGTGGATGGTGACGAGGTCCAAGGCCTTGCAGGCCCAGTTCTCAGCGACATCCGAGTTGGGGAATTCATTGCCGCCACCTACGATGTTGTGTTAGTGATTGAATGGTAACTCTGTGTGCGTGATGACTTACCAGTGGAGATCAGAACCTTGCTGCTGCCCATAATTCCACGCATAAAGCCAGCTCGATCGCACCACCACGACGGATGAGGCGGAACATTGTTATTCAAATGGCCCTGCCCTTCGTTCTGGATATTGAACGCAAAGATGTGGCTGCTTAGATCTTTCCAGGCTGGACTTCCGCTGATCAACGTGTTCTTATGTTCCAGAACATGACGGATGCGATTCTGAAAATCCGAAATGCAGTTCTTGTCCGAATACCAGAACTCGACGTTGTTGGCGCTCGCTGGCTGAGTGTTGCAGTCTACTGCAGGCAAATGGTACTCTGACACGTAGGCATCGCTTCCCCAGCAGCCGAGCTGGTAGCGATCGTGAATGGCGATGGTGAGCTTGATACCTCTGGCTTGAGCTTCTACCATGAGTTGATCTATGGCTTTGAGCTGGGTGTCGTCCCAGACGCCCACTGTTTTGGGCTCAATGTCAGGCATTGCGATTGAGCCAGTGTTTTTGGCGTTCTGGCCAGTTGGCGAAATGAAGATCCGTAGGACCTTGAGATTTGCATCCTTGATGGCGTCTAAGACGTCCAATCTATCCTGCCTGCATCCTTTGTCAGTCTTGTCACCGATTCACCATTGGTACTTCGGATTGCTCAACTTACTGCTTGAAAGCATGGAGGAAGAAGGAGTTCACGCCTGCAAAGCTGTTACTTTGTTGGCGAGCCGGGAGCTTGGAGCCATGAGGAGTGGCTGCTACAAGCAGAGCTTGACCCAATGCGAGAAGGCTGAAGCTCTTCATTGATATCAGATGTGGGGGATTGTTTAGGTTGATTTGAGTCTTCTGAAGGTACCGATATTGAAGTCTTGAGGAGCCGTAATCTCATCTTATATACATATACTCAACTATGGCCGCTATCAGTTCCTGAGGGTTGCATTGGCCCAGGGTTCATGGAAACACTGTAAGCTTGGTCCTAGCGGCGATCTACCTGCGACGAGCTTCCGCTTTAGGTGATATCCGTAGATACCGAGCCGGGAAGACTAAGCTCGACTACTGCAAGGAATCATGATATTAGAACCAAAACAAGCATCGGAAGCTGGGGAACCTTGTTTCATCCGTTACTAAGTTGATCAACTTGACATCGTGACCCCAGATTGCCGATGTGTACCCCGCGTTTTGACCCCTTTTCGCAATACCCAGGCTGTTGAGGACAATGATATGCAGTCTTGGCTTTGACATGACCTGGCGCGGAATTATAAAATAGCATTCTAGCGTGTATCAGACTGTCGGAGTTCAAATCTGGGCTACCGGGACAAGGATCTAGCGGCTCTTGGAAGCAGCTTGGACGCGAATATAAAAGTCCGTGTTAGTGCTCGTAGGCCACTAGCTTGTTCTATAGCAATATAGCTGCAGAACAACCCATATTAGCTTTGATCTCCTATGCATGTTGATCCTTAATAATCTCAGATATAGTTTAAGATCACTTCAATTATTAACATTCACCTAGCATCTGCTTCTTAATATGGTAAAGGATCAAGCATAGCTCGCTGTCTTTTATAACCAGAACTGTACAATGATAATCTAAGATATCTGCATCTATGTATAAACCACAAGATTCACTGTGAACAACAGAGCATTAAGCTCTTTGGTAGTAGACACGGCTTCACTAAATTATGCTGAATATGTGACTCGCTTTCTGCCAATAGAAGCCTCATCGCCAACTATCATTTACTGATATAGTAGTCTTCGAATGTAGTTGAAGTCAATAGCTGGCATCTTTGATACTTTGTTACTATAGCTGCTAGTTTGACAATTCAATCTCTCAGATAGCCAATCCTTGTGGGCAATTTAACACTCAGGCTCTGAAATCCGCTTGGTACTCGCTTTGCGTGGATTCTTGGCCGCAAAAACAGCAGTCAGTTCCTCCAAGGTCCGGCCCTTGGTCTCTACGAAGAAAAAATAGATAATGGTAAACTCAAAGAGATCCCAAAATACAAAGAACACGTAGCTGCATCACAAAGTATTGGTTAGAGACATAGAGTATAGTACGACTTCGAAGATGGACTTACAACCAGTACCGAATATTCTTCATGGCGACCGGAGCTGCAAAAGTGTTGACGAACCCTGCGCAGCCAGATGTTATCATAAATACCATCATGCCGTTGGCTCGCATGTCATCTGTCCGTGTCAGTAATGAATCCAGCCAGGCAGAGAGAACTTACTAGCTAAAACCTCTGCTGGATAGATAGGCTGCATTGGAGTGAATCCGACCGCAAAGACAACCCCAAAGATAAAGATAAACGCAATACTTGCTGAACTCGAAGGCTTGCTGCCAGAGCGCTCATACTCGGCTGCAGTGGCGGCGACAATGGCGAGCGCAATAGACATGCCCAGACACGAGCTCATCAGCATCTTGCGTCTTCCAACAATATCATGGAGACGAGCTTGTCCATCAACGTAAGCTAAAAGAGTTTACGACTTTTGGAATGTTACATACCTCCAATTGTAGCAGCCACCCATCCAGATAGTGCATAGAATGCATTCAACAAAAGAACCATGTTAGTAGAGGTTATTCCGACATTCTCGACCATCAATGGGAGATAGTAGCTCGAAACGTTGTTGCCGGAGAATTGACCAAACCATGACATGGCGATGACTAGCATGATTCGATACCGCCGAGCGCGAGACTTGTAAAGACTTCGCAGGTCGAAACAAGCCCACTGGGAACGACCTCGAATTTCAACGAGCGAATCCTCAATCTCCTGCATTTCAATTGTGACAATGGGGTGCTCGGCGTCGCCATTTGCGTGATGCTTGATGATAAAATCGCGAGCTTCTTCAATTTTTCCCTGAGCAACCTGCCATCTCGGACTCTCGGGCAATATCCAGCTACCTAGGCAGACGAGTCCGGGACAGAGCATCTGCAGCCAGAGGGGAAGACGCCACTTGATGTTGCCGCTCAAATGGATGTTGGCACCGTACAATGCTAGTACCTAGTAAGCGAGATTGACCAACGGTAGTTAAAGACTGGGCATTTATACTGAATGTTGCAATGATACTTCCCATGTAGTACAGAGTGTTATATGTTCCTGCCACTGTAGCTCGTTGCAGAGGAGGAGCGATCTCGACGAGGAGCATGGGCGCAGCCACAGTGTTGATGGTCGAGAAGAAGCTGAGGAGGAATCTCGCGGCGATGAATGAAGAAAGAGTCGGCGCTACTGCAGTGAAGATAGCAGATACACAGATGAGGAACGAACTGACTGCGAGAGTCAGCCTACGGCCCTTCCAGTCGCATATCCAGGTGAACAAGGCGCCCGCCATCTGTCCGATCTGGAATATGGAAAATACCAGGCCTGTCGAGGTAGACCCAGTATCACCCAGCCCGTAGTATTCCTGATACTCTGAGAGAACATTAATCGAACCCATGAGTGAGCCGTCGTATCCATTCATGGTTGAGCACAGGTAGATGAGTGCACAAGCCATGTACAGCTTGAGATGGCCTTTGCCCCATGGTGACGGAGCTCCAACATTGCTAAGCGCGGTCGCGATGGCGTCTGGGGTCTGCACAGCTTCCTTCTTTTCGTTGGTGGCATCATGAACATGCTCACTTTGAGACTGATCAAGCTCTTTAGACATGGTAAAAGTTTACTTAGTGGATTGAATGTTAAAGTTAAGAGTGTGGATGCTACAGGTCGATCTGGGGAAGATATACATAGCAATCGTATCTACTTCTTATAGCATAAGAGGACCGGCATGCGGGGAAGACTCGAAGCGGTAGTGATCTCACGACGGTGTGGAGACGCACTAGGACGGGGTTACAGATTTCCGAACTGCCGCATTAGCCCATGACCCTAAAGAGTCGGAATATACGTGGTAGAGGGTTGCATTGTTTTGCTTGGCTTGTTGGTGGTGGACTGATATGGTTGTCGCTGATGTGCGAGAAGCAAATGTAACGTGCCATGTTGACGCAGGTTGTCCGCGATAGGGCTTTTATCCGGTGATCATTAGAAGAAAACAAGGTTGTATTGGAGGGGATCTTTTAAGACCCCAATGTCACCCAAGACATATCACGCTTGGTTTATGCACACTGGTTGGTTTTAACTGTCCTATCTGCTCATTATCTACCATGGCTGCTGCAACACATACCGTCGATCTGGCGACCGACCGACCGACAACTGAAACGTTGGGATGGCGACCATGCCGCCTGGCTACCCTTGGAGAACGTCCCGAGAATCTTCGACCTGGACAGATAAAGATTCTTAAGTGATACAATCTGAAAGGTATGTTTCCCAATCACCAAATGTTGACAAGTGGTTTCTACGATAAAAGACCCGGTCGCCTGCACAAACGAGCTTGATGTCGAACGCGTCGATCGGTGAGCACTCTTGGACCTACGAGACCAGTTTCCACGGCCGCACAATCTCAACGGTGGCAAGGCCAACTTCTTGTTCGACGATCCCGACATTTTCGTTCACTTGCAATTAAACAACATAACCATCGTGAGATCAACAACACGTTTCTCAGCCATCGAGTAGACATAGCCGCGCTACTCAAGCCACGCGATTCCAAAATTCTTCCGTTCGAGTTCTACAGCACGATATTGCACAGCAGGGAAATCCAAGAGGAGCATCAAGACCAGAATTCACTGTATTTCATGGGGAGATGGGCTGCCTGAGCCTACGCACATGAGCAATGGTCGCGTTGAGTACCTCTGATGACCTGAGTACTACAACGGGGAAGATAGCAGCCAACATCGAGAATCTAGAGGATTGAATCATCATATCTCTCGCGTCTCTCAGGGAGTAAAGAATACATCAGGGTTCACCCTTGGCCATTGTCCCCAGTCCAATCCAGGGTGCCAATCATGGCTGGGACCAAAAAAACCTAAGTCTGTGGCGTCCCGCTGGTTACATTGAGCAGAGTCTCTACCCTGTTGTAGTGCAGTGCTGCGCCGGGAAGAGTGACACGGCTCTTATCACTTTGGAGACAAAGACAGGCTTCAGAGAGAGCCACCTTATGTTAGAGAAAGACGACGACCGATAATCCTTGTACTTATGCATAAATGGTAGCCATGTTTTCTACGCTGTATTTTGCTGGATCCTAGTGTATAATTTTTTATCATCATCTGGAATCAGATGGATATTGCGCTTAGCTCAAACTTATAATTACTAGCAATGAAATTATAATAACGCCGGCATTTCTCAAATTGCCGGCACGGATCAAGCAAGTTCCTTAGACAAGCTTTTACTAAAGAAATAGTCGGGAAATGAGGCTCTATAATAAGATAGCTTCGGACATGCCGTGAGCTAGAGCGGGAATTTGTATTTCCTTGCTAGTGTCACCAATTGGCAGCTGCAGTGACTTTCCATCTCTGGTATAGCTTGCTTATGCAAGGCGAGACACTGCCGAGGTTTTTGTATCACGCCATGTGTTTGGAGCCTCCTTCGCTATTAACCTTTGTTTAGAAGGATCTGTGATTTTTTCTGTACTATGCTCGTTGAGTGCCATCACAAGCTACTCAAGACGATCCGTGAGATTCGGATCCGAATAACCTTGTTGTCCCAAATTCTGAAACAGGCCCGTGTAGAGCAAAACGCCTCATTGCTACTGTGGGTGCGCCACTAAGTCCCAAGTTAAACTGTTGCCTAAGCTTGTTGTGCGCGATGCTCACTCTGTACCTAGCCAGCTTTAACCCCAAGCCTCTAAATCGCTGACAAAAGGCTTCTTCTTCACCGCTGATGTCTCTTATCACCACCTGAACTCTTCTCATCAAATTCGGAGTCGGTTTGCGTGACTATGGACCTACCTTATGTCTCCGAGACACCCGGCCGACAGCCCCGGGCCAATTCCTCCTGTGCCGAATGCAGACGTCGTCGTGTCAAATGCGAAGGCCAGACCTTTCCCTGCCGGCAATGTGTATATTACCTCGTTCCACATCTCTGCCATTATCCTGCAAGGAAGAAGAGGCACAATGTATCTATAAAGTAAACGCGTGCTTTCTGAACAAAGTGGGCCCGCTCTGACGCTCCAACTAACAGATCTCACGCCGAGCTTACCGATAATTACGCCAAGGCCCGGAAGGTCATCGAATCGTTGTTCCCCTCCAGCTCACTTGATGAACTTTCCTGCATGACCCGTCAGCAGTTGCTGATACGACTGCAAGCTTCCAAGGCACCTCCACCTGCTACTGATATTGAGCCGCAAGACCATCTGCATGTTCTGGAACCACCGGTTGAACAGAATTTCACTTGGGATGAAGTATCCGAGACCGAAAGCGAGACGTCGCGCGTGGCAGACGACGTCAACGGACTAGCCTTCTCACGGCAATCGCTCAATGCCTCATACCTGGGTATATCCTCGGTCCCTACAATTCTCAAAGTCATCGCCCATCTCTCTCCTCATGTCCAGCAACGAGTACCCAAGGGCTCTGAAGCTTGGCGGAGTCCATCAACCCTGGCTGCTAGTCCAGGAGACATAGCCTGCCTGCAGGTAGACGAGATACCGCTTATAAATGCATACTTCAGCCACGTGCACCCTGTCATCCCAATGGTGGATGAAGCCGACTTTCGTCAGCGATATCTTCAATCTAATGCTGAAGAAGATGAAGCGGGCCCATGGCTCGCTCTGGTGAACATGGTGCTGGCTATGGGCTCAATGGCATCAGACTCAATCCACTTTAGCGCGCACAACCCATTTTACAAGCGAGCTTTGCCTCATCTAAACATCAACTCTTTTGGTTCCGGTCACCTCTACATGGTTCAGGCACTGGCTCTGTATAGTGGCATGGTTCTTCACTTCCTCAACAAGCCCAACATGGCGGTTGCTGTCATGGGGGCAACCCTGCAGATGGCCGTCGCAATGGGCTTGCATAGAGTACAGGCTTCTCAGGCCTCGACGAATACAGCTTTCCATCCCGCTAATGGATCAACTGCCACACGAATACGTACTTGGTGGTCTATTTTGTGTCTAGATACGTGGGCTTCGTCCACGTTGGGGCGTCCTAGTCATGGATATTGGGACCCAGCTATAACGTTGACTTCGCCCATGTCAGTCCTCCAAGATCTGGTAAGCCACACTGACCGCTGCCATCTGGATGCCTTTGCTAAAAACGCATTGTCGCATCCTAGGATTACGGAACTATATCCCTCGCCGCCAGTGAAAGGTTCTGTCGAATTGCCACGCGTGTACAACAGCGACTCGCCCGGTTGCCTCTAATCAGCCCCGATGAGGTTGACGAATTCGATCGCGAACTGATTGCCTGGAAAGACTCGTTACACATGTTCCTAGCTCATCGTGAGCAATGTCCGCCAAGCGTCAATACTGCGCGCGCCATTCTTTGGTGGCGATGGATCACGACTCGACTCACACTCTACCGTCCAGGCTTATTGATCACAGCGCTGCGTCACAGACCATGGGGACAAGAGAATACCCGCGAAGCGACCCATACACGAAAATGTATACAGGTTGCAAAGGAGGGAGTTGATCTAATGGTCCTAGATTGGGCCTCGAACCAGTTTCTTTGCTGGAACAGCGCTTGGAACCTCTTTCAAGTGTCATTAGTCCTCGTTCTAGGGTTAATCTCCGACAAAGAAGCGGCGGATAAATTAGATTGCTACGCATACGTTTGTCAGGCGATCGAATTATTTGCTCAGATGGAGCCTATCGACGCTGGTTGCACTCGCAGTCGCAAGCTCCTTCAAGGTCTGTTGGATAACACCAAGGGTTTTGAGACAAACGATGCCTCTTCAATATCTGACGGTTTTGATTTCTCTATATTTGACTATCTCGGTACGGATACCATTTGGGAAGACACGGATTGGCTAGGATACCTTTAGGCTGAGATGACTCGGACACTTCTGGTATTAGCTTGCAGAAGAGGGTGTGTAGTAAACCGATTTTGAAGACCCTCTAATATGCAGAATCTTTACTCATAACCCGTCAGTTGGCGCGAACAGAGCAAACGATCTTTGGTGAACCACCGATAGCCAAAGCCCTGGTGCAGTTCTAAGTCTCTTGTGATTCTTCGTGGTATATTTCCGAGCGTTGCATAGGTAGCTTTGTAAACGTATCTACGGAAGAGGAATTGGATTGAAAGAATAGTACATTACGGACACTAGGCCTTGTACTGCTATTAAGTATTTACTGCTCTACAGTTTGAACTCTATATACATGAACAAAACACCTTTCAAGAGCTTACGCCTTGACAGTAGCACCAGAAATGCTAATAGTATAATCAAGACCCTTTGAAACCTCAGCACTCAAATTAAAGCCATCGTACAAGATAGGCTTAGCAGGAGCATTAGCAACAACAACACTGACATCGTCACCAGCCTGAACAGGAACAGTACCAGCACCACCCGTGAGCGTATCGTAAGAAGATTCACCGTCCTTGCGGTAGATAGCAACAGTAGCCACGAACTCAGCATCAGCAGAAACCTTGACCTCGAGTGAAGTACCAGTGACGTCGAGAGGAATAATGTTGGCGCCCATGTAGCGAGGTTGGCGATCAGCTTTGGGTTTATAAGATCCAGTACCGGCGGCTTCGATGTCGGCGAAGGGGATATCAGCGCGTTGCTGGAAGAAAACCTCTTGGGCGGTAGGATGGCCGATATCAACGTAGGCCATGCGAGCCCAGTAGCGACCGACGATATCACCAACAGTAGCGTTCTGCGAAACGCGAGCGAGAGTGTGAAGAGGCGTCTCGTTGCTATCCTTCTCGTACTGCAATTGTAGCTGCCGAATGGTATCTTGACCCAGACCAGCAAAGTCATCAGGGTTGTAGGTCAAGTAAGCCAGGAAAGGCCAAGCTTGGTAGTAATTACCAGTATCAACGGATCCATCGACAATAACCTGGTGAGAATCACCAAGAACCTTCTTGAGCTCGATTTCGGTGGGTGAAGTCTCCTGATTATGGTTCTTTCGCGCGGGTGCGCAGATGTCAGAGGTCTTGTATGTATCAGCGACCCAGTTCGCAAGAGTCTCCCACCAAGCGCCAGTTCGACCCTGGTTAACCCAAGCCTTTTGATGATAATGCAATCCGTGACCGTACTCATGGACAGTGACACCCGGAACAGCAAGGTACTGATCAACGACCTCGAGATACGCCATGCCCGTTGCCTGATCACTATGCATCACGCCCGCCGCACTGCCCAGGTCGCCAACAGTGTAAACGTTAGTTTTATACTTGGGTCCAGAATCAGTATCGTCGTTGAATGAAAGACCAGGTGATCGCCACTTCAGTGTTCCAACGAAGCACTCGTATGCTGCCTCGAGCATCTCGAGCGATTGGGCGGTTGCATTGGCGGTACCGGCGTAGATGCGAAAGTGCGCTGAGTCCTTGAAGTTGGAGCCACCAGGGCCGATGTTGGGATTCGCAGTGTACGTCTCTGCTGCCGCCGGGGCATCAGCTGTTTGGGTCACGGCCTGGGGGAGAGCGTGGGCGCCAACTACGAGAAGGATCACAGTCGCAGACTTGAAGAGACCCATTGTGACGAGTGAAGAAAACGAAAGTGATTTTTAAGAGATAGAGAAACGAACGAAAGGAACAAGGACGACTGAATGAGCTGGAAAATAAAAACACAGGCGATCATCTTGTTTTTATGCTTGGTTCAAGCTTAACTGGGACGTGCGAGGCGAAGTGCCGGTATTGGTGGACTTTTGATGTTTTGGCTTATGGTGGTTTCAATATGGAGTTTCAGAACAGGGGATTTACTATGTTTAATTGTCGAAACGAGAGAATCTGTTCAGGATCATCGAATTGCCAAGAGAAATTGGGGCTGTTTGATTGCCAAGTGGCATTGATGATGTTTCATCACGGGCTATTTCAGACCGAGGCTTCTGTCAAGCTTCTAGAACCCAACTGCCATCATTTCGAGCTGTATCTCGAACGCTTCATACAATGAAAGTAACAATATGAATTAAGCTTAAAATAGATTTCCGTTTTCCGGTTTGTTTGGGCTAGATTGTTGATCTGGTGACAAGACACTATCATCACGTCATAGCCGATAATTACCCGTCGCATCACGCAATGACCCATGGGTCATCTGGTCATGACTCCATCTCACTACCCATCGACTCATCCTTGTTTCAACATCCCGAATACAACCTCTTACAAAACTACGGCTGATCATGTCTTCAGAACGCGCTGAAGACGCGAGTCAGCAGCCTCTTCTGGCTGAGCATCGGCAAGCAGATCACGATGCAGCCGCGTCGCGGGGTACTTTTACGCGTAACCTCGGCGCCGTCGAAGCGTTCGGTATAGTCGTCAGCATCGTCATCGGAAGTGGAGTTTTTACTTCTCCAGGCTCGATCGACACGAATGTTCCGTCGCCCGGATTGGCGTTGGTTATTTGGTTGATTGGCGGTGTTTTGGCTTGGACGGGTGCCACGACGTTTGCCGAGCTTGGCACAGCTATCCCTGGCGAGGGTAAGATTTATTCTAGTTGTTTTCTTGGAGATTGTCTAACGGTTACAGGCGGCGTTCAGCCATATCTTCAGCATATATATGGTGATGTCTGGGGCTTCCTTGCAGCGTGGACGTGGATCGTCACCGTCATGCCAGCAACGCTAGCGATCCTCTCCATCGTCTTTGTCGAAAGTGCCTACTCAGCCGCAGGCGTGATAAACGAGGACCACCGCATATCGCATAAGCTTCTCTCAATCCTGGTCCTCATCATCATGAGTGTCGCAAACTCTATCAGCACGAAAGCAAGTACTCGCCTCAACGGCTTCTTCGTGGTTCTCAAGTTTGTGAGTATTCTTGTTGTCGTCATGGCTGCGCTAGCTGTTGTTGGTGTCCATGCTACGCATCCTGATAAGGAAGTTGGGGGCGGTGATTGGTTCAAGAAGAATTGGTTCGAGTACAGAGATACGTATAATCCGAATGGACCAGATACAGATTGGAGCAAGTTAAGTCAGTGGGAGATCTTCGGACATTACTCTGCTGCGCTTTATGCGGCTCTTTGGGCTTACTCTGGTTGGGACAAGGTGAGTTCCTCATTGTTCACCACACAGTCTTCCGCTGACGTGCCAGGCTATCTATGTTTCCGCTGAGCTTTCACAACCTGCAAAGCAACTCCCTCTGGCTATCAACACCTCAATTCCAACAGCGATCATCTGCTTCCTTGCCGCCAACGCTGGATACTACGTTCTACTCCCATGGGACGTCGTTAGCACTACTGATAGCGTTGCTGTCACTGCTCTCACCCGTCTTCTAGGCCGAGGCTTTGGTATCGTCACGGCTGTCCTCATCTGTCTGGTCGTTGCAGGTTCTCTACTTGGCAACTCATTCGTCGCAAGCCGTATGTGCGTGGCTGCCGCAAGAAAGGCGTGGATTCCCAGTCTTTTCACCATCGTTGGCCGAATCGGCGTGAAGCCTAATGCCCAAGAAACTGTGGAATCTGAAGATGAGTCTACTAAAGAAGCTGGAGACGCGCCTATCAATGCCGTCATACTTTCAGTTATCCTTGCATCATTTTATATTCTCTTTGGAAGCTTTAGAGCTCTTTTGACCCTGAACGGACTAGGAGAGTACTCTTTCTTCTTCCTCACCGTTCTAGGCGCTATTATCCTACGATATCGCGAACTTGATCTAGAGCGTCCTTACAAGACCTTTTCAATCAACCCAGTAGTGTTTGTGTTGGTCAGTGGATTTGTGGTTGTCCGAGGCGCCATCTTTGCGCCTGTCCAGGCCGTTGTCATCCTTGTCATCTGGGCTGTCGGTATTGCCTTTTATAAGGTGCGACAGTACTTGGCCAGGCGTTAGAACTGATTATAGGTAGATCGAGGAATGTGTCATACTCTTTTGGAGAAAGACGGGTCTGCATATGCGATGTGTGACAGAATGGACAATGGCGCCATGGGAGATAGACTTAGAATTGATGGGCGATGTTCACCAAATGATGGCTCATTCTCCATACGAATAACAATCCAATGATTACACAACGTTACATCAGATCGCCTCCGCTAACGGAGATTGTGCGGTTGTTAATGCCGAGTAGGGTAGTCCTCGCCGCACGCAATGCTCGTGGAGATGGCATCATCACAACTAGTATCTACTAAACCACAAAACTGATTAGATCCAGCCATAGTATTGGATGTCAAGGCAAAACTCCATCGGAAGCATGTAACCTATCATCACTTGTCAGGAAGATAGGTGAGCTACCCCACGGACTTAACGTTGATGTGCTTGTTGGATATTTGACGACTTGACCGGGATGCGACCCAGCTTCTTGGTAGAAATCTTGTCATGCATGGCATACAAGGAACCAGCATAAATTCAACACCACCCCAGCATCTAATTATGATGAGTATGCTGATACTGGCTTAACATGTCTCAACCACCTGCAAGGAAATGGTACCATTGGTACTCACCAACCGACACGCCTGAAGAAAAGAAGCTCATCTTGAAGCTTGACCTTCTACTGGTCCCTTATGCATTTGTTCTCTATTGGGTCAAATATGTCGACCAGACCAATATCAGTGCGTTCGACCTTGTAACTACTGTCAGTGGACTTACTTAGACTAAATCCCTGCAGATAATGCCTATGTCTCTGGCATGGCAGAAGATCTCGGTTTTCACGGCAATGAGCTAGTCCAGTTCCAAACAATATTTGTCGTCGGAAACGTCGTCGGTCTTTTGCCGTTCATTTACCTCTTCCCTCGTGTTCCGATGCATATCCTAGTACCCAGTCTTGACCTCGGTATGTTATCCACTACAGCGTGTTCAACTCTCCACTGACTTAATACCAGGATGGGGTATCTTTACCCTCCTTCAGTATCGAGCCACGAGCTATGCAGAGATAATGGCCTATCGTTTCATGGTCTCCATTTTCGAGGCATCATACTTTCCTGGCGTCCACTTTGTACTCGGCAGCTGGTACAGATCAGATGAGATTGGGAGAAGAGGCGGTTTGTTCTATATCGGCCTGACTCTTGGAACCATGACTGCTGGTCTTCTCCAAGGTGCTGCGACTCAGTATCTCGACGGCCACAACGGTCTCGCTGGCTGGCGATGGAACTTCATCATCAACGCAATTATCACACTTCCTCTAGCTTTTGTGGGCTATTTCCTCTGGCCTGGGACACCGGCTAGGCCCAACCGATTGGTCATGAAGAAGTCTGAAATCGCCCTCGCAAAAGAGCGCTTGGAACGTAACGGGGCTAAAGTTCGAAGTACACCCTTTTCGTGGACTTTGCTACGTCGCATCTTCACCAGTTGGCAGTTCTACATCCTTGTGTTTTGGGATATTCTGTTCTTCAACACCAGCGCCAACACAGCTGCTTTCCTGCTTTGGATCAAGAGCTTGGATCGGTACAACACGACCAAAGTGAACCAACTAGGATCAATCAGCCCTGCTTTGGGCATTTTCTTCGTCCTGTTTATTAACTTCAGCGCTGATCTATGGATCGGAAGACCTGCGGCTATCACATTGGCTTCCGTAATCAATTTCACTGGCCTTGTCATTTTAGCAGTCTGGAATGTCCCCGAAGCAGCAAAGTGGTACGCTTACAGTGTTGGGTACTCCGCCGTTGCGGTTTCATCGGTGCTTTACGGCTGGGCAAATACCATTCTTCGACATAACAATGAGGAACGAGCGTTGACTCTTATTCTGATGACGGCTATAGCCACGTCGACTCAAGCCTGGATACCGCTTCTTGTGTATCCTACTGTCGAAGCACCTCGCTTCCCGAAAGGCTACGTCTACTCAGCCACCATGGTTGTGCTTCTCGTCGCCATGACTCAGGTCATTCGTATTGTTTATGGTAGTCACGGGTGAGTTTTGATGAAATGCGTTCACGGACATAAACTAACAATGGGATAGGGAAAAGGTACGCGCCCGAAGGGGTAGTCTCAGTGACGAGAGTGAGGATGGTGAGATTCAGGCTCCTTATGGACTAGGCATTGACAAAGATGCGGGCAAGCATATACAACCTTCCACGGTGGCTATTTAAAGACTTTCAAGGCCATTAGGTATCTAGAAGGCAACATTAGGCGTGAAAGGTTGACAAGATATACTGGAGAAATTGGGTATAGGTCATAAAATGAAAAGCTGTTCAAAATGAGATCTCTTCCAAATGCACTCAATTTGCTGCTACTAAAGCTATTCAGGCAAAACAGGCCTCAAGTAGACCGCAATAGCAATACTACTCTGTCATATTTTAATCAGTGATTCAAATCAACTAACTTTGTAAACCACTCCTAGGGAAATCCACCGCCGAAAATGCCGCCACCGCCGCCTCCGAAGATGCCACCGCCACCGAAAGGGTTAGGCCAGTTAGAAGGATCAAGGCCGTGCAGAATCTTGTTACCGAGGTCGGCAAAATCTCCCCCGAGTGATTGGAAAGCCTGGCCAATCTGATCAGCGCTGAAACCAATGTCACCGAGCAAGCCCTGGATCTGGTCAGCACCCAAGTTATATGCCGTCTGCAGCGCCGAAGCTATAGCAGCAGCATCATTGCCAAACACACTCTGCAGGGCTGAAGCCACCTCTTGAGCGGCAAACCCGGCCTGCTGCATGGCTTGTGCGACGGCCGTTGCCGACAGACCATAAGCAGTTTGTAGACCACTTGCTATAGTATTAGCTGCAAAGCCTGCATCCCTCATAGTAGTGGCGGCCTGGTCGGCGGATTGGTTGAAGGCATTTTGCAAGACGCTTGCGACATTCTCGACGCCTGTGATGACATTCCGCTGGACCTGACCGGCCCACGCGCCAGCGTCATTCAAAAGGTCGCCGAAGATCTGACTGGCATTGCTCTCGATGTTGTTGAGGATGGCGCTGAGTAGATCACTGACGCTTGAGATGTTCACGTCTGCCGTGAAGTCGCCGAAGTTACGGGTCAGACCTTCGAAATCGAAACCTCCCCCGACTGATAGCACAATATCTGAAGAGCTTGTATTCAATTTGAAGTGCGCGTTGACTAGTGTCGCCAAGGGAATAGAACCAAGGCTTACGCCGGCGATTGAGGGTAGCGAAATAGTGTCATTGAGACCGTATTGGAATGAGGCGTCTAGATTGTGAAAATCGGATAGTGTGCAGCTCATGTCCGAAGAAATGATGCCGCCAAACCCTACGTCGAACTTGATGCCGCTCGAGGTGACATCGGCCTCAATATGCCAGTTCTCGACCTCAAATAGATTGATAGAACCGTTGAGGTGCAGGAAGGGCGCGCCCAGAGTCTGGATCTTCAACACTGCGCCTCCCGGAGGAACCATCTGTTTCGTCGTAACATTTTGTATCGCCTGCTTCTGCTCAGCCTTGGTGATAATCTGATTGTTCTTGATGGGATTTCCGCTGGCATCAACCTTCAACGTAACGCCAGTGCCATCTCCCTGTATCGAAAAGATGTTGCCGAGTGACAAGGGCGACATTTCAATGTCAGCCTTCACCCCGTCGGTGAGGTCGAGTTCTACGTCGCCGTAGAAGTCGAAGCCAAAAATGTCAGCTGCCGCGCTGAAGCCGTAGCCCATGTTGGAAAGGGACCCGTCAGGCAACACGACAGGTTCCATCGGGTTCTCGGACCACTGAAAGGAGAGATCGGAGAACAACACGGGTACATCTACAGGGCATCGAGCGTTTGTAAAGACTGTGTATACATCCGTGAGGTGCATCTGGGGTACGTAGAAAGAGATGTAAAGAGGGTTTGGCACCTCCTCTATTAACTGACAGACAACCACGAACGAGTCGTCGTCAAGAGGCACGATGGTATTGTTGGCGGCGTCGCCGATGTGTAGTTGACCTGATAAGCCAATTGCCGCGCTTGGCGGCTCAAAGATGATTCCGATGCCGACTCCAAACGAGTCAAAGTGCACGCCCTTCATAGTTGGTGGCGCTGGTAACGGGCCCTTATCTCCTTTGATGACTACACCAAAGGCAGCCTCGATGTTGTCGATTGTCATAGACAAGTCAGCCTCAAATTTGTTATCGAATATGTCAAACGGCATGTCACCGGTAACAGTGAAGACAACGAACTTGAACAGAGGGTTGATGTCAATGGTGGCAGTGGGTTTGTTGATATTCAAGGTCCCCGCGCCGCCAAATGGTACGTGCATAGCATCAAGGCTGATAGACAGACGCGTGCCGAATATATTCAGGCCCACGGCGTAATTGAACATGACTGAGACCTGGAGGTGCTTGACATTGAACAGCGACCCGAAAAACTGTAGTGCCTCATCTGACTGGGCAGGCAGTTTCTTCAGATCTATCCCTGCTTGAAGAGCGAGGGTATCATTATTGGTATTGCAAGTGAAATTGGTCACCACAATATCCGGAAGGAATTCAGGCCAGGTTGCGCCCAGCAGCGTCGCAAGAGTACTGAGGGAGTACAAGGCTTGGTCCATAGGCTTGCCCTTTGACTCTGGTTGCTCTGCTGTGTATGTAATACCCATCATGTAGGTAGCAAACGTACAGCTCTTGTACTGCTCATGCTGGGCAAAGAACTTGTTCACGGGCGTGACTTGTGGCTTGGATGTGTCTTTCCAGATAGCATTGAAGGCCTGCGTGAGCGGGTCGTTCTTATTGTTGGTGATAAACGTGATGAAAGCCATGGTTTGAGCCATGGCCTTGACATCGGCTTCACCAACGGCGAATGGGCCGGTGCTCACATCTTGCAAATAGATGATGCGTGCCAGGGGAGAGTTAGACTTTGCATCACTAACGATCAGCACTGAGGTCGGGTGCTTGAGTTGCAGTGAAGCTGTAGTCTTGGCAGGCACAGTATCAATGAGGGTCAAGGTGCCGAAATAGTTGGTCTTGTCTTGGACACTGAATGAGTCGTAGACCGTGACGCTGACGTCCAGGTGGTTGGCAAAGGATATCTTGGGGGTACTCATGATGAAAAGGCTAAGCGGTGTTGAAAGAGAGAAGAGAGAAAGGTAAAGGAAAAGGCAGTGATGGAATGTTTGAAAGCTGTGATTATTGCGGTGGTAATGGCTGATAATTAACTTGATCTAGGAATGTTACTGTGACTTACATCCTATCCCACTCAGCCTTCTTGTTATCCATTCGAGGCCACTGGCTTGTGCGGGTATATCCGAACCCGCCATATCAACACCCCGGGCCGATCCCTCCGTCATAGGGCGGAGCATCAGCTCTCCTCGTTGCGGACGCTATTTGTTCTAGACTCTTCATATTTCCGCGAATCGAGTTGAGTAGCAGACATCTGTGTGATACAAGATTATTCCAAGCAGCCACATACGAATCAATTACAAGGCATGTTACTGGATCTTTTCCCGCAGATAGTCACAAGTCCCCGCTCTTTGGCCGGTTGTGCGGCTCATCGAGAGCTTAGGGCTGACGCTTGAAACCAATAGCGACACTCGTGGCTGGCTAGTTCGAACGGCTGAGCAGGAACTATTAATGTCATCGAGGGGTGATAGGCGGCCCAAGCTCCTTACGTGGCGCTAGCTACAGCAGCTAGCGACGAGATGTGCCGATAGGGAGTTTAGGGCTGCATGTTTCGTATTCTTGCCGAAAATGGCGGCCCCTTGATTCGCAGCGATACGGCACTGAGACTAGTGACGAGCTGCATTGGGACGAAAGTCCCGTTTCTCGGCATTTTGATTCCGTATGGGGGTAACCTCAACCATCCCAGCTACGACATCGATACTGAGAGTGGTAAGGCGAGTGCTGACTTACATCAATAGTGAGCATTGAGCTGACTGATTTGAATCAATAGCTGGAAGGCGGTCAGATGAAGACGGACTGGCCGGGTAGTGGCTGGCTGAATACAACTAGAAATCTAACTTTTGGCATATTCCTGAGAGTTGGTTACCCCTCATGGTGATCCAGATATGGGTTCTATGCCGAACATACTAAGCCATTCTCTCATCACTAGTGTAAGCGGCCTCGTCGATTTAAATAAGTGCCGAAAATCTAGACTAGCTTACTTGAACTGGTGGTCAGAATGGTGGCTGGCTGAACCTCCTTTAACTACAATGACTACATTACTGATACATGGCTTGTGATGTTATGCGGAGGCTGAGCATATTAAACATCATCTGACAATACATGATTGGGTGAAGACCAAGGAGAACGGGTAACGGGCTTCCGAGATAGTTTGAGCGAGACATACTGGGTCTTCCCGTGAGGGACAACTTCAATAATTCGAGCCAGCACAGTAACAACTACATTGTTCAGAATACTTGACAGCTCGCTACTGTCATTGAATTTGTATATATATATAGCTGCCAAGGCTGCACTATTCATATCTATAGCCACGCATCCTTACAATCATCAAACACATCAAACCACCCTCCTTCTCACTTAGCAACTCCCGCTTTTACTATTTACCTTGAACAATCATGAGTTCCACAAACCCCGTTGCCTCAATCACCAACAACTCTGGTTCCTCTGTGGACATTTACGATGTCTTCAACCCTAGCACCGACCCCAAGGTGCAGGGGCCGTTGACATACACCAAGCTGGCCACTGTCTCAAGCGGCAGCACCCAGCAGGTGCAGACCATTCACTTTGCCAGCCAGCTTCAGGCCATGTTCACCGGCAACGTCACAGCACTAAGCGGTACCTTCTACCAGCAGTTCCCCGTAGCTGTTCTGGCAGTCTCCCCTTTCGCTGATTCAAACGCCTTTACTGTTACCAGCGACAATCAGCAGAGCATGGTGGACTCATTCAAGTTCATCAAGTACACCCAGGCGAACCCATCTTCGCAACTGGCTACGCAGTTCCGTACAGCTCTGGGTGACACGACTAACCAGAAAATTGCGGTCAACAAGTTCTTCCAGGGCACTGGTAGCTTCAAACTGTGCACGCTCACTACCTGGACTGCGGTCTTCACCTGGCAAGCTCAGTTCACGAACCCATGGCAGGGAACCTACTACCTCTACAGCCTTGATAAGGTCCCGGCTTTGGTAGCAACGCTGGCCATTACCGCTAGTGCTGATAACAGCTCGGCTGTGCTTACTATGGCTGGTACAAACGGCGAGAACACTTCGGTGGTGATGGCTGGTGATAGTACCATGTCGGAGCAGAACCAAGGTACTGGCAACTTGTCTGTTGCGCTGACCCCCACCTGGCTTAATGTAGCCCAGACCAGTCAGCAGGACGGCAAGACTGTGTCCAACTATGTTATTGGAGCTGCGTTCACGGGTACTATCAATGGTCAGAAGGTGGCTGGTAACCTCAATCAGCTGGCCATCCCAGACCCCTCTGATAGCTGCAAGAACGCCAGCAACAAGAACTCGGCCAATGCCTTCTCTATGAACAGTCTCGAGGGCTTGGTAGGTATGTTGACCAGCATCGGTATGCTGTACTATATGGCCAAGGGCCATAAGGAGGCCGAGACTCAAAAGAAGAATGATGTGCAGAAGGACGCCACCAGCAAGAAGGACGCGAAAGATAAGGAAGCTGAGGTCACTGAGAAGTATCAGGCCGAGTCAGTGCCAGAGGTGCAAGCACAGGCGGAGAAGGTCGAGCCCACCGTGCCTCAGGTGCAGAGTGGCTACAAGGAGGTCAACCAAGCCCAAGACATCCAAGGCAAGACAGACACCATCCGCCAACAGGAACAATCTTTGAACGAAGTCTTGGAAGGCGGTGCTCCATCCGAGGCGACAGAGGCTACAGCCCTCAACCTCTCCACGGCCAGCAAAGAAGTTGCTTCGGCAACGGACCCAAGCAAGAGCCCTGAGGAGCGTGACGCATTTCTGAAGGATGCCACGACGACCCTGAACAAGACGAGTGAGGAGATCCAGACCGCGTTGAAGGAAGAGGGTGGAAATCTTTCGCAGGAGGAGGCGCAGAAGCTGGAGGATGCTAGTAAGGCGATTGATGAGACGCAGAAGGAGGCTGAGGCTGAGAAGGAGGTTCAGGAGGAGCAGGAGCAGGAGAATGAGGATAGTCCGGATAATGAGGTGGATGATACTGATTTTGACCCGCCTGAGGGACGAGAGGCACCTCCTTTTGAGGGGGGGATCTAGTAAACCAATTTTGTTGAGTGAATGGTTGCTCGCTGTGGGTTTTACTTAAGATACTGCATTTGCTTGAAGAACATAGGTACCATTTGTGGAATTTGTTACTATGAAGGTTTTTCTGAATTTGAAGCTATTTCGTGATATCCATCAATTTCAACTATCAGCGTCGGATAAATACAGCACTCCGAATATCGAGAAATTACAGTCTTGATATAAGGATTGAGACAAAGTCTTGCCCTTGAAACCAGTAATCCATAATCGGCTCGAGGCTTGAGAATCCCCGAGTTATTGAGATTATTCAACGTCGACAAGACGTTTAGCCACGGCTTTCTTCTGACAACTCGTTCTGTTGAGGTGTAAACATCGTATCGGTCAAAGGTTAATTGTGGCCAAAGGATTATCTCACGAGTGATCTTGTGAAGTACCCCTATGCACGATGGTCATAGCTCTTCAGCCGGAACTGCTGCAGTTATGGCTATCTCCCAGCGGTCCGATATTCTCAATACTACGTCACAAGCAATGGCATTTCACTCGTCTGATAGGGAGCTGGGTGAAGGAACCTCTTTTGAAGATCAAGCTAAGGAGACAATCAGGTCCTGGAAATCGTGATCGGGAAGTGGGAAAACTTTATCCAGGGAGATTATATCACTGCAACATCCAAATCAAAGTGTTCCTGAATATCACAATTTACAACGTGGCATTCGGCAGTTAGACCTCCTCAAACTCGTGTCCCCTATCCTCAGGACTCAGCCCCATCGAATAAAAATCACCAGACCCTTGTTTATCTAAATTGCAAGCGAGTGCCGATCACTCCAGCGGTTCTGGATCCTCATGGATATAAACCCTACCAGCGTAGTTGCCGACCTAGCCATAGCCTATCAAAAGATTTGGAATAGTCTCAGTGTAGCATTGGCCAAAGGTCGTAGCCGGGGAAGCCGTATAGCTCTTCCTGGCCGTTGGTTCCACGAGAGGGGTATTTAGTCTATTGATACAAAATTAACCTCAGTCCACTTCAATTGTTTCGTTTCTTTCTTTGTATCTTCAAAATGCCTGGGTTCAAGGTCCTCATTATCGGCGCTGGGCCAACAGGTCTTCTAGCGGCGCTTGCGCTGCAAAGAGCAGGAATTGATTTCACGATCTTGGAGAGGAGAAAAGAAGCTGATTTAAATTGGGGTGCTTCGGTATGTCTTTGGCCACAGAGCGCGAGAGTTCTGGATCAGCTTGGTTTGCTTGATGAAGCACGCTCGCTGCATTTGCCGGTGAGGAAGAAATGCAATCTTAGGCGGGATGGAAGCGTTATGAGTTGGAGTAACATGATGGAGAACCTTGGTCACTAGTAAGTTCACTCCCTCCCATCTTGGCTCTTTGGTGAAATCTGACGTTTATAGTCACGGTCATGAATGGATGCTCTTCCAACGCGGCGATCTGGTCAATCTTCTCATGGGCGATCTTTCCGATATAACGAACCAACTCCTCGTCGACAAACAAGTCACCTCAATCGCCTCGGGCCCCGATGGTGTTGAGGTCAAGTGCGCAGATGGTCATACATACAGCGGCGATCTCATTATCGGTGCAGACGGTATCAACAGCACAACACGAACCTTCGTCGACGGCATCGGTCCTGATGCTGCAAGCGGCGACTTTACAACAACCTTCTACGGTTTCTACGGCCACGGCACCACTGTATCCAAAGATCTCGAACCTGGCGTCGATTACGAATGTCACTCCGAGGGTTTCAGCGCCCAACTCATCATGCCGTCGCACGAGAAATACTTCTTCACCATTTACCTCAAACTCGATAAGCCAACAACCGATCGCTATTACATCTCCGCTGAGGAAGCCGATGCACTTGCAAAGAAATATGGTGATATTTATCTCGCCCCAGGGGTTACGTTTAAAGAAGTCTGGGCCGCAAAGAACTGGACTCACACCGCTCCATTCGAAGAAGGCGTCGCAAAGAAGTGGTTCAGAGACCGCGTCGTCCTCGTCGGCGACTCCGTTCACAAAATGACACCCAACATTGGCTTCGGCCTAAACACAGGATGGCAATCCACCGTCGTGCTGATCAACCTTCTCCGCGACCTTCTTCGCGATAACCCGAACCCCGATATAAAGGAGCTTACAAAGACGTTTGAGGAGTACAAAAATACACGCTTCAACCATGTTACCAAGGACGTTGAACTAGCGGGTACGACGACGCGGTCGGTCATGTGGGATAATTTCTTGTGGAAGTTTTTGGATCAGTATATTATGCCGTATATCAACGGCGATACTATCTTGGCGAAGCTTATGTGCTCGCCGACGGTTCAGAAGGCTGTGACATTGAACTTTTTGCCGGAGCCGAATTTTAAGGAGGGGCTGTTGAAGTGGCATAATAAGCCGGTTATTGTGAAGGAGTGAGGATAATGGTGGGTTGTCGGAGGGGTGTTTGCGTAGAATCACATAGCATAGCATGCTTTTCATTGAGTCTAATACATAATGTCTCTTTTAGTTGTCTCCTGTGCAATGTGGATTTTGTTCTAAAGCCTTCTAGCTGAAAAGTGTATCTTACTTCCTCAACTCCGCTGTCGCTTCTGTTAAAGCCTCAGTCAAAGTTGTCTTGCCATAGATAACATCAACGTCACTCGGCTTCGAAAGATCCTTCTCAGCAATGCCACCGGGCAAAAAGCATGTACTCATTTCAACCCACTCATTCACAATCTGCGGCGCAAATATCTTGCCATAAAATTCCGCAAGGTCTTCTTTCTCAACCGCCTTGATCTCAACGTCCCTACCCAACGCCTGCGACAATGCCCTCTGTGCGTCCAGCGAAGAATATGGCTCCGGTCCGTGTAGTTCCATGATATAAGGTTTGCTTGGAGGTGTCCAGTCGCGAGTGAGTTGTGTAGCCATTGCTTCGCCAATGTCTTGAATGGCGACCATGGCGATCTCGAAGTCTAGTGGCGTGATGGTCGAGAAGAAGAAGGGGTTTGGGCCTTTGAGTGTTTCGATGGACATGGTCCAGTTTTCCATAAAGTATGAGCATCTGATAATAATGATCTCAGGGATATCCGTGGTTTTTAAAACTTGTTCCGAGATGTGATTTGTCTTCAGCTCGCCCTTTGAAGCTTGTTTAGTAGAGATCAGCGAGGGCTAGCGCTTAGCTTACCACGCCCTCTGAGAATTCAGCACCAACGCTCGAGAGCAACACAAGTCTTTTAACGCTACCAGCCTTCTCAATCGCTGTTTTGACATTTTTTGAGATTCTTTGCGCATGCTCAACGATATCGCGGCCGTCGTAGGCAGGCGGAAGGACCATCAAGACGGCATCGGAACCGGAGAAGTCTAGGGTATTCACATCTCCAACATCACCTTGAACCGCCGTGAAATTGTTGGCAGAGCTAAACTCGCCCGGGACTTTCTTTGGATCACGGTACAAGCCTTTGACCTGAACATCGGGGTTTTGTGACAACAGCGAGCGAATGGCTGCTGTGCTCGTTTTGTTACTTGCCGGTGCGATTGTAACCTGCATTTTGGTTCGATTAGAATGGAGATGGTGAGGACTGAACAAAGTGGAAATGGTCGAATGATAAGCGCATGAAACGTGAATCATGCGCTCTCATGAGTTGAAAGTTTTAGTCAGCAAAGTTGAATTCACGTTGATTCAGCTGATTCTCCGCGTTATTTGTGAACATTCTCACGCCAGATCTCATGTCAGTGGCTGGACAATGACATCACAGTACTTTAGCTAATGTGGGTTTTAAGTCGTCCAAAAATGCAGTTCTTTTAGCGGACCCTTGATGACTGATAGCGCACTACAGGAAGGACAACTAATATCTCTCTTCAACTTGTGGAATTGAAGGGCTTACACTAAAGACATTCAAGCAAGTTAAATAACACAGTGATATCTAATTATTTTTACCCAACTTAGAGTTATCAATCAGCGAACATGCAGTAGCGCGACAGGTCGGCCCCCATAGCGAAGTCCTTCTTTAGCAGCCCCTTACATATATCGTCCAATTCCTCATCCGATCAATGTCTAGTGCCAATTCCAGCTCACGGCCCTCGTTCTTGAAGTAGGCGATACAAATCTTGCAGCCTGTCACTGCAGCTACAAGAGCATATCTCAGTAGTGGCTCCCATTCAGCCTGAAACGCAAGTTGCATATCCTCTGATATTCTTGGCGGACCATTGAAATGCTCAATGATCTTCCGCTTTTGGGATTCCGTTGGAGGCACAGAAGGTCTCTTGACGCCAATATGTTATCTACTCCGCTTTGTGTTTCGTGCGTCTTGATGTATTCGATTGCCTTTATTGCCATGTAGATTCGCTTGCTAGATCCTGTATCACTAGAAAAGCATTTCGACCAGATGTTGACGATAATGTCTAGCACGCGATCCATTGACCGCCAGAATACAAGGCCGCGTCGTGTCCGGCGGCGAACACAGTCCAAGTATACGGGGAGGAAGCGTTCTTTGGTCATTTCTGGATTAAACTTAAGGGCGACAATCCATCCACCTCTAGCTTCATCGTTTTCTTTGGTGATACTATAGCCCAAAGGATCATCAAGCAAAGGTGGATGTCCCCGTACCAGTCGATCCACGTAGTCCTTGGTGAGTTTCCTAGTAAGAGTCCCCGTCAAGTGGACGATCAGAATGCCGGAATTCAGCTCTTGTAGCCTCAGCTCTACACCCGCCACGTAGAGTCTACGCTCCTTGGAATAGATAACGTTATCGTCGTGATCTTTGTGAGTCGAACACATGAATATAAACGCAATGATGACCTTGTAGTCCACTTGAATGAAGGTTTTTCTGAGTGGAAGTTGCTCGGGTTTCTTGACAAAACGGTCAGAAGCATTGGCTTGCCAGCAATTGATGACGGTGAGAAGGGTCTGGTTCCAGCAAGTCTCGTCCTTCGAATGCGCACCCTCATGACAGTCTTTAGTCCATATGGAAGTGCAGACATGGATCTTTTCAATCGGAAAGCCGATATATGGAGGCTGCAGGAGGAATTAGAACAATCAGGGCTTTTACCTTCACAGCGAAGAGACTCTCAAGGCGACTACATGGTCTCTGACTGCGTGCCAGACTCGGATGGACCACCGCAGTCCTGGCTAGACATCTTTGAAGAACTACCAGCATCGACAAAGGACAGGATTGAGCTGCCGAATATCAATTTCTCGGAATGGCAGCTTACAGAGTCGGAGAGCTGTCTCATGCCCGAGAAACTCAAGAGTGAAGCGAAGAGCAGGACTCCGCTTCATGAAGCAGCCTTGCACGGTCAATTGGCAGCAGCCAAGTTTTTGTTGTCATACTCTAGAATTGACGCAGAAGTCGGTGATGTTGATGGCAAGACGGCAGCGGAAATAGCACCGGATCGCGGATACCACGATATCCATAACCTTTTCATCACTCACATGAGAGGGCGATGAGTTGATGGGGCAAATATTAACGAAGCCCGGAGAGCTAAGCGCGGCGCGATCGGCAGTTACCGCCAAGCAAAAAAAAAAAAGCCTCAACACCAAACCATCATCTCGTGATATTGTATCAGAAGATTTTTCACGACATTTTAGGTAAGAAGGGTCCACTAAAATAGGCAGCGAAATAAAAGTTGTTACCCCGTGTCGCTGAATGGAGAGATCCCCGTGGAGTAGAAGGCCGAGAATTGGGCCGATGGGAACTGGAGAACGATGGTGATCGGATGAAGAGAATTTCAAGTGGATGAAAACAGCTGTAGAAGGTTGTCTACGTCGAGACACAGAAACAGCTTCATAATTAATAGGTCTGGTCAACGCCAACTGTCGAAAGTGTCGAGATTGAATGACCGAGAGGCTCAATTGACACGAGAGGCAAACATTATATTAGATGTAACAAATGCAAATGAAACGTTTCGTCGCCAAGAATTAACCAGTCTCCATAACCATCGCAACATCTAACCATCATTCTAGAAAACAAACCGGTAATAAGAAACCTGTAATCGTGCCATAAACTCCCGGAATTAATATCGTGATGGAGGCTCTGCGGTCCGTCATGCACCATGCGCTCTGGCTCTGAAGCGAAAAAAAACTCGCTGGTGGAGAATCACGAGTCGTTCCCCAGCGGAGCCCCCAAAATGTGTCTGTCGCGTGCCAGTTCCAGTGATGACATTTCATTATTCCAGTCTGTTAATTCCGAACCCTGCCAAGATGAAAAAGCCGAGAATTCAGCTGCCCAGACCCAAAATGATCGATCGCCCAGAACGGCTTCTTCGGTATCTCTGCTTGGCCAAACCCTCCGAGTCGTCAAAATTACAGGGGTTATCGGTAGAGGGTGCACTGTGACGCAATGCACGCGGGAAATAAGCAGGACCTAAACTAAACTAGAGCCTCCTTTCGATGAAGTCATGGCATATGGGGACCAAGCTTAGTTTTATCAAGAATTGTGCTGCCTGGTTGTGGACTCGAAGCGGTAAAACCGATTGGAAGAGCGATAAATGCTTGATCCTATCAATTTGGTTGGTCGGTTGAAATCCTTTTGTTTGTCACGACGTCATTGCTGAACCTGACTCGGCCGAGTTTAACAGCAACAAACAGTGGCTTTTTGCTGTTGGATGAGTCTCTGATCAGCAAATTAGCTGCGTGATGAAATAACCACAGCACTAAGCTTGTCTCCTCTCGGCCATCTCAACACCCCTAATCTCACCCTTGACTGCTGATCTCTCTCTTTGTGTCGGCTACAACGGCACACAATCCCAAACTCCCTCTTCCCCACGTAACCATCGGTGATGTCAAGAGTGGATTCTCCCAAGTTTCGTTTCTTGTCAAACTGGTGATCCCCCAGCTTTTCTTTTTTAAATATGCACCGTTATCCCCAGTTTGTCAACAAGCTTAAACTGCAGGCTGTACCATAAACTCAGGTGTTCAACATGCCGACTCATTTCTCAGACGATCCCCCGCAGGTCATTAATCAGAATGACCTGCACGTCGCTAATTCGCGGCTCCAGCAGAACTTGGATGGTTCTACAGACCACAGTGGCGATGAGAGAACGCATAATGCTAATGGTGCTGGGCTAGAGAAGCTGGGTACCTACGACAAGTATGAAATCACTGAGGATGATTGCTACGATGAGCTGGGCTATTCGTTCCCCAAGTGGAAGAAGTGGTACATCCTCACCGTCATCTTCTGGGTAAGTTTCCCAAGTCTTGCTGTTTTTAACCACCATCTAATGCATTCAATAGGTCCAAGTCTCCATGAACTTCAACACCTCCCTCTACTCAAACGCCATCCCAGGCATCTCCGAAGAATTCCACGTCAGCGCCCAAGCCGCCCGCTGCGGCGCCATGATCTTCCTCGTCCTCTACGCCTTTGGCTGTGAGCTCTGGGCCCCCTGGTCAGAGGAATTCGGTCGATGGCCCATCATGCAGGCCTCTCTGTTTCTTGTAAACATCTGGCAGCTCCCCGTCGCACTGGCTCCCAACTTCGCTACCATCATGGTCGGCCGTGCGCTTGGTGGTCTTTCATCAGCTGGTGGCTCCGTCACGCTCGGTATGATTGCTGATATGTGGGAGTCCGATAACCAGCAGTACGCTGTTGCTTATGTTGTTTTCTCTTCGGTTGGTGGTTCGGTCCTTGGACCTATTGTTGGTGGTTTCTGCGAACAGTACCTTCATTGGCGCTGGTCAATCTGGATTCAGCTTATCCTCGGTGGATTCATCCAGATTGTTCACTTCCTTACTGTTCCCGAAACTCGAAGCACAATCCTCATGAACCGCATTGCCAAGAAGCGAAGAAAGGAGACAAACGCCAACTTCTGGGGTCCCGATGAACTCGTCCCCTTCCGCGAGCGTTTCTCCGCCAAGGAGATCCTCATTACATGGACACGTCCCTTCAAAATGTTTCTCACAGAACCCATCGTCCTTGTCCTTTCTCTCCTCTCCGGTTTCTCCGACGCTCTCATCTTCATGTTTATCCAGTCCTTTGCTCTGGTTTATAAACAGTGGGACTTTGATGCGGTCCAGATTGGTCTGACATTCCTTGCTATCGGTATTGGATATCTCATTGCTTGGTTGGCGTTTATTCCTGCTATCAAGAAGAACATCAAGGAGCGACGCGAGAAGCCGAATGATGAGCGTGCGCAGTATGAGTCACGTCTGTGGTTCTTGCTTTACACTGCGCCTTGCTTGCCTATTGGATTGATTGGTTTTGCTTGGACGATTCAGGGTCCTCCAATTCATTGGATTGGCTCTTTGATCTTTGCTGCCATTGTTGGTATCGCCAACTACGCTATCTATATGGCCACCATTGACTACATGATCTGTGCCTGTAAGTTCACTCACCTCAACGTGCAAAGCCTTCAACTGACAACATTCAGACGGCCCCTACTCTGCTTCAGCTACTGGAGGCAATGGCTGGGCTCGAGATTTTCTCGCTGGTGTTCTCACAGTCCCCGCTACGCCATTCTTCAGCAACATCGGAGCTTCATCCGGTAAAAATCTTGAATACGCTTCGACCATTCTATTCTGTATCTCATTCGTTCTCGTCATCGCGGTGTATGTTATTTACTGGAAGGGTCCAACTCTGCGAGCACGATCACCATTCGCTCAGCGTCTCGCTGGTGAGCGTCAAGAGAACGCTGAGCAGGGACGTCGCGGAAGCGTTGCCTATGATGCCCGACGAAGAAGTAAGTCAATCGAACGTCACAACCTAATATTTAATACTAACGAATTATCAGGCTCCACTGCAACTGGAACTTCCGACGTTGAGCGTCCCCCCGTTGCTGCCCGCCCAAGCTATGGACGCCAGTACAGTAACTCCAACCGTTTCTTCGGCGAGAGTCGTGTTACTCCCCGTGGAACTCCCAGAGGTACACCTTCGGCGAGTCGTCGCAACAGCAAGCATTACTAGAAGGGATGTAGGTGTTTGCATTTAAAAATGTTGGCCATTTTCTGAATGATACCCTGCTGAAAACGAGCTATATGAATTGTACATTATCTATTTAGTTATACCATATTACAGTCCAATAATTGTAAATTATTACAGAAAGAAACAGTAAATAACTATTCTCGTCGTAATCAAACATGTTGCTGGAGACTTGCTTTCCAATGTCCTGTGATATCGGTAGCGTAAACCTGCCTACGTACCGTTGCGGAAAAGTTAGTTGAAGAGTGGGACTGCGTTCAGGGCTTGGTTTGCAGTAGCTACGTCAACATGATGCTTCTTCAAACTTTTGGGGGGTCAAAACAGGCAATGGGTCTAAAGCTAGCATGAGCAATTTTCCCTATTATGAGGGAGTTCAATAGACTCGAACTTGTACTGGAATCTCCCATGAGGTCAAGGTTCGGTGCGAGGTGTGAAAAAGGCCATCACGAGAACAGTGAACCTACCGCTCTGAACTGCAATGATGCTGATGACATTCCTGTGCACCATTGCGAGCCTAACAAACAAATCTATAAGCTCACGACATACCGTTTTTTTGACGATACAAAAGTATTGCTAATACAAAAGAGAATTAAATCTATTTACATGTCATATCATGTTTCCTCCCCATTGATCCGTGCCATTTACCATAGTCCAAGTACCTCTTACAGAGAACCTGTCCGGGTGGTTGAACCTTCTTCGTTCGTTTCTATCTCAATGAAGTACTGATCAGGGATAGAGTTGTCTTGGTTAAAAGAGAATTGTGAGAACAAATCCCCACTCTGCAGACCAACAGTTGCGCTCGAACCATGTATGGTAGTCTGGTAGTACTCAAACCTGACCAACCCGGGATGATCCTCGTAGAAACTGACCGAGAAGTGCTCACCCGTGCCTATGAACGAAGGCCGAAGACTGCCAACGTTATACTCGATGGTGAACGTGTTGCCGCGGGCGGTCTCATAGACATCGTAGAAGATACCCGTGTTGCAAGTGCCCTCGGTGATTAGGAAATCGTCCCAGTAGGGCATGATGCTAGTACTCGGGAGGAGCTCGGCTGGTAATTGGTAATTGGCATAATGGCTCGCGCCGGAATCTAGTGACAAAAGGCCGTTCGTGCTGACGAAGACATTCCTTGAAGCAGCGCCAAAGACCCCGATCGGAAAAGGCGGATTGACGATGTTGTAGCTATCATCATATCTACCATTCTGCGCGTCAAAAATAGGAGTGGGGTTGGCTAGTAGTAGGGTTTGGGCACAGCCAGGGTCTGCGGCGGTTGTAGTAGTGGCCTCAGTAGTAGTCTCGGCGTCTGCCGTGGCTATTGTCTGAGCCTCTGCGGTAGTTGTCTCCCCAGTCGTGGTCACAGCCTCAGTGGTGGCTGTAGTCTCTGGTCCTGTTGTAGTTGTCTCAACAGCGGCAGTATTAGTCTCGGCGGCTGTAGTTGTTCCCTCTTCAGCAGTGGTAGAGTCCACTGATGTAGCCGTGGTGATGGTCAAAAGCGTGGTAGCGGTCTCGGCCTCAGTCTCGCTGGTTTCGGTGGTAGTGCTGGCCTCAACAACTGCCACGGTGGTATCCGTGGTGGAAGGCACAGCGAGAATCGCGGTCGTAGATTCAGCGAGCGTACTTGAGGCGACAGAAGCTGGGACAAGTCAGCGAGGGTTGTCATCTTGAACAACAGGTTCAGGTTACGGATGCAAAGGAACGTACTGTCAGAGGAAGTCCTCGGCTTGCAGGGACTGCCTACTGCCGACTCCACCACAAAAAGGCTCAAGGCCAAAGACAAGAGTTTCTTGGAATGCATATTTCTTAACGAGTGACGGGGAGTCTAAAGAGTGGCGCGGACGTAACGAGCGGTTGTCCCTCAAACAAGAGACAAGTGAAAACGAAGGATACCAAGGTTAGGGCTGATAGATGGAAGAGCCCTCTCTAAATGAGTATAAATAGCACCGGAACTACGGAGTATTCCCTCCTAAGTCGAGTCAGGGTCTTTCCGCCATCCCCTGATTTCGCGTAAGGCGCATGATGTGAGCATCAGCTGTGGGATCGACCAACTCATTTTTTTACCAATCAGGTACCCAGAATACCCTCAGGCCGGCGGAAAGCAGGGGATAACGCAAACAAACTGATCGGATTTAATTTACTTTACTCTTCGAGCGATCAATAGCCTATCACTAGCGTAGCTAGCGTTGTCACTATTGCCCGTTAGCTTGGCCACGTATAAACATAAGCTTAACTCAAGTTAGAGCGATAGAGAGTCACCTTGACCAACAGTGAATTCTAGATTCAAAAAAAGTAAAACCTAAGCGAGCCCAGCTAAAAGAAAAATGCCGCTATCTTGGAATAAATGACAGAAGTAAATTATTTCCGTTAGCTCAGCCAGCCACATGCAGCCACCATATTGCTATTGGCAAAATTTGACCAACAGCGCCCCTTTACGACTACGGCACCCAAAGCATTCATAGAAGATGTCGGTCCGTGTCTCAAAAGTCTTGACGGTTGGGCCTCTGAGTTGTTAACGTTATTGACTGGGTTATCCGGTGGTCAGACATCACAGAAATCCACATAAATCTCCTTTTGGTCGATGAGACTTGTAGTTGATTAGGTTTCACGTGATGAAATAAAAAAAAAAAAAAAAAAAAAAAAAAAACAGATGCAAGGTCTACAACTTGAGTGAGAAGTATATTGTGATACTAAGATCCTGGTACTGAATCCATCCCCCACTTCTCTGCTCTCATCTCTCTCTTTCGCCCTATCCAATAATGATATCAAGATCAAGGCTCTCTCCCTCCTTAGCACGAAACTTGGCAGAAACTTTTCTACGATCAATGTTCAAAACCGTCTGCTCAGTGTTCAGACCACGCCTCTTCGTCTTATCAGTTGGCTCGCCATAGTACTCCGGCAAAGACTGAACACCAGTGATGTTGTCGGCCAGGCCCGTGACGATGTCAACCCAAGGCTTGTACATGTGAACGCCAAGGGCAACAGAGAAAGCCTCCTTGCCTTGCTCATTCTTGAAGCGCAGCATGCCTGAAGTGCCACTGTCGCCCATGTAGAGTGACAGCACGCCGTTTTGTTCACTCCACTCGCAGCCGTCGGTGTAGTTCCAGCAGGCTTGCTCGACGACGTGGAAGTAAGCGTTTTGGTTGGTTTGGTAGACGCGGACTTTGATGGTGTAAGGCATTCTGGGGATGTTAGCTGGAGTGATTTGGAAGAGAGGAGGGGGCTGACTTGCTTGGATGTTTTAGGAAGGGATGTTTTTAGGCTTAACTATTGTGTGCTTTAGTTGCTGTATAAAGACAGACGGTATTGGCGGCAATAGTCAGGACTTTTGTACACCTTCTTCTCTTCTCTTTCCTATTGGCCCATTTTGAAGAACCGTCCATCCTTAAGCCGTTTCTGCGACGTCATTGTTCCCCGCGTCAACTTGAGATGTTGGCGTCTTGCGTTGAAGGCATGCATATACATGAATACCTGGCGGATGTGCCGTGTCTCAGTCTTCGATATGGCATCACTGGTCAGTAAATGCGCTTAGCTGTCATGAGTACAAGATACCTTACACTGTAAAAACCTGCTTAGCTATGCCTGTAAGGGATGGCTGACTTGTGGCGTAGGACTTCATAACTTTGAGGCCCGAAACACTAAGGTATATCTGAATGAGAGGTGGAACATGCAGTTAAGTGACATAATGAAAGCCCTGTCTCACAATCAAGCATTCAGCTTTGAAAGTTCGCCTGATCGACGTTATATTTTCCCCAACTGTGTGAGACAGTCTTGTTAGCCCTCCACCAAATGCTGACGTATATGCATCTCGTCTATAGGAGACTGATACTGGAGTGCGGCCCGTTCCTACCCGGGGCTTGGATTCTATAGGTTTCTATTATGAGGCGGGGGCACATGCGTGTTTCTGACTATTGGTCTTGGTTGAAAGCTTGATCTTGACATGTAAATCATGAATGCTGATCCTGTCTCAGATGCTCTCCAATGGAGGTCTGGATATTCCGATGTCGGATGAATTGTCCCTGGGATCCCGGAAAGGTTCATATCTCACAAATTGTGCAGTTCTCCCGACTTATACAATAGAAGTACACAAAAGTTCACGGGTAGTTGAAATAGAAAATCGTTGAATCACACGCTAAATCTATAATTAAAAGGCCTAATACAAAATATAATCCTCAATAATCTTCAAGAATATCATCTCCAAAGTCCCCATACTAACAGTATAGTGCGCAACGCCCATAGTCCTCTTATACTGCTCCAGAGTCTCAATCACCTCAACAACCTGACCCTTCTTATTCTGCGAAGCAGCAAACGCTCCATCAGCAGTGCTACTGGCCGGAATGCTGAAGCGAAACTGTCCTCCCAAGCTCAGCCCCCTAAAGTTGGCACCTTGGAACGTCTTGCGAATCCATGCTTCCACCTTGCGCATTTCGACTTGGTCTGATGTTGGTGCTGAATCTAGTACCAAATGTACTTCGTACGAGTTGCTGTGCCTGTTGCGGAGTTCTTGGATTGTGCCGGCGGCGAGGATGCGTTTTGAAAGGATTGCGACGCGGGTTGCTAGCATATCTGCTTCTTCCATTGAATGCGTCTATTGATCATCAGCAGGATACTATATCGAAAAGAGATAGACACTTACCGTCAAAAGGACTGAGCGACTTGATGAAATGCCTGACAGCATAGCCCACATGTCGCGCTTAGCTATAGGGTCCATCGCTGAACTCGGTTCGTCCAGTATGAGAATCGGTGGGTTGCCTGGATTGGTCAGTCTTGGTCAATGGTGTTAGGCGATGCGACATACCCAATAAAGCAATAGCCAAACTCAGCTTTCGCTTGTTTCCACCAGATAACCGAGATGTCAGCTTATCGGCGTGAGGCCTCAATCCAACCTTTGACATGACCAAGTTGACATTCCTCTGTACATCTGCTATGCCCTTCACGCGAGCGTAGAAAGCAAGCTGCTGGCGTACGGTGATCTGGTCCAAGGCGTCAAATTGTGGACAGTCTACATTATCATCAGTAGGTGAAAAGATCGAGTAAAGGTCAATGCTTACAGCCGATGCTATGTCGCCCAGCTCGGGTATCCTTCTGCATATCCACCCCCTTGATGTAGATATTACCGTAGTCTGGGCGAACTTCGCCTCGCATCATGTTGGTAGTAGTCGTCTTACCGGCTCCGTTGGGGCCGAGAAGAGCTGGTCAAGCGTTAGTGGCGGGAAGAGAAAAAGGCAGGGAACAGGACTCACCAAGTAGCTCTCCCTTTGCCATAGTGAGAGAGACACCATCAACAGCAACATTACCACCAAATGACTTGTAAATTTGATCAACATCGACCAAGTTCCCACTCATGCCACGAGGCTTTGTCATTGGCGCCATCTCAATGTGAGCATCCTTCCCGTCGATCCTCTTCCGTTGGTACAGTGGCACGATATGCTCTGCCCACAGACTTCTCAACGTCCACGTTCTTCCGTCAAGGAACAACAAAAGAGCAAACAAGTACGCGACTTGGATACAGAGGAGAAGAATCGGGCCGCCGTAGGCATGGATATTGCCTGGGTAGCTTATCACTGCATCACCACGACATCCCGCGGCCCAGACGTTGAGACCAACGACCATGGCCCGGAAGAGGTTGGCGACCGGGAAGATGAGACCGAGGATGAAAACTGCTGTGTCAATGGAAGCAGACCTATTGCCTGGGCTTTGGTTGAAAGATGCAATCTAACTGGTCAGCATGCATTCGGTTGGGATAAGTGAAGTGACATACCATAAGTCCTGCGACGGAGATACCAAACATCAAAAGCGAAACACAAAAGGATATGCCAAAAGAGGAAAGCTCTGATCGTGCAAAGAGGGAGATTATGTAACACCAAAGCATCATCGCGAAGCCGTACAGAAGCATAACAGGGAAGAGATGCCAAACTCCATACCACTTTAGAATGAGCAAAGAGATAAACAAGGTGGAGAGGCAGGATATAATAAGCACGAAGACTATGTCCACGATGATGTGAGATGTCCAGAGTGAAAGAGGTTGGATCGAGTTGGAGTATTGTAGGGTTCGAATCTTGCGAAGTCGTTCGTACGCGGGGTATAGGGCGAAGAAGGCTGGGTAAAGCACGTGTAGGACGGTGAGTAGCTGGCGTCGTGTTAGTAGCTATCACTGAATGAGCTCAATAGTTACTCACGATAGCGAGAAACATGCCGGGGCCAGGGTCAGACTATGATCTAGTCAGCAGAGTCAAGTAAGTAGTGTGAAGTACGAACAGGTATAGATGAACTGAAGTATGCAAAAGATAGCGAAATAGGAGTTTCACTCTTCAGCTGACTCCACATATTCAACATCAACATCGACCCATCAGGGCCATGCTCTGCGTTGTACGCAAGCGTATCCTTATCCTTCCCATCCATGTACAACGCTCCGGGTACAAGCTGTCTCGGTTTATCACTAACTTGTTTCAAGAAAGCATCATAGTCATCCTGGGACTTGATCTGATCTTGATAAGCCTTCATGTCATATTCCTTCCCGATGGGGTACTTTGACAACGAGCGAAAGAGAGTCTTGTTGAGGGAGTTTGGACCGATAAGCATAGAGATATTATCGAAACCTGCTAGATCATAGTAGCCATTTGGTCGAAGAGATATTGGCCATGGTTCGTCGAGAACGGATGAGTCGGTTGATACACAGGGTGTTGGTTGGAAGGGTGTGGGATCGTTGGCCATGGCGCTGAAAATAGGTGTGAAGATCATTGGGATCGCGAGGGCGAGGATATACCACCAGAATCCTCTCTTGAGAACTAGAAGGCGCTTAAGGAGAAGTGCCGAGAGTTGTTGGAGGAATGAAGCTTGTGTTCCTGAACTGAGTTGGCTATCCGGTGTCTCGGTACCTTCAAGAAAAGGACTCCTGTCAGAAGTTCCAACGTCGTCTTCATCATGTTCATCAGCGACCTCTAGGAAGACATCTTCCATGGTAGGACCGCTCAATGACGTATCAGAGTATCCCGCTGCTTGCAGAGACGTCAAAAGCTGTGCAGCAGATGTCGAATCTGGAGTTTTGAACACAGTCTGCCCTTGATGTACAGTCGTAGCATATGGTGTGTTCGGCGGGTTCTGAGCGCCCGGTAGATGTACGCGATAACCTCCTCCGTGGAGATTCTTCAGAGCCGCTGTGGAGCCCTGACACTTGACGTGGCCGTGTGATACGATGACGACTTGATCGGCGAGAACTTCGCATTCGTCTAGGAAATGGGTCGTGAGGATGAGGCTTCGTTTTTGGCGTTCGGCAAGGATGATGTTCCACATTGCTCTTCGAGAGACGGGGTCCTACACTTGTGAGTGAGTGCACCATGAGTTGGTAGAGCAACTTACCATTCCAGTGGTGACTTCGTCCATGAGGCAGATTGAACTACCGCCTGCTAACATGCATAGCATTTGTACCTTTCTCATCTGGCCTCCACTGAGTGTACCGACGGGGCTGTGTTTCTTCAGGGATAGATCACAGGACTCAACGAGGGTGTCGAGTGAATGGGGATCTGTTGCTCCGCCTTTCATCATGGCCCAAAGTCTACCGTGCTCGAGGACCGAAAGCTCGGGCCAGTGGATGTTGCGCTGGGGGCAGATGCCTAGACAGTTAGTAGAAGACCCAAGTGTCGATGTTAAACTTACCAAGATTTGAGCGAGGGGCATTGATATTTATTGAGCCACTTGTGAGCTTCTGTGTGCCAGCGATCAGACCTAATGTTGTTGTCTTGCCAGAGCCGTTGATGCCAAGAAGACACAAGACTTGCTTCCTCTGCATGGAAAAGCTGAGTGAGTTGACAGCTATCGTGGGACGAGCTCTCCGACAACATCGTCTCCATAGAGAAGGTTTGTAAGTTTTCGTAAGGTCGGTGATCTCGAGGGCTGTTGAAGAGTCGGTCGTTGCGCTTCCGAACTTTCTACCCTTGTTGCTAACACCATGAGAGCACTTCTCGAAGAGGATAGCTAGTAAAGGGTAGAATACTATCGTAAGAAGCAGTAGACCCCATAACATAGATACTGTAACGTCGTATATGCGAGGCTGATGGGGAGCTGGTTTCGAAATGTTGGTTGCGAGACCTTGCGCTTCGTTTCGACAGAGTTGGTTCAGGAAGAAGATGTAGCTCGAGCTCGGGAAGATGGCAGATAGGATTAGGACGATAAGCGCAGGGACGTTTTCGGGTTTGGAGTCGAGAATCTCGCACAGGGTGGCGAGGAGCATTAGGACGATGACCATGGATATGGCGGTGTATCGGATGTTGATGGTGGCTGCAAAGACACTCAAACTTGTGAGGGATAGGCCGGAGAGGATCTGCCAGGGGATGACGATAGCGGCGTTCGAAGTCGGCACGAGGAGGGCTGCATATACTACTATCGTTAGCAGCGTAGATGGGATGACTTTTGTTGGACTTACAGGCTCCAAATATGATCCAGCTCGGCAAGTAGATGATATTGAAAGCAATAAGATAACTCAACACCCTCGCCGATGCCGCACCACCAGTCATCACATCGATCAACTGCGCCATCCCGGCCTCCCTTTCCGTCGATATCATGCCAATGATATGAAACACCGACGAAATCATACTCAGAAAACACACGATTCCAAAACCGCCGACCATAGTCGCCGCAAAGTTACGACGCTTTATCTCTGCAGCCTCATCTTGTGTTATCCGTGTAAACATGTAACTGTTCGGAGTCGTGGTGGAGTTCGTGATGGCATTTTCGACGGCGAGTTGGAGCGATGCGTAGTGGTTCTTGGAAGGCGTGGCGATGTCGAATTTGGTTGATGCTCGTGCTGAACTAACCCTGATGGTGTAACTCCACGTCTTATTGCCCGCTTTGCTAAGAGGTGAATCGTTGAAAATAACAGCAGCGTAACAATTCGTTACACCGCTTAAACTCGTGGGACATCGATTTCGTAAATCGGCTTCACTATCAGCAACTTCAACACTCCCCTTCAGCCCAACTTTGATCTTGGTGATAACGCCGCCAACATCAGACCCCGCGTTCGAACCCTTCACAAAAACAAGTTTCGTCCCTGGGGGCAGAGTCTCAGCAAGGCTTGGGATGGGAGACGGCTCTCCAACGCCATACCTGCTTCCATCGCCTGTGAAGTTCTGGATTTGAAGGACCAGAACGAGAATCAGGACGGGTATTAGGAGAGTTCGGAGGAGTGTTGAGAGCCAGTGCTTGACGAGTGTAATCAGGAAGATTTTCCTTGTCAGGGCGTGCAGTTGCCGGAACCATAGTCTTGTGGATGAGAACATGATTCGGTGATGTGTGAAGGATGAAGGTATTCATGATATGATTATGTTAGGTACTATATACAGATTTCACGATTGCCTGGGCTGCCTCTAGACGAATTGGATGTCATAGTGTCCGTCCCGCGGAGGGGTCTATGACTAGGGGTGAAAGAAAACATGACAGCTGGATAGGTATGTGACCAACCAATCTTGTCCCAAGGGCGTCTTGTGAATTTTTTTCACAATGAGGCCAGATGCATTATCACAGTAAGTGCCTTCTTAAACGAGTTAGCAGACTTACGTGCGTCTAGTTTCATCGAGGTATGTTTACATAATGTCACCAGAGAATCTATAATAAGAAGGTTGAAAGGGAAATTAAATTAAGTTGTGGAGACGAGGCTGATTCTGAGTTATTGAGTTAGGCATACTTCTATCAAGCTCTGGCACCAAGACAGAAGTTCCTGCAGCCCTAAGAGAGAAGCCTAGATCGTGACGACGACTTGATCCCCCCTTGTGAAGCGAGGGTGAAAATGGTTCTCGTATTGGGGGATGTGAAACGGTGGGTACGTGCGCTTTTTGCTGCTCAGCCACCACCTTGACGTCGCCCTGATGGGGGTTCCACTATCACAAGCTAAAACAAAGAGGAGCAACTAAAACAAACTATTGAGGATTTGTTCTAGATTTATCAGATCATTGTTCGTGTATTGGTTGGAGGTGGTTCGGTGATTTACGGTCTGGGCTTAGCTTGCGGGTGTCGGTAGGTGAACGTTGCATTCAGGTACACCAAGCGGAACTGCTGCCGTTGGGCATGGCTTCCACGTTGCATCTCATGGTTTGCAGACGTGATTGGTCGCCCTTTTACGATGAAGGATTGACGGTAGGGCGGTTTCTCGGCAGTGGGATCCTCGTGGTGCTTGGGGCTTGCCGAGGGTGCCAGTGACGCTGATGAAGGGGGAGGCTGTGAAGAGATAAGGAATATAGGAGAAGATTATTGTAGTCAAGCGTGACTCCTGACTCTGGAGCTTGTTATCAGAATTTGGCAAAGACTGTTCAAGGATGCGCATATGCTTGGTAGTCAACCTTGTTCGAATCTGATTGGTTGGCTGTCAATTAACACGAACTTGACCTCCCGAACATACTGCACCATAATAGATTCTTCAACTGTCAGACGTTATCTTTCTTACAACTGTCATACAAGTTAGATCTGACCAATTGAATTCTACGTGTTTGATTCTTGGCACATCAATCTCACCAATGACCTCGCCTTACAAATCAACGATTAGAAATCACAATGACACCATCTCCAACGTCAACAACACCATCTCAAGATATAAAACCCCCAAAAATAACCCAAAGCCAGACCTGAAACAATAATCAAATATTAATCTTGACTAAAAGACCAACCCAACATGGCCCCAATCCGCACAGCCATCATCGGCCTCTCATCCTCCGCTAAAACGTCATGGGCGTCAAACACCCATCTCCAGTACCTGACCTCCCCCCTCGGTCGATCCAAATACCAAATCGTCGCCCTCCAGAACTCCTCCCTCCAAGCTGCCAAGAACGCTATAGCGCATTACAATCTCCCTCCCGAGACTAAAGCCTACGGTACACCAGAAGACTTGGCCGCTGATAAGGATGTCGAGTTAGTCGTTGTAGCTACGCGTGTTGATGTTCACCATTCAAGTGCTCTTCCGAGTCTAAAGGCTGGCAAGGATTTATACGTGGAGTGGCCGCTTGCGCAGGATGTTACGCATGCGAGGGAACTTGTTGATGCGGCCAAGGAGCAGGGGGTGAAGACGATTGTTGGATTGCAGGGACGGTATGCGCCGCCGATCAAGAAGTTGAGAGAGATTGTCAAAGAAGGAAGGATTGGCAAGGTTGTCAGTGCGGAATTGTATGCATCTGGAGGGACGAATGATAGAGAAATTCTGCCGTCGAGTTTGGAGTATTTTGCTCAACGGGCTGTTGGGGGTAATATCTTTACCATTGGTCTCGGACACAGTAAGTCACCACTTGCAGAAAGTCTAAACATCAACTAACAGGCCAGTCTTCGATCAGTTCCAATACATCATCGGAGACATCACAAACTTAAAAAGCACACTGCACAATCAACGTCCCAACATCCGCATCCGCGATCCCAAGACCAACGAAATTACCCACACAACAACCTCCAACGTCCCAGACCTCATCCTCGCAACAGGCCGTCTCTCCGAATCCCCCACCGCCCAAAAAGACGCCGCCGTCCTCGTCCGCTTCCGCCGCGGTCAACCCTTCCCCGGCTCTCCTCACCTAAGCATAGCCATCGCCGGCGAAAAGGGAGAGATAAGAGTACAAGTCTTTACCGGGACTACACTCCACGGCGCTTCAGCTTATGAGAAGCCTGTTGTGGTTGAAGTACATGATTTTGAGAGAGATGTTGTGGAGAAGGTCGAGTGGAAGTGGGAGGAGTGGCAGCAGGATATTCCGCTGCTGGCGAGGGGTGTAGCGGCTGTTTATGAGGCGTTTGCGGAGGGGGAGGAGGATGGGTTGGTTAGCTTTGAGGAGGCGTTGAAGAGGCATGAGCAGCTTGAGGGGTTGCTTGGACAGTGGGATGAGGATAGGGGCGTTTGAGTTCCAACTTTGATCATTTTATAGCTTTTTTATTTAATCAGCATCCATTATGGCCTATGCATGTGTTTATATGGGACGTGGCTGGCTATATCAAAGCCAGTTTCTGCTGTTATCACAATACTCAACGTCACCATTAGCGACTTTTAGGAGGGCAGCATAGTTGCATGAACCGCCACTTAGGAGCCTTGCATTTCCATATTTTGCATCATCATGATTTTTCCCAGCTGATGGCGCCAAACTACGCTTGACCGTATATTTCCTAACACATTATCATCCAATGTTTGCATTAATACCCTAAATTCATCAAAACTTTACCAAGTTTATATAAATCTTTACATAATTTACATAAAATGAAGTAAACTTAGGACTCTGCTATTTCCGCAAGCTCAGCAACCTGGTTCTCTGTCTCAAGTGCCACTACACATGATCAGCACACATTCTCACCTCAAAATACAAAAGCATTTGCTACTTACCATGGATTGCCACAGCGGCCTTCTTCCCCGTATACATCGCATGCGGGACATTAGGAGCGCTGTCAGAATTCGCATCACCCACAGCATAGACACCGGCCACATTCGTGAGCATCCCACCACTCGTGACTCTCAGCTTTCCGTACGCCGAAGCCACGCCGGCTTTTTCTCCAATATCCGAACGCTGCCTACTGGGGAAGCTCGACAGGAAAGCAACTCGTTGCACGGGTTCACCCTCTGTGAAATGCACCCTGAAGAGGTCATCTTTCGGGACCGAGGGCAACTGCGGATTCTTATCCACTTCTTCGCCGGCCTTGAGGCGTTCGAGAGAGGTTATGGTGCGGTTATCGATCGTCACGTTGTGAAGCTGCAGATACTCCTCCCACTGGGGAAATCGCGCGTCAGCCAGCTTCCTCATCTCTTCGTTATCAGTCCCGTTGACGAAGGCGACGATGTCGGTGCCGAGCGTAAGGACTTTTCTAACGTAGTTGGCGACCTTGTCGAGGGGGCATAAAAGACCGAGGGGCTGGTCGGCGTACTCGTAGCCGTCGCACCAAGGACACGAGTAAATGCCCCTGCCCCAGTTCTCCGCAATGCCAGGCGTGGAGGGCAGAATGTCTTTCAGGCCAGTTGCGAGGACTATTTTGCGCGCTAGGATTTCTACGGGTAATCTGTTGACTTTGCCGTCGGGACGTTCAACGGAGACGGAGAAGCGTGTGTTGGTCCCGGGGAGGCGCTTTATATCGATTACTGTCCCGTTCACCATCCTGACGGTTTTGTAGTGCTTGAGGAGACGGCGAGCTTCATGGCGGAAATAAGCGGGCTGAACACCTATTTGCAAGGTCAATCAATTCTCTGAATCTAGCAGACTACGGGCTGCTTACCATCCCAACCGATGACATCGTGCATATGTGTCGTTTGACCATTTCTATATTCCCCAGAATCAATGAGAAGCGCTTTTCTACGCACTCTTGCGAGGCCACTCAGAGCAGAAAGGCCAGCTGGGCCGCCGCCGATAACGATGACATCGAAGTCTGGCTGTGAGAAGTTGGTGGGCTCCGCGACAGCATAGGTCAGAGAAAAGAGCCATAAAAGACTGCTGAAGAACAGCATCGTGGGGATCCAGAGGGTGGGCATCGAAAAGCAAGCTCATTTTGGTGGGTGTGATGCCTAGATATAGAGACTCCAGACGGGGAGGCTCTAAGTTCTTGGTGGTGATATAAGCTCTGAGCCACAAGTTCCAACAGAAAATAGCACATCAAGGTGCACTTCGTACTGAAACGTAAGAGATACCAAGTGGCTTTGTGTTCAAAATCATACCGTAGGCGTTGAGGGTGGCGTTAGGTACCCTGATGTTTCCAGCAAAAAGTGGCTTTGACTCAATTGAGTACCTCTTCTCATCTTTTTAAAGTTGAGAGACAATTCACCCTAAACTTTGATAAGAAACACTAAAGTCGTACATACCCTGATGTTGACTACAAAAGTTGACATATGTAATATAAATTTATGCTGAGTTTAGGGTAGCCAACGTAGAGACCAGCATCTCAGACACCAACCGAAGCTCACGTAGAAGATCACGATTTAATCCCCTTGCTTTAAATAAACAAAATATGCTTTATATGAATGGTATATCTCAATGCTACTCAAATCCCATGCTAAACACCAAACACAATGCTTCGTGAGCACACTCTCGCTCTATGGCTGATCCTCCCCATTGACCTCCTAGTCCCAAAGGATCCAACCCGCCCTCGCAGCAGGCCCATTCGGTTCATCCACACTAACCGCCTTATTAAGCGTACTCGACAACTGATGCACCTCAATTGTTTCAGGATCGCTGACATCTGTATCTTCGCGGCCGTCGCTCGAGTGAAACACTTCACTTGGTTCTGCCTCTGTTGCGGATGTGACGTTGTCTGGCTCTGGTGTCGCTGTGTCGGATTGAGCCTGTGACTCGCTACCCTTTGGACTCTTCAATGGTGGAGTAATTGGTTTGGAAAAGTTGAATGTTGGGTTTACTTCTTCTGCATCGACGACGGCTGAGAGGGTGGCTCGGGTGTGGATATGGATCTGTGATCGGGATGCGCGCTTGAGGCGGGGTTTGCGCTGTGCGACCGGAGACCCAGCGCGTCGACGAGACTCCATCTCGATGAGCTCCTCTTGCTCCGTCTCGTCGTCGGTGATAGTGTTTGTGTCAAGCAATAGCCACTGTCGGGGTCCGACGTGCAGACTGCTTCCAGATTTCCGGCGATGTCGCTTCTGGTTCTTAATCTCTGCGGGCGGCTCAATGATTGCTTGGCCCTGCTTTACTCTAACTGGCAGCTTAAGCGGGATGTTTCCAGCAGTGACGTTCAAATGTCTTAGATCGCGCTGACTTTGCGAAAAGACAACTCGAGCGCGAAGTCTGTGTACAGCTCGATCCAATGCCAGTTCAATCGCGCATCGGTCGCGTACTCGGCTCAATTTGGGCCATGTAGCACGTTCACCCATGAGACATGCTCGCATCATAAATTCCGGACTTGGGTTGCTTAGTAGCCGTGGCAAATCGTTTATACTCATCTCGGGAAGAATATTGATGTCGCCGGAGTATTTCTGGCTGAGAACACTCTGAAACTTGGTCGCAAGGTTGGGCATGATACCGAGTTCGGCCAGAAAATGAAGTCGATGCAAGGCTTCGTCGCGCGCAAGAGATGTCATGGTGTGAATCCAATCGTAGTCTTCTCCATTTGTCTGCTGACCTTGTTCTGGCTTTCGAAACGGTGACAAGTGGTCATCTTTTGCGAGGAAGGGAACAACGTGAGGATTGACTTGAGAGACAATAAAATGGTTGACGTTAAACATTTCCGCAAGGCGTGTCATCGGTAAATCGTTATCCACAGACCCATCGATCCATCTTTGGGGCGTAGGGTTCCAAGGTTGATGCTCGCCAGTAATTGGGTCCTTGACGAGCAGCGGCGCAGCGTTGAAGACGAGAGGAACAGAACATGATGCAGCAACCGCCGACCAGATCATGACATTCGGTGCAGTGACGTAGTTGAGCAGTCGAGGTAGTTCGTACATGGAAGCCGTGGAGACACAGATGTTGAGAATGCGCCGCGTCCGGTTGTAAGCCTCTTGAAACGTCATGTCGCCCATCAATCCTCTCATCACCCGGGTAAGATTCTTGATGTCAGACCAACTCCCCTCTGTCAACAACCGTCGCAAGTTACTCCAAACACCATCTTGACCGCTGGGATCCTCGAAAACCGCAAGATCCCCATACGGAAACTCTTCAATAAGCTTCGGGATCTCCTCGTCGGTCCTGGTGCACATGGCGGCGCACACGATACTTCCTGCACTTGCGCCAGATATAATTCGTGGCAATAGCCGCGCTTCGAAAAGAGCTTTGAGAACACCAATATGCGACATGCCAAAGGTGCCTCCACCAGACAAAAGTAATGCGCTTCGGCCATAACTCTGCCGAGCAAACAATATTCCTTCAAGTAGGTCTCTGTTCTCAATACTTTGGTCCAGTCGGCTTTGTGTAACAACTGCATCGATAGTTCTTATTGTAGATTCGACATATCGCTCGATAAGGTGTTTCGTCCCGGAGTAAGAATGTCGGTAAAGATCGACGTTATCCATACCGCCGAGATCGCGCGACAAAGCGGTACGGATCAAGTGCATCATTGTGTGTACGTCGCATTTCGTCCGCGCTTCGTCAAGATCGTGGAGTCGTTGCTCAATTAATTCGGGGTTATAGTCGCCTGACGAGGAATCGCGCTTCCATTCATCATTGCCTTCAAGACTGTCGAGTTCTTTCGCAGCACTCTCCCATTGTGCGTGGGACTCGGCCTGGCTGGTCAGTTGAGGTTTCAGTACAGAACGGGATGACGCACATTCTGCATAGACAGGCATAACATGCGCTTTCTCTCCTCCAGCTGCTTGATCTTTAAGCGCTGATCTTCTGTCAAGCCATCTTTGCACCACTGCCATGTATCGTTCGCCGATTTGATCGCTTTTTGCAGCGTTCCAACAACAGGAACTGACGATACCGGCGGTCGCTTCGCTTTGGTATTCGATTTGACTGGAGATTTTGTAGACTTGTATAGACTAGGGACCGCGCGGGCAGGGAGAATAAGGTCGGCCATGGTGAAAGCCCGCGCCGCGGAAGCGCAGGTTCGGTCGTGTGCGAGGTCGGGGGAACGAGGTTATAGCATGACAAACGATGTTTTGTACGCGTTAAGATTCTAGATGTCGTGTCGCAAGGCGTAGGGGGGTAAGGATATTGTATTCGAGCAGACAGTCGGACAAGGAATCGTGGTCACAAGTCGAGAAGCATTTGTAGGGTGCGGAACGGTCAACGGAAGTGGTGGGGGTTAATGGAGGGGGCGCTGAGACATGAAGAATTGGAGGTGGAATGATAAGGGAGGGAGAAAGATGATCTTGAGATGGTAATTCTGAATGATGAGTTTATTGTATTTGAGCCAAAAGTCAAAAGTGAGGAATTTCTTGGTTTGCTTTGGAAGGGAAAGACGACGAAATGACCGTTTCCTTTCCTTTTCGCTGCCGTTCCCAAATTGAATCCACTTGCCGAGCTGAGGCCCCATTCCCCACCAATTTTTGACGTGGAGGAGCATGGGCCACTAAAATGCCCTGTATTTACTTCTTCTCCAGGGTTGGGCTCGCGACAGCTGATTCTCCCCATCTAAATTTACTTTTTCTACCCAACAAGTCTTGCAGGCTATTGATTGATTCTTCTGACAAAGGTTATCTCAGCAAAACATGAACATCTGACTCTTGTCCTTCCAGCCGCACACCGCTTGGTTGTAGGGAAACAGTCCAATCATGGATGGAGTGGGCGCTGGAGGTGCACGTGGTACAAATTGGCTGTCACTAAACCAGGATGCGTCATGAATCGGGGTTGGGGTCCCGTTCACATGTCAACAAAGAAGCGGAAGCGGAAGTGGTTATTGGACTCTCCAGGTTTTGGAAAAGCCGATGTTCGGCAGGTGATTACATTTTCGAGTCTGGGGAATTTGCGGGGGAGAGATGACATGACATGATGGCTTACGACGGGCACGTAAATGGAGGCAACGTTGGATACTGGCCTGACTGACTGCCTGGGAGACAAGAGGAGAGAATGCAAGACGGACGGCGACTTGCATCATGGCTTACGATAATTCCTCACCGTGACCTCTCTCCCTCATGCACTTTCCCGTCCGTCCCAAAACAATCCCGACCTTCTCACTGTGGACAGCTGAAGTATGAGACACGGCTGACCCGAGCTTGTTCGTGTCACCTGCCTCTTCCCTCCCGAGGGTCGATCCTCCAACGATCGAGATCCATCTTCTCAAGATCTGCAACTCAACCAAGGCAGCAGGGAACAATTATTCTTCCGTCTGAGTAAAGCCTCCGGCGTCGGGTATTTGTGGTACCACAAAGTTTCTAGCTTGACATGGAAAAACAAAACACGAGTCTAGACCTTTGTTACTAACCTTGTTTGACTTGCTTGTGACGTCTGTGGTACGCGCTGTGTCTAGGAGCTCCATGCATCACAGTCAAAGCTTCAGGTTCATTCCAGCTCCAGTAACAAATCTAAAAAATACAACAGAACTGTAACTGAACTGTAACATAAATATGCATAAGTTGTATCGTTAATGTTCCGCATCATATGACAATACCAATGCCCCTCTCATGATTCGCTACACAAATTACGTATTCGTGACGCCTCTCACACACGATGGCCTCGCGTAACCTGAAGGGTTCATTCCCCCGCATCCTAAATACCTGCTTTCACAGTGCAAACCCGCGCAGTCTACATGTCATTGATGACGTTTTGTTTTCATTTACGAAACGTCCAATCCAATCATTCACTCACTCACTCACGGCTTGGAAAACGCCTCAGGCAGATGCGGCGTAAGCTCCCGCCTCTCTTCTTATAAGCTCCCCGCCCCAGCTTCAAGCTTTCACTTCTCAGCCTCTTCATCGCTTCGACCTTGAAGATCTTCAATTGAATAGCTTCAGAGATATTTTTCAACATGGAGGCTTACAAGACTCATGGAGGGGTTTCTCCCATTCCCACCGTCGTTCGTATGCTCATTCTTACCTACCCGTGGTGTAGAGCTTTACTGATG